TTACTTTAAGATTGCTAGAGAGGGGAACGTTTTAGATATAATTGTCTTTAGAATGAATGATCTCTAGGGAAAATTGAAAAGCAAGGAAGGAATAGTATCAATGGGTAAATATATAGGGTGAAAGTAGATTAAGCCTTGCAGAGAGAGAGGTAAGGAAGCTTGTCCTCAGTAGTTTCTTAAATAGTTAGTGTCCCGTCTACGAAAGCGGATTCATCACTGTAAAGCGATAAATCATTCTCTTCGTAAAAAGATACTATATAGCCCGCCTTACTAGGGATAATAACGTCGTCTAAGTATTTATATTCGAGGCCATCGCTGTATATAGAGGAAAGGATAATTAGAAGAGCGGACGATAGATTAGGCATATAAGGAGAGTAAAACTACTAATCTATTTATAGTAGAAAAAGCCTTAGGAGACATAACGTTAAGCAATAAGTACGAAAAACTCGAAGACAGTAGACAATAAGAACGTTAAATAAACGGGAAAAAGTCGAAGTAGGAAATTGTGTCTATAGATATAAGGACGAGAAGTATATAGAAAGGTATAAACAAAGTGGAAATAGAAAAGAATTATAATTTAGAAATACAGACGATAGTATATAGAAAGGGATAATAGTAAACAAAGAAGATTTTAGAAATTAAATACTAATAGGGAATATTATACAAAAACCACTACGATTTAAAATTAAAATGTTTTCGCGTCAATCAGGAAATATTGTATCAAACAAACACGAACAACTACTTTTAACAGCTTCTAAAAACACTCTCTTCGTATGAAGTACTTAAGAACGTAAGAGACCATAATTAATATATAGGTAGAAATTAAACTAGAATTAGATAACCTTTCTTATGAATATAGCGAGCATAGGAATGTAGTAAGACTCTTAGAACAAACAAAAACGCGTAATTAGAGATTTTATTTAGGAACTAGCGAGTTTAGGAAATCTTATAAGACTTAGGATAAACAATATTATCCAAGTCGTCAGAAATTATCTGTTAGACCTAAATTATGCACGATGTCTTCTATATGTTCGCTAATATAATAGACCGCTTCGTGGCATCTCGTAAGCACTTTAAGACTAAATAGAGAAAGACTACACCCGCGACGTGACTATTCATTACCTTCCTCAACGCCGCTAATTTAGTAGACACTAGGGGCGTGGACTACTACCTATTAGGGTCCCAATCCCTTCCTTTAAATTTTGCTATTAGAGCTAATTAGTAGAGGATATTCATTCCCTACTTATATTAAGGCAAGAACTGGATACACAGGTTTATCTATAGCTAAGAAAACGTTCTAGGTATTTACTCATGACATAGTGCTAGGAAATCTACGCAACGATTATAGTACGCTAGTTTCCCTACTTAGTCTACTGTGGACCTCCCCTATCAATATCTTAAAAATTATCTAGCATAAGGCCCTATATGAATGTAGGCTTATCTGGGGGCCATTCTCTCGGCTGTCAGGCAGGCCTGGCAGCACTCCCGCATAGCGGCTGTATCAAAGCGAGCTATATCGGGCAAATGAACTATTGACTGATTGATTGATTTATTGAATGTAGGTTTATTGTAGGAAATTGGTATAGCTATATAGATTTCTTTATATTTCTTATTTAGTATTAGCTAAATTGTGCAGAGTTACTACAGGAATTGATCCAATGTTAATGGTTATTTTTGGCTTATTTTCTTTACTTTATAATTACTAATATGTTTTAAAGGCTAACTACCCTTTCTAGTTTACTAGGAAATTCTACTGTTATGAACCTTTCCGACATTGATCTCTGTTTATTGTTATTATTAATGGCCTAAGTAGACATTGGGAGTTCTAGCCCTATACTGTCCCCTTTTTTTTACGTCTATAGTCTGAGCAGGGGAATGTAAATAGTATATCGTGAATATAAGAATTATAACTCTAGCAAATAAGTAGCTCTTTTAAAGTTTTTATTTGCCTTTTACCTTACGAGCGATCTAACTAGTTAGTTTAAGCAGTCGAAATAGTCTAATAAATTTTAGTATAGGTTTTTTTTACCAAAAGTCCAAGGCTTATGTTAGTATTTGTTGTATTTTTTGTCTATAAATTCGTAGTATTTCGCTAATCTTAATTTGCTTTATAGAAGGGCTTTCATTTTTAATACGTGTTTCCATAACTAGGACCTCTCCTTGGTACGAACTGTCCTTGGTTTAGAGCCTAGGAAATAAACCTATAATTATTATAATAGGAGATTTGCTAGTTATCCTATATATAGAATTATTATAAGTATTCTATAGGAGACATCAAAATCCTAATCTATATTTTAACTTAGTGAATGAGCTGAAGGCTCTCTCTTTGTTCTTTCACAGGAAATAGTCCTTAGCGTTATATAAGATAGATATGAAATTCCTCTAGGTATTACTTAGACTAATGGTATGTCATAAGCTTCTAAGCTATCTTATAGCGTTAAATCGTGGTTATTAAAATATCGAGTTGTAAAACATCGCATTTAATAGTGTTTTGGGTGATCAGCTCGCTTGCCGATTACGTTAGAGGGTCGCTTAAGGAGGATTTAGGGCTGACTAGATATCGTAGGCTTATTACGAGTTTTTAATATTCATTCTCGTCTAAATTATCTTAGAATGTTCATTATAAGGTTAGAGAGTCGCGCTGTATGTATAGAGAGCTATTATTCCTTAGTAGCTTTTTACTACCATAAGATATATACTAAAATTAGAAGAATTATAGTTTGTTTATACCTATAAGGTCAAAGTAGGGTAAATAGTCTGATAGTCATAAGTAGCACAATCATGATATTATGCTAGATAGTTAAGTAGTGCCTACTAGGCTATAGCAACCGCTTCCTGCTTTATAGAGCAACTGTTGTTAACTGGACGATGCCCTTTATTAAAACTAAATAGCGTGCTCTATGGTAGTAACATTTGGGCCTGTAGTCTCCGCGTGCTCTAGGGTCAAGTGGTTAGTGGTAAATAGATATATATAGGGTCTTTACAGTAGTAAGATTATAATATATGCCTAGATTTTTAGCACTTCTTATGGCGTTTGGAGCGACTCTTCCGATATAATTCTGTAACGGGCCAGGGAGGCTATTAATCACGTGCAAGCACGCGACTCACGCCCATTGTTTATCAATTAGTTGAATAGAATAGGAAGAGATTGAGAGGTGATCATTAGAGAAAGGTGTCGTGTGTATATTGGGACCCTAAAACGCCTATTTATGACTAAAACGTACTACTGAGAGATACTAAGTGGAAAGACACCTTCAGATGCGATGGGGTACTATTAGTATCACTATTTCAAGGATTAAATAAGATATAACTAACCATGATATCTTAGGGGTATGGTCTATTATCTCTAGAATAAAATCGATATACTATAGATTAGACGTTTAAATGAATGCGCTTATGCTATAGTGAAACCATCGAGCATGGAAGAAAAACATTTGAGTATCATTACAACCATAGCTCTGCTTCAGTAATTCGTCAATTAATCACGAGGCTGCTCCTTGTCGGGCATACAGTGCGCACTTCGGCGGTGACTCGCGTTGAGATTTGTAACCATAATATTTCTGGGCTCAGGCTTAAATCATTAAGAACTAAATCTGCCTAAATTCGGTATTAGTATTGGTTAGGCTCCCTATCATGAGGTTGATAAATTGCAGTCCTCAAGGAGACGTCTCTTTGTTAGTGATCAAGGCGAATAGGTCGTGTGTGTTGACCTCGATCCTCTCAGTCTGGGTCAGGATGGACTTCTGAAGGTTAGGCAGAATATAGCCCAGACGATTCTTGCCAGCCCTAGGCGCTAGGGTTTCATTTTGTCTTTCTCGAGTCTTGGAATCTGGCGCAGTGCCAATTAGGAAGTCACATGGTACGCTTGGGGTGCTATTTACTCAATAGTAAGGACAGGGATGAGTGCACGCTACATTTTTACCTCGCATATTGTCACTCATAGCTCTACATTTAACAGGAAAAACTATTCTGAGGTGATCTTCGAACTTGTGTACAACTCCTCCCAGAAGTAGACTGTGTCAGTTGAGGTAGGTTGCTGGAATGAGTGCACCAGTTACTAGGGTGCATCCTTGGGTATTAGGATGCACTTCTCTAGGGTGATTTGTTGCCAAGTGAAACGTGGAAAAATAGTGATCAGTGCTTCCGGACTCTTTGCGGGGTATCGTCATACCCAGAGCGAGATCGAGGTAATTATAGCCACTATCGACATTCAGCTTTCATTGTCGGGTCGTGTAGCTCTCCCATTGCTGCCCCCTAAAGGGTAGTTGTGAGAGAAAGAATTGAAGAGCGGAGTAGTGGGTCGGCGGCGGTCAAGTACAGTACATTCGGAAGTAAGCGCGGCGTCTCCGACTGATGTTATTGGGGCGAACTCGTCCACCCTTCTTTCTGCAGGATCTCAGGCACACATCAGTTACTGATTTGCCAACTCGGACGTGAGGCTTGTTGTAGCAAGAGATCAGCAGGTATCAGCCTGGTCGGCATCAATCACTCCACCCCGATGCCAAGCAGCGAAAAAACCGACGATCCAGCAATGGCGTGAGTGAGACACGATCAGCCACTGTGAGAGATACGAGTTTGTGAGAGACACGAGTTTGCCAAACTTTAGTTATATTTAGGGTCTTGTGTCTCTCAGGAGTAGACGGAGGAGGGCACTGCAGGATATAGTCAAAAACTATAAAAGAGGCTTCTTCCACTCTGATCTACATTGCTCCTCCAACATCTGTTTCACTTGGCTGTCTAGTGGTCCATATATATGTACATGTCATACTCGGATCCTCAATCTATCAGGGCGCCCACACCCATGCATATATATATGGATTCCACCCAGGCTGGCATAGCCAGATATTCCATCCATCTACTCCCAGAACCACTCGTCGAAAAATCGAAACCACCTCCCCGGTCAGCTGACAGCCAGAACCCCAACCAATCTAGCCGTCGGAAGTTCGAGCTGTCAGCAACCAACATCGATTGAATTGATATTCGTCCAGAGAACCAGAAAAATGTCACCACAGCGTGAAACCCACCTCTCTCAATATATCTTCGGCCTCCAAGCAGCGCCTCTCTTGGCCAGCGGTGTCTACAGTCTGCTATGGCCCGCGGCAGCTGCCGGCCTCCCGAATTCACCCTTGAAGGGGGTGAGTCCTGGTACCATCCAGGCAATGAGGTCGGTCTCAGGCCTACACCAGATAGGATTGATGCTCACTAGCTACAGCCTGACCTCGCTGTCCCTGGGGACCTTCTACGCTATTGCATCGTACCAGAACAACATCCCAATGATGATCGCCTCTGTGCCGGGGCGGTTGCTGGCGGCGATCGTTTTCCGACGCAGCGGCGGGGGATGGGCGAGCGTGGCGCCCTTTGAGGGCTTGATGGGTATTGTTACTGCGATCGGAGTGTATTGGAGTGTGTAAATAATATCATTCTTAACTACAATATGTACACTCATGTTCGCACGGCATCGCTGAGCCAATCACGGCGGGTCCAATTCCGCCTTAGTGATCCCGTCGGTAACAAGCAACCAACTTCCCCAACCATCATTCATCCTTCTTTTTCTTCTTCTTCTTCCACCCCGTCAAGGCTACACAAGATCAAGACACTGTTCATTACCGCCATGTCCTTCTCCAATCTCGTCTCCGATATCGCCTTCCGAGACTCCAATGTCGATGATCGCAGCTCGCAAGTCTCCCGGGCTCGCTCCCAACCCACCGCTAGATCCTACACCAGCACGACAGCAACCAGTGTCAGCATCTCCGGCGACATCTCGAGCCAATTACACTCGGGCTACAGCCACCCGTTGAGCAGATCATGGCAAGCCGAAAGACAACTAACAAAGGTGCGTCGCCCATTGCGTGATACGTGATCGCCACCCACCCACCCCTCTAATGCTTCGAGTGGGTAGGACATGCTCATATACCCGTTGTTCATCACCGACAATCCCGACGAGGCGACCCCCATTCCGTCCCTTCCGAACCAATACCGCTGGGGAATCAACCGCCTGGTACCTCTCTTAACCCCGCTTGTCCGGAAAGGCCTGCGGTCCGTGATTCTATTCGGAGTCCCACTGCATCCATCCTCGAAAGACGCGCTGGGAACCGCCGCAGATGACCCGGAAGGCCCTGTCATCCAAGCTATCCGTCTTCTTCGATCTCGTTTCCCGCATCTCTACATCGTGACCGACGTGTGCCTTTGCGAATATACATCCCATGGCCATTGCGGAATCCTTCGTGAAGACGGCACACTTGACAATGAGCAATCGGTCGACCGCATTTCCGACGTCGCCATGGCTTATGCAGCAGCGGGGGCACACTGCGTTGCGCCCTCAGACATGAACGATGGCAGGGTGCGGGCCATTAAGCTCAAATTGATTGAAGCCGGAGTGGCGCACCGCGTGCTCTTGATGTCATACAGTGCAAAATTTAGCGGCTGTCTATACGGCCCATTCAGGGATGCGGCAGGGTCTTGTCCATCATTCGGCGACCGTCGGTGCTACCAACTGCCCCCCGGGGGCCGGGGTCTCGCTCGACGGGCAATCCAGAGAGATATGGCGGAAGGCGCCGATATTATCATGGTGAAGCCGGCAAGCAGCTACTTGGACATCATCCGGGATGCCAAGGACCTGGCCAAGGATCTCCCAGTTGCGGCATACCAGGTCAGTGGCGAATTTGCCATGATCCACGCTGGTGCCAAAGCTGGGGTGTTTGACCTCAAAGCAATGGCCTTCGAGAGCACTGAGGGAATTCTGCGAGCAGGGGCAGGGATCGTGATCAGTTACTTCGTGCCGGAGTTCTTGGATTGGCTCTAGCCAGTCTCAGGTTCGTGTTTGTGTTCATATCGTATCTTTTTGGTATTCCCACATGGCAAGAAAGAAGAGAGAAAAATGGAGGAAAGCATTCAGAACGCCGCCTTCGTGTACATTCACCAGGTGGAAACATTACCTATATACATGTAGCATGACGAACCCTTGTGGGGAAAAAATAGCTATGAACACACAACAAAAAGTCGCAGCAAAGATAATAATGGATCATGATCGTGTAAAAAGAAACTTGAATCACAAGAATCACATATAGTGTGGCTTCATCCCTTGGAATCGATAAGGGTCAATGTTGGACGCGACCAGCTCCCCAGGCCCAACATACGCGCCTCGACCCAGGCGCACCCCGGGGAAGATAATGGCCCCGGCCCCGATGTAGCAGTCTTCCTCGATTGTGACCGGACGACCCATATACGCGCTCTGGGGGCCTTTGCGCTCCTGCATCTGGACCACAGCCATGGAACTGAGGATTTGAACATTCGGCCCGATCCAGGTATGAGCGCCAATTCGGATGGGACAGTCATCCACCAACAAGCAATTCTCCGAGATCATTACATCTTCTCCAATGTGAATGTTGTAACCGTAGTGGCATTTAAAGGGGGCCTCCACGACAACACCCGTTCCGAGGGAGCCTGCAGAACGCGGCGCGCCCGGGGGCGAGTTGACAACGGAGCTGGATGGGGGAACGAAAATCTCCTTGAGAAGACGATTCTGTTCTTTGGAGCTGATCCCATTAAGCGGATTGCAAGCATTGTTGAATTTGAATAATGCAGCCTTGCACCGGTCTCTCTCCTCTACCAGCTGAACGTCGAATGGTCGATAGCGCTCACCCCGAATCATCATTGCTTTCTGCGTATCGTCACCTGGCACAGCGTGCCCGGACAGTTGATGCTCGATGCTGAGAGCCATTCGAGCTTGGGCCTGGGGGCTGTTGGGGTTCATCGTCGCCGCAGGCAATGGTCGTTGCTCCATACCACCCTGGAAGAGGGGCATATTCGATTTAGGGTGCCGTCCATGCGAGAGATCTCGAATGGAAGGGACCACCGGATAGTCCGACTTGGGAGGGCCTTCTCGTGATAATTCATGAATCGGTGGGACCTCTCGAAATTCCGTTTTGGCCATATGCTCCGATACATAAGGTGGATGCCCTGTTGCTGGCCATCCTTGTTTCGACCAAGGCCCATGACTAGACCCTACACCGGTCGGGCTGGTGTTGTACTGCGGGATAGATCGGTCACCACCGTCAAGGCCGAGTGTCCTCATCTTGCCCGCCTCGACCTGCTCTGTCATCCCGGGTTGTCGGTCATGGTGAGGAATGGATTCTGGTAAATATTGACCACCAATTTCGGGATATCCTTCTTTGGACTGCAGCGGAACGGGCGTTTTTGAAGTGGAAGGCTTTTGCCAGGTACTCCGCGACGAATACCCCTCACATAGGAAACCACCACGAATACAATTGTTACCTGGATTGCGCTTATTAGACATGTTCAATCAAACGTGCCCCCGGAGCCCAGAAATGGGATGGCAGCGGAAGGATGGGAAACTTACATGCGGGATGCTGCTCGTCACATTTCTTCTTTCTCCGGCGGCAGGTCATACAGCCCGTTTTGGTTCGGTTGCTGAAGACACGCTTCCTCTTCGGAGCGACTTGGGAGCTGGCTGTCGACCGCTCTGGGGGATAGACGTTAGACGAGGCCGGCGGAACACTGGTCGTCGAGCCTGGCAAGGAATGACTGGTGCTGACACTCCGCTGAGAAGATTCCGGACCTTGATTCTCCCGTTGCAGAGCGTCCACGAGTTGTGCATCGGAGGCATCGATCTGCTGGGCGCGCTGTGCCTGGTGGACCAAGTGAGAATCATACTCCTGCCATGGACCATTGGCAGACGGCGCCGGAGGACCCTCGTTGGTATCTGACCTTGGGCTGGGTGCGGTGGATGGGGGGCGGACTTCCTGATCTGGGCCGGACAGTGCTCCATTGGGGTGGGAGTTGCAGTCGTCTCCTGCACGATGGGTTGGACTTTTTGAGAAACCGGGTCCCTCTGCATTTTGCAGCGACCTCTCCCTCGACTCAGACCTCTTGCGTTTGTTCCTGTTCTCGTGAGAGGCGCTCTGGGAGGAGGACTTGGGGGACAATCTCTCTTCCTGGTCATGACCGGGTCGATTTACGGATTCATGGTTGCTTTTTGCCCATTGATCACGGAGCTCAGGCTGCTTGCCCCCAGTGCTGTTCGGGCCGCTCCCGGGAGCGGCCGTGGTAGCGCCAGACCCGATCGAGTCCCTGCCATTGACGGCTGTAAAGCGGGAGGGACTATGGTCCGTCCCTGTCTCGGTTCCGGAGTCGTGGTTGCTGTTCATCTCGAAAGCTGACCGCTCCTATCACGTTTGGCACGGGATGAGACGCTCACAGCGGCGACCCAGGATTCGTCGCGGGGCTGATCCTCTTCCGTGAGCGGTCTCCCTCGCTGTCAATGATTCTCGCCGCCTCACAGCCGCGATGACCGCTGGGAATAATTGCGGTGCGCCAGGCCGGTGACGGCTGCACTCCACGGAAATTCAATTGGGAGACCAATTGCCCGAGACTCGGCGATTCGACTGGAGATCTTTGGCGTTTGTTTCTTGCTCTGTGGTGGACTCTCTAGGCGAGTGATGTACGTTGGATCGCCGGATCAAGTGGGGCCACGAGGTTGTTGAGCCGGAGATGAGATTGTGAGGGTGTATGAGAGCGCGGCAAAACAGACGGGGAAGCGCGAGCCAGTTTAGAAAGAGAGAAAGCCGGGGGGAGGGAACGGGAGAAAGAAGTCAGAGAGAAAGAGAGAGGAAGTAAGAGAAAGAAGGAGAGCGAGAGAGGGTACGAGGGTAGAGTCACATCCTTTGGGGGGCAGGTGGGTAGGATGGGGAGGGAAGAAAGGAAAGGAAAGGGAAGGGAAGGAAAAGCGGGAAAGAGGGGAGGGGGAGTGGTAGTACTACCGTACGAGTGCTCAGCACCCAGGTACGGTGCCTACACCCTAACTAAGAATAAAAATAATCATATCATGAGGGCGAGAAAGGGGGTGGCGCGCGATCAGCAACGCCGGCGTCATCCGCGCGGCCAATCAGACGCCGCACGAGAATAGCGGCGGTTCAGCTGGACGCGCGCGACCCGGTCTGTGGGTTGGCGCTGACAAATCGCGGGTGGTGCCCGGGTTGGCGCCCAACTCGCGCATTGGGCGGTTAGTTCGTTCTGCTGCGCTCGCTGCGGTCGCCTAACTAAACGTAGCCGCTGCTGCGTGAGCGGGTAGGACGGACGAGGCGAGACGATAGGATCAGGGGACGAGGAGGGAGCAGTCCCAGGCGAGTAGTTCTCTTCCATCTTGTACGACGTAAACTTGGGAACTTCGAGAGACGTCCCGGGCCATTGACCCCGAAATGCTCCTGGGAGACCTCTGTCGTGGTGACGGTGCAGCGCCAGAGGGAGCTGCTGACTCAGCCCCATACATCACCCCGAGATGGCTGCTGCCCTTCAACAACCGGAACGCGTTTCTCTTCACCGCCAGAGCTTTCCCCCATTTCTTCTTCCCCTCCACCCCCCATCAACCGCTCTCTGTGTCTTCGTCAGAGCAGTCGCCTGGAAAACGGTCCAGCCTCAACCTCTCCCTCCCAGTTCCCGCGCTGCCCACGAAAGCCCCTCCAATCCCGATCGCCCTACCCCACCGTGCTTCTTCTCACTCTCACCTTCATATTTCCACCACCAACCCCCTCCATCCCTTCTCGCTCGACGGGGAACGCGCTGCTGCAGCTCCTTCAACATTAACCCCCCTTTGTCGTTCATCACTGCCTCGCTGTCCTGAAGGTCGTTTCGCATCCAAGGCGACTGCGCCATTCACTGCGGCGGGATGTCTGTTTCGATCCAAGAGCTGGACAACACGGTCCGAGCCTTCTACGAGGGCAAGGGAGATGTCGTAAGTCACCTGCTGCGTTCTGCTTCTCCGGGCACTACTGGCTTTTCCACGCTTCCTGAGATCGGATACTGACACTCAATGGCGGTAGCAAAAACAAGCGCAGCAGACTTTGACTGAGGTTAGTGTGACCCGCCACCACACGACGGGATACTAATCCCCTATAGTTCAAACAAAACCCCGATGCCTGGGTCACCGTGGGGAACATTCTCGAGGAGGCGACGTATCCTCAGACGAAATGTGTGTTGTTGACGCCTCGACGCATCCTCCCAACAGAAGAAAGAGATTTAGCTAACGGCATTAGACCTTGCCCTCCAAGTCCTCGACGATGTGATTATGACCCGATGGAAGGTCCTGCCCCGAGATCAATGCCAAGGTAACAACAAAAGGAACACATCCGGTGATGGTTGGGCGTGCTGACAGCTGACCGTCTAAAAAGGGATCCGCAATTTCATCGTCAATTTTATCATCGAAAACTCCAACTCGGAAGAGAAGCTGCGAACCGAACGCGCCTTTCTGAACAAGCTTAACCTGGTCCTCGTTTCCATTCTGAAGCAGGAGTGGCCCCACAACTGGCCGACGTTCATCAACGAGATTATTTCCTCCTGCCATGCCAGCCTCTCCATCTGCGAAAACAACATGGCCATTCTGCGGTTGCTGTCCGAGGAAGTGTTTGACTTCTCGCAGGACCAGATGACATCCGCCAAAGCAAGGAATCTGAAGACATCCATGACCCAGGAATTTGCGTCCATCTTCCAGCTGTGTTCCGAGGTCCTCAACACTGCCAACCAGCCGACCCTGGTCAAGGCCACTCTGGAAACCCTCCTGCGATTTTTGAACTGGATTCCGCTGGGCTACATTTTCGAGACCCCCATCATCAACACCCTCTTGACACGGTTCCTAGACGTTCCCGATTTCCGAAATGTCACGCTCAAGTGTCTGACGGAAATTGGTGGTTTGCAAATCGGGCCGCCCTACAACTACGACGAGCGATTGGTGCACATGTTCACGGAAACCTTGACCACCGTGTCCAATGTCATTCCGCTGTCTATGGACCTGAAGCAAACCTATTCGAGGAGCAATTCGAGAGATCAAGAGTTTGTGTCGAACCTGGCGCTTTTCCTGTCGAGCTTTTTCAGTGCCCACTTGGATGTACGTTGTGACCTGTCCACTGGGTTCTTGATTCTTCATAGTGCTAACGCTCTGTTTTTAGCTCATTGAGAGATTGCCTAATCAGGATTATCTGACGCACGCGCATTTGTACCTCATCCGCATTAGCCAGATCGATGATCGAGAGGTTTTTAAGATCTGTCTCGATTACTGGACGCGACTTGTCCAAGAGCTCTACGAAGAGATGCAGCAACTTCCCATCACCGACCTCAACCCCTTGGTGACCATGGGCGTCAGCGGTCTTTCCAATGGCGGCGCACCCCATCCCAGCACCCTGGCGAACTATCCCCTTCGCAAGCACAAGTACGAATCTGTGCTATCAAACCTGCGCACGGTCATGATTGAGAAAATGGTTCGCCCTGAGGAAGTTCTGATTGTCGAGAACGATGAGGGTGAGATTGTGCGTGAATTCGTCAAGGAGAGTGATACGATCCAGCTCTACAAGACGATACGCGAGTGCCTGGTCTATCTCACGCATCTGGACGTGGTGGATACCGAGAATATCATGATTGACAAATTGGCGAAGCAAGTTGATGGCAGCGAATGGTCATGGGCGAACTGTAACACACTTTGCTGGGCAATTGGCTCAATCTCCGGTGCCATGAATGAAGAAACCGAGAAACGATTCCTGGTGACCGTGATTAAGGATCTCCTTGGTCTGACCGAACAGAAGCGTGGCAAGGACAACAAGGCCGTCGTGGCAAGCAACATCATGTACATCGTGGGTCAGTATCCACGGTTTTTGAAAGCTCACTGGAAGTTCTTGAAGACTGTCGTCAACAAGCTTTTCGAATTCATGCACGAAACACACGAGGGTTTGTATCTTTGTTCCCAGAAACAGTGACTACTCTTTACTGACCCCCTCATGTAGGTGTTCAGGACATGGCATGCGATACCTTCATCAAGATCGCCAACAAATGCCGACGGCACTTTGTGGCGCTCCAGCCTGGTGAGAATGAAGCCTTCATCGAGGAAATTGTTCGCAGCATGAGAAAGATCACCTGCGATCTGTCCCCTCAGCAGATCCATACCTTTTACGAAGCCTGCGGCTACATGATTTCTGCCCAGGGCCAAAAAGGCCTCCAAGACCGGCTGATTGAAAACTTGATGGCGCTGCCCAATTCGGCATGGGATGCTATCATCGCCCAAGCGAAGCAGGACTCGACGATTCTTCAGGATGGTGACACGATTAAGATCATTGGTAACATCATGAAGACCAATGTCGCCGCTTGTTCTTCCATTGGCACCTACTTCTACTCGCAGATTGGCCGCATTTATCACGATATGTTGAACATGTATCGTGCCGCCAGCCAACTCATCAACGACGCTGTTGCGCATGATGGTAATTCGCTCCAACCCTAATACGAGGTTCGGGAATGACTTTTCTTTTCTAAACAGGCAGCATTGCGCCGAAAACCCCCAAGGTTCGCGGGCTTCGGACCATCAAAAAGGAGATCTTGAAACTCATCGACACCTATGTCGAGAAGTCGGACGATCTCGAAATGGTCAATAACAACATGGTCCCACCTCTTCTTGAAGCCGTTTTGGTGGACTACAACCAAAACGTCCCGGACGCACGCGAGGCAGAGGTGTTGAATGCCATGACCACGATCATCCACAAACTTCACGTAAGTGTCCCCAACTTCAAGTGAGCCAGTTGTTCTCTACTGACATCTTCATGTAGAATCTCATGGAGGACAAGGTCCCAGCCATCATGGAAAGCATCTTCGACTGCACGTTGCAGATGATCAACAAAGATTTCCATGAATACCCTGAACATCGTGTCCAGTTCTTCAAGCTGCTTCAAGCCGTCAATCTATACTGCTTCCCAGCGCTCCTGAAGCTTGATGCCACGCAGTTCAAATTCGTGATCGATTCCTGCATGTGGGCCAGTAAACATGACAACCGCGAAGTGGAAAATACTGGTCTCACCATGTGTCTGGAGCTGATGAACAACATGGCCGAGACCGACATGCAGACCTCGGGCATCTTCTTCCGCCAGTTCTACATTCCGATCCTCCAGGATGTCTTCTTTGTCGTTACCGATAGCGACCACAAGGCTGGTATGTATAGTTCTTTGCCGTCACACAAGACTCGTTGCTCACTGTGTATTTATTTTTAGGATTTAAACCCCAGGCCATGCTCTTGTCACGCATGTTCTACTTTGTTGAATCTGGCAAGATTCAGGAACCGATCTACAGCCCTGACCAGGCTCCTGCTGGAACCTCAAACAAAGATTTTTTGCAGGAGTATGTTGCAAATCTGTTACAGAATGCGTTCAAGAACCTCCAAGAGTATGATTCCCCACACACTACCGTCGAGTTACTGATGCTAAAGCATGGCACAGGGTACAAATTAAGCAATTTGTGGTCGGGCTGTTTACATATACCGATGACCTAAACAAATTCAAGACCCACCTGCGTGATTTCCTGATCTCTCTGAAAGAGTTTTCGGGCGACAATGCCGAGCTCTATGCTGAAGAGCGCGAGCAGGCTGTGCGTGATGCTCAAGCTGCTGAACGGGACCGAGCAATGAAGGTTGGGGGCTTGCTTAAGCCTTCGGAGATGGATCAGGAGGATGAGCTATGACTCGATCAGGAATTGCGCACTGAGTTGCCACCCGCTGCCTCGGCTGGCTCCCCAAAACGAGCAAGGGATGCGAGATTGGCATCGGCAAATGACTGTCTCGATGGCTGGTCTCTCTACGAGCTCTAGGCCACGAGTCAGGGCGGGCGCGATTGCTGTACTTATGAACTGGGGCGTGCAGAATAGACCAGCGAAGACGATCCCCCGTTTTCCTGGCATGATGTATTTGAAGCTTTCAACGCAAGAGAATTAACAGAACTAGGGCTGTTGTGAATCGCCACTCCGTAGAACTCTGTAATCCAGTAGGCGGTGTGTGACTATCCTTGCTGCCCTCCGGCCGGAAGCTCATCATGGCTTCCCTCTTCCCCTTCATCGCCTAACATGTCTCGAACACGCCAGCCGTTGTCTTCCCAATCCCGGCCCCAGACGACGACGGAAATACACGATTCTAACACTCTTCGTGTTTCGAGGACCCTTCGACTAAGAGGCGAGGACATCTCGTCGACTAGCGCCGACCCCTCTCCCGCTCGCCACATCCGATGGAGTGAGGACGTCGTCGATAATGAAGGGATGGGGAAGAAAAGCTCGAAAGGTGAGTGTGTTTCTTCCCATATCCCCTTTCACAGTCAAGTCTAAGACCATGTGCCAGTGTGCTGTATCTACCACAAATCCAGACCCGTGGGCGAGAGCAGTTCCGAATCGGAGTCGTCGGATTCCAGCTCGTCGGATTCGGACAGCGACAACGACCTCGGCCCTCGCACGAACCGAGCAAATCGCGCACATCACTCACACACTCGTGGGCGAGGCCCACCACCTGGACGGCCATCAGAAGGGTGCTCGGACCAGGGTCCCAATGCTTGTTGTTCAGAACATCATAAACCGAAGAGCAAGAAAAGGAAGCCGAGCCCAAATGCATACGAGAAAATGCCTAAACCGTCTAAAAGCCATTCGAAAGGCACCTGAGGCGAAGGAAATATATGAGTCTCAAGCCGCTTGGCTGCTGGACTCGACCCTCCACAGCATTGTTTCAGCTTGTTCACATCCAACACCGGGAGATTCGCGGTATTAGTCGCTTAAATAGCGCCTAGGGTTTTTGTCTGAGAGCTGTGTCGCATCATGCCACCCCGGTGGATCTTGTCCTCCAGCCCTGTGATCCAGATCCGGCTACCATCATGGACTTTGGTGTTGGGAAGACTAGGCCACGGCATCCATTGGGCGGATGTATGCGAGAACGTACCACAGGGCATCACACGATGATCTTTTAGCTGGGCATTCTACATGAATAGAGCAAGAAGAGCCAGCCTATTCAATTCCAGGCCCCGACGCGCGCGAGGGTATATGTGCTTTTGACTGCAATAAGCCCGATCTATAGAAAAATTAAATACATGATTGTGTAGTAGCACATGCAGAAATTAGAGTCGGCCATCAGAGCATCATGCTTTTCCGCCTAGCTGCAACGCGATGCCCACGTCGGACCTGTTTGATATCCATTGCGTCCCCATCTTCATCCAACGAGCTGTATTTCGACGGCGGATACAGCTCCACATTTCGACCGGCAGCAGATTTTGCCGACAAAGTAGACGGGACATTGAGATCTCCAGGCGACACAGCGAGGCCCATTGTCTTCGGATTGGAAGAGTGCCGCCGGGTCTGCCTTGCCGCAGCCAGAGCTTCTTTAGACCCTTTGGTAGAGAGACCTGCGAGGCTGTCGCCCATATCAAACGGGTCGTCATGCTGTTTCGTCGAGGACACCTTGCGTTTCCGTCGGGACACCATTGCCAACAACTGCTCTGCGGAGGGATCCTTGTCCGCGAGCGCCAGATCGGCCGGAAGGATGCTAGCAGAATGCGATTCGCCTTCATCGCTCAAGCTTTCTCGGCCAGCCTGGAACGCGGACGATCTGCGATACCCCTTCCCTCCAACAGCATCGATCAATTCACTGGTCGGGCGCCGCATCTTGTCTCTCAGGTTGGGCTCCGCATAGCTGACCACTGCTCCACGACGTCGCGAAGACCGGGATCCGGCTGTTGGCTCTTCAAGTGCCGTGATCGATTCTTCGTCGAGAGTTGTCACTGTCGGCTCTTTGGGTGGTGCTGGTTGTATCTGAATGGGTTCTTCTGTTCCGGTAACGCGGCTGGTGCTTCGATGTCCATGTGCATTGGTATTCAAGTCCTTGGTCTCGAGCTCCTTTCCTTTTATGGAGGGCTTGCTGTTCTCATTCTCTTCGCGTCTCTTTGGCTTAGAGGTTAGAAGGGAGGGCCGCGCTTTTCGAGGTGAGCCGAGGTTGGTATTCGCGCTTTCTATTAGAATTGTCAGTACAAGTGTTCACAATCGATGGAGCAGTGTTGTCCGTACTTGGCTCGAGAACCTTTCGCCTCGTGAGGTTTGCGGGAGCTGTCTTCATCTGAACCGGCTGTTGTGTAGGGGAAGATTTCAACGGTTCGACCTGTTTCTGAGGGCTGCGACTGGGCCGGCTGAACTGGAATTCATCATCCTCTGAAACATTACCAGGTGTGAACCCTGCGTCCTGTTCTGGACTGAACTTGCGCTTTGCCCCTGACTTGAAGGTAGGTGTCGGTTCGCCACTTGGGCTCGGATATTGACGAGTAATGGATGATTCTGACTTCTTTTTCTTCTTCCTGGTCTCAAGTATTGGAGGGAGGAATGGATCAGAGTCGTCCGCTGTATCTTGGTCGATTTGACTCTCATCAGGTGAGAGTTCTGGTAAATCGACGCTGGGGGGTTCCTCTTCTGCATCCAGCTGAGCTGGTGTCGCGTTGCTCTCGTGAGGCCATTCAGTAATGCTGGAATTGCTGTCCACAAGGTCACGAAGTTCCTGTAACCTGTACCTAACTTAACAACGGTCCGAAGTGTTTGTTTCTGACCACTTACTCTAACGTTCGCCGCGGGTAGTATTTGTCCTCCAAGATGGCGGGGAGCTTTCGGTCATCACAGCCTCCCTGTTCCTCGGGCTCGGTCGTCCGTGGTTTTGTCCCTGGAGCGGTTGGCTTTGGTCGATCCATATTGGCCGACCTCGGTCGTTCATCGCACAACTTGCCCGCTTTGCACGGTAGCATCCCCAGGTCCATGGTCAAGGCACTCAACTCTGCCAGCTTTGCATCCAGCTTGGATTTTATTTCATATACCCCATCACGCATGGTTTTCGCTGACTCCAGCCTTTCGATTTCCTGACTAAGAGTGATGACCTGCTCGCGCAAAGACACATTTTCGGATAACAGATGCGTCACCTCGGACTCGAGACTGCGGATCCGCAGCGATTGCATGGAATTCACACGCGCAATCTCCCGGTTCTGTCGCACAAATCGCCGTTTTACTATATTGGCCAGAGAGCCACGCGTCAGCGCAAAATACTGTTGAGAGGGATGGCGGGCGCATCGACGGGGGCACTCACAAGCATCGATCGACTCCATCGGAGCGGGGATCTCATTCAGCCGCGCCATACTTGGGAAGCAGAGCGCAGCATCTGTCGACGCGACTAGAGTGAGTGGGAGGTATATTGGGGGGGGAGGTAAAACAAGGTTAGGACGGTAAACACTGGGAATGCCCGGGCGATGTTGATGTTTGCCCGTATCGGGACTAGCGCTGTGCTGACTCAGACGTGGTGCCTGCCTTCTTCCGTCCGGCATTCTTTCTCCATTTCATCATCATCATCATTGTTGTCGCCCATGACCTACTCGTCTCGCCCAGCGTCCATGCTCGCGCCCGGGGTGCCTGGCCCCCCCGCTCTCCGTCAGCCCAGCAGCTCCCAAGCGCAGCAGCAATCCTCGGCGCTGTCGACGCGCATCGCCGCGAAAAAGGCCGAACTGGACAATCTGCGACAGCTCCGCGATCTGAGCGGAACGCTGGCCATGCAGATGCAGGCGTTGGAGAGCAAAGTGTCGACTCTCAAAGATGGTACGGAAGGTTCGTCCACACCCCAATCAGAATCCCCGCCGCGTGTGTTTGACGTGGCCTAGCCGTCGCTTGCGTGCTCGCCAATTGGGAGAATGTCCTCCGGGCCATCAGTATTGCCTCTCGTACGTGTTATTGCCTCCGTGGACCCCAATCTGCACCAGACTCATGCATGATACATACAGAGAAGGCCAGTGGGCTCCACGAACATGCCGAGGACGAGGCAGAAGCGCCCAAGGCGGATGATCGCCTGCCTGCGACGCTCGTGCGCATACCCGCCGAACCGAGTGAGCGGACTGGCGAATAAAAATGATCGCTGATGATGATGATGATGATGATCCATGAGGAGGGAACTCTTTTCCCAACGCAGCAAATGACGAGTCGGGCACACGTGGTGCCGTCGATCCAGCTGCCCTAAGTATGTACATACATGTACCCAACATCTCTGGCCCTCTTTGAGGTACTCCTAGGCATAACTTACATGTACTCTGTAGGTACTTCCTGCCAATCCCGCACTACGATTCGCCGCCAAGCACGTAAGGTACCGTATGGACGACGCTATGTGGGGCCGCCTGCCTGTTTGGGGCGCCTGCACGCTGCAGGGGGTGGGTGGAAACCAATCAGCAATTTTCTCAAGCGCCCGAGCCCTGGCAAAAATGCATGAAGAACTTGGTTCCCCCGCAATCCGGTCGGGAACTCGCAGGCCAGTGTCAAGTACATATACAGAATAGCGTCTGCTCATTTTACTCTCACTTATCACTCGCTTCTACTGCTGTAACACTCTCACTCTCGCCATCATCATCAATGTCTGCCGAATGGTCTCTCGATTTCTGTCTGGTCTGCGACCGCCAGACCCTAGGCAGCCCCTACTGCTCCCAGTCCTGCCGTCTCGCCGAGCTGTCGTCTGACAACCCTACTCTGGCTCACTCTGCCTCCTCGTCCGAAACCACCCCCAACTCGGAACCCTCAGACTCGCTCCGGCAATTGCTATCAGCCTCATCCTCACAAACCTCTCTGTCCTCCCTGAAGAGTCATCCCTCCGACTCGGCGGTGCTATCCAACCACCTCCAGGATGAGCTGCGTAACTATGCCAGCTCCTTCGACCAAGTCCGAGATCTCAAACGACGGATGACCTCCTAATCAACCTCGACGCCCGCCCACGGCAGCAACCTCATTTTTATCTTACTCGTCCTGAAACACTATATCTCTTTTTGCATCTCAGGATGGATTCCCGGCGTCGGTACTACAGGAAAAAAGACTTGTTTTTGGTGCTTTTTGGTGGATCCCACTCATCTCATTGCCATGTTCACGAACCTATACCCCCTTCAGCCTATACACATATTGATGGATCATTGGACGGAGTTGCAAAGCATTTGGCTGGATGGTATTGGTCTAATCGTGTCATGTTGTTGACAGCAAGAGGCACGATACATCCTGGATTTCTCTCGTGTGTTTGTTTTTGCTTCATGTTGCAAATGTCGCAGATTGTAAATTATTTCTTTTTGACCCGAATCAAATACTTCATGAAACATACTCTGCTCATTAAGACTGATCCTCCAACACCTTGCCCAGTGCCTTCTCATCTCTCGGCACAAAGCGGACCTTGTATCGCTGCGGAATGGCCACCAAGCTGGTCGGGTCCGAGTTGCCCCGGACGGGGTGCCAGTCAGCCTTGTCAGACGGCTCGATGCGGAAGCTGTTCAGCATGCGCATGAACACCAAGTAGAGCTCGCGGTTAGCCAACAAGGAGCCTGCACACATCCGATAGCCCATGCCGTAGGTGAACATGGGTGCATCCGGCTGCTCCAGCCATCGCTCGGGGCGAAACTCGTCGGGATCGGTCCACACCTCGGGATCTGCATCATCCGTCAGTCGCCAAGTGGCTCTTAGTGGGTCGTTGATGAGGAATCTTACCCATGTTGCAGGCCCATGCGTTCAGGAAAAAGACTGTGCCTTTGGGCAGCACGATGCCGTTGTACGTAATATCCCGGATCGAGGTGCGTGGCAGTGCCAGCCGGAGGACGGTGAAATATCTATGAAAGATGGTCAGCAGGACTCCTTTTGTGTGTTAAGGGTAACATGTCCTACCGAAGGCACTCCTTAACGAGAGCTGCCACATAAGCACACTTCTGGTCATCATCGGCCGCACACATCGGCTCATTCGGGCTGTACATCTCCCCGATCGCTTTGGCCGCCTTGTCCTGGACATCTGGGCGCTGGGAGAGCAGACAAATACTCCATGCGACCAGGGTGGTAACGGTGTCCAGTCCACCCGAGAGCATGGTCAAGCTAATTGACGTGAGCTCCTCGCTGTTCAGCTTGGCTTCCTTGTCGAGGATGACGTTGGCCTGGATGCATGGCTGGTGAATCCCCTTCTCCATGCGATCATCCAGGTCGCGGTTGAGACCGCTCAGATACTTGTCCCGACGGATGCGCATCTCGGCCGCTTTTTGGGAGTTTGAATTGAACGGATTCAGCCGGAGCAGAGGGACATAGTCCTGCAGATTGCCCGTGGTGCTGCGGAATTTGCTGATTTCCTCCTCGACATGGGTGATCTCATCGAACAGTTCCTCCTCTTGGGACGCAATCCTCGTGCCCCAGTTCAGGGTCAGGGCTAGGCTCAGGCTCAGTCGTTGGATCATCGGCATCGGGTCGACGGGGCTCTGCCCGCCCATGCCATATTTATACAGCTCGGCCACGAAGGCCTTGGACTCGACATCCAGGTGGGTCACGTACGTTTCCACGGATGGGCGGTTGAGCGCCGAGGCGGCGCCCTTTCGGCGTCGTTTCAACGAATCACTGTACGGTGATGTTCCAATGGTGGTGCCGGCAGTGTTGGATACAATCTACAGCCAATGAGTCGATGCAACCCCATCAATCAAATGATTTGACATACCTTGTGGAACGTATAGAACTCAGGACGGGAGCTCAGGGCCTGCGCGTTTTGTCCAAAGAGTACTTTGGCCGCTGCGGCCGAATTGACCACGACGACGGGGACGTTGCCCAGCTGAATCTGATACACAGCTCCATGCTTCTTCGACCACAATCGATATTGCTCCGCCGCATTTGTTCTGATCTGAGCCAAGTTCCCAATCAGCGGCAAGCCCCGCGGGCCTTTCATGCCTTGCACGCGAGCCGATGCACGAACGAACTCATTGATGATGACGTAAATAAATGGAATTATGAGCGCCGCCACAGCCAGGGCGCGCAGTGGGGACTCGAGGGCCCGATCTTGCAGGGTCGACAGCGCTGCGGCAATGGCCATGGTTGTTAAGTATCCGAGTTCGTTTTGGACTGAACGTACTCGAGTTTCGAGACACCCCGGATTATGTATCAAGTTCAGGCCGTATGGAACATTTCCGGGTTGGTCCTCGGTCTCCTTTACCCCACACTTCCTTCCCATATATATATCCAGAGCTGAGTCTGAGCATCATTCCGCGGCCGGAATTGGGCCGCGCCGCACAGCGACGCCGGAAACGCAGCGCTTTACCTTTGTCGCGGCGGTCTAGTAGTTAATACTAACTGCTTCATGAATCTCTCCCCTCCAATATATTTTCCGGGATCTGCCTTGAAATACGTAGATCTGACTGGGCCATTGGGCTGCGCTAGCATTGATTCTCAGTCATTTCACCCTCATCTGCTGACGACAGGGGTATAATGCTCCAACCTACAATATGTATCCTCATACTCTATTGATATACATCCACTCCCAAATAAAAAAAAAAACCAACTCTAGAGCTATGACATAACTCACTCCAGCTTAAATCTCTGCGCATCACCTGTCCGGGTCCCACTGCTCCGACTGCCGAGACCATGATTGGTGGGTTGTGTCCCTCCGCCAATCATATTAGGCCCCTGGTACCCAGTACCGCCCCAGTACCGCTGGCCCCCGTGGAGCGGCCTGCCAAGGCAAGGGTAGCGATGGCGTACTGGGTACCACAGCCTCGCTATTCCTGCCCTTCCTGGTCTCCCGTGCAAGCTACTTTTTGACTGCGTCACCTGCCCCCGTTCGCCTCTTCCCTCTTCCTCACTCTCTCCCTTCTTTCTTTCTCTCCTCTCACCCCTTTCCATCCCCTCGGGAAATTATTCTCTCTCGACACACACACCTGTACACAATCTCCATTGGCTTACCTGGCCTCCTTCAGCCTCAATTCCTCACCCGCCACTCTCCAGAATAGAAGGGCAATTGAACCAGACCACTTCCCGGGAATACCAGCTTTCGGATAATGGCCGCTCGTCATTCGCGCAAATTTCTGCGTCCTCTGCTCTACACCTCGGCCGCAGCGGCGACGGGCGCCGGTGTCCTGTACATCTCATATCGCCCACGCAATATTCCCGGTCTCGAGGCGCCTGCGGTCCCCCCACCAGGATATCGCGAGGGCAAGCTGGTACCTCCGAGTTTCCCACCGATCAAGTCGCGCAGCGAGCAGATCCAGGATCTGAAGCGCAGCCAGGAGGATGAGCCCTACGATCTGCTGGTGATTGGCGGTGGTGCCACGGGATCGGGCATTGCACTTGATGCCGCCACTCGAGGATTGAAGGTCGCCGTGGTGGAGAGAGACGATTTCAGTGCGGGAACCAGCAGCAAGAGTACCAAGCTGGTGCATGGTGGTGTCCGCTATTTGGAAAAAGCGGTTTGGGAGTTGGACTATAACCAGTATAAGCTCGTGAAGGAGGCGCTCCGCGAGCGCAAGTACTTCCTGAACACGGCGCCGCACCTCTCCCAGTGGCTGCCGATCATGGTGCCGCTACAGAAATGGTGGCAAGCTCCCTATTTCTGGGCGGGTACCAAGGCCTACGATTTTCTGGCCGGCTCCGAGGGTATCGAGAGCTCCTACTTCCTGACCAAGAGCAAGGCGATCGATGCATTCCCCATGCTGAAGCGGGACTCGGTTATTGGAGCCATGGTCTACTATGACGGCGCTCACAACGATTCGCGCATGAATGTTTCGCTGGCCATGACCGCTGCGCTGTACGGAAGTACCGTGGTGAACCACCTGGAGGTCACCGGACTGACCAAGGATGAAGCGGGCAAGCTCAACGGTGCGCATGTCAAGGATGTGATCCCCCAGAGGAACGGCCAAGACTCGCCGCAGTTCACCATCCGAGCCAAGGGTATCATCAACGCCACTGGCCCCTTCACTGACTCGATTCGCAAGATGGATGAGCCCGAAACCAAGGAGATTGTGGCTCCTAGTTCCGGTGTCCACATTATTCTTCCTGGCTACTACAGCCCTTCCAACATGGGATTGATTGACCCATCTACCTCCGATGGACGTGTGATCTTCTTCCTGCCGTGGCAAGGCAACACCATCGCCGGTACCACTGATCAGCCTTCGGAGATTTCCACGCAACCCGAACCGTCGGAGAAGGACATCAATTGGATCCTGTCCGAGGTGCGCAGATACATTGCCCCTGATATCGCTGTCGACCGAGGCGATGTTCTTGCTGCGTGGTCAGGTATCCGTCCCCTGGTCCGCGACCCGAAGGTGAAGAGCTCCGAAGCGCTGGTTCGCAATCACCTCATCTCCGTTTCTCAGTCCGGTCTGTTGACCTGTGCCGGTGGCAAATGGACCACGTACCGCCAGATGGCCGAGGAGGCCGTGGATGAGGCCATCAGCTCCTTCAAACTGAAGCCTCGCGAAGTGGTCTCCGTCCCGGACATCAGCGGCGTGGGTGGCAGCGGGTTGGTTTCCGATGGTGCCGTGCTGGACGGTAGCTGCCAGACTCACCAGGTGCGCCTTATCGGTGCTCACGGCTACTCAAAGACACTCTTCATCAACCTCATCCAGCACTTTGGTCTTGAGACCGACGTCGCCCAGCACCTCACGACGGCCTATGGTGACCGCGCATGGCAGGTTGCCGCCTTGTCCTCTCCCACGAATGCCCGCTTCCCCGTGCGAGGCTGCCGCCTCTCGGCCCTCTACCCATTCATCGATGGCGAGGTCCGTTATGCTATCCGCCATGAGTATGCTCAGACTGCAGCCGACGTGATTGGGCGCCGCACTCGCTTGGCCTTTTTGAATGCCGAGGCGGCGCTTGAAGCGCTCCCCGGCGTCATTGAACTGATGGGCGAGGAGTTGAAGTGGAGCAATGCACGCAAGGATCTGGAATGGAAGGAATCTCTGGCCTATCTGCGCTCCATGGGTCTTCCCAAGAGCCTCCTCGGTCTATCCAGACACGATGTGCAAGGAGGTCGAGTGAAGGAGCTCGATGATGCAGACCGCAACCCATCCACCCGGATTGGTATGTAACTTCACGCCATGAATAGTCCTTTTTTTTTCTGACTCTTTTCTTAGAACCCCCAGCGGACATGCTCGAGACCGACGCTCGGTCGACCAACAAATAGATTTGTTTTTTAATATAGAGCCACGTTATGTAAAATAGAATTGGTTGTTTTCTTTCCCTGTCCCTCTCTCTCTTTCTCTTTTTCCCTTTCTCTGCCCAATGCCTCGCGGTTTCCCTAACGGAAAGACCCCCCCCCCCCCCCCAGGGAAGGCGCTTCCTCTCATCGCCAACCGTTCGACCCTTCGATGCTGTTTCTCTATCACCCCTGCATGTCATTAGCCTCCCAACACCCACCATGGATCGACCACAGAAACACCGGGGTTCTACCTCTTCCGGCGCGCATAAGGCGAACGCATCACAGGATGACAAGATAACCTTGTCACCCACGGAAGGATGCTCTGAGAAACAGGATCCATTCGGAGATGAGACCCACGCTGGCGTGAAGTACAAGACGATGGTGTGGTGGTGAGGTTTCCCATTTTGATAACCCGCGATGGTTGATGGCACTGAAATCATTCCATCCAGGCAAGCCGGGATGGGTAAGTCCACCTTCTAAAACGTTGTTTCCTGTATTCCAGCCTTACACCGTTAGTGATGATCGCGGAGACAATATCCCTGGGGATTCTGGCGCTCCCCAAAGCGTTGTCGACATTAGGGCTCCTCCCGTATGCAGCGACCACCCTGCTCTGGTCGGCAGGGCTGCCCAGACTGACGTTTCTTCCCAGGGGGATTCTCGCAATACTTGGAATCGGAATCATATCGACATATACAGGATACACCATCGGACAGCTGAAACGCTGTTATGTACAGATCCACAGCATGGCAGATGCTGGAGATATCCTTTTCGGACGGCTAGGCCACAGAATACTAGGTTCTGCACAGCTTATTTTCCTCGTTTTTGTCATGGCTGGCCATATCCTGACCTTTTCTATCATGATGAACGTCCTGACTGAACATTTTACCTGTACCATCGCGTTTTCTGTGCTGGGCTTGGTCGTCTCGTTTGTCCTGACTCTTCCACGGCGACTCGAGGATCTGTCTCACATCTCCACTGTGAGCTTCATCAGTATTATTGGAGCAGTGCTGACCAGCATGATCGGTGTTTCTGTGAGCCGTCTGGGCCCGGCCCAGTTACCTCTTTTCTCTCCCACCCCTTCGGTGCACGATGCATGTCTTGCCATCGCGAATATTGTCTTCGCATACGCCGGAAATGTTGCCTTCTTCACATTTTTCTCCGAGCTGAAGGAGATCAACGACTATCCCAAAGCGTTGGCGCTCCTGCAAGTGAGCGAGATGGTTTTATACACTGTGACTGCAATCGTCATCTACGCCTTTGTTGGACCAACTGTTGCATCGCCAGCTCTAAATTCAGCAGCAAGCTTATTTCGAAGAATCTCCTACGGAATTGCCATTCCCACTGTACGTATTGATGCAATGCACTGAATCAAGGGAGGTTCCTAATCCTGACTATCAGATCGTTATTGGGGGCGTGGTGAATGCCCATGTGGCGGTCAAGTCCATCTATGTCCGCACCGGCCGAGGTAGTAACTCCATGCACACATGTTCATACACGGCCAGAGCTTTGTGGGCGGCCATTTGTGTTGTGCTTTGGGTCTTCTCGTGGGTCATTGCTGAGAGCATTCCGGTCTTCAACGACGTTTTAGGCCTTGCGGTGAGTACGGTCAATATGTGGAATATCATCCTCCGGGCTGATCGATAGCACAGAGTTCGCTGTTTGCCAGCTGCTTTTCATTTGGCCTGCCAGGTCTATTTTGGCTTCATTTGAACCGCCATCGCTTGTTTATCACTCGGAAGCAACTGTGTTTGTTTGGTATCAACACATTCTTGGTTTGCCTTGGGATCATGATTGTAGGTGTAGCTCTGGTTGCATATTTGCTTATGCTAATCGTCCTCCAGTGTATCGTTGGAGTGTATTCATCGGTTCGGTCTATTTTCCGGAATTTGCAGGAAGGAATTGGGGGTGAGCGCTTTTCATGTGCAGACAACTCGCTGTACTAGGAGAGGGAGAGGAATGGGCCTTTATGTTTAGCAGACTGGCATAGTCGGTGAAGTGTATTATTATTTTGGAACCAACGGGGAGTACAATACACGGGGGCACCGGAGTACCTCTTACCCACGCGAGTCATTTTCCCCCGCGCTCCCCCCGGTCTCCATCCCCTGAGTCCTCCAGTCGGAGAATTCAGCGAATTTAGAAACACCTAGTGAGTGACTAGGACGAAAGGCTGCGGCCACGCACTTCTTTCCGTTGGAGAGAATATCACATTTATGCCAAGCTATAGATCACTCCACCGGGGCCCCATTCGGAAGTACCGTTCTGTATAATAATGTAGGCCTACATAATGTATACTCTGAAATACATAAACGAGTGCCGACTCCGGCATGCAGGCGAGCATTCACTCCATCCGACCTCTCCAATCGAGAGGGTTCCGTTGGGCAGCCACAGACCCGCACCGTTTGATTGCCTTCCTCTAGCTCCCTGCGACATGCATGTCACCCTGGCAGATGGAAAACGGCCGTCGCAACACAAGCCCTGCTCACTCCTCCCCCACCCGAAACGGAACACAGACGTCAGGGGACGGTACTTCCGATGTCTGTCTATCTTGTGGTACAGATGCAGTGCATCAACAATGATCAAACAACGCCCCTGGCTCCTGGCACATTGCCCAGACAGACACTCAGGAGCGCAGAGTTGCCTTCAACTGGATATCACGAGAGATGCGATAGTATCACCCTGGAGACTTGGCATAGCCCAGTTCAGTCCATATAGCTCCCCCTTCCTTGGGCTGCCGTGGACAGAGGACCTTGATGTGCCCACGGATGCCACACCGTTTATCGGACATCGATCAAGACGAACCCATATATCACATCGGATTAAAGCGTAATTTCCAATGAACTGGTGTATATGCTCCAAACCAACATGCTCGCATCATTTTCCCCAGTTATTTTCGACATCCATCCGCCTCCGGTGTGGTGCGTTGGTAATTATCCCAAAAGCGCGCTACGGCCCTTTGAGCGACAGGCTGACCGCGGAAGCGCTCGAGGAAGTAATTGAAGAGAGCGAATTCATCGCGAGTGAGAACGTAGGTATCCGGCTGGGCTAAAATGCGTCGCCACAACTCGTTGATGGCAGATTCAAGAACCGCGGTCGTCTGCGGATCGACGGGGCCATCTTCGCAATTCCGGGCTCGCTCTAGGGCTTGTCGGATCCTAGTTTGGCTCGTGGAGGGGTTGGAATCAGACATTGCGGGCCGTCCACGGCGCGCGCGCGTCGGCGAGGATGTAGTACGCTGAGAGAAGGGATTCTCGCCGACGTGTTGACAGCGGGAATTGACAATGCGCACCCGCGGGTCTGATAAAGGAGGGAGGAGAATCAGACGGGGCCGCGGGCGTAGAATAAGTCAAATCCTGCATGAGACCAAGCGCTGGGAATTCCGAGGTCTTTTCAATTAAATGGAGCCCGGTGTGGAGCAGGGGGAGGGAGGGGGCAAGGGAGCCGGGCCAGTAGTCGGGAAATCCCCTCGAGTGACATCCGATAGATAACCTTCGCTGCGCCCAGCCCTGGTCCGTTACACAAAGTCAGGTACGCATCGGATTTAAGGCGCGAGACCGGGAGGTGTGTGCCGGGGCGGTAGGAAAGCCGTCAATCATGGGGCCACATTCTCAATGGCCAGGCGAGCTGTGCAGACTATGGCGTATCCCCCCAAAAAGAAATATGATTTGGAGACCGGAATTGGGGAACTTTAGAGCATAGTAATGGTGGGATGCAGGGGTGTCCTCTGGATGGGGACGTCTGTTGTACCGGCCGATTGCACGCTTGCTCTTGGCGCAACGGTTTTTCTCGGACAAATGACAAGCGCTGAGGCGAGAGACTAAGTCGGCAAGGATTCAGGCGAGGCCGGGAGATGATTAGTGCAGGAGCTGTCCCCTAGGATCAGACGACAGGTCGCTTAACGGCATTAGGTTCGAAACTTGCAGGGCGCATGGTGCCCTGGTGCACTCGGAGCGGGAAAATTGCATGCTACCAGCCAGCCCGGTGTATGACTTAAGTGGGGACGGTGTCTGGCTAAGATGTTGAGGCTCCCCGGGGAGTGCAAGCATTTCCGTCCGGCAGGGCATTTCCGGAATGCATCCATGCCTGAATAGCCGCCGCGCCTTGATTGCAGCTCTTTCGGTGCAACTAACACAAACGTCAGCGGCTTCGTTTCCTTGTCCAAGAGGGATGACTGGCGCCATTCGCACCGCATCTGATCGAGCAGAGACCTCGGTCCAATCGAATCCTCACGAAATCACTCACCGGAGCCCAGACTAAGAGTGGAAGGTGCACAGCGTTGGCCCTAAGGATTCCACTCGGAGACCGATTCTTTCTGTGCATCAAATCTGCCACAGGGGGTTTCCCTCTGCCCACAGGGCTTTTTGATTATGCTGACTAGATATGCCGACCGTGTGTGCGGAGCGTGGCCCCATGTCGTTGGATGTGGACCATGAACGGGAATCGATTTGATTTTGTGAACGAGTTGCTCAGATGCCCGATACGTATCTTTCAAGTCCTCCAGGTCTCTTAATACTGTGTCTGGCCGTCGTGGCTCCGCCCCGGGAGATTTTGCAGCAATTCCCTCAGGCACGTCTCTGGCTCATCTGGGCTCCCTTCTTGTCGAAAGTATGTCGGGCAGTTGCAATGACTGAGATCATGAGCTGCCATTTGCGCAGGTTTGTGGGCAACGAGAAAATGCCGAATGGAAGGTCTCCCATCGATCTGAGGTGCTTGGCCGAACGTCGTCACTCTCTAGCGCTCGGGCATGTTGGCGGAGAAAGCAAGGTGAGATCTGGGTATTTGCGGCATCCAAATAATCCAGCAAAAGACGGCCCCTGAAAGGAATAAGACGAAATGAAGAAGAGGCTGCAGTGCCTGAATCATGGAAGCTCCACCGGAGACGACCAGCCGCAACTCTAAATCATCGGAACCTGACCGGACACCCGAGGGTCTGTGAATGTTCCGATGGAGCATTGCAAGATCAGTCCACCAGTCTCGGGATTGCCCCCAAACGGTGTAGTGGACGAGTCAGACCCCACGGGTGCACGGAATGTTTCTTTTGCAGCCAAAAACCCTTCAGCGATTGACCTCTACTGGGAGAAATTAGTCCTGGGCTGGTAAGAACGGCGGAGTGCGACGACATATGCTGGAAATTCGGGGAACCCGACGAAATAGGAGAATGGATTCGCGATGAACGGGGCAGGGAAATGCGATTCGTTGCCATCCTCCTGCTAGGTTTGAGAATGGATGTTTCGAAGATGATGATATTGCTCCCAACTTCCCAGTCTACAGTTCGTTCCTAAGAACATGAAAGGACTTCATTTGAATGAGCTTGCCTTTGTACCAAGATTACCAACCCGACGACGTTCGTCTGCGTCCAGGCTCTGCTTTTCAGGTAGCTGCTTCCACCGAGGATAATCGTAAATCATCCAATCTGGTCATGATCTATACGATGACTAAGCTCCACCGGAGATCTCTCGATCCCCACCGCGGCGTCGTTCTCAATTCCTTCGACACTCCGCCATGGTCTACTACTTCACCTCGAACGTGGTCAGCCCGGCCGCGTTTATCTACGTCGGTAAGGACAAATTTGAAAGTACGCCGCCCACTCTTTCGCTACAGATCCGGTCGTCTAATGGTCCCGCCAGATGAGGGTCTTATAAATTTCGGCTTGGAAAGCGATGTCTGGTGCGATCTGCTTGCTCTACCCTGGCCTGAAGTGTATCGCTGACCTGTCACAATAGGGTTTGTGTTTTCTCCTCTTCGTGTAATGACCCAATCGCTCTGATACGGGGCCTCGCAGTTCCACGTCGATAACCTGTCGAGTGCGCACGTCTACGTGCGCCTACGCGACGGCGAAACATGGGATAACATCCCCGAGCCGCTCCTGGAGGACTGCGCGCAGCTTACAAAGGCAAACTCCATCGAGGGTCAGTCATCCTCGACGAATATGGGTACTTCGGAGGGGCTCATCAGTGGTACAGGAAATAAAAAGGACAACATTACCATCATCTACACGCCGTGGTCGAACCTGAAGAAGGATGGGTCAATGGCGACAGGCCAGGTCTCGTTCCACAACCCTAAATTAGTGAAAAAGGTGTTGGTCCGGGTGCGCGAAAATCCCATCGTCAACCGGCTCAACAAGACCCGGGTCGAGAAATTCCCGGACCTCCGTGCCGAAAAGGAGGAGTGGTTGAAGAAGAAGCAGCACGAAGAGAGGAAAATAAGAGAAGAGCAGAAGGCTCGAGACAAACAGGAGAAGCGGGAGCGCGAGCAACTGAAGTGGCAGAAGGACCATGCGTATGACGATATGTTCAGCGAGGAAAACATGGAGGCCAGCAGCAACCAGGATCGCGATGCGGACTTTCTCGACGATTTTATGTGATCATCTTTACAGCTCAGCAATCGATATATCATTATTCATGGCTGTGCCGTGTAGTTTGTGCTGGATGTTTAGTTCGTTAACTGAGTTTACTTGGTTCACGAACGTTAGTAGATGCGATTAATCATCGGCGGGAAAGGGCCACGCTAACTAATAGTGTCGTGACAGCTCGACCGGTGCCGTGTTCTTTTCCTTCTATTCCTTTTCCCATCCCACTCAGCAATGGCCGACTCTGCTGCTGCCACAGGTGCGCGCTTTGCTTGTCTGTCCTGGATTCCCTCTGACTCAATTAGGCCCCAAGCCGAAGAAGAACAGGAAGAACAAGGGCGCCAAGGCCAAGGCCACGCAAGATGCCCCAACAGTCCCCAATGCCACTGTGAGTGATGGGTCTTGGGATTGTCACGCTCGACCATGCTGATCCTACCCTCCAGGACGAGCCGAATGGGTCAGACGAGGATTCCGAAGGGGACCCCGCCCCCGATGCTGCTAAGCGCGACCCAGCAGAGGACAACCCGACCGACCAGCACGTCAACAACCAAGACCATGAGATTACCCACAGTGCCAATGAACCCCCGATTCCCGCCTCCGATGGCAGCGAGCCCAAAGACCGCTTTGATGCACTAGTGCGGGACCGCGATTCCTTACGCGCCGAAGTGACCGATATGCGCAAGTCGCTGGAGGAGATCCAGTCCAAGCACAGCGCCGAGATGGAGACGCTCCAGCAAAAACTGGATGATGCTGAGAGCAAGAAGGAACAGGCCGAGACCCAGTTCCAGAAGCTGCTGGAACGGGTGAATACGATCAAATCCCAACTCGGGGAGCGCCTCAAAGAGGATGCCGTGCGTTTGAATTGCCCCCTTGGCGGAAAAATCCGGCTCATACCATGCTACAGGAAGAATTGGCCCAGACCCGATCGCAGATTGAGGAGCTCGAGGATGAGAATACAAATCTGAAGATGCAGCTAGATGACAAGACCACACAACTATCTGCACTGACCGAGGATGCAGCCGAGAAAGTGAAGGAGCTTGCTACATTGCGGGACCGGACAACTCTATCCCAGCAGAACTGGCTGAAGGAGAAAGACGAGCTTCTTGAGCAAGAGTCCTATCTCCAGTCAGAGTTCGAGCAAGCCAAGGAGGCCATGCATAATTGGGAAGTTCTGGCAATGGAGGAGCGCTCCATTCGTGAGAATCTCGGTGAGAAAGTTGCGGATTTGGAAGAGCAGCTCGGCGGGTTGAGGGATGCCTATGAGAAAGTATCCAGCGAACGCGACAGCCAGCAAGGCGCGGTCGATGGCCTACAGCGGGCCCTGCAGGAGATACAAACGGCTCGGAAGCAGGAATTGCGAGAGCTCGTTGAAAGCTCCGATGCGCAGCTGGAAGAGCTTCGGAAGTCCCTGCGGGATGCTGAAAAGCAAGCAGCCGAGGCCGACAAGGGTCTCCAAACCGCACAGGAAGAACTGGAGCGGGTACGACCATTTGAGAAGGAGGTGAAGGAGAAGAATCTGCTGATTGGCAAATTGCGGCACGAAGCCGTGACGCTCAATGATCATCTCACGAAGGCCTTGCGGTTTCTCAAGAAAGGCAAGCCCGAAGACAACGTCGACCGGTGAGTGTATTTGATTTCTTTTGGTCACGTCACCTTTTTTTACTGATCTTACGCAGGCACATTGTCACCAACCATCTATTACATTTCCTTGCCCTGGATCGGTCCGATCCGAAGAAGTTCCAGATCCTGCAGCTCATTGCAGCCCTTCTAGGCTGGACAGATGGTAAGCTTCCATTGATTCATCATCCGTGTCCACCGCTGACCAGTCCAACAGAACAGCGTGAGCAGGCTGGTCTTGCTCGCCCGGGGACGTCGACCATGACGCTGCGCGTGCCGGGCACTCCGCATCGCACCCCGAGCACGCCGTCCCTGGCGACCGAGTTTATGGACAATGGGGCCTCGAGCAAGGAGACGCTGGCAGAGCTGTGGTCCAACTTCCTGGAACAAGAAGCACAGGCCGGAGACCTCAACATGATGCGACGAGGCAGCCACCCGGGGCCATCCCGGTCATAACATACGTGTACTTAAGTCGCTCTACATACCATATTTCGTGTCCCGTGGGGCTTTCCTTTCTCAGCTGCCGCCACTTTTATCAGGGTGCTCAGAGTCAGACTCACTGAGTAAATTTCAGTACGTGCTCGGACTCACTCATTCCTTGGGATTTGTTAGTACAGGCATCTATGAAACTTCCTTGGGTCTAGATCTAAAGAAAACAAGCGTCAAGAGGTTTCTCTGTCGACAACGTTTGGAGAGTTCGATCAGATACCTTGTTGTCATATTACTATCTTATTTCAATATATGGAAAGTTCATATTGTTATTTACAACCTGCCTATTGATATCAATGTGGCGCAAGGCTTTATTTATATACTCCATGAAACCCAATCTAAACGCCTCGCAATTCAACACTACGGCTAAGACACATCGCAGCCTCAACGCGACTCCTATCTGTTAGAGATGCAAATCGTACCTATTTGAAACCTTGGATTCGAGGTATAAAAAAAGCAATATGGGTGATAGGTGTGGATAACTGCCAGAGTTTGGTGTCTGAGGGAGTCCTCAGGCATCAGATTCATGAGGGAAACCACTACTTGCCGAGGTGGTACATTCCATGCATGATGATGAACTAAGCCGACATCGAGATGCCAAATCGCGCACTCGATTTGTATTCTCTTACGCACATTAGCCTGCTCAATATATGTTAACATAAGAATTTTATTATTATTTCCTTTTTTGAAAAAAGTTCGGACTATATCATCATCTTTATTTATTATTGTTAAGGGAGAGAAAAGAAATAAATATTATATTGAAATCTACCTTTAAGTATCAATTACTCAAACCTTTTCACCACAACGCTAGGTGACGGTAAATAGGACGTCGAAAATGGCGTCCTTCGTCCTTCGACGCCATTTTCCGGCGTGCTTTTTACTAGGATCTTAGTCATTCACATATCATGTGATACGATTGAACTATGTGCTCTCTGAGCGCTCAGGGCTACTCTGTGATCTGCTCAGCCTTCGCTCAGGGTGCCCAGAGCAGATTAGAGGTGACGTGTGTTCTTTCTATCTCTGATCCGCTCATTGCCGCTCAACACAAAAATAGAACTGTCCTTTTTCTTTTGAGTATAGACCTTCCAGAGTCATTTTCTCTAGTACTTACGGGTCTTCTCCCCCCCTTAATAAATCAACCGTAGACTTGACGTAGAAGAACTCGCCTACAACGGCTATTAATGAAATTGAACGGGAGATGCCGTCAGGACATATTACCATTGTTATAACGTTATCATCAGTACGTAAATTGATGATCATGTGACCCAACACGCTCCTTCCCAAACATCTAACTCCTCCCAAGCCTCCCACTTTCCCTCTTAACTCAGAACTTCTTTGTTTCAACATGGTTATCGATGAAGCCGCCCCCGCCATCCTCGACTGTGATGCAGTGGTCATCACAGCATCGGCAAGCCAGTTTGCTACACAATCGGCATTCAAAGAGCGTGTCGTCTGTGATACGGTGCAGGCTCTGGACCATCACGACTTTGTGTATACGGACGTTCCCACAGCGTGGGGGAGTCGGTATTCGAACTATTATACGACAGTTTTCGGTAAGTTAGAAGACCCCATCCCTCGACGTTCTTATATACTCATTCTACTAGAAAGAGCTGGAATCCAAAAACTGGGGTTCTGTGGATTCGAACCGTGCCCAAGGAAATCCACGACTGCCACCAAGCCTGGTTCGCTCTTCAGCAGAAGCGTTGGCTACAGAATGGTAATTTCACGGATGCAGAGGACGAGCTTCTAGAATATCGGTTGGGACTAGTAAGTTCTCTTCCAATCTGCTTGTCTGAACAGGGTCTAATATACGTAGCGATTGTCTTCACGTCGGGTCCATACCGGACGATCCGTAAGGAGCCCGATTACTTCCTCCGCCCTGACGGCCTCGAGTTGCCGACTGTTGCAGTCGAGACCGGTTGGAGTGAATCACAACCCTTACTTCACAGAGATATGAATGTACTGCTCGTGGGAGGGGACCCTAACATCAGAAGAGTATTCATACTGAAGTGGACAAGACTACAGTCGGGGGTCGGGGGCTCCGTCGAGCTATGGAAGAGGCAAGTTGGACAGCCTATCCCAATTATAGTCCAACGTGAGGTATGTCGACACTCTTAATCAGCTTTTCACGGGCTCATTACTAAGTTTGGCATAGATAGTGTTCCCTCGGCCGGCATCTGGCAACGCACAGACATTCTCTATGAAAAGACGAGATCTTTTTGGGTCGACGTTATTGCGCGGTAGAAATGGTGACGATGTCCTTCTGTTTGACGTCGAGCTGCTACGGGTCAAAGCGGCCGAAGCTCTACAGCGTATGAATATGACACCCGCGGTCTAAGAGCGGTATGGGCGCAGCTATGTGCCTAGGAGGAGGCGGTTTCAAATGGATTGCTCTTGTAATGATAAGAATAACGTTTTACGAAGGAATGAACTTTAACATACGTCATCTGTTGATCAAAGGTTAACGCCGTTATCGTCTATAGCTAATCGTAGGAATATATATGTTCGTAGTAGATTAGACGTAGAGAGGCTTCTAGGAATATCGCTTGACTCATTTATAGTGAAGCGGATACGTGACGTGAGCTAAGAATGTAACTTACTATTTCGAGTCACTAGTGTTATATAGGCCTAAGTCACGGAGTGGCGATGCGTTCTAGAACTTAGACGTAGTAGGAATTCGGATTTGCACAAACTAGAAATTGATATTGATCCTAGTATTAAAAATGGTATAGGATGTTAGATATTTCCTACAAGGGCAGAGAAGAGAATTCCGCCATCTGTTTTACGTAAATAGGGCCGAATAAGAGTTGGCTATAGAAGCCTATTTCGGTAGTGTAAAGGAAAAAACGTAGGGATGAGGGGTAGTTTGATTTCTGAGGTAGATTTAAGAAAATCGAGTTTGTCACTAGGAAGTTCGAAAGGGAGGGTGAAAGTTGCCAGGAACATGGCAAAACGTCATTATGGCCTAGTCTCCTAGGAACATTAATAGGTAGTAGAGCGGCTAGCATCGGAGTAGGCGAAGGACTGGAGGCACGATGACAACTAAAGGAGGTGAGCAACGGGGTGAGCGCTTAGGTCCCGCTTAAATCCCGCTCAGAGACTACTCAGAGTCATTTAGAATTACCTCTTAATAGAGGAGTAGGATAAACCTTTATAGATGAGTAAGCATTTACTAAATCTCCTTTATATATTCCTCTATATTGAGATCTTGCAGCAGAAGAACGTTTAGTTAATCTACCTGCAGCTTCTATTTACTCTTTTAGAGATCAGAGCGCACACCGCCTTTATTATTCTGCCGGCTGTTTTCGTCTTGGGGTTGTCCCCGCTAACGGACGGGAGTCATTCTCTCACTCTCCTTCATGCGCTGGACTCTGCGTGCTGCTGTTTCCTCCTTCTCTTCCTCCCCTGTGTTCTGCGTGACTCGCTCTAAATCTACAATGGCTCCCGCTGCTGGTACCTTTCACGCCTTGAACCACCGGCAAAAAAGCAAAAACTGACTCGGTCAACAAACAGTCCAGAAATTTCGCCCGGTGGTGATCTCAGGCCCCTCAGGCACCGGTAAATCGACGCTGCTTAAGCGCCTCTTCGCCGAGTATCCTGAAAAGTTCGGGTTTTCAGTCTCGCGTGCGTCTTCTTCTCTCTCTACTGGCCCTTCCAAGAAATCCACTAACCCCATGCAATTGGTACACAGACACAACTCGATCCCCACGACCAGGTTAGCAACATCGGGCACATGAAGTTTGATTGGTTGATTGATCCCCCCCCCCCCCCCCCCCACCAGGCGAGCAAGACGGACGCGAGTACAATTTCACGACGAAGGAAGCTTTCCTGGACCTCGTTGCGCAGAACGGGTTCATTGAAAACGCGCAGTTCGGAGGGAACCACTACGGCACCAGTGTACAAGCTGTGAAGGATGTGGCAGATAAAAGCAGGATTTGCATTCTTGACATCGAGATGGAGGTATGCACGACCCCAATGGCTCTGGGAGGATAGTTTTGCTGATATGGTGTTCTACTGCAGGGCGTGAAACAAGTCAAGCGCACCGACCTCAACGCACGATTCCTATTCCTCGCGCCGCCGTCCCTGGAGGAGCTGGAGAAGCGATTGCGCGGCCGGGGCACGGAGTCCGAGGACAGCCTGAGGCAGCGACTGGCGCAGGCACGGAACGAGCTCGAGTATGCGCAGCAGCCCGGGGCGCATGACAAGATTGTGGTGAATGATGATTTGGAGACGGCGTACACGGATCTGAGGGATTGGGTGGTGGACGAGGGACGGTTTGGTGCGTCCGAGTAGTCAATTGCACTTTGTATAGACCAGGCCGAGATTAAGAATGAGAAGTTCTTCTCATGAGTGGATGATTAAAGGAAACTAAGTACATGGAAAACCGCCAGATGCCAGGCTCTCTTTTTTTTGGAAATTCTGGCAGTCAACACAAATCCTAGACAATAAGAGACAAGCCCGGTCAGAAACGACCGGAATGGGAGGATACAAAAAACTTGGGAGAAAAACACAGGAGACGAAAAAAGGGATATCTGCAAGGGCCTGCTGGCGTCAAAGAGGACAGGAAGTTTTCGAGGAAGACAGAAGAAACAAAAGAGCCTGGAAGACCGCCGGACTACCGATTCACCGAGCACCACTCATAGGCAGAACTCAGTATCCGTTCATGGCTCCCCGCTGGGAGTTGCGGCTGAGCTCGCGCTCGGCGGACGGGCTGATGGGTCGGCTGCCACCGGTGTGGCCGCCCGCGGCGCTGCTCTCCTTCAGGGCCAGCAGTTGCTTAGCACGGAAGGTCTCGTAGTGGATCTGGCTGGTGGTCTCAACCAGGTCCTGGAGGTGAGTCCGGGTCAGAAAGTTGCGCAGATAGACAAATTCGCAGTGGGTCTCGTCCTCGACGTTGATGACACCCCAGCGGTTCTGGCGACCGCGGACCTGCTTGCCGTCGACGACGATGGTCTTCTCGCTACCAACCACCGAGAAGGGGATGATGTCCTGCGGTCGAGTCAGCACAGGTCCAGTTCGAATGGAGGAAGAGATCGTACCTTGATCTGGGCATTGATCGCACGCTCCTCGTCGTCGAGCTCGTCGTTATCGTAAGGGTACATCTTCAGGTTGTGGAAGGAAAACTCCTCCTTGATCCGCTCCTTGAAGGCCTGGCGCTCCTCCAAGGTCAGGGAGTCAGCCTTGGCGATCACGGGAACGACGTTGACCACATCAGAGAGCTTCTTCAGAACGACAATATCAATCGGCTTGAGGCTACACAGATGAGACGATTAGCTGGCTGCGCGGTCCTTGGCAAGCGGGGACACTCACGCATGGCCCGAGGGCTGGATGAAGAACAAGCAGCAGTGGATACGGGTATCTTGGATGTAGCGCTCCCGCTGAGCCGTGAGCTCCTTCCGCAGGTAGGCAGAGTGCTGATCCTTGATGTACTTGACGATGGGGTCCCAGCTGGCTCCATAGTTAGTTGGGTAGTTCTCGAGTTCCAATGCAAGACTAATGCATACCATCGGTCGTTGTTGACCTGGTCACCGTATCCGGGGGTGTCCACAATGTTCAGCCTCAGACGGACGCCATTCTCCTCAATGACTAGATATTCTGTTAGACCCATTGCCCTGTTTGGTTCCCATCGGTACATACTATGCGACACGGTCTGGATCTCGGTGGTGGAGCGAACGGGCTCATTGGGGGTCAAGCGGCCCTTGGAGTCAATGAGGTGGGAGGCGAAGATGGTGTTGACGAGAGTGGACTTGCCCAGACCTGTCTGGCCTGTTGGGAGGAGGAGATAGGTGAGTTTGAGACTGAGAAGTGAATGGAGGCATTGGAGGATACATACCGACGCACATCACGTTGAATTGGAAGCCGCGCTTGAGCAGCTTGCGCTCAATCTGGGAGGTGATGCTGTCGAATCCGACATGGCTGTGGGGGAAGACGGTGGGCTGGTTAGCCGAAGCGGCACTCATCGCGGCGGCCATGACGGGACGGGAAGAGAAGAGAGGTGAGGTGAGGTGAGGTTGAAGTATGTAAAGGAGAATGGAGAAGAGGATGATTATTTCCCCCTGGAAGCACAAACAGTTCGGGGCTCAGGGGGGCACGCGCTAGGCCCGACCGGGGTTAGTCAGACCTGGACCCGTCAAACCCAGACTCGCGATCTTTCTTTCTTTCGTTCGTTCACTTCCCCTCCACTCCCTCCCTCGGTCGTGTCGCCATGTCCGCCCGTATGCTCTCGGTCGCTGCGCCGCTGCGAGCATTGTCCGGCTCGCTCGGGCCCTGGCGCATCCTGCCCGCCGCACTACTGCAGCCCATTTCCCTCCAGATCCCCTCGCTGGCCGACATCTGGGACTCGGTCCTCCGCGCTGTGCCGAAGAAGAAGACATCCCACATGAAGAAACGTCACCGACAGATGGCAGGCAAGGCCTTGAAGGATGTCAAGAGCTTGAACACCTGCCCGGGCTGTGGTTCGATCAAACGCGCCCACCTCCTGTGTCCTCACTGCGTCAAGGGTATGCATCTGTGCTCGCTAAACGGGCAGGAAAGCATCAATACTAATGAATGGCTCGTACAGAGATCAAGCAGTCGTGGAAACAAGCCGCCTAAGATATGAACCCACTGGAGAAACGACACACGACTATTTTGGATTGGATGGGGCGGCTCGCACGACGGCTGCCGGGAGAGAATACTGTACTTCTAGAATTGGGTTGTGGATATATACTGCTGCATGGCATCTGGCGTCTGGTTCTGCCGGGGAATAAACTGTGAATCCCTAAAATATTTCTTTGATTGTACTATTCTTCAATGCAAATTTGACTCCCTTTATCAAATAAACCACTCAAGGCGGAAACTCGCCCGCCAACGTCACTCCGCCCACCTCACCACTTCCTCCTTCTCTTTCTCCTTCCTCCCGACTCGGGTGGAACACAACATGGTAAGATAGACTAGACCCTAAGCGCGCATGCGCCCACAACTGATCGCGACAGTCGAAACAATATCTGTCGTGGGGTTCGGCAGACAATGGTGGGGAGACACACTCAACGCTCGGTGCGCGTTCATGACTGACCTCGTCCAGCGCACCCGATCGACATCTTCTCCCTGGCCGTGACTGACAAGCATATCCTATCAGCCTCGGGCGCGTCATCGCTCAAGGTCCACTCCACCACCGACACCGAATTCCCGCTCGTGCAGTCCATCGAGGATGCCCACAAAGTGGGCTGCCACCATATTGTGACCGACGCCAAGGGCCAACGGGCGGCCAGTGCTGGCTTTGCGGGAGACATAAAGATCTGGTCTTGTCAGGAGGGCAATTGGTCCGCAGACAGGGTCATCACAGCCAATCTGACGGCGGCGGATGCCTGGGCGATTGCCTTGTCCCAGGATGGACAGTACCTGGCCGGTGCCACGCAGGACGGACACATCAAGGTATGGGACTTGAATGCCGAGGGGGCTCAAATACGTGACCACGAAACCAAAGGGAGCTTCGGCACATGTATCGACCTGGTACGTCTTGCACTCCACCTTTTCCCTAGTTCTCTTCCCTTGACACGTCCATCCAGTCTTCGGATGGCCGGTTCATTGCTAGCGGACACGAAAATGGTGCCGTCTACATATTCAGCACGGAAACCGGCCGCATGCCGTTTTCTCTATCAGGTACGCCCCCGGATTCCACTGAGACGACATGCAATGACCTAACTGGACGCAGGTCTGGTGAAGCCCGTCCGAGCGGTGTCCTTTTCGCCCGGTGGGAAGCTGCTGGCGGCAGCTGGTGATTCCAAGGTCATCGTGCTGTATGATACATCGTCCGGTGAACAAGTAGCCAACCTCTCAGGCCACTCCGCGTGGATCATGTCTCTAGCCTGGAGTCACACCGGCGAATATCTTCTCAGCGGGTCAGTTCCAAATGCTTTCCTCAATTCTGGCCATGAACTGACGCCTGTGCCAGATCGTTTGATGGAAAAGTCAAAGTCTGGTCAATCGACACCAAGTTATGTGTGGCCACCCACTCCGAGACCGAGAAAGCACTCTGGAGCGTCAAGTGGCTCCCCAAGACAGGCAAAACAGAAGGATTTGCAACCGCCGGGGCCAACCGCAGTCTGTCTTTCTACCGGGAGGCAACGGGGGGTTGAGAAGAATCACCTACATCTGACGAAGTCCATGGACATGATTGATTGTGCATAAAACCCATGCAATTCCATACTCCTCACCCCCAAGACAACGCTAAACTACTGCCCTCTTAATTCATCGCATCCACAAACAACTTGCGCATCCGCTTGAGAAACGCACCAAAGTCTCGATCCTCATTGACCAAATCCACCTCTCGCTCCAAGGCGTCCGCGTCCAGCTTGGGCCGCGTACGAAACACCTCGTAGTCACGACTGGCAGTGCCCAACTCAAACCACGCCTCCGCCTCCCAGTCCTTCTCTAACAGATGATTATACACAAACTTCAACCGATCATCCCGGCCGGCCCCATCAATCCGTAAACAAAGGTAATCCTGCCAGAACTCCAGCTCGGGTAGGTTGAGCCGCGACTGCGCATCTAGATGCTTCGCGTGAATTTTCTGGGCCTCGAGTTTTTGATTAATCGCCTTCTGCGTCTCGGCAATCTGCAGCTTGAGCCGGTCGCGCTTCGCAAGGCGGGAGTCGCGTTCCATCGTAATGGAAGAGATGGCCGCGTGCATTTCCGCCGCCTCGGCGGCTTCTTTCTGGAGGGTTTGCTCATGGGTTTGGGATTTGAGGGTGAGAATCTCGATGTCTCGCTGGCGCATCCGCTCGTCCTCTGGAAAGGTCGCGTCAATATTTGTCTCCTCTCTCCTCGCTCAGGGCATGAGCGCGACCTACCTTGCAGTTCGGCGAGATTGATGTGGAATTGATTTCGCTCCTCCAAGACCTGCTTCCGGCCACGCTCGATGAAGGCGTCGAATTTGGCGGTAAACTGGGCCATGCGGTTGCGCAGGTCCTCGAAGCCGAAGTTGATGCTGGGAAGCGAGTCGGCCATTGACGGCGCATCGGCCGAGGCGAGTGGCGGGCGCATGCCGCTCGTGGAGAGTGATGGTTCGAAGGAGGCCATATTGCAGACAGTAATCGGGGTGACTGTGGTGTTGGTGGTGAAGATGGAGTGTCAAAAGAGAAGCAACGCGGTGTTGTTGCGGTGCAACGGGATCCTTATCGATAAGCGGGAAAATTAATACTCGGGTCTCCAACACCTCAGCCCTCTTCCTTCTGGACCATCATGCCGCGTATATACTACTATTGAGTCTCTGTCACTCTGCATTGTCGATATGATTTCTTTGCCACTCGCGAAAATCCGACTGCGATCCGATGGATGAATATTCCACCAGTGCTCTGCATTATGGGCACTTGGGACGAGCAGTCTACCTCCCAGAAGTCCAGACATGGTCTTTTTCGCGCACCCTGGCGAGGCGTAAGCCATTTCGGTCCTTGGAAGCCAGTGTGTGTGGCGCTAACGTTTATGTAGCTACCGTGATTTCGTACACCGGAGAGACCAAGACACGAGTGCCATCGTCACGGAGGGCTACCGAGCAGAGACTCTCTCGACCGCGCAGAGTGAACCGGAATATAATCCCCCAGACACACTCGGATCTAGCTGCAGCCTGGTCCTCAACTACATCGATCCGCGATGAGGCCGTCTCTAGAGTGGTTGCGACAGCCACCGACAACTACGACCCTTTGGTCTCCTCAACCCTCGATGTCGGTCATGCCGTGGATTATCGAAGCGAAGAATCGAGCCAACGCCAAGTTTCAATCGCGGTAGCCATCTCCGGGGAATGTGGGAACTCCGTCTTTCTTTCACGAATGGTGGAAGATATCGAGGTCCTGAAGCGAGAGCGACTGGAGATGCGCGTCCCATCCCTCAGCGGGTCAGACACCTCCGAGTGGTCAAGAGGCGGCGCGCCAATACGTCAAGTCTGTTTTGCACGCTCTATCGACGAGAAGGCCACTTGGATGGCCGTGCGCCTCGCAGAGTCGACCGTCATCTTTCACCCACTATATCATCGCGAACCAGTGCCCATGCACATACATGGTGGCTATCCAGCAGAAAGCAACATACCTCTACGTAATACTCGACTTGATTCCAACCCCGTCTCGGAGGTGTCAATATCGGTCACTGGCGGTTTCGCCCATGCCGATGTGACCTTCAATCCTTGGTACCAGAAGCAATTCGCTCTTGTTGATACCCAGGGAAATTGGAGTGTCTGGGAGATCAGGGGTCGCCAGCGACGAGGAGGGAGGACTTTGCCTGTTACCTTTATCAAGTCAGGGTCGTTACCACCCTTGCCAGACTACAAAGGCAGTCCCAATTGTCCTCGGCATGATGGATGGGCGTCGATTGAGTGGATTGGTGATGTGTGGTCGCTCCTTGTCTCCGATCGTAGGTGCACCACGCTCTATCGAATGGAGGGCGAACAGACTCGCTCAAGAGCAGTAGAACTGGGGTTGTCAAAGAAGTCCGAATGGGTGCTGGCTGTGCAAAGAAGCCCCCAAAATTCCTCCCAGTTCTTTGTCCTCACCACTTCTCGGGTACTGTGGTTTGATATTACCAGGGCTATGTTACCAGATGAAGAGGATTCACCACCCTCTATACAGCCTCAACTTGCCTGGCGTCATTTTCGAGACCCGGAGGACACGACACTGCGTTTCTGCGACGTGCTGATGGACCGCGGTAAGTTCTTTTTCTCTATGTCGACTGAGATTGCAGACCAAAAGTGCTGATGCGTCTACTCCCAGATTTATATCTCATCCTGTACTCCCGGATTACTGAGCTGGTCCAGGCGTATTCCTGCCCAAGTCCAGTGGAAGAAGAAACAGAGCCAGTATCCGTGCCGGATCCCGTTTTATTGCAAATGCCGTCTCCCGAGGATAACCAGCACTACTCTACCTTTGTATTTAGAGAAGTTGCTCATACCCCGGGCCCGATGAGTCGAACAGGCTACGATCCTGATTTACGGCTTTTCAAGCTTTTCTGGGCTGACGAGCATCTTGCTCTGCACGAGTCGCTTTTCACGAGCCCCAGACGGACAACGGATGATGGTGACCTGTACTCTGAGCGTGATGTGCTCCGGACAAAGAGGCGCCATCCTGGAGCTCAACGAAAACAACAAAATATTGACGATGATGAGTTTGTGGTTGATGACTGGGATGAATCTGTGGCTCCTTTCGGTAGCCGTCCTCAGCTCACAGCTCACCGAATGCTCTTCGACCGCAATCTCCAAGAGTCTCGGGATTTAGTGCCAATCTATGACATTGCAGCGGGAAAGGCAGCAGCAGGTGCAACAAATGAGGACCATGAGCGACCGCAAAACAAAACCTTTAGCGAGTTACTTGAGAACTTCCCGAATCGGGCTATGGATGAGGCCGTGAGGGATCAGGAGCGCGGTGAAACGATGTAAGGCCGCTATATAGACTCACTTGAGGATATCGTGCTAATAAATGCCAGGCTTGAGCTCAACGATGGAAGCCCTTTGATTGACGACATCGATGAGAATGCTCGGGATCTCGAATGTCTCATCTCAACACTGGTGCCTCAGATGGCTGATGCTGAGACTCAACGCCAGTTCATGACCCTACCGCAGAGGTTTTCGAACCTGTTCGTAGGTCTACCCACTGGCACATTGGAGGATTCTTCCAAGTTGGATCTTTTGAAGTCTTATGATGAATTGGTCCATGACTGGCTGTCCAGTCTCTCCCAGAACATCCCTGTACGAACAAGAATCATGAAAGAAAAGATCATCCGTGGAATCGCGACTGATCTCCTCCTATCACGCCTCATCCGGGTTTCCAATACGCCAACCCCTCTATCCTCCGGCCGCATAATCCAGGCCGGGGAAGAAGAATCGGCGGCACCACAAGATGAGCCTTCCAGCCAGGGCACGACGGCCCGTCTACTGAGTCCAATGACAGACCATGAACCGGCGACTCCACAAAATGAAGCCCCAGGCGAGCAGCCAGAGGCCTCAGTTCCTATCTACAGTAGTCTCTCCTCATTCACGACTTTCGACACCCCACGCTTGATGCCCTCGAACGTGGCAACCCTCCTTTCACACTGGCAGCCGGGCGGCGACCCGGCCGACTACACCTGGACCCGGACCACCCAGATGCTGGAGGAGGAGATGTCCCAACGGACGTCGCGGGCCTCCACCCCCAAAAACCGGCTGCGCAAGAAACGGTCACAGTCACAATCACAACAGGACATGGTGCCGGCTGCCTCGTCCCAGCCCACTCCTTCGGCGGTGCGGACGGTGCGCAGCTGGGGCACGCAGGGGGAAAGCGAGGCGCTGCCGCGTATGCAGCTGCTGAGCAGTCAGCCGACACTCGACGAGCCGATGACACAGATTGAGCGCGGGCAATTTGGAGGGCGTGAGGCCAACAGCAAAGCGAAGAAAAAGAAGAAGAGAGCGGCGGGATTCTAATTGGGCATTTTAGCCGCTGTATTATACATATAAAGAAAGAAGCATTCAAGGCGTTACCATTGCCTATCAGTGTTCTTAATCAAGAGTCCGACGCAAGCCGATCGCAGAAGGGGCTCAAGAAAGGGATAGATGGCATTACAAATGGGCCTGTATTCATTGTTTATAATCACCTCACCTCACCTCACATTTCTTCTTTCTTTATTCCACCCCGCGCTGATCCACCATCCCACCTTCTCTTCTACCCGCAAGCAACAATCAATTCCATAACATGTCGGACCACACGTACAAGTTTAACGTGACCATGACCTGCGGCGGCTGCTCCGGCGCCGTGGAGCGCGTGCTGAAGAAGCTGGACGGTAAGCAAGCACCGCATTTGTCAGCCAGCAGCGGAAGTTGATTTTTGGTGCAGGCGTCAAGGACTTCGACGTCAGTCTCGAGTCTCAGACTGCGACCGTTAACACTGGCCCGGATGTGTCGTATGAGACGGTGCTGGAGAAGATCAAGAAGACAGGGAAGACGGTTAATAGTGGCGAGGCGGATGGGCAGGAGAAGGCTGTTTGAGTCGGCACCGGCTAGCAAAAACGTAATAAAGGGAAGGCTGCGCTGCAGTCGGCAGCATACGGGTTATACGGAGAAGTTCTATGGTTGGCTCCAGCCTACAGGCTTTGATGAATACATGAATGATATATGATGGACAGATAGAAATGCCAACGACTGGAAGTCGGAAATAATACTCATTCGAAGGAATATGTAGCGCCAATAGTCCGGAATGCAGATGGGGTATGACCGGACTATGCAGGTACTCGAAATACCGTGAAAATGCAAAACACAATAACAATATCCTGACAACCTCAATCCACGATCACAACGGATCTTCCATCGGGAACAGAGTAGGTGGGAGTATGCGGTTCGACACGCTGGACATAGACAGGGCGATCATGCTCCAGGACCTGGGAAGAGCGATGAGGATCATGGAAGCGCCTGCAGATGTATTAGTTCATCTCGATTGATTCCCTCTAATCCATTTCGAACGAAAACCATGGATTACTCCCACTCTGTTGGCTTACCGGGCAGAAGTGACGCCAAGTCGTCGTTCATGATACCCTGGGGGAGGCTGACCCGCAGCAGTTGTCACTGGATGAAGGATGGTAGGATCATGGGCACTGCGTACCACCCGAGAACCCATGGATACTCGGCCATGTGGATCAGAAACAACCCGGGTTTGGGGTGGATCGTTTGCATCATAGGCAGGGGCCCTAGCACGGTCATGCTGACCACTGGTTTCATGTCCTGGACGGCGCCCAACATATTCAAACGGATCCGGGTCACGGATATCAACGGGGCGGACAAAGTCTTCTGCATAGATGTGTCTGTTTGGGGGTTTGTCATTGCGCACAGGGAGCGCGTCATCAATGTGGCTTCGGTATGAGGAGATCCACGGCTGTTCAACAACAGAGACATGGCCCAGATGGGGACTACGATCAGCAAAGTAAGCATGGCGTGCGCCAGCCTCCGGGGCAGCCCTGATAGGGTGACCGTCTCCGGGCACAAAGTGACCAGGCTGGGGGTGATGGACGGAGATATATTGTGGATCATTGAGACGCTTCCGCTCCAGCGTCGGCCCGGCATCTGGATTGACTCGTAGAGCATAAGGATCCAGATTCCTCTCTGACAAGTGTCTTACAGCATGAGTCTGCTTCACTGGCGGGTGATCTTGGCGCATCTGAAGCCCATCCTGTACAGGGATGGCTTCAACCTGACGATATTGATCCCCGGGAAGTCTTTCAGAAATAGGGGGTCCAACGGGTCTCGCATTTCGAGGCTCCGGACGTGGGCCATTGTGAGGGACGACACCATGATGCGCCAAGCGCCTTCTTTTGGAGATTTGATCACTGTTATCATCTAATGCAACAAGGTTGTCCTGATGGAAACCTTGTCCGTGGGAACGGGACGGTGTTTCTGAACGAAGGGATAAAACACCAGACATCCTCTTCGTCAGAGCGTCCAGTCGGCCATCACTGCGCCTGGTTTCTAGGGGCCAAGGAGTTTCAATCGAGGGCAGCACACAGTTCTGGGGATTTAAGGCGGGTCTTGCACGATGGAAATTGGCAGACTGTGGCCGAAGGCGAGTTTGGATCTCGCTACCCTGGTGCTGTTCACTGGGACCGCTCACAAATACGGGTGCATTCGATCTGTCATCCGACTGATGTGGCAATCTCTCTGGTCGAGAAACTGGAGCCCTTTCCGAGGCAATGTCATTTGACAAGTAATGGCGGGCAATCTCATCCAAGTTATGAGATTTGTGGGTATTCTTGTGAGTTAGTGCATTCCCCTTTCCTGGGAACCCGTAGTTTGAGGGATTTCGTTGAACGTCCATAGAGGTGTATACCTTCTGAGCACTCACACGATTTTCCCGTGTCTGCCGGTCCATGGCTGGAACAGGTGGCAGTCCCTGTGCTCGGCTGTGAACGGGACCTGGATCTAGAATAATCCTGGGAGAAGCTTTGGCAGCCTCCCGGTGCCTAGTAGGACCTGCTGTTTCCTGGGAAGTAACTTGCTGAGTGTCATATAGCCGTGTCCGATGCTCGGCTGGAGCCATTCTGACCTGTTCAGTACTACGTGCCCCGGCTCGATAGCGGTTGAGGGCACAGTCCCATGCCTTGTATCTACTAAAGCCTCGACGGTCGATGGCAGTCTTTGCCGGTACCCTTGTAACAAACCGGAAACCAGGGGGTGCTTCCTCATCTGACAGTTCCCGCAAAGGATCCAAGGTGGGTTTTGCAGCGGAAGCGGGCCGGGGGAGAATCTCGTGGATCCGAGCATCGCTGGAAAGGATTTCCACACTGTAGTCCCGATTACCGGGTCGACGAGAAGCCTCTTCCTCCATTTCACTGTCTTCGTCATCTGAGATGACGATTACCTCGCGGAAAACATCCTCCAGGACGGTCCGACCATTCTCATCGTCCCCGCGCCATTCCACAAGCTTGGCTAGAGTAGGTTGTTCCACGGAGGTTCGAGCCTCTTGAAACGACGTAGTCTTCAGGAGGGAATCGTAAGCGGTGTAAAGGTGTCGAATGTGCGCAACTACGGCGAGTTGGGCTCTGCGAGCCAGAGGCAATTCGGCTGCCGTTCCTACTTTGCCTTGACCCTGGCCACCACCGCTATTAGAGATGCCACAGCTGCAGGGAACTCTCACCGACACACCTTTTGAAACGCGGTTTTGATGATCTGGTTGAGATCGTTGGCCGGGATGTTGGGGAAAAGATCTTTTAGAACATCTCGTGCCTCGGTATTGAGAGTTATTTGAGAAACAGAAACCTCAGAGTCAGCTCGCTTGCGGTCTTTCGCCTTACCCATTGTTTGCAACGGAAACACCTTGCCGGACCTTGTAAGATGCATTCCCAGTTCTAGACAGGCGGTCGCAACAACACTGCTCGGGAAATGGTATCCTATCCGGTGGACATGCTGTGACAAGCCGTGGGTGTTGTGATGGGGGGTGGTCTAACGGCGCAGAAGATGAGCAGCTTCCCAGACGCAATATGAGCAATACGATATTGAGTCTTACCGTGACCGCCAGGACTTTGAGGCCCTCTTTTCGACATCGTTCCTTACAGGCCGTGGTGAGATGCGGGTTGCCCGCAGGAATGAAGGTGTAGCCTCGGGGTGCTTTGGCTTCGAATGAGATCTGTTCGGGTAGTTCAGCATGGCCCACACAACCGAGAACCAGCAAGAGCATACCACACTGAGAAGCTTTCTCTTTTCCCGAGTCACCGACTCCAGGATGACTTTGTGCTTTCGGACCTTCCTTTGGGCGGCCCGACTGGGAGCGCGCCTGGCCTGCGCCGACGCGCCTCGCAGCACCCTTGTCATTTTTGTTCCGGTCGGGTCTAACCTGACCGAGGAGGATGTGGCATCAATACATGATGACGCTGGCACGACGGCAGCGTAAAATAGGAAGTGGGACAAAGTAAACGGGGGTGGGAGGGCAGCGAGGTAAAAAGACGGTGGGGGAAGAAAGGAAAGGCACTGATAAGATACGTAACTCGGTCGTTCAGGTTGGCGGCCCAAGCCCAGTGACCAACTACGGCCCGATCGGGTTTAGCTTGCCTTCTGCTTTGTTCGCGGAGTTCTGGGGCTTCCGGTAGTTCGAGACGACCACCACAAATCATGCACAGGAGTCCCCTGCTGGACCAGCGAGCTGTGCTGCATGCATATCATCATCTCTTCCGCCAGGCCTTGAAAGCCATCCGCTATTCCGTCCCCGGCCGCCATGTCCTACGCACCACGATGCGCAACAGCTTTCGCTCCTCCTCGGTCGAGGACTTTGATCCCACAAGAATCGCCAACACCCTCCTCTTCCTCGAACGAGCGACCAAGACTACCGGGCTGGAGCACAAGATTGTGAAAAATATCTTGTTCTGCAGATACTGGGAACTGCCTGGGGCCCGCAGGGAGTCGAAAGTGTAAGTGCCGTCCTTGCATGGCAGCCCAATGGTGGGGAAAGGTGCCTGACGCCCTCTTTAGCTTGCGAAGCCTAGGGCTTGGGAACTCGGAACATTCCTTGCGGAAAAGCGCCTATGAGCAACTCAACTCGACCCTGGAACTCCTCAACCAGAGCTTGGGGACGTGTCTCAGGTGATGAGCCCATTGGCATACCTTTACCGGAATCGTGTTGGTTCTGTCTGGCTACAAATGGTGACGACAATATGCTGGTTGGGCCTCGTCTTGGGCATGAAGTCTAGTGTAACAAAGCAGCTTGCCCAAAGGGGTAATGCCCACAGACGAACTCACGCGGAGGACTAATCCATGTCAGGGAAGGATGAACTAGTACGGCAACACAGGCTTCCTTATCGTGCTCAGTCACCTTCGTCAGCCAGGGTTCGCTTTACGAGTGTACCACCAGGGGGATTCGAATAAGCGTTTCATTGTCAATACAAGAGCTGATCGCCCGCGGAGGTCACTATCACAAGAGGAAGACCTCCATCCCTCGCACCAACGTCATCTCAGCTCTGATTGAGCCTGTCTTCCCTCCTTCGAATTCAAATGTTCGTTCCTGCAATGCTACAGTTCAGCGCCATTCCACAACCCCCGCGAAGATTTCGTCTTACTTTTCGTTCGCCCAATTCATGACCGCAAAGGCAATGATAAACGGAGGCACCACGTATAAGACTTGATGTCTGAATCGACGGAAGGTGTTGAAGATGGCTGCGTGTAGCCAGCCAGCCATCGGCCGCTGCCTGTTCGGCGAGAGGGCGTAGCTCGCAATCCGCTGAGGACTGGGCAGAACTGCAGGGGGTGGTTGTCATTCAATATGGCCTCTGCTTGGGGTGTTGTTGGCATTACCTTGATTTCCTGGCGGGCCTATCCACCTGGTATGGTTTAGAGACGAGATCCTTTTAAGGCAATCATAATATATACCCGGGGAACTTACCATCCGTTCTTCGGATCGTTGCGACCACCCATGATGAACACAATAGAAACCGCACCTTGCAAATCAATGTAGTGAACTAGAATCGACATACCAGATGCTGCACTTTTATATATCCCCATGCTCTGCTCGTAAAGAACCCCACCGTAAACGAGCGGACCAATCAGGCGCATCCCCAGTTCGAGCGGGCCGCTGTCGATCATGATTTATCCAGTGAAGCGGTGATAGGACAATTTCATCCAGGTACGGAGGCGTACTTAGGTACAGGCAAAGAAAGAGATCCTTTCAATTAAGAGACATACTCCTCGTGGCTACGTCCATCGAGTACGATATGTCTCAGATCTTTCAAAGGGTGGAACATCATCATGTGCCTAGGCCATGTGATGCTGATTCAGCAGTCCCAAAACGTCACATGTCCTGGGGCTGCAGCAACAAAACAGCCCTCAACTGCCTTGGGTTATGCACTCCCCATTGCGGACTGCCATCGGCCCTTCATGAGCAGCTTAATCTCAACGCTGCTGATCGAACTTGGATTCCGCCAACCCCATCCCCCTTCCCGGCCCGCCTCTCCACGCCCGCATATCACCAACGACCTGACTGACCCTCCGTCGAGCACCCCGCCAAAGAACTCTTCCTCGAGCGAGAGCGACGAGGAGCAAAACATCGAACCAAACCAAGGTTACCTAGGGCGAGAATCGAGGATCGGAGATGCACGCTGCTTGCATGGCTCTGCCTTCCTCCCAGCCCTACCCAAAGATATGGATGGACGGAATCAAGAGCCAGGGTCGACCGGACGGCGTAGAGTCATACCGGCTGCTACAGGCGACCTCGGCGGTACACGAGATGATGTCCACCTGACCGTCAACCCGGGTCCTGAACACCCTCGAGCTGCACATCCCAGCGAGCCTGCGCAAAATGCCATATCAGAGTCAATACCTCCTCATGGAAGCGAATCAGTATCCGGCAATAACCTTGTGCTGGACGAGATGGGACAGCTATCGCTTCCTGCAGACGATGGAATGGGTGCGCTGCGGAAGAAGATCCACGCAATCAGAGACCTGGAACTCAGCAACGCGGAGAAAGCGCACATGGTCCATGATTTGATGACAGAGAATTATAATTATTCCCGAGAAACCTTCCCAAGACCCCCCGTACTATTATCTCCGCCGCCAAGTCCACTGAAGACGGACCGACCCAACACCTCGACGATCCGCTGGAACTCGCAGTCCTTGGACCCCATTTCGACGACACCCGCTGTGACAGAATCGGTCCTGGAAAGCCCCTTCTCCCTCACTGCTGAGGATTTGCAGCCCACATTTGCGCCCAAGGCTGAGCCCGAATCTCCAGACGGCGAAACCGGCGAAACAGTCCCCGAGGATCTTGATACCGAAGAATTGGAAGATGCATGTTTGGGGTGTCCGCACTACAAACGAAACGTCAAATTGCAGTGTTTCACTTGCAAGAAGTGGTATACCTGCCGGTTCTGCCATGATGAGGTCGAAGAACATCATCTGATCCGCCGGGAAACTGAAAATATGCTATGCATGCTCTGTGGACATGCCCAACCAGCGGCGCAAAATTGTAGAAAATGCGGCGAGCAAACTGCGCAGTACTACTGCGATATTTGCAAGCTGTGGGACAATGACAGCAAGAAGAGCATTTACCACTGTAGTGATTGTGGTATATGTCGGATTGGACAAGGTCTTGGCAGGGATTTCTTCCATTGCAAGGTAAGTGTCAGGGAATTTGTATTTTTGTGTGACGCTAACTAGAGACCAGAGATGTTGCGTCTGCCTGCCGGTCTCGATCGAGACCACTCATCGGTGCATTGAACGATCTACCCAGTGCGATTGTCCGATCTGTGGGGATTATATGTTTACTTCTCCGGAAACCGTGGTTGTCATGCGATGCGGCCATAGCATCCACTCCAAATGCCTTTCCGAATACTCGAAGAGCTCTTTCCGGTGTCCAATATGCAGCAAGACCATCACGAACATGGAATCAACGTTTCGCAATTTGGACCGCACCATTGAGGGCCAACCCATGCCTGTTGAGTTCAAGGACACCAAAAGTCTCATCTACTGCAATGACTGCGGCGTGAAATCAGTTGTCAAGTACCATTGGCTGGGCTTGAAATGTGACTTGTAAGTGCAATTTCCTGAATCTTGACGGAATACAGCTAATCGAGCCCAGGTGCGAGTCATATAACACGGCACAACACAGACTTTTGCAGGGGGACATGTCAGAATCCATTGAGGAAGAAGAAAGCATTGGCAGCTTCCCACCTCGAACTCGAGCATCATCTTTCAATACAAATGATGAATTAGTATCCTCGTCGCTTGCAGAGTTGCGCATCAACGCGACCTCGGTCCCAAGCTCACATCTCGGAACACGGTTACCCGCCGGTCCTGATGGGCAATTTCCATCTTACAGCATCACTAGAGACCGTGCTATTTCGCCTGTAGTCACGAACTACTTTGGTCTGCCATCTGACCGTGAATCTGAGAAGCCTTCCTCCTTACCATTCTTTGGAGGTCTGTCGAGGACTGCTAGCGAAAATGACTATGGCGCACTGAACTTCTTAAGCAAGAAGCTCAGATATCGGTATGGGTTCCTTGGTGGTGAATCGCAACTGGCGGATGAGAAATCAGAAAAGTCAGCCACCGACGGCGAAGACGATGGTGAATCGTCTGATGCTGGATCAAATGGCAGCCGGGACGACGATGATGAGGAAGACCAAGATGATGAGGACGAAATCGACATCTTTGGTCATCGATGAGATGAAGCGTTCCCGTGAATGCACATTGTGGCCTGGGGCATATTCTTCATTGCTGTGGATCAGCTGGGCCTGATTATCCGGATATTAAACGCAAAGTCCAGCTGCAGAACGGCCTCGCCTTGAAGGCTCATAGCCATCCTCGTGTAAATTCCTTTGGATGCTATGGAATCTATGTGACTGTGTCCCCCGAGAGAATGCCTGACAGCGAACAACGTGTTCAATTATCGGAGGGAGTATTTGTTTGATTGTGAATCTTGAACTGAGCAGCAACCTTTTGCTCTTGCGGCCATGACTGAAAGTGGACTGACTGCGTTTCTTGAGCTCGCATTGTTTGGATCATCATGGAAACTAAAATATCCTAAAGCTTGACAGGGTTGACAGTTAGGGGACGAGCTCAGGCGTTCTTGGGAGATCACATCCGCAAAAAAGCGGCGCTTATTCATTTACAAGGTGCATTTGCATTCGAGATATCATGATGGTGTTCTGGGACCGCATTTTATGTTCTGGTCATCTCCCCATATACACGAGTCAGAAACAATTCTCATCAATAGACCGTGACAATAGACACTGAAAACTATAGCCAATCAAGCTGGGGATCTCTCCGGTCCCTGAGAAGAAATATCCTGGGCGATATTCTCTACGTGCGCAGCCGGTGCCTTCTCGCCCTCTGTGACCAGGGCCAAGGCCTCGCGTTTCTCTGTGTCCGATTCATGTTCTCCAGCCTCGACAAAGTCCAGTCCCCCGAATATCTTCTCCATACGCTCAAGAGAGATGCCCTTGGTCTCGGGGAGAATAAAATATACGGAAATCTATGGAGATCGTTAGCAGTCTGAGATTGTCCTCGATATTGCGTCACACCCACCCCGGCAGCCACATTTAGCCCAAAGAGCAGCCAATAGCTGTGTCCACCGACTTTGGCGTTGAAGTCAGGCCACGATTCCGTGAGCAGAATCAGCCAGCAAGTCTGACCAAGCATAGAGAGACCGAACCCCTGATGTCGAGTGTCAGCAATTGCCTTGGGCTTGGTGTGTTTTGCAGGACTCACCTTGTCCCGGACATGTTGAGGGAAAATCTCCGATACCACCGTCGCAGCAATGGGACCGTTCGACCAACAATACGTCAAACCAACGATGAAGAGCATGGCCACCTCCACGACTGCGGCTGGCTTGTTGCCGTTCGTAGGGAATGCGGTGGTCAGACACGACAGGATGAGGAGCGCAAGTGACTGGATCGCAAACCCGGCGAGCAAAAGACCTCGTCGGCCGAATCTTTCCACGGTGAAGGTATTCACAAGGACGATCAGGAGTTGTAGAACGGCTTGGATTCCGTTGATGGAGAGAGCCTGCGAGCCCGCGTTCCATCCGAGACTTTGGTAGATCAGGGTCGCATACATAGTGAGAGAGGCAATACCTCCGCACTGAAATCAATAATGTCAACATTGCCTTTACTTCCCGCGAGACAGAAACAAACCTGCTGAAGACCCGCGGCGTAAAATCCATACGCAAGACGCTTCCGCATGCTCTTGCTTTTGAGAAGACCCATATATCCCGGATCATATCTTCGACGGAACTCATACGAGGCAACAAGTTCATGAAACTCAGTTCGGATACGCTCGTCAGTTGGAGCGCCGGACCTCAGCCGACAGAGCACCTTGAGAGCACGCTCAGGCGTCTCCGGGTACTTCTCCAGCATGAAGCGTGGGCTTTCGGGGTACCAGAATGAGACAAAGATGAAGGCAATGCCAATAGGAATCTGAATAATGTTTGAGACCCGCCAGGCAATGTTGTAGGGTGACTTGTGGAAGGACATGCCATAGCCGGCCCAGAAGGCGATTAGTGTGCCTAGCTGGTAGCCGAACTGGGAGACTGTGCCGACGAAGCTGCCTCGGAGCTTGGTGGGCGCACATTCCGCGACGTAGAGGTTTGATGCGATGTAGACGCAGCCGAAGCCCAGACCTCTGTTGCTGATTTTAGCGTGATGGAAAGAACAGAGAAGACATCACTTACGTGAGAAGCCGTCCCAGAATGAGGACGCCGAAGCTGTTGGGGACGACCTCGACTACTCTGTATGACCGTTAGGGCAGTTTTCGAGCACGGCAAATACAAACATACACTCCGATAATCATGATGCAGATGGAGAGTCGCAGCGCCCACAGGCGGCCAAGCCAGCCAGCCAGCGTGCCTCCAAGCCAGAGCTGGGCAATTCCTAGTTAGTTCAGTCAATGAAAAGGTCATCTCATGGATATTACGGAGTCAACCTACCTGTCATTGCCCAGGGAATAGTGGCCACCAGCCCGGACTTGCTATCATTGATGCCATAGTATTGAATGAACTGCTTGTCGGCCAGGATGACCGTCATGATACCCGCATCATAGCCGTTGAAACAGGTCGAGAAAACCATCCCATACAACAGTAGCGCCGCAAAGCTGGAAACAAGTCAGTCAGGGCTTTTGATAGAAACAAAAAGAAGAATATATTCACCGATCATCCTTAGGGAGGAACTTCTCGACGAGACCCATCTTGCCGCGCAGTCACTGAATATCTTCGCAGCCGTGATGGATGGTCACCCCACACCCCATTGTTATATATGGAAGTTCGGGACTCCACATTAAACTCAGGTCCTTTATGCGGGGGAGCTCCAGTTCCGGCGAACAGACGCAACTCAAAAGGCTTGCTTGACTTTGTTGTCGGCCCCGCCGGAGCGTTAGTCCCCGCCGGAGTCTTGCCCGAACTCGCCAAACCCGCACCGGAGGAGACAAACCATAGGCCCGGAGGCCGAGGGGACTGGAGCTCGGGACGATGGCGAAGTCGCTCAATCTCCGATTCTGCGCCCTGAAGAATGGAGGGGCGACCGAATGTTAGGAGTATAAGGATGGCAATGGGCCTCATCCCCTCCATCCCCTCCGCAATGATTTTAACTTGTCTCGCTCGACCATGAGTTACCCGCAAGAAAGCTTCGTCACGACCACATTCGCACCGGGATCTTTCTGGGCGCGCCGTCGCGATGTAGTCCGGACACAAACGCTGAAACATCAGCTTCATATGCTGAAACGCACAGGGCGTTATGATGCGTTCAAATTGCAATGGCACCCAAGCTACTCAGACCCTCCCAACGTGTGGCCAATTCCCAATCACCAGTTCTGGGACTCAGACATAGCCAAGTGGATTGAGGGCGCATGCTACCTGCTGATGGACCAGTTTGACGCGGAAATTGACTTGGCTGTGAAAGAGCTGGTGCAGATGATTCAATCTGCCCAGCATCCGGATGGATACCTGAATATCCATTATTCTGTCGTCGAGCCGGGGAAGCGCTTTACAAATTTGCGAGATATGCACGAGCTGTATGTGTCTTAAATTGACCGCTTCTGACTTTGGCTAACGGTAATTTTGATGTCAAGGTACAATGCAGGGCATCTTATTGAGGGCGCACTCGCCCACCGTCTGTACTATAAGAACGATGAAATGATGGCCCCGATTCTGAAGTATGTGGATCTTCTCGCGGAGAAATTCGGTGACCAAGACGGCCAAATCCCAGGCTATCCTGGCCACCCGGAGATCGAGCTGGCGCTGCTTCGCCTGCATAGTGTCTCGGGAGATCCAAAACATCTTCGATTAGCCCGATTCTTTATAGAAGAGAGAGGAAACCCGGCTGGGGGAAAGGAAAAGCGACACTACTACGACGTGGAATCTGAAGCGCGAGGCGAGAAAGAAACCGAGCTGCCCATGTATTACCCGGCAGTCAGAAGCTACTGGTACGAGCGGAATATCGGTAATGGGTCATATATCACGCTGACAAGAGCATAAAAGGTACCAGCAAGCGCACAGACCTATAGTCAAGCAAGAAACGATCGAGGGACACTCGGTCCGTGCCATGTACCTTCTTACCGCAGTGGCAGACCTAGTCCGAATCTGCCAGCCAGAGAGCGACTTTGGAACTACATTCTTGCCCGCGGTGCATCGACTCTGGTCTAACATGATAGAAAAGAAATCCTATGTGACCGGCGGGATTGGAGCTATGAAGCAGTGGGAGGGCTTTGGTATCGATTACTTCTTGCCCCAGGGCACGGACGAGGGTGGCTGCTACGCGGAGACATGCGCCGCGATCGGAGTCATGATGCTCGCTGAGCGCATGTTGCAGGTAGGATTTCTCCTCGACTGGAGTGACTGGTTGCTGACCCCGACCAGTTCGAGCTCGACAGCCACTACGCCGATATCATGGAGCTCTGTCTCTACAATGCCGTCTTAACTGGCATGAGCCTCGATGGGAAGGCGTTCACCTATGTGAATCAGTTGGCCTCCTCCGATAAGGATCTCTCGCGGCGCCATGAATGGTTCGAATGCGCTTGCTGTCCGCCGAATGTCACCCGAACGCTCGGGTACCTGGGGGGGATACGTGTGGAACCACACGGTGACAGAGCAAAGCGCTGTAGTCAATGTGCATCTGTATACCGCGGCCACTCTGCGCTTTGAGGTCTCAGGATCGAACGTCGAAATTGTGCAGAAGACAGACTGGCCGTGGGATGGCGAGGTGGACTTTAACGTCCAAGTGGAGGGACCTCCAGTCGATCTCCAAGTGCGACTAAGGATTCCCGGATGGGCGGGAGAAACATGGGAAATCTTACCTCAACCTGATGCGCTTGATGTCCGACATGGATATCTGCATCTGAGCGCTGCGTGGCTGCACCAACACCCACAGTTCCGCCTAAGTTGTCCCATGCGGCCACGAGTGGTTCAGCCACACCCACTGGCCATGCAGCCCGTGGCATACATCACACGGGGCCCGATCGTGTACTGCGTGGAGGACGCTGATCACCCGTGGGAGCAGCGTCATTTCAAGGTCAGTGTGGTGTCTGTCCGGAATGCCGACGGAAGAGAAGCTGACGATGAGACGCAGATGACGATGTTCGATCTTAGGGCACCTTTGCACGAGGAATCCCGGGCTCAGCCGGACCAGCACGTGGCCATCATAGCTGAAAACGGGGCCCAGGGCGACCTCGACACGTCGCCCTGGAGCCGGCAGATCGTCGCAGAGCCCGGGCGAGCGGTGGGAAAGAAACGCGACCTGTGTTTTGTGCCGTACTACTTGCGGGCAAACCGAGGAGGGAAGGGGCAGATGAGGGTTGGGCTGCGCATAGGTAGAATAGAATAGACAGCATCATCATCATCATATAATTATTTGTTTATTATTATTTGTCCCGAGGGCGTTGTACACGCTTACCTAAGCGTTGACGTCTTTCTGCTTGCGGCCATCGGATTCCATCATTTCCTCCCCGAATGACTTTTGGTCTGCTGGTTCCGGGGTTGACTCGGTCCCTGTCCACTCCTTAATCCCTTTACTGTGCTCATTATGCTCCCCTGATCTCTCTCCTTCGTCCTTTCACTCACTCCTCAACTCACAACTCTGAAACGAGCACGGATCCCTCCGCAGCTCCCATCCTTATCAAAGCCAAAACGCCCCTGTGATTGGGAGGCCCTTCCCTTCGTTTTCTCCGCCGTGAGCATCGGATTATAGCGATACTGCTGTTGCAACACATTTTCCACAGACAACTCCACGCCTACTGTCCTCCCTCTGTGTGATCCGCTTATCAGTCGATTTCTACCCCGCCGGTGATCTCCCCTGGCCGGGACAGCGTCGCGTGCTTTAGCCAGTCTGAGACGATGATCCGCCGCAACTCAGACATCGAGATTCGCCTCCCGGATGCTAAGCTAAGCTCCGTTTCACCCGTTTCGCCGGAGCCTGTGAACGAGCCCGATGTGGAGATGTCAGCCGAGGGACAGACGCCGCCGTTGACGCTCCCGCCACACATTGCCGCCCGATTCTACCGCCGAAACAGCAAGGCGCGCCGCTCGTCGGCTGCCTCCTCGCGGAGAAGCTCGATCTCGTCTCTGCATTCGCATCACTCGAATGCCTCGTCGAATGGCACCCCGAGCACGGATCACCTTGACCAACACCTCCGCCGCACCTCCATTCTGGAGAGCCGCAAGGCAAGATTGGCCGACCGTGCCTTGCATGCCGAGAAAGTGAGGCTGCGCGCCGCGTTGGCCAAAGCAGCTACCCGAAATCTGCACATCGAGGAGAGAGCATTGGCTGCCCAGCAGGCCCGTGAGCGTCTGCTGGCTGATATTGCCGCCAAGTGCGAGGACCAAGTCAAGCGGGCCAAGAAGAAGGCAGAGGATAATCGTGAGAAGAAGGCCGCAGAGCACGCCCGCTTGCGACTGGAGATAGCGGAGAAATTCGCAGAGGCTGAGAAACGCCGCATGCTCTACCAGCAAACGCATCGCCGCCAACGCACGAGCAGCTTGCCTGCTGAGCAGGAGAAGAAAATGGCCATTGCAGTCACGAAATCACTAACCCGGGATGAGGCGGCTCGGAAGATTCAACGGGTCTGGCGCACTCATCACGCAAAGATGGTCATGCAGGAGTTCCGGTCCCTGAATCTCTCGGTCGACCGGATTCGTGCCATGGCCTTTGAGGAGGTCGGAGCCTTGCTTTCCAACCAAGAGGTGCTGGGTACCATGGCCAAAGTCCTCCGTCTCTGTGGGCTACAAGATATGGAAGGTGGCGCGATGGGTGAGCGGGGTGGTGTGCGCACGTTCCTCAGCAGCTATCTGATTGTGACGCATCCAACCGAAGTCCTGAGCAGCAACGGCGAACAGGAACAGGACCTGATCGCCAAGGCCCGGGAGCTGCTGGTGGCCTTTGACCAGGTCATTGCACTACTGTCATCTGGCTGCTGCTCACCGGCGGTCATCACTGCCGACCTTCAGACATTGTGTGAATCCTATAATGTGTTTTTCTCGGCATTCCATGCCTGGAAGTCGCACGACTCAACTGTCTTGATTGAGATTATGCTTGCGCAATTTGTTGAATTAGAACTTATCTGGCAGACGGTGAAAGATGACCAAGCCGGAGGCGTTGCGGAGGATTACCGACAGGGCATCCGGCAAAACCAGATTCTCCTTCTCGCCAGACTAAAGCGACTTGCCGGGTCTGACAGCGCGATGCAGATGGTGCGGAATGCGCTGAAGAAGGTCAAGCGGGAAAAGAAGCGTGCTTCCTCCAAGCAAGATATTCCCCGCTCTGCCGAAGCTGCACCGTCAACGGACGCCTTGACAGAGAGTGTCACGTCACCTATTAGCGAGAGCTTTAACAATGTGGATTCTAGTGTTCTACAAGAATTGGACAAACAACGGGTGTCGCCGCATGAGCGGTTCACCAAGATCCTCACCGCGCTGCCCGAGAACCGGGTCCTAGTGCACGAGTTGCTCATCAACAAAGAATTCAAGATCGAGGAAGCCCCGTACACCGAACCCCGCAGACAAGTCATGAAACACATGTGCGATATGATGCGGAGAGATATTGAGGCCGGATTTGGGACGGACTGGACTGTCGCCATGGCCACGGTGATCCAAGACCGTCTGCTGCGCTCACTTCGACCCGGCAACTCCCTCTATGTGCTGATCAGCGAGGTCCTGGACCCCAAGCTGGTAGAGAGCCAATGCAAGGCTGGCACATTCTCATATGAGAATTTCTTCAACTTCATGAACAGCATCTTACCGCGTCTCTGTGCTCCATACAGGGATCCTGAGGTCACCGCTTTTGCCGAGGACACGTCCGGTGATGCCATCGATCGTTTGGCGAGGTTGATGAGCATCATCGATCTGCTATCATTGGATCACACCAACTTCATGATCCAGATGGCCGCTCCGCAGCTGATCCAAGAGGCTCCCGGATATGAACAGCGAACGTTTGATCGGGCCCTGAGCGACGGATCAGCCAGCTTAGGAAAGACTCGACGGTTTTGGCGCACTCATCGAAAGATCATTGTCGATGAGATGAAGAAACGGGATCCCGAGAACATCCACGGAGAACCACGGCCTCACGCCTCCCGGATCTATGCGCAAGGTCTCGCAGACTTGGTGCTGAGCAATGCCGCTGTATCGGAGGATCTGATCCCTGAAACTCTGTCCCTTGACCGCCAGCGTTTGGAACGGCTGCATGCCAAGGCATTTCAAATTGTCGCGACGGCATCTATCTTGCTGACAGCTAAGAACTTGCTGAAACGAGATGCCAGATCACAATGGAAGCCCGAAGCGGACCGCATCCTGTCCCTGGACTTCAATGAGATTAGTGCAGATCGAGTGCAATCGATTCTCGAGTCGACGCATCCCATGCCCCCCGCTGCAAGTGCACAGCTAGCAGCCACTATCCGACGAGTTCTTGCTCCCGTCGCGACGGCCCGCGGGGTAGCTGCGCCGCAGGCTGCAGTGGAAGTCTCGGTAGAGACGAACTCCGTAACGCCATTCTCCGGCGATTCAGCCGCTGAATCACAAGCAAGCCGTGGAAGCGCATCACCTGCACCAAGCTTCTCCGACCCCGTGGCTCGGCTCATCCTCTCCCGACTCCGAAGCCACATCCTTACCCGTCTCAGCGCATCCAGCGCCTCTGAGCGAGTGAAGGCAACTACGACCGCCAGCCAGAGCCTCGCCGGAGCAGGGATGCCCGAATTTGTCGGCGAAGTCGGGCAATTGGTGGACGAACTGGAGACAGTCCGCGAGGTGGACTGGCTCTGTCATGGAGCTGTGTATGAGCGTCTATGCGATGAAGGTGTTTCCGCTAGTGACGCTTTTGGACCGTCACAGTCACAATGAGGCGTTTTTAGATCATGGGTTTGATTTGAGTATAATATAATCATGACTCTCGGGGTTTGTTGGTTTTATTATTTGATCTGTCTTTGGCATTGGGTGTTGTTTTTGGTTTTGACTTGGAATGGAAGGACGGACCAGATTGGCAGGATGGGCTGGCATTTACTGGTTCTATCGTTATTTATCATTTGGTACGGGTGTGTATAACGCCGAACGATGCACTGCAGGAGATATCCTCCTGGATGCACAAGAGTTATTGATGACGTAGATGTAGATCTATGGATAGAATGTTGGTACTGCGTTCTGTTCGACATGCGTCCTCCTCGTCCTTTTTCTACCTTCATCGCCGCATTTTGACGACCTGTGGAATGGCCAAGCCAACGCCATGAACTGGAGCTGTGACTACCAGCTGGACTCCAACACGGAAATGAGCATGCACACTGTCGACATCCTCGAACGATTTGATTTTTATTCTCCCCATTCGAAGTACCACAGTAAGCCCTTCTTCACCACCTAACTATCAATCCCAGCCGAGTGCCCTCAGGAAAGCGTAATACACCTTTCCTCCCCAAGTCAATTGCCATTTTACGGGTTGTTTGTAGGCCACAAATTGTCATGAAGTGCCGAAAATACCTATACTCGAACGAAGTGTTTGAGGCCATGGACCAATTATTCTAGTCTATGTCGTTAAAACCTGGTAGAATTTAAATGGAAACCAAGTGCAGATCTGTATCCCTTGGGGCCTCATGTAGTTAGTGGTAGGCACTCATGTGGCCAAACAACATACCCGCGGCGTGTTTCAAGGGGTATAATAATAATATAGCCTCTAGCAGTGTATTCAAGAGCGCGTGTCTCTGTCTTAATTGCCAGTTGTATTTTATAACTACTTATCGACGCTATCTAATCAGTTCCCCACTAACTACCAACCCGGCAAAATTCCCCCCACCACCAACCATTCCTGCTACTCTCCTCCTCGTCCTCTCTTCCCTCCCTATTATCCCCCCTCCTCCAGATATGGCTAAGCCGCACATCTCGCATCTCGCCGACCTCACACCTGCGTCCCCCGAGCGGACGTGGCTCACCGCACCGCACCCGACCCTCCCCATCGTAGCAACCTGCAGCTCCGACAAGACCGTCCGCATCTACTCGCTCACAAACTTCAAGCTCCTCTCCACCATCTCCGACGGCCACAAGCGCAGCGTGCGCACCTGCGCCTGGAAACCACATCTGCAAGGCGAAAGCGTACTCGCAACGGGGAGTTTCGACGCCACCGTGGGAATCTGGCGACGATGGGACAAGTACGGGAATGAAACCAACCACAACAACGCAGCTGTGGACAATGACATGAATGAGGATGCCTCTGACGATGAAGAAAAAGAGTGGCGCTTCGCTGTCCTCCTAGACGGACACGACAGCGAAGTCAAGTCGCTATCCTGGTCTGCGTCGGGAATGTTACTAGCCACTTGCTCGCGCGACAAATCGATTTGGATCTGGGAGGACCTGGATGATGGAGACGATAATTTCGAGACCGTGGCGGTGATGCAGGAACATGACGGGGATGTCAAGTGCGTTGCGTGGCATCCCACGGAAGAATGCCTCGCCTCCGGGAGCTACGACGACACGATCAGGGTGTGGCGGGAGGATCTGGATGATTGGGGACAAGTTGCTTGCGTCCGGGGGCATGGGGGCACGGTGTGGTTTCTGGATTGGGAAGGCGTGGAGAATATGCCTACAATCTCGTCCGCTGAGCAGCGCGATCAGTGGCGCGAACAGCGCTCTCTCTCCGGTCCGCGACTGATTTCCTGCTCGGATGATCGCACTGTGCGTGTATGGACCCGCCAGCCCAAGGAGGGTCAGCAGCCAGCTATGAGTTCGTCTGCTATGACGGGGATTCCGAGTATTATTCGGCCGACGGGATCGGACGAGACGTGGGAGGAGGAGGCGGTGCTGCCGCATGCTCATGAACTGGCAGTCTATGCGGTGGCGTGGAGTCGGCAGACTGGTCTTGTTGCTTCTGCTGGCGCAGATGGGCGAATTGTGATCTACGAAGAGCGGGTCGTGCCCTCGACCGAGGCGCCGTTGCGGACGGAGTGGGCGGTTCTGGCTGTTGTGGATGGTGCGCATGGGATCTACGAGATCAATCATGTTGTCTGGACGAAGCGGGCGGATCGTAACGCCGAGGGCAACGCGGACGAAGAAGTCCTGGTGTCGACAGCGGATGATGGCACCGTCAAGGTGTGGACACTGCAGCGGTGAGCCTGATAGACTGTATTATATCTATGGATGAGCCTACAAGATATGAAAATATGAAATGCGATCGTGCAAATAAATATATTTATGCTGAGAAAGAAGAAAAGAAAAACAACCCCATTAGACACCATCCACTTTGTACAATGCACTTCACCCCCAAACTCGGGAAATGAGATAGACTGAAAACCCCAAGATACACCGCGCAGAGATAACAGAATGCAGATCATAAGGGATGGCGGGCCTCGCTGCCAACGGCCTGGTGCGGGCGGTCATCGCCGTCGTCATCGCTGAAGTCGTCGCCGACGGCATACTGGTCACGTTCGATACCGGGCGAGCCGGGCGAGTGCAGATCATCCAGCTCGGCCTCATCAAAATCACCAGCCTCGACATCTGCTCCCACAGAGCGTTTGTTATGGAAACGGTCCAGCACAGTGCCGCTCTGGAAGTCATCATGATACACGCCACGGTAGCCGCCGTGGGGGGAGCGGCGACTGCGCCAGATGAGGAAGCCCCAGACCGACACACCGATGATGACAATGACCAGAATGGCCTCACCGGATTTGGCGTAAGCATGCATCTCGGTCTGCTTCAACTTCTCCTTCTCCTGCTTCTGGGCAGTGGTGCTGTTGGGGTGGCCGCCGACGGAGGTGAGCGGGAGCTTAGAACCGTCGATACGGGAATCGGCCGGCTGGCCACCGATGCTGGTGATGTCGACGCGCATGAAGCGGTCGAGCATGTCGCGGGCCTGACGGGGCACATCGAAGGGCACCATGTGGCTAGCGTTGTAGAAGAGCGTGTAGGTCAGATTGCGAGCGTGTTGGTAGATGCCGGCGGGCTCGCCCTCAAAGGTCCAGTCATGCCGCACGGCCCATTCGCCGGGGGCGGTCTCAAAGCCGGTCCCGTCGCTCCATTTCATATTGTGAATCAGGGACTCGGTACCCAGGTGGTTGCAGATCAAGTCTTGGTCACCGCTGAACAGCAGCACCCGGATACCCGACTCAAGAAGGCTGGGCAGCAGCTTGACGGAGGGGACTGAATTGGCGACAGTGAAGTGGCTGCTCACATCATTGTTGCATTCAACCCAGCCAGATTGCTTCGCAGGGTTGAGATTCAGTGCCTTGATCACGTCCTCACGTCGCAAGTAGGAATACAGGGATGTGAGATCTGGGGGCCAGTTCATGCCACAATCGGGCATCTTGTCCTGCAGACGGATGTCGTAAATGTTGAGGCATTTATCAGCGTCGCCGATGGCCTCGGCGATCTTGCTCGGAATATTCTCACAATCAGAGATGCTAATCTTGTTCTGTGCCCCATTTGCTTCTAATCTGGTCATACAGAGATTGTGTATGACTTCGAGTTTATGGTAGATTGGGGTTCCTTCCTTGACGAGACCTTCCCGAGTGGCGAAGGGCAAGTATTCCGGGTACTGGTCTTTAGGTGAGATCCAGCCATTGCCGATCAACAAGCCCTGAAGCGGCCAGTGCTTTGCATCGCTTCCCTCGATAGCCTTATTTCGCTCTTGGATGGCTTTGGCGATATATGGGATATGCTGGCCAGCGTATGATTCGCCGGCCAAATAGATCTGTCGCTCCAGTCAGCAAGGGACGTTTCGGGTCAAGGAAACCAACATACATCATCCTTCTCGTATTCGGGAAACATTTCAAAGAACTTCTCCAAGAACACAACAAAGTGAGCTGCCATGACATCCAACTCATGGATAAAGCTATCCGTGTTGACATAGCTGAAACCTGTGCCGACCGGAGAGTCGACGAACAGCAAGTTGGCAAACTCGTCCCAAGACCCCTTGTTGTACACCAGCTTTTGATCGTTCTTGAACCGGTAGGGGCCAACTTCCATCAGCGCGCCGTCCATAGAACTACATCCGGGACCACCATTCAACCAGATGACAGTTCGCTGCCGGTTGGCAATGTGACGGTTCTGGAAATGCCAGAAGAAGAGGTTGCCGTTGTGCTCCGGGTCGACTTCAATATGGCTGTGAAAGTTGATCCATTAGATAACCTTCATAGGATGAGGAGGTAAACAAAAACTCACCCAGCATGCATCTTCAAGAGAGGCGAATCCGGCGCCCCTGGTAATGAGTGCACATAATAATCGGCTGCGGAGGCCGCTGCGGCCAACGGGCTGAGGAGCAGCTGTAGGGATAGTGCCCACGCGAGCATGGCAAAGGCGCCTCCCACCTTGGACCCAACGTGGGAGGAGATCAAAAACATGCTCGACAACCCTCCAGTGCGAGATGCGGTCGGTTATGCGATAAAAAAAGGGTCAGGGGAGGCTTGGGATGGTCCGTGGCGGACTCGGAGGTGCCGAGTCTAGGTTGTCATCGAATCCGGGGACGGGATCGGGCGGAACGAGCGGAAGGTGCAAAGGCAGACAAGAAAGAGAATAATAATCCGGGCGATGAGGAAGGAGGCAAATCGAGTGTCACGAGGAGAGGATGGATGCGCAGAGTGAGAAGGAAAGCGTTGAAGTAATGACAGAGCGAACAGCCTGGCCGAGACGAGGCCGGTCTGGTTCTGTCATTACGCGTACTTTACAATTCTTCGTGGGGTATAAATGGTATCCACAATACCATACCAATTCTTTGTCTTCTCCCTTTATTGTCTCCCGGATCCGTGTGGAACTCACCATCCTCGTCGATCTAGGCAGTATAGTTAGCGCGAAGAATAGCCTCAATCGTTACGACAGGCAGCCAGTATAAAAGAAGGGGGTCTTCTAGAGGCAATTCAATCTCTCTGGTCTATCGTATATTCATGCTTTCATTCTATTTTATTTTGATTTCCATCAGAACAAGTCCCCGACGCCCTTGTCGGCGTCCTTTTTGATCAGTTCCACCATTCCCTAACACAATTAATATTCTCTCTGGTAGCATCCGTGGAGTACTCACATCCGGCATGATCGGCTGGCCTTGGGCATCTATCACATAGCGGAAGGGCATCTCCGTCCGCTCGTGCTCGTTGATATGCAGCTCGGGGTAGTCGACATAGGGAATCTGCTCCAACGGCACTTTCTCCTGGACGACTATTCGGGTCACCCGGACCGCCGTGTCGGTGGTCATCTGCTTAGGGCCCAAACGGCGGCCGACATAGCCCTTTTTCCTCAATTCCGAAGTCCGATCTAGGGACATGACGAAACAATCAGCCGCTGGTTGCCATTGTCGGTGGAACATGTTGCAACATACCTCGAGGCGGATCATCGCCTGCCGTTGTCACACTGATTAGTCTCATCATCCAATTTCTTAGTGGGGGGAGCGAGAAGAAAGCATACCCAAAATGCCACCGAACAGGAAAACCTCGAAATGATCGCCATCTTCGGGGCTTAATTCGACCTGAGCAGATGGATCGAGCAGACAGACTTTGTCTTTGGCGAAGATGTTCTCGACGCTGCGCTGCTCGACCTCCAGTCCTTGGGTGGCCGCCAGCTCAGCGGGCATCTGCAGCTCGGCGGGCACGGAACTGAGCAGGAAGCGAGCGCCGTGGGCGTGGGATTCACGAGCAATGCAGGCATATTCCAGGGTGGACCAGGGGCCCAGCTCTGGATCCAGGTGCTCGACCACAAAGGCAGGCATTATTCTGGTGAAGATAGATGGATGGATGCGAAGAAAATCAAGTGGGCCCCACTGACCTACGTAGTGAAGTTAGTTATCGATACGCTCTCTCTCTCTCTCTCCACTTCACTTCACTCCCCCCAACTCTCCTTCTTCTCAACAACTACATCCGCTCACCTTCCACGATTCTCTCCCTCAGCCCATCTCCTCTGATTCTCATCCGCTCTCCCTGTTCCACCATTTAAGATCTCCCACCCTGCTGTGACCAGAGATCCAAACCCGCCCACCATGAATCCGCACCAACAGAACAAGGTGGACATCAACGTGAGCCACTACCTATTTCCCTATCTGATTGGATTATCGTTAACCGAGGACCCTCAAGTCTCTGAGCCCAGACGAGCAGCGTCTTCTCCGTCTGTATGGCAAGATGCCCACCAAGAAAGACCTCCTCCAGAACAAGCTCAAGGTACGTCCCTAACCCCCTTCCCTACCAGTTTCTCTCATTCTCACAACCTGCTCCCGAAATACAGGAACGCAAATACTTTGACTCGGGCGATTACGCCCTCAGCAAAGCCGGCAAAGCCTCCGACGTAGGCGTCACCAACATCGGGTCGCGCCACCCGGTCCCCGAGAACATCCCCCACCTGACCGCGACCTCGCCGGGTGCGAACAACCCGGCCGCAACGAGCGGCAACGGCGGCAGTATCAGCGCGCAAGGAGGCCAGCAGATCCCCGGCAGCATGAGTGGGCACCCGGGCTCCGTCGGGTTCCAGAGCCGCAGTCCCGTGAAGGAGGGCAGCTTCCTGCACCGCAAGTCGAGTGCGGGCGAGGGTGAGACCTCCCCCACGGCCCAGGACAAGGATGGCAATGAGCCGAGTGTGAGTCCCCCACCTGCGAGGGAGGGTGTGCCCATCCGCCGGTGATGTGGAGAGTGGAGGGTGTACGGTTTTTCGGTTCAAAAGCCTGGCGCTATGGGATGTGTTTTTTTTTCTTTGCGTGGAAGGGGTGCACTGCGGGACAGGGCCAGTGAAGGACATTCGTTGAAGGGAGATGGAAAATACAGCCTCGATTAGTCGGTTTTTGACCTTCTCCCCCTTACCAGTCCTCTATCATCATCTGCACTTTCGATTTCCCATTCTCATCATGTCTCTTCATATCCGGTACTTTTTCTTCATTTGTTCTGGCTTGGCTTGGCCTTCCTATGTTTACTAGGCTGTTGATCTCTTCCTTCTCGCACAGAGGAGAATGACCCGAACGTTTGCATTTCTTCGTGGCCTTATATTGGTTCTCTTACTTCGCCTGCATGCATGCCTAGTCCGTTATATCGTTTTATTTCAATCATGTTTATACTCTTTAGGGATCATCTTCGCTCCGTACTTCCCATAGACTCGAAGAGGCGGTGGCAACTTATCGGAGACTGGTAATCGACCATGCAGTCTGACTAGAAGCCGAGTTCATTAACCTCTCACCCGACAAAATGTCAGGTGAGAGCAACCCCAAGAAAGTGCATCTAGGTATCTTAATGTCCACAGTACAGAAATAGCGAAACAAAGATTCAGACCGCTAGGCAAGCTGCGCTGTAGCGTGGAGCAAAGAAGGGCAGTGGTTGATTGATTAAAACGAAGAACCGGACAAAAAGGGGTATATGACACAAGAAGGGAATAGCAATGAAAGGAGTTGATGGTATCATCGGTCGTGACGAGAGAAAAGGCATATGGATGGGAGGGTGGCCTTTCCGAGACAGTGTATGACAGGGGAAGAAGGCGGAGTGAAGGGGAAAGGGTGTGCTAGATAGATAGCATGATTGTGCCTCGGGAATTGCAGAGCTATATGGGCAGGAGTCGTCTGTTGGGGCTCTAAGGGAGGAGGGGGGGGGGGGAGGGGGCAAGATATAATCGCACGCAGATGGCATCGGACAGACAGCGAGGCCAAGGGCAAAGGGGTCGTGGTGCAGTGCGGGATGGAGGGGCCAAGGGACCATACCCTGGCGGTGTTGTTGTAGTCCTCTGTTGATCGAGCACTGTGTCTCCGTCGACTGCGGGTGATGACCAGGTCGGGGATGCCACGAGAAGGCCGGTTGGGTTTCGAAAGAGAAAAAAAGGGGGGAAAGAGCTGTGCCCGTGGTTTCCAGAGTCGTGTGTTTCTGTCGGAAAAACCAAAGTTGCACAATTGGAATTTCCCGCGGACAAGAAAATGAATCAGTCGGTCTTCCAGTGGCCTGCCAGGCCGTTGTCGAGATCATTGTGCTCCCCGAGCCACAGCTCAACTGCATAAAGAGCCATCGTGCAAGGCAGATTGATCCAGCGCCACAGATTCCCCCCACCACCGCCTTGACTACTCCACCATTCACCGCTGCCACCCATGGCCTGAGAAGCCGACGAGAAATGTTGCATCAGGAGGCTGGTGTACACAGCGATAAGGATGGTCGGTGAGAAATAGCTCAGGAAGCCCAGCATCTGACCCGCCGCATCGTCATCGTCAATCGAGGCCTCCTGAGATAGAGCGCGGGCGCCAGATTCGCGGACCGCAGGGATGATGCGCGTCGATGCGTACAATACAAAAAGTCGGTACGCGAGCGAAATCAAAACGGATGGCGTCACGGCGCTGAAGACGGCTGTGATCACGTTGGCCGCCGCGTGGATGATCGACGGCAGCAGAGACAGCGCGTGCATGAGCGTGGTGTACGACGCCATGAAAATGGGCGGAAGTGGGGGAAAGTCTCCCGCCTGCGACGGCGACGGGATCTGATCCACCGGGTGGGATGGTTGGTAGTCCGTGAAGATCTGATAGATGCAGAGAACGATGTAGGCGAAGAGTAGAGAGCTTTCTACCGGATTTCCGCGCCCACTGCCTATCCCCCAGGCGCACAGGATGACGGCGCATGTGATTGAAACTCCGATCAAGGCGGCGTCGACGTTGGAGATTTCGGGGAATTGCAAAACGCGCCACAGGAAGTAGACAGAGCTGGAAATAATCGTTGCAGAGAGAACTAGCAGACCAATCTGAGAATGGTGAGCTTCTGTGGCATCTGAAGGTGAAGGGGATAAAAAAACATACCATCCAGCTGTCGCTCCGTCCGCCTCGATTCACGAGCCACCGGGTAATCTGCCCGGCAGCCTGGATGACCAGTAGACTGCAGAACCCTTCCGCCAGCTGGAAGACGGGGGTGGACCAGCGCAGAAGTCTGTCCCAGTTACCCAGCGTCACGGTCTCGATCAAGCCATCGCGCCCGAAGAGCCATTCCTGCAGGGAAGAAAACTGCGCGCGGTTCCCACGAAACGTGCGCTCCACCCAGCCACCCGAGCTGTCCGCATCGACTGAAAATCGATTCAGAGACCAAATCAGAAGAATCGGAACCAGGATCCATTGCGTTGAGCGGATGACGACGATCAAGGAGGAGCGGAACCACGAGCGCTCGGGGGTGGTGAGCTTTAGCAGGGAGAAGAGAAAGTGGAAGCTGGCCAGGGAGAGCGAGAAGGCCAGGCCACATGTCTTTCCGCCCACATCGAAGGCCAGTGGGATGGATGAGACGGTGACGGCGAGGAAGAAGGCCGACGAGCAGACCCGCAAGAGCCACATCGGTCCGGGTCGCGCTGGGGAGACGCGACGGAAGGGTGGAAAGGGCGCAGCGAGGAAGGACAGATGACCACGACGCGATCGGACCGTCTGTGGGTGGTGGGGATTATTCCGGGGAGAGAGTTGATGATGATAAAAAAGCAGTAAAGAAAAAGAGAAGAGGGGGGGGAGCACACGACGCTATTTTTCTTTTTCTCCAATCGAGCTTATCTCTTCACGTGGATTAGGGTGATGCTCATTGGTGAGTGTCGTGGGTTTCCCCTGGATGGAAGAGCAAAGCAGTCGTGTAGGTGTGGAGGGTTCAGGTAACTATCCTGAGTGGCTTTCCTCGACACAGACTGGCGGTCAGCTCACTGGGGCACGCGCTCACTCCGATGGACCTCTGGAGCTGCATAGTATGGATGCCCTGGTACATCACGTGCATCCGAACCCTGCCCTAAGTTGCAGCCCCATTCGTCCAGCCAAATCCAAGCCGCGAAAGCAACGACAGAACTAGTCCATGCTGCGCTCGCGACAAGTCTTCAAGATGGCTGAGCAAACTGCAAAGAAGCTCAAGACGGGCTCCCCCTTGATCGGGACACACAAGTGAGATTGGACCTGGCTGTTGACCGACAATTACTGACATCCGCAGCGGCCATTTCCACGCCGATGAGGCTCTGGCCGTCTATCTGCTGCGCCTGCTACCCTCCTACGCCTCCTCGCCGCTCGTCCGCACCCGCGACCCGGCCCAGCTGGAAACATGCCACACCGTCGTCGACGTGGGCGGCGTGTACGACCCCGCCATCAACCGGTATGACCACCACCAGCGGACATTCACGACCACATTCCCACAGCACACCACCAAGCTGTCCTCCGCGGGCTTGGTCTACATGCACTTCGGACGGGCGATCATCGCGCAGCACATGTCCCTGCCGCAGGACCATGCCGATGTCGATCTGCTGTACGAGAAATTGTACACGGACTTCATCGAGGCCATTGATGCCAACGACAATGGCGTGTCCGTGTATGACCCCACGGCGGTGGCGGCCGTCCGTCTCGAGAAGCGGTTCAAGGACGGCGGCGTCACCCTGGCCTCGATCGTGAATGACATGAACAACCCCGACCCGACCTGCCCGCCGGGCGAGCCCCAGGATGAGGATAGCCTGTTCGGCCGGGCGAGCACGCTTATCGGCAATGTCTTCGCGCGGAAGCTGCACCATGCGAGCACGTCGTGGCTCCCGGCCCGCACAACGGTTGGCTCCGCGTATAGCTCGCGACGCGAAGTCCATCCGTCCGGGCGCATTATCGTCTTGCCGCAGGGTGGTGTTCCCTGGAAAGAGCACCTGTACAACTTCGAACAGGAGTCATCAGGGGAGGAAGCGGTCGATCCGGCGGCCGAGGTGTTTTATGTTCTGTACCCCGAGAACGCGACAGAGGGGGCCAAGTGGCGCGTGCAGTGTGTCTCGGTCTCGGAGAGCAGCTTCGTCTCACGGAAGCCCCTCCCAGAGGCGTGGCGAGGCGTGCGTGACGAGGATCTGGACGGTGTTATGGCTGCGGAGGCCGAGAAGGCGGGCCAGGCTAAGATCCCGGAGGGTGCCGTATTTGTTCACGCCAGTGGGTTCATTGGTGGGCATCAGACCAGAGAGGGCGCGATGGCCATGGCTGTCCGCAGCCTTGAGCAGTAAAATGTTCGACTGCGCAGGATACGGAGTACTCAACAAAAAGTTATGGAAATTGGAGGGGGTTATGAAATTTTTTGAATTATATGATGATAGCAAAGATCAAAGCACATTTACGTACTTCATCCTGACTTCCATGGCTGCGTAACCGGATTTCCTGCATCGAAGTTTGCTGTCGTGGAATTCCTCGTCTGCACTCTATGGAGGAATGGATTGGTCTGGAGCTGGCTGCGCAGACGAACTGACCTTCGACAGGCATTCAAACGCAGGCGTAGGATATCCCTTCTGCAGAAGTGGTCTGGTCGGGTGTCCTTGCGAGGAGTATTCGCCATAGTCTCGTATATTCTCATCCAGTGGCATTTTCGGCGTGGGTCGGAAATTTCGAGGGTTTCGTCTTCGGCGTCGCAATCCAGAGACCAAAATCGACCCGCGCGAGTCGAGCTGAAAGGGCTGATGTTTGCTCTCGCATCATCAATTCAGTGACGAATGTTCAACGAGCTGATATCTTCAATACTGCCGGATCCATCCCCCGAGGCCGACATATCCTTCGCGTCAACACGAGCGCCGAGCATCTCCTCACGCTCACCTATTGCTCGCTGGACAAGCTTCGCCTTCATGGCAGCACCTTTCAAGCGCTCGTCCACATCGTTGACCGCCTCTTCCGTGTTCGACATATCCAACGAAGCAGGGTCGACCAGCTCCAGAAGCGTTTGGAGGTTTCGGGTCAAGCGCGCACTGTGTGCGGGGAGGGTGGGCATTTCTCGGCAGACGGAGGGATCCAGAATGTCCGATTCGCTGGTCGATTGACTGTGAGAGACCTTTGTCAGTCTCTGAGCCCAGACAAGGGCCTTGCCGTAGAGTCGGCCCATCTCGACGAATTTCTCGAAGCCCTTCTCGACGGCGAATACGCTTCCTTCGGTGTATCCCGCCTCTGTGCCATCCGCAGCGCCCAGATCATAGCCCTCTTGATAGAACTGCTCCTCAAGATCGAGGAGGCTATCGAGAAGGGACTCCTCCATGGTGGTTGGTGGTTGGATGTAGGAACCCAGACTGGGCGGGTAGCTCCCGTGAGTCAAGTCACAGCCCACTTTCGTTCTTTGATTTTCCTTAACTAAGCCCCTCACATTATTTTCTTTCTTCCTCCTCCAACAGCATCACCCACCATGGCCGCAACAGACCCCATCCTGCCCAAGGACGGCGAGCGGAATATCCTGATCACGTCCGCCTTGCCCTATGTCAATAATGTGCCGCACCTGGGCAATGTCATCGGCTCTGTGCTGAGTGCGGATGTGTTTTCGCGGTATGACTCAAACCCTACCTGCCCGCAATGGCATCGTTGCTGATTTCAATCGCCAGCTACCACAAGGCCTGCGGTCGACGAACCCTGTACATCTGCGGTACGGACGAATACGGCACCGCGACAGAAACCAAGGCGCTCGAGGAAAAGGTGTCGCCGGAGGAGCTCTGCGCCAAGTACAATGCCATTCACCAGGAAGTGTACAAATTCTTCGACATTGGCTTCGACTACTTCGGTCGCACTCCGACACAGCAGCACACGGAGATCACGCAGAGCATCTTCATGCGCCTATACGAGAACGGGTGTCTAGCCGAGCAGACCTCCGAACAACCCTTTTGCGAACAGCACGGCTCGTTCCTAGCAGACCGCTACGTCGAAGGAGAATGTCCCCGGTGCCACTACGACGACGCACGTGGTGATCAATGCGACAAATGTGGCAATCTCATCGATCCTTTTGATCTGATCAAGCCCCGCTGCAAACTCGACGGGGCAGCCCCGGTTCGCCGTGAGACGAAACACGTCTACCTGCTGCTTGATAAGCTACAGCCGGAGATCGAGAAGTGGGTGCACTCTGCCATCGAAAAGGGTGCTTGGCCGAAGAACTCGCGCGTCATCACCGAGTCCTGGCTCAAGGAGGGGCTGAAGCCCCGTGGGATCACAAGAGATCTGAAGTGGGGCGTGCCTGTCCCGCTGAAGGGCTATGAAACTGGCAAGACGTGAGTTAATTGATTTGCATGTAACGATGGACTCCCTGCTGATACCTACTAGGATCTATGTCTGGTTCGAGGCTTGTATTGGCTATCCGTCTATCACAGCCAACTACACAAAGGATTGGGAGCAGTGGTGGCGTAACCCAGAAAACGTGCAACTGTACCAGTTCCTTGGCAAGGATAACGTGCCATTTCACTCCGTCATCTTCCCCGCTAGTCAGCTCGGAACTAAGGACAAGTGGACCATGCTGCATCATCTGAGCGCCACGGAATATCTGAATTACGAAGGCGGGAAATTTAGCAAGTCCCGCGGTGTTGGTGTATTTGGCACTACTGCGAAGCAGACCGGTGTGCCCCCGGACGTGTGGCGGTACTATTTGCTGAAGAACCGGCCCGAGACTGGCGATACGCAATTTGAGTGGCGTTCGTTTGTGGAAGCCAACAACAGCGAGCTGTTGGCCAAGTACGGCAACCTGGTAAACCGGGTGGTGAAGATTGTGGCTGCCAAGTACGATTCGGTCATCCCCGAATTTGCAGTGCCCAATACCGAGATCTTCAATGACTTCCTCAAGGAAGTGACGGATTTGATCCGCCAATATATTGGTGAGATGGAAAGCGTGCACCTGCGCGCCGGTGTGCACACGGCTATGAAGATCGCCGAAGCCGGCAATGGTAAGTCGTTTTCCGCGGAACTACTAGTGCCTCGTCCGAGGGATTGACATCTTGCTAGGTCTGATCCAAGCCAATCGGCTCGACAATGCTTTGATTGCCAACGAGCCCGAGAAGGCCGCCGCTGTGGTGGGCACCGTCCTAAATCTGATCTATTTGTTGTCTAGCGTCTTTGCGCCGTACATGCCTGCATCATCCAAGTCGATTTTGGAGCAATTAGATGCACCATTCCTACTAATCCCTAGTCTGGAGAGCATCAAGGATGGATGGAAGCCAACGGCGCTCAAGCCCGGTCACAAGATCGGCAAGGCGCAGTACCTGTTCTCGCGGATCGATCCGAAGAAGGCGGATGAGTGGCGCGACATGTTCGGTGGCTCTCAGGCGGATCGAAAGAAGAAGGACGAGGAAGCCGCCAAACTAGCAGCTAAGAAAGCAGCTAGCAAGGCAAAGAAGAAGGAGAAGAAGGAGAAAGCCAAGGGCCCGGCTCCTCCTTCCGGTGGCGTCGAGGCATCCGCGAAGGGTGGTGCCGGTGCGAACCGTCCTACTGTCGCGACGGAGGGCAACGACGACGAAGCGGTCGACAAGATCGCCGATGGCGTGTCTCAGGTGACGCTGCCGACGTCGTAGTCGTGGTAGATTTCATCGGGTGCGGGATTCCGGCGCATGATTTGAGTGAACAATGGTTGGGTATCTTTTGGGCATGGCATAGGGGAGAAATAGTTAAAGGATGAAGTGTTGTTTCCAATGATATCTGGTCGTTTAATCTCCGGAAGCGCCGATATAGTCCTGCTGGAAGTTAGTGTACTTTTTTAGTGTACTTTTTGCCAGATGGGACCCATTTGTACCATCGGCGCGGAAGTAGAGCCCACTGCCCCGATTGGTACGGGGCTTCGGCGGGCGGGACATCGGGGAAACGGGATCCCAGTAATTCGGAGACGGACTGATTGACATCATGCGCAGGATTCAAGAACTATACCGAGGTCGTTATAGACATTCACGGTTAGCCAATGTAGGCAGGTAGGATGAGAGGAGTCCATGAATACCAATCACAGCTGGTGGAGAAGTATCCTGGCCCCGGGGTTTAACCGGGGGGAGTCCAGTAGTGAGAGTTTGTTTTGGGGGGATGTTGGGCTGCTGTGCTGGACGGGCTACACAGCCCGTTCCGGGAGCGGTTAGGCGGGAAATAATCCAGGGAGGGGCGAGTCGGTGAAGACTTCACGATGCAAAACTTGGATTGGAGATCAGGTTGGAGGTGCTCGTGACCGACTCTCCAGCAAACAATGGAGATTAACGATGATTACGATGATGATTATGGACGAGGTGGAATCAAAGATATATAAATGGGGACCAGAATCCGGAGAATGGATCGAGATCTCTAGTTCCTTCTGCACAGAGCCAGAAACAGAAGTACCTTATCTGCCTACATCTTGATTCTGTCTTCCATCTACTACCCGCCCACTATGGACCAATCCAAGAAGGACACCACCCAGAACGTCAACCCCGAACCGAAAAACCTTGAGGATATTCAAGCCTACCAGAGGAAATGGGATGAGCTCATGAAAGATACAGATAGGCAGATTAAGCAGATCCGAGGTAGGCATAGAACTATTTAGCTATCATATGCAGAGTGCACACTGACAGGTGAATGAATGGCTGTATAGAAGAAGAACGCCGCCGCGCGGCCCTGCAGCAGGCGCAGCAGCAGCAGCAACAGAAGGGGTCTCGATAGCGGACTCCAGTCACATGCATGATGATGGAACTAGAGTTGGAGTTTTTGGGATTTTAGGGATTATTGTTTCATTGCACCGTTACAGGGGATTCGGGGAATCGGAACCGGGAGAGAAGTAGTTACGGAACATACTAGGAATTGACGGGGATTATTATTGATTCGATCGTCTACTTGTTCGTATCGGAGGGGCCCGAACGGGTATCGCCAAAAGGGGCCAATGGGCGAACCTTTGCTGCCTGTCACCACCATCCCACTAGTAGTCAACTACTCCTCCTCCTATACTAACGAGCAAGTGGAGTCGACGATGTCCCTTGCTGTAACTAGAGCATGTCATCATGAAAGTCGGTCAACAACACTCGTCAGTCCAATCACAGCCACTCCCTCCCTCCGTTTCTCACATTGAATCGACACTAATAAACTCACAGCGAGTATGACGATGATGGGTCCCTCCCCCTCCGGGCCACCGTCCACAATGCCACCGTCCTGCTCAGCGGGGCGCTTCTCGCGGCCCTCGCGGCGCTCGTTATATGGCAGGTGTCCCAGCTGCACGTCCGAGCCCCGGTCTTACCCCGTCCACTGGACACTGCCCTGCGCCGGGTGACCGCCATTCTAGCCTGGTGCAGCCGGCAATGGTTTATCGGCTCGCTGATCACCTCGCTGGTCATGCAGATGGTCATCCTGCCGTGCTTTGAACAGTGGATGGGAGGTCGTAGCAGTCAGGATGCACCGGGGTCCTGCGCCCCATCGTTGACATGGAATAATAACGAGGGTCCGGCCAAGTGGACTATAGCGGTCGACGATCCCGAGGCCCTGTTTTTGACCCTGGCGGCGATGTTGGGACCCGATGGAGTGACGATGAGTAAACTCGAGTCGGCCATGGCTGAACATACAAAAACAGCCACGACAACAACAGGGTGAGGGAAGAAGAGCAGGGGTTATTTGTGCCCTAGACAGATAGAATAAGAGGATATCCTATTCAGCAACAATGAGTTTGTTTCTTCCGGTGGCTATCTAGCAGTGTCGGTATAGTTGGGGTTGGTGATGCTCGTTGCTGCTCCTGCCTCAGGCATCAACAGCTTCCTTTCAATCCCCCCACATCGTCACTTACTCACTTTCCGTTCTCAACAATCCTTCCAAACGATCATCATGTCCGCCGAACCAGAAAACCCGTCTCCCGCTGAATTGGCCGCCCGTGAGCATGACGAGCAAGACCGCAAAGCCCGCGAGGCCGCCGAGCAGGCCCAGCTGCCCTACAAATGGACGCAGACCATCCGCGACGTGGACCTGACCGCCCCGATCCCTGCCAACATTAAGGGCCGCGATATGGAGGTGGTGTTGACCAAGACCAAGATCCGTGTGGCGGTCAAGGGGCAGGAGGCGATCATCGAGGTGCGTCCTGGCAATCAGTAGCTCTACGCAATGGTGGAAATGGGAATGCCGAGTCTAAATTATATCTTAGGGCGACTTCCCCCACCCGGTCGTCGTTGACGAATCCTCCTGGACGCTAGAGACCACCCCGACCCCGCCGGGCAAGGAAGTCAATATCCATCTAGACAAGGTGAACAAGATGGAATGGTGGCCGCACGTCGTGACGACCGCCCCGAAGATCGATGTCAGCAAGATCACGCCCGAGAACTCGAGCTTGAGCGATTTGGACGGCGAGACGAGGGCGATGGTCGAGAAAATGATGTATGATCAGCGGCAGAAGGAGACGGGCGGGATGACGAGTGATGAGCAGAAGAAAATGGATCTCCTCAAGAAGTTTCAGGCCGAGCATCCTGGTAGGCACTCTTCTTTTTTCGGGGTTGAAAATGGGGTGGTTTACTAACTAATTGTATACAGAGATGGATTTTTCGAATGCCAAGATGGGTTAGGATAGTTACCCAAACAGAGTGTATGAAGTATGAAGCATGTGCATTAGAATGAATCATGAATTGCCCTGTCCAGAAAGATGTAAACTGAGCCTAATTGTACGTCCCACTATGATGACTGATGCTGGGCCGAATACGAGCGTTGCCCCGTTCCGGTCCCGCCTTCGCCACCCACCTGGACCTCGCATCTACATCTTCATCGACATGTTTTGACCCATGAAACGACCGGGCTGAATTCGACACTGCCTCCATACCCGTCTGCTGAGCCACACGCTGACCGGGCCACTACCAGCTAGAATCAGCCCTAAAGAAAACCTTCGATTCCGTTTCTATTCGAAGGCCATCCCATCGTACAGTAGTTCTGTACATTATCCACACCCCAATGGCATCTGGCATTATGCAGGGACAGAAAAGCGTATTTCGATTACAGAACTATAAAGCACGAAAAGCCCTGACCGAAGACTCCAGCGAACGCAGCTACCACGCTCGTCGACCACATCGCAAGTCCCGAGCTGGCTGTTTAAATTGTAAGCAGCGGCGAGTCAAGGTAGGCAGCCGCCCTGTTTACTTTTCTTCTGGAAAAGAATCGCATGGTTTGCTGATTGGTCCAGTGTGACGAAACCAAACCCTATTGTTTAAAATGCCAAAAACATGGCGTCGAGTGCGACTACACCGGCGAACCCAAGCGCCCACCGAATAAACAAAACATCATCACCAGATTCATCGAACATGATCCTCAACTAATCTCCGTTGATCGCCTGGCATCATCCATGTCTCTTCTCCTGGTCGCAGAGCGGATGAATGACCTGCTCTCACTCCCAGCAGCCAAAAAGCCACCCAAACACCCGATAGACGCCCCGGAAAGGTTGTGCGGTGTCGCAGCGTTACAGCATTTTCATAATGTCACGGCATCCACCATCAGCGCCACCAATGCCGTAACAGATACGATGCTGACCCAAATGACCAAGCTTGCCTTCGAGGTCAGATCCTCCACTCTATGCATACAAAGCACCAAAAACTGATCATTCCTAGACCCCATTCCTTATGCATGCCATTATAGCAGTGGCAACGACGCACATATGCCGGATATCGCCCGACAATAGCGGATACCGCATTGCGGAAGCGTATCACTGGCAACAAGCGGTCACCCAATACTCGAAGGAGGTAGCCACTAGTATCACGCAGGCCAACATGGACAAACTCTACTCAGCCTGCATCCTTCTCACCGTTCATTCATTTACATTAAAAGAGTACAACCCACATGATTCATTCGTGTTCAGTGACGATCCCGCCGCTCTAAACTGGTTGTTCCTCCAAGGCGGAATGCGGTATCTCCTTGAAAGGACAAACCAATGGTTGCCGCAGAGCATGTGGTTTGAGAATTTCATGCAAGTGCGCGACGACGCCTCGGTCGATTATGAGGACTCCCGGCCGGGACGAGTTGATCTGGATCCTGACCTCGCCGATCTCTGCGGGATCACCGAAGCGTCCACCGTAGCCAATAACCCATATTTATGGCCGCTTCGCATGCTAATGCAATTTCTCCCTCTCGAACGAACCTCCCCAAATTTCAGGACATATTTCAACTGGGCCGGCAGACTGGAGCCTGAATATCTGCAGTGTTTACTGCAGAAAGAGCCCCCCGCGATGATTCTTCTGGCATGGTGGCTGGCACTGATGTGCGGTACTAATGTGTGGTGGCTTGATGCGCGCGTTCGGTCAGAGTGTACTGCTATCTGTATGCGATTGGAGGATAGTGAGGATCCGCTGGTGCTACGGTTGCTGGAATTCCCGGCTGAGCAGTGCGGGTATATTCTTCGACATGTGCAGGAGCAGGCATGTATTGAATTAGAGACGGATCTTACTATGGCCTAAAGCTGGGTACGGCAGCGGTTGATATACACAACTACTCATCAACTGAAAAACCGTCACCATAATACTTTTGTTGTATGACTTTATCACCTCCCCCAGGAAACCATATTCGTAAGCCGCATAGTGCATGCAGAAGCTTTCAACAATAGATAGCCGAGGAAGCATTTACGTGAGGGGCCAGAAACCCCAATCCATGGTCAGTAGCTGGCTGCATGGCCGTATAGTGTGTTAAGCGTACCGAGGGCATCAGTGGGGGAATTTCACCCAGAGCCTTGGGCTGTCAGGCGGGAAAGAAGGGAGGAACAGATAGTATCGAAGATCATAAAGTATGAAAATTCTGGTGATACTGTCAGGAACTCCTTCCATAAACACACACCTTTCTATAATGTACTTCAAAGTAACATATAAGGCTAACCCCGAAGTGGACTAGATAGGCCCACATCAATCTACTTGACAACTACGTTAGCTCGCATTTCTATCTTCTTTTTTGCCCTGCACCATGGAGCCTGTGCCCGATGATCAGACACAGAAGCGTGCCCACATGAGAGACAAATACAGCCAAGCGGTGCCAGACCTTGTCCAGGCACTGGACTCCCAGTCACAGGATGCTTATCGAAGTGATGAGCTGTCCTTGGAGTTTCCCTTGGATCATTCGACCCCAAGGATGAAGATTTTCTCGATTCCGAAGCCTGTCACTTTGCGCATCTGTCCGCGGGAATGCTTAGAAAGTATTTTCTGGTCGAGTCCGAACTTGGTGGAGGCTCTCTCGAGTACTACCTCAAAGTTTGACGAGATTTACGATCACCCTATGAATGTGAAAAATTCCCCCTCTTCTTACATTGTGGCGGAGAGAGCATACCAAATCTTCAGTCATCTGAATACTCTCTACTGCCACTAGATAAAAACGACTGCGAGGGGAAGTCTCTGAATAGGCCCAGATCAAGTATGTTAGAAGCGGCTGGTTTATTAAATTCCATACTAATGCATGGTTTAAATAACTTAGGCACGGCAATCTGTTTTACGATTGGCCAGAAGGACTGATACATGGTCTCTACCATGGCTTTCAAATTGGAATACTGAGGCTATGCGCGAGCGGCAGGGAAGATGAGGAGGACCCAGCGACAACGTATCCTCACCTTATGCTCGTCATGTGCTCTGTCGCAGAGGCGACGGACGACGAGCTACTCTTTGGTGAAGTAGGACCCATCATGCAGGCAATCCAAAACCGCATCAGCTTGACGGAGATTGAGAAGACATCCCTGTTTCGGTATATCATAAATAGTCTATCCTTCCACATCCCTAGCACACATGCTAACATATGCTTTTTGGACCTGATAGATGCTAGTCATCTCGCTTTTCTTTTTGGCTAAGGATATGGCATCTCCCACATGCCAAATTCAACATGTCTGGTATCTTAAAAGTCCGAGCCTCGCCCATCTACAGCTTTCGATACAAGATGGAGGTGTCCTTCAAACTTTTCCTTAAATACTATGCCTGCGATCCTCGATATGGCCCGGATTACAAATTTTGTAGCGATTAGGAGAATGCACCTACGGCCCTCGAGTATGTCTCCCCATCACTCGAGCCTGGCAAAGGAAAATATTCCTCCAAAAGAAGAAACGCTACTTCTGCTGAAGAGCCGTGAGATCTGCATTCCCTTGTGTTGACTAGAAGTTCTACAAGGTCCGACTGATAAAAATGCCTTGCATTCCATTTGAAATCGAAACAGGAGAGGGAGAGGGCAATAAGTGCTCTACAATGAGTACTTCAATTATCATCGTGAATATCAGCAACCTATTTTGACCATCTTGTTCGAAATTGCGCTCTTTAAAAAACCAACCAAAACCCTTTTCAGAACATATTTGAGGAGCTTTTTCGCCTGACTCTGGGAAGGCGTCTTCCACTCTTACCTCGTCGATGAATTAGGGCCCAGTCTAGGAATAGAAAATACCCCAATAGGCAGAGCCCGTCCCGCGGCTGACATGTCAGAATGGTCAGCATCAGGACGGAAGGATAATGCTCGGAACTTACACCGAGAACCTACACTGAGGGATTTATTTTTTGCCGTTTACTCTTCACCTATAGAGGGAAACTAAGCTCATCTACCCTTTAGCGAATCTGGAACGCTCCTATGACAAAGCCTTTGAGATGCGGCGATATCTCTCTAGCTTTATATTCGCCCAAAAAATCCCTCATTCAACACCAAAAAGCCAACTCAAAAAGAAAGAATCAACCAATGGAATTGGCATTCCACCAGCCGAACTCAGGTCGCAGTCCCGACCTTCCAATTCTAGGCTCTTTGTTAGAATTCGTTAAAGAACTTTTATTTCCGAACGGTCGGAAGTATGGTAGAATAACATTTGCTCTTTTATCATCCTCCTCCGAGACCTATTTGACTAATGAATCACCAGAAGATTCTACATTTCCCGATACCTCTTTCATGCAGTCATTTAATTAACGAAGCGAGCTTCCTGGATCTTTCCGAAGGAGAAAGCCCATGGGCAGCTTGAGAATGCAGAGAGATGCCCACCCTCGCATTGCTAAACTTTAATATTGCCTACGCGGCTCTTTGTGGGGCCCGCCCCCGGGGGAGGGGGGGGGGGGGGTTGTCTCCCTCTTTAGATTGGTATCCTCTCTATACGAAGAACAATTTTTACTATCCGAAGCTCGTAAGTGACCTGCAGGGTCTATAGAAAATGATGATTTCTGACTCGCACACCGTAATATCCGTGTTGGCTGGTGTCGCTTTTTCGTCACATGCAGCCAACTTCATCAGGCCTAATGACTACGCTTTTCATTCAGAGCTGAATCTTGACACTATCACCTTACATTTTAATCGCCTAATTTTTGGTTTCCAGCTATCTATTGCTGGGGTACACCTCCCTAAAGGGTATCCCCGTTCGGCTAGGAATAAACCATCGCGCCACGCTATGTGACCCAGTGGAGGGAAGGGGCGGTGCAAAGGCATTGGACTAGATAATTCCCTCTCATCCCAGCCCATCCGCTACCCTCCCAGGTTGGCCTGCTCCCAGCACAGAGCAGGAGAGCTATAGCTGACGATAAGCAGGAGTGCGTTAAATTTAGTTTCTCGTTGTCATCGTTGTCATTTCCATTATTTCATTCCAAATTCTATTGGTCTTCTCCTAGTGCACCTGCCATGTGGCTATATCTGAAAGCTTGACTCAATGTGAGGCTTGTTTGCGCTGAGCTACAAAAGTGCTTCATTCTTTTTTACACGCTGTCAACCAACAGGTTTAATAATGACGAATCCGAATACAGATGAGACAGAGAGAATAGGAACTGTCTAGAGGAGTGGTGTCTGGAGGAGTGGCGTGTACTAATGAGTCTGAGCTTGCTGGGTTTCCTTATCTTTCATCGTTCCAGGGAGATCTCACTCGGACCCAAGGTTTACAGAAGATTACTGCGTCTTTGAGGGATTTTCCGAGTTCTTGCAATATATGAAGCAAACATCCATGATAAATAAGCCTTAAAGCTAAATAAGCCCGGCCGCCCGTGTTGGACTCTTTACTCGTTTCTACATAACTATCGTTAGTCGAGTTCCTTGCTCTTGCACCACCCCATCTGTGAGCTTGCGTGGCATGTCTACTTCCATCGAACTCGGCTCGAATGCTCTCCAGCCGATCATTTCGAGCGGTGGTGGTGTCTACTCCAAGAGAAAGGGACAAAAGAGCATCGACATCCCAGCAGCGGTCGATGGTAAGATCGTGGAGGAGGATGATTCCATCATCGAGAAAGACGTGGTCGATGAGCGCGATGTGAGGAAGAAGCAGGTGCGCAGTTTTCCGGTTCTGGGTCCGTATTTCATTAGCTGATTTTCCCAATAGTTGTTCAGCCGATTCCAGACGTTATGGTAAGCAGATCTAATCCCCCGGTCCGGGAACCCTAACTCGATATATCTAATGCCTTCTACGAAAGGCTTGCATATCAGTCCATTGGTGTCATTTACGGTGACATTGGTACCAGCCCTCTATACGTCTTCTCGTCTACCTTCAGCGGGAACCCAAGCTACGATGACCTGGTTGGCGCCTTGTCACTCGTTATCTGGAGTCTGACTATCATGGTGACAATCAAGTATGTTTTGATTGTCCTATTTGCCGACGATGAAGGTGAAGGAGGAACCTTCGCTCTCTTTACCCTAATATCGCGATATGTATGCGAGTCCTGCAGACCCTTAAACAGGCTTTCCTCACTCATTATTTCAAGGCACACCTCATCGAGCGCGATCCCCGAGAAGAACGGTCCATCAAAATGGAGCGTTACAACACCAATGAGATGCATCGGCCTAACAAAACCTTGCGATCCTTAATAGAGCGCAGTAACATCATGAAGTGGTTTTTCAAAGTCGTGGCGGTAGGTGGCGTGGGCCTCCTTATGGCTGGTGAGTAGCGCCAGCCGAAGAATGGGGTGTCTAGCTGTCGCTGACTGGAACCAGATGGTGTTCTAACTCCAGCTCAATCTCTCCTGGGTGCCATTCAAGGGTCAGTATCCTGAAACTCTCTCGGCACGTGAATCAAGTCTGAAGGTCTATTTTAGAGCTACTGTTGTGAACCCAAACATTGGTTCTAACGTCGTGATTGGTGTGTCCTGTGCGATTATCGTCTTGGTTTACGCTGTTCAACCATTTGGCACGGGAAAACTGGGCATAACATTTGCACCTATTGTCATTATATGGCTGATGTTCAACTTCGCGTTCGGAGTTTATGTAAGTACCAGATGCGTTCATGCTATCCTAGTGGCTATAGTGGCTCAACTAACGGTCCTAGAACTTGGTGCATTACGACGCCTCGGTCTTCAAAGCCTTCTCCCCATATTTCGCCGGAGCTTTTCTCGTCCGTAATGGCCACAACGGTTGGATGCAGCTCGGTGGTATTCTCCTGGCCTTTACAGGTGTGGAGACCTTGTTTGCCGACCTAGGTGCTTTTAACAGACAGTCTGTTTTGTCCACACCCTACTCACACGAGGTCTCGCTTAGCTGACTATAATACCAGGGCCGTTCAAATTTCATGGTGCTGTTACGCCTATCCGTGCCTTTTGATGGGGGTTCGTTTCCCGCTTTGAAATAGATATACCCCTGTTGTGTTGCATTATTGCTAATATCTCATCTTCGCCAGTATATCGGACAAGCCGCCTACATCAGTGTCATCCCCAGCGCATGGGAAAATCCTTTCTACCTGACGGTTCCACCTGGAATGCTCTGGCCCAGTTTGATCTTCGCAGTTCTCGCCTGCATCGTCGCCAGTCAAGCTGTTATCACAGGCGCTTTCCAGGTATGGCCGCAAGGAGCACCTACTGATCCGGATTATCACTGACATTTAACCAATTGGTCCACAGCTCCTGTCCCAAATTATGAAACTGTCCTACTTTCCTCAGCTTAAGGTGGTGCACGTATCCAAGTCTCAGCATAACCAGATCTATATTCCGTTCGCAAATTGGGTCCTCATGATTGGAACAGTCATAGTGACTGCGGTTTACACCAATGTAAGAAACCCGGATTCCTCTTCCCCATGGTTAATTCCACCGTGGTGTCATGCAGAAGCTGACTATGGGCTGCAGACCACTAATCTCGGCCATGCCTATGGCGTTTGCGTTATCCTGGTCACCTTTCTGACCACTAACATGGTCTCCTTGGTTGCTCTCATTGTGTGGCGGCTACCTATCTACATTGTACTCCCTGTCTATATCGTCTTTGCGCTGTGGGATGGGATGTTTCTGTCCGCTTCACTGACAAAGATTCCTCTTGGTGCATGGGTCACTCTCATGATTGCCGGTGTGCTGACTTCCATCTTCGTTATTTGGCGCTATGGCAAAGAAGAGCAATGGAAGGCAGAGGCCGCGGACAACGTGCCTCTGTCCCAGGTCGTCCGCTTCCAATCTGATCTTGAGAATGAGGAGTCTCTTCAGCTTCAATTGATAGAAGGTCTCGGCCAGGCCCCTATCTACCAGACTGATGGGCTCGGCATCTTCTTCGACAAAGCCGGGAGTCAAGCCGTTGCTCCGCATGTCCTGGTGCAATTTCTCCAGAAATTCAGGGCTACTCCTAAATTCATGGTTCTTTTTCACCTACACCCCCTCCCGGTGCCAACAGTGGAACCTGAATATCGATACACAGTCTCCCGCTGCTTCGCCAGCCGGGCTAACGGCCAAGGAAAAGCGCCTATTCCTCACTGCTTTCGCCTGGTGGTGCGCTACGGATACACCGATGAGGTCATCACGCCCAACCTGGGTAAGCTCGTCACAGATGCCGTCCGTACCTTCCTACTTGGTGAAGATCAGGCCAGAGATGAGATTCGGCTCTCGCTCAAGGCTCTGGACCGTGCCTATAATGACCAGGTCACTTATATCGTGGGGAAGAACCAGCTGTGTATCAAGAAAGGTACCAACTTTTTCCGGTGGGCAGCCTTAACTGCATTCGTTTGGATTCGTTCGATCACCTCTGCTAAGGTGCAACGTCTAAATGTCGAGGTTGACCGTCTGGTTGAAGTGGGATCTTTACGGGAAATTTAGATAGGGAGTGGGAGTTATGGGGAGCGGGCTGGTCAAACAGAGCTAGGTACTTTTGTAGGTTTCTTGATGACGGTTTACTAAGTAAAAATTTGCTAAGTTAGTCCCTTTTACCTCAAAGGGTTTGGTGGAATGCAGTGCATTCCATTAGGGGTTTTGCTTAAGTATAGGAAAGAAAACAAGGCCATTGAGTGTATTTTCATTAAACCATCAAGAGATTTCTGATTACAAATAGATTGCCTTGTCGGATCTACAAGCTATTCTCTTCTAGATCACCTCTACTTGTTAGCTTATCTTATCCCTGAGCAAAACCGCATACTGCGAATAGCCATCTTGGGAATATGCTTGCTAGTCTATAGTAGAGAAGTAGCTCAAATCCGCCGTCTGAACGTAAGCGTTCGGGGCCGCGCCAACAATAGAAGCTGTCTCTTCAGTGTAGTCAAGGGTAGATGTTGCGATAGCCGACATAGTTACTCTTTGGGTCTTACCAAGCGCCTGATTCTCCGTTCTAGCTATAGGACTAACCTTTAGGATGCGAAAATCCTACAATCGATCTTTCAAGGGATAAAGGAATCTGTAATTGATAAATAGAGTTCTATCCTGCAACGAATTGCAGTCCTGACAAAACCTTGGGAGCTAAGTACATACTACCCTTAACATTCATTGCAATTATACATCCGAAAGCCAATGAGCGAACTTGAGCTAAAAGCAACACAAAAAAAGTACTGCTGGCATTTACCACTGGGGCAACTTCGAAGTCCATTTATGGAGAAAGTCAATACGTCGCTGCTCCATGGAGATCGGGCCCATACCCCACGAGTTACCCAGCCACATGGTCTCAGTCTTCTTGCCGGAGGCGCGCCACTTAGGCTGGCCGCTTCCATTAGGATTTCCAGAGCGAATGAAGTTGGCCCAGTAATCCGCCATCTTCTGCTCAACAGCGTAGTCGTACTCGGTCCAGGTCACGTTGGAATACGAGGCGTAGGGGATGTTATTAAAGGTGTACCACAGCTCGGAGCCATGATAGGCACCCTCGTCCTTGTTCTCGGCGGGCGCGTGAGTGAAGTAGTAAGTGTACACAGGGTTCTTTGCACCCCCAGCGGCCCAATCGATGGCCCAGTGCCAGGTACCGACACGGCTGAGATCACGGTAGAATTCTCTTGCGCTCTCGGAGGCTTGAGTCTCGTTCTTGCCTGGGTAGAGTTCGAAGAATTCGTCCCCAAGATCACTGCCAAACAGGTTGCCGTAGAGATGGTGGTAATCGGCAGCGGTGTACGAGAGGTCCGGGGATGCGCCAGACTCGTCCTTGTTATTTCCGGTGAGGATAGGAACATCTGCATGGGCGTTCTTATGCAATGCCTGGCCATATTTGTTTGGGAAAACGTAGCCGTCGATGTTAGGGCGCCACATCGGGGGTTCCATGAAGATATCAGAGAGATTTGCAAAAGGTGTTCCTTCCCAGATCGTGTCGCTCAAGGAGTCGTATTCAAGAAGTGCATCCATGGAGACATTACGGAGCTCAGCAATCGACGAAACATTCAAGTTTTTAAGGAACCGGACCCCCTGCGCTTCAGCGGCGGCCTTAGTACGGTAACTGGTGGCAACGGTTCCAGTCATAGGATCGTGTATTCCACGGGCGCCGCTCTCGGAAATGATTCCACTCGACAGGCCCTTAACCAGAGGGCTGTACATCATATCCAGAGAACTAGCAGAGCCGGCAGACTGACCACCGACAACAATCTGGTTCGGGTTGCCGCCGAATTTCTGAATGTTCTCGTTGACCCAGTGGAGAGCAGCCTGCTGGTCAAGAAGGCCGTAGTTACCAGAGCTATTGTGATCGGACTCCGCGCTCAATTCGGGGTGGGCGAGAAATCCGAAGGGACCCAGTCGGTAGTTGATGGTCACGACAATGATTTCCTTCTCTGCCAATCCAGTGCCGTCATAGGTCTTGACATCACCAGAGCCGCCCTCAAAACGGCCACCATAGATCCAGAAAAAGACAGGAAGATTGAGAGAGGTGAGGTTGGTACCCTCCTTGTACGCTGGCGTCCAGATATTGAGATAGAGACAGTCCTCGCTGGTAGTGTTCTTGCCACTAGAAAATATGCCGGCATCGCTAATGGTCTGCGCACACTGTGGGCCAAACTCCGTGGCATCCAGCGCTCCCCAGTAACTCGGACCGGCCACTTGTGTCCAGCGATTGGCACCAGTCGGAGGCTGAGCATAGGGGATTCCCTTGTAGACATAGGCCTTGTCACCTCCACGGAATGGAGATACACCACCGGAGATTGTGCCGTAGTGGGTGCTGATAACAGGAGGTGAAATAGCAGAGGCAGAGGCAGGCATTGGAAGACAGGCTGTCACGCCCGCGAGTGTAAGAAGGAGCTGCATGGCCAGTGAGAGAAAGCGGCCAGTCGAAAGAGCGAACGACTTTGAACAAGAGACTGAACAATTCACTGAATTAATAATGAAAAAAGAAGGAATGAACAAAAAAGGAGAAAAGGGACACAGATTGCGTCTTCCAGGGGCGACGGAGACGATGATTTAAATTCTTCAGACGTGGGTACAAAGAAAGTATGAAGTACGCGGCCACTGCCAAATGATGCTATTTGATAGACATTGGGATGATCATCGAGCGTGTACATCCACGCTAAGAGCCCCATCTGGAGGTGGACTTGAGAAACTCCGGCTCCAAATTATGTCTGCATCGGACTCGTTTCGAACCGCTTCTCTCCTCCCCACCTCCCTCCTTCGACTCTAAATGCCGACGTAAGCTTGGTTCATCATGCCAGTTATTGTTGGGGGTGACCAACTATTTTTGAACTACGTAGACGGGTGGCAAACGTGGCTATCACACGTATGCAAGTATTGGAAACACTAATCATCGGAAATGATATTCCAGCGAAGTCCTTAGAAACTGACTCCGAGGGCGTAGCGTTTTCGCCCGCTGTTTATATTAATCAACTCTACGAAACTTCCACATTATCATCACCCCTTACTCTAAGTGGAATTGGCCGTATGGGAAGGACTCTTGACTTAGACGCGCAATAGGACCTAGGATTACTTCAAGCAAGGCTGAGGAAGATGGATCCACAAATTTCCTTCAGGCTTAACCCCGACATTAGGGTGCTTCGGGAAAGATCGACAGAGACCCTCGGCTCAAATTTCTGTAGCAGGTAATGATTGACGACATTCTTCTCAACTACTCTCTGTTCCACAAAACACGGAGTTTTATTTTCCCCTGCATTTTTGTTTCCCGCCGAGTCCCACCCGCGGACTTCTTTTCTGGATAAGGACAGGGCTGCCGCCTCTCGTGCAAGAGACTCAGCTTGTTACGTGTGCTCGGCCAGTGTCCTTTGGAAAGGGATTGACAACGCCAATAGTCTACCATGCTGCTGACTTCATGGATCCTTAAATCTGAACCGTCCAGATTTCTTCTTTGATGCAACTTAACCAGTAGGGCTTTGCCAATTCTACCATAATAGTTCTGGAAGGCAGTAAAGATCGCTATACTTCAAACTCCATTGCTCCACACGATCGTCCAATGGACTATCCTTATAGCTGCATTCTGGCTGCAGGATCGCCCAAGTCGTTGAGGCTGGGCAAGCCCGCACAGCCGAAGCGACGTCGCGTCGTCCCGCTGCGGATCCCAATATACACTTTCCCGGTCTTTCTGGGCATGCAGAATACCAGAATCCCCTTCTGGCCGGGGAGGAGCCCGAGTGCCCTAAGTGGAGAAGACCAAGACGGCATTTTATATATGTACATCCGTGTCAATCTTCTCCATCTTCGGAGATGCAACGGTCTTCCCTATTTTCTTCTCAACTCTCTTTGTTTTCTGGTTTGATCAGGCAACATGCGATTTTTCGCTGCTATCGCTATTGCAGCCTTTGCGGCCGGCTCTACTGCCGCAAGCTGTCCCTACGCAAAGCGTGCTGCTGCTGCCACCGCCTCGCCAGATGCGCATGCTCCTAAGCTGTCTAAGCGGGGGACAATTGAGGGCAAGAAGGGTGTCTTTTACAGTTGAGTATTCCCTTCCTCGTTTCGCGTCCTGGTCATGGGATATCTAAACTGACTTCATTGCTAAGTGAACCGCATCGGACCCTCGGGCTCACAGTTGTGGATCGCCAACGCGGATGGCAGCAATAAGACTCAGCTGATGGGCAACCAGACCAATGCTTTCGACTACCATCCCTCCTGGTCGCAAGACGGGGAGTGGATTGTCTTCACAAGCGAGCGCCGTGGACCGGGCCAGTCGGATTTGTACCGCGTGCGGACGGATGGAACAAGGCTGGAGACCCTCGTTGACACAGACTCTGTCGAAGACGCGGGTTCCCTATCGCCAGATGGCACCCAGGTCGCGTATGTGTCAACCAAGGGTAACCACACCACCAACATCTGGGTCAAGGACCTGAAGACCGGTCTGGCACGCAACCTGACCGACACTGCTGCCACACGCAGCAGCAATATCTGGCCCTCTGGACACTTCCGCCCCTCTTGGTCCCCTGACGGAGAGTGGATCGCCTTCAGCTCTGACCGTGACACTGACTGGACTGGCCACAGTGATGGTACTGGCTGGGAGCACACTCAGAACCTAGGTTTGTATGTGATTCGCAAGGATGGCCGTGGCTTCCGTCAGCTAGCCTTCCAGGTTGGGTACGCGCTGGGAACTCCCCATTGGTCTAGCGATGGAAAGCGTGTCATCTACAACAACATCACCAGGGAGAACACCTACTATGCTCACGGTGTCTCCGAAGAACAGGAGGCCGTTGAATCCCAGATCTATAGCGTCGATTTCGCTACTGGCAAGAACATCGTCGCACATACATCTGGCAGTTATCCTAAGTTTGGCCAGCACTACATTGGTAAATCTAGCAATGTTGGCTACCTGATCAAGGCCGGAAGTTACGAGGGAATCCACTACACCAAGCCTGATTCTACTCACAAAACCTTCAACCTGACTAACCTTCGTGACCCCTGGTGGTCGCCTGACGGATCCAAGATCGTGTATGCTGTTCCTAACTGGACTCAGCAGGCCGCTGACTTGGAGCTGTGGAGCTATGACAGCGAGTGGGCCTATCGCTACATGGACGTTTTCCCTATGCACAACCTCGCTGTAAACCGCATTGCAACCACTCAGAAGGTGTTAGGTGGCGCAAACGGCTCACTGGTGACATCTAGCCCTTCATACAAGGACCTTGTCACAGCGCTGAACTCTTACTCTATCTACTCAATTCGCAATTCCACTGAAGTGGAGTGGCTCCTAGAAGGCCAGTCGGGCGCTTTCCAGCCCACGTGGAACCCCGACGGCACTGAGCTCCTTGTCGGTTTCGGCGGCTGGTTCGCCGACCGTACTGACGTCCCCGGCGCTATTATACACGCAATGGCCGATGGCAGTTCCTTCACTAACCTGACCGGCTGGTCCGAGAACGCAGGCTTCCCCTCCTGGTCTCCTGATGGGACGGCTTACGTTTACCGTATGTGGAGTATGGACACAGGCGCACCTGGCGGTCTACATATCCACAACTTCACCACTGGCAAGACTCACCGTCTCACCCTCGGCTGGGACAACACCCCCGGGTGGTCCCCCGACGGCGAGCGCATCGTATTCACCCGAAACAATAACTGGACGGTTTCTTACGGCAACCGCTGGTATGAGGACCGCTTCGACATCTACACTATTCGCCCCGATGGATCTGAATTGACCCGCTTGACGGACAGTCTGTCCAACGACGCTCAGTGAGTTCGCAACTTAACCCTCTGCTTTCGTACATGTGTCTAGCAAGTTTTGCTGACTATTTTTCTTTAGCGCTGTCTGGTCCCACGACGGCCGCATCATGTGGAGCACCGGTATGTACGGCTTTAAGGATGAGAGCTCTCTCTTCGACAATACCTTCCAGCCCTACGGCCAGATCATGATTATGAACTACAACGGCACCAACAAGACGCTGCTCACTGATACCATTTGGGAAGATTCAATGCCGCTCTACATGCCCAATGAGTGGCTCGAGTAGGCGCCGTGCAATATGTGCCTTGCGTAGTCTGATTGGATTTGGGTTAGCATTCTCTTTCAACGAGAACTCTCTTCAACACGTACCTAAATAGAATTGATGTTGACCGTGTGTTGAGAAGCTAATATGGCGAAGTCTCTGAAATCCTTCAAGCTGAGACAATCTCTATACTATGGATCAGAATCTACCAAGACATTGGTTCATCCAAGTTGGCAGGCTATAGCATGGCGAAATGTGAACAAAACCGACTTAAAGGGGAGAATGTTGCACGTAGATGGAACTAGAGGATTGTATTTTATTTGGGATGGTCTTACTCAAGCCGCTCATCCGGCTCAGTGGATGCTCACTGAGCGATCATAAAGAGAGAATAAGGATACCAGTAATAGAATAATCCACATTCACGCGGCTCTATTAGAAACAGAAACAAAAGAGATGGAGTTTCGACTTTGGTTTCACGCTCATGCGATCGAATCAAAGTCCTCGCCCTCACGGAGTCGATTGTGCCTAACAGTGTCGCCCCCCTAAGCGGCCAGCTACCCCTAGTGCAGAGCCAGACACATGCTTTGCGGGTCGGACTTAGAGTCCTTCCCACGGCGATACATCATCTCGGCCTTGAAAGTATCGCGTGGCAGAGTGAGGAGCAGAGTCATACTTGGCAGCAGACCCGGGTAGAGGTAGAGGATGGGCAGCTCGCGTTGCGCGACTGGATTTTCTTCGTTAGCGGTGATGATCTATATCCCCTTGGCATCTTCCATGGCATGGCCAGGTAAGGGGTAGAACTCGGGCCCTTAGACTCGGTTGTACATATCATCAAGCCTCTGCTTTATATAGTTAAATCAAACCACCATGCCTCTTGTGATCCAGTCCGCTTGGGCTCATATTCAGCCACTTCATCATCAAACTGTTGTTTCATCTGGGCATTATTATCATTCGTTCGAGGAGGTTTTTTTCTTCTGAGCATTATTGTTCCTTCTTGGCGTTGCTTCTTATTGGCGCTATTTTGCTAGGCATTTTTCCTTCGTCTCTGGGGCGTTGGTCCTTCAAGGCGAGGATTGTTCTGTTGCACTATAACCTCTAACCCAACTTGTCTAGAATTAGATGAGTATGAGTTAGAATATATGACCAAATTCTGTAAGAGATACAGAGTTGTAGTGAATGGTTGAAAGATAAGTCTGTTCTACAAAACCTAACTAAACCCTGACATTCCGCCAAATTGGTTGGTGCCTTGGCTGGAAGCAGATTGGGGCTGACTTGGCGGCGTTTCTTGGCAGCGTGTCTTGGAGGAACGAAATAGAGCTAGCTGTCTATCTACTTCGGGCCAAAAAGGCTATGTTATCTTGGCTAAAAGAGGCTGCCTTGGCAATAGGTAAATAGTAAGACAGCGCCTATATACAATTGGGCAAAATCTGTTACCTTGGCGAGAGCGCCGGTACTCTATATTAGGGGCCATATTGTTACATCTTACCCGACTTTACTTCAGGGGAAGGAATTGGCCCATTTCCCCAGTTAATGTCTTTTTTATAGATTACCATAGATCCCATAAGAAAAGAATTTAAAGGTAAACGTGGGTCTACAGTCGATTTTGCTTCTCGACCTGCTTATTCTTGGATCTACTTGCCTGCCAGTTCAGTTCAGCAAAAATGCTTCCTCGAGCTGTGTCTTCGATACTTCTCACAATATGCCTTGTCATTTTAGCCCTTGATCAGCACTGTGCTGCCTCTGTCCTCAAGAAGCGTTCGGTGAAATCTCATACTAACGGCGCTACATCTCCTCCGTTTACCCCAATCCGGACTGTGCAACTGAGCAGAACAATCCGGACTGTTCAACCGAGCGATATAAGAATATTGGAGTCTAAGCCTTCAGGCAAGATCCCATTTGGTCGAAAGCAAATAAAGGGCGCCTGCCGACCCCGTGGATCTGGTGGTGGCTCTCCGACTATTTCTAAGAAGCCGACTATAACGAATGCTGCAGGAGTCCAAACAGCACCGCCCGAGAAAGGCGCATCGACGATCACCTGCGGAACACAAGGACCAATACAAGCAATGGGCCTCAGCGCCGCCCTTTGTCTCTGCCCCAGTGGAGATACAACTTATTCTCTCCCCGTCCTCACCATCCCTCTGTCCTCGGGCTACGGCCCGAAGGCCAGTTGTGCATATACGGCTATACCGAAATCCCCTGAGGCTCTGAATCCCAATCACCTCTATATGGTCTAGCACCTGGACCGACTCGACGGAGTGCACTGCTTGCACGGTATTTGGGTCACAAGAAAATGAACCGTCTTGTACGAGCGAGCCTGCGTGCACGCCATTGCCTACACAAAAAGTCACCTGGTCGAATAACACGGTGCCTGCCGGTGATTTCGATGACCCAGATACGAACTATACGCCGACAAAGAAGAAGAGAGATAACTCGCCTTCGGTGGATGTGAGTGCTGTCACTAAACGGTTGTTTGACGGGCTGGTGGCAGATGGTGGACCATGTGCAGCGACGTCGGGAGGTTGTGACAGCACGAAGTCTTTAGTGTTCGACAATGTGGCCACTACTACTGGAGATGGAGTGGATGGAGAGGAAGTGGACTTCCTCAAGTTAACGTTTATTGTCGATGATAGTTCTTTCGACGATGAATATATCCGAAACGAAATGCTAGTAGCAGGGCTCACTATGTGGGCACTAGTGACTTCTAAGAATTGCCAAAATATAACTTACAAGGCCGACGCGGATGACACAGGGTCTGGGTGCGGCCAGGGGCCCGTTCACGAAAAACGTTCACCAGTTCAACTATTATCACCACTTGAAATGGACAAGAGAAGTCCTATCAGCCCTGGTTCAGACGGCAACATAGAGAGCGGGCACATGTCATGCACCTACGAAGCCCGAGTCTGCCAAGCGCCAGATTCATTCCGTAAGTCGCTTTCCATCAAACTAATATCTTCACTGCTAATGAAGAAGCAGATGTCGTTAATGGCCCTCATGACGACCCGTATAAATACTGGTTAGACATCCAAGTCAAGTCTGAGTTGGAAGGTGGTGGGGGAGTCACATGCAAGGAGCTCTTAGGAGTGACCGAGGCTGCGATCGTTGTATTAGGGTGGTGGAATCCTGAACTAGCGGCTTCGGCTCAAGTCCAGGTAGCGAAGTTCATCGCCATGTGTTCACTCGCTCAGACCGCAGTAAATGCACTTAAAAGTGGATCTGTGAACCCAAAGGATTATATACCTTTACTGGAGAATGTGGCATCGTTTGGTACGATCACTGCGTAACGGAGTACAGTGTGAGTATAGCAACGCATAATGGGAGCGTGAATTGTTTCGTTGAATAGCTACGAAAGGACATAAGAATGTACACTAGAAGGCGCCTAAGCATAGATGGCTCCGGCTGTCCTATAATAAGATACGATAGTAGATCTCTAAGCGGTTCCATCTAATTGCAATCGCCCCGTAGCTCCTCCCTAAAGCAATACTAACAGATTAGGGTTGTAAATTAGTAGAGGGAGTTTGTTGTTGGTGGACCAGAATGTATATAATGAATTGAACTAGAATGCTTTTATCTTAAAGTCAGTCGGTGTTTAACACACCGCAGTCAGGATATGTAAAGCCTAGGACTGTTTATTCATGTCGCCTGCGGATAAACAAAAATCATAGGCTCGAAAACCCAGTGTAAACAGATATGCTACCGTAGTAGTTAAGGGATTGACAGATCTTTTGAATAGGACCCACTAGGCAATTTGTCACTGAGCTAGGAGACGGGACCACCACCAACAAGAGCCACACTAATAATGTCAGTTGTTCATTCATTGTTAATGAGAGAATAGGAGTGATGCAAACGGGAAAATGTTGCACATAAATAGAGCTAACGGGGTGCATTTCATTGGGTGGCCTTACTCAGGCCACTCATCCCAATGCTCGGGGTCGTGCTCAGTTCTACTCAGGGAGCGAAAGGCGAACACTAAGACGGAAAGAGGACGCCACGCGGCGCCAGACATTATCCAGTATGACACGTATGTACTTTCTATTATGGAAGCAGCATGTAAAATGCGAGCACGCAATTTCCACCGTGCCTATTTTCATGTTTCGTCCTGAAATTTGCTCCACAACCCATTAGGTACCGTGAAATCCACCCAGATCAGAGAAATAAAGGCAACTTCGTATATGTTCTACAATTCCATCGAATAGATAGAAGTTGCATGGTCATCGCGTCATATGCATGAAAGAGTCACAAAGAAAAGGAAAAGAAGGGTATGCGGGATCGAAAAAATTCCATGACACCGGCCCGAGGATCATCATTCGTTGGAGAGAGGGTGCCTGAAGGCAGCAAAAAGAGGAAGGGAAAGGAAGGGAAAGATGCTCTAACGACTCTCCCAGGAAATTCGTCGATGGCGACGAAGAGACTGATCGTCCGCCTCAGAACGAGCAAGACGACCGTGATGCACGCCAGCTACCCGAGCCAACGGCGGCGGGTTAATAGCTACCGCCACCGCAGACGACACAGACACGGAGCGCGAGCGAGAGAATACCGCAGAATTACGCGGGGAGTACGGCGGCGGGGGTGTTTCCCTGGTTGCCGTCGACGTATTTCCGTAGCTACTCGGAAAAGAGATGGCGGAAGAGCCGTCCGAGGTAACTTCTTCTTCGTCGTAGAGATTCCGGTTCTTTTCATCCGTGAAATATTCAGACGAAGAGACCGACGGGTCACGCATGTGAGCCTCGAGGGTTTTCTCGTGAGCACTCATAGGCCGCGGCGTGTACTGCGGCAGCGGGACCACAGTGGTATACCCCGAGCCAGTGGTGTGCGGCCCGTACTCGGCGCCAATCTCGTTGTCGACAGCACGGCGGACAAAGTCACCCTCAGCGGAGAGAGTGAAGTGGCCAGTTGGCACTCCGCTGCGGGGGTGGGTTGGGCCCCGGGAGACTTGCATCTCCGGGCGTGAAGAAGAGGAAGAGGGCGTGGTCTTGTGGTTGCAGACGAAGCAACCGCAGAGGTTGGCGAGGAACGACATGATTAAGTGATTCAGAGAAAAAAAAAACCTCAGTTGCAAATAGTTGTGCCGTGTCACTATTCCGAAGAGAAGGCTAAAAGCGACTGACTTGTTGCATGTCGCAGCAATCGATGATGTAGAGCTAAAATGAGCAGGATCTCCCTCCCCCACTTGAAGTCAGTCGATAAGCCCAGGACTGGGCAGACGACGTTCAACGATGGACACAGGGCGGTTCAAAAAGGCATGCCGAATGGAGGTGGAGGAGGAAGAGAGTCAGAAAGCCCCAGCGATGAGGCTGAGTGAGGCACCCGCAGGCATCCAGATTCTAGGCCGGAGTGATTGGTCAGGTCTGTTGATAAGATCAAGTGAGGGGATGGATGCCTCAGGTGTGAATTGCATCGTCAGTCCAGGCGGGGATTTCTCGGTAGACAGTAGGGAAGAGAAAACAAGTACCTGTACACCGAAAGGGACTCCGCAGGAGAAAGATGGTGTGTCCCTGGCATACTGCACTGCAGCTACACCCTTCACTCACTCCGTGTATAGTCCTGACCAATCACATGACATGATGATATAATCAGGAACAGTCCGTCGTGGGGTCCGCGAATTTTATTTTTTTGGCCGGAGGTACGTAGTGTCTCTTGAACGAACCACCACCACCACCACCATGACAATGGATCCCACCGTCCGCGAGGTTGTCGAAAATGTGCAGCCTCGACATCTTCCCCCACATCGCTCTCACGACCCCTCCAACAACCTCAAGCGCAGCGACCCCTTCATGTTCGGCTCGCGCTACCTCGAAGAAGGCGACAACGTCTTCGAGTTCAACGCATGGGACCACGTCGAGCCCGACGACGAATTCAAAGCCTACGCCGAGACCCAATTTGCCAAGCAGCGCGAAACACCGGTGTCGGAGTTCGACATGAAGCGATTCAACGGCGACCCCGCGAAATGGTGGGATTTGTTCTACAAAAACAACACGGCCAATTTCTTCAAGGACCGCAAGTGGCTGCGCCAGGAGTTTCCCGTGCTGGCGGATGTGACGCAGAAGGATGCTGGGCCCCAGGTTGTTCTGGAAGTGGGCGCGGGTGCGGGCAATACTGCGTTCCCATTGCTGGCGAATAACCAGAATGACCAGCTCATGGTGCATGCGTGCGACTTTTCCAAGTATGCTGTCAAGGTTATGCGCGAGAGCGAACAGTACGACCCGACCCACATGGTCGCCGATGTTTGGGACGTGGCGGGCGATCCCTCTGAGGAGAACGGCGACTCGCTTCCACCGGGTCTGACCGAGGAATCGGTCGACGTGGTGATTCTGATCTTCATTTTCTCTGCCCTAAACCCGGATCAATGGAACAAAGCCATGCGGAACATCTACCGCGTCCTGAAACCCGGCGGTCAGGTCCTCTTCCGGGACTACGGCCGCGGAGACCTTGCACAGGTGCGATTTAAGAAGAATCGCTATATGGGCGAAAATTTTTATGCTCGCGGTGATGGCACGCGTGTCTACTTCTTTGACCAGGATCAGCTGGTTAATATGTGGAGCCAGTGGACTCCTGGGAAGGGTCTACCCGATGATGATGCGCCGAAAACAGGGGATGGAGTGTTTGACGTCTTGCATATGGGCGCTGATCGACGACTAATTGTCAATCGGCAGAGCAAGCTGAAGATGTATCGCTGCTGGATGCAGGGGCATTTCCGGAAACATGGTGGGGATGCTGCTACTGTGAGTACAACTGAAAAGGGCGAGTGAAGAGAGAAAGCGCTCGAGACAGGACAATGGCCGGGATAAGCCAAGTTTGTAAGCGTTGTTGTCGGCATCTCCGGAGATACAGTCGACTCACAACAATTCCTTCCGCCCAGCCGAGTTCCATGGTATCCCACGCTCCCTCTCTTCTCCGCTCTCACGACTGTGAACCCAAGTCCATTAGTTGAGGCTTCCCACGGACCACTGCTTCCTAGCAAAATAAACACCATTGACCGACGAATCGGAATCCAGCTGAAAGGATGACATCGCCTTTTTGGTTGAACCAACCGTTCTCGACAACCTGTGTTGCTGTCGCAACCAACGCGAGGCCCTCCGACATGATGAACTACACCATGACCTACACTTTGCATCCATGTGGACCACACATGGCTTTACGATGATGAGTTACAACCGATGTGATAGAGATAGAGCATGTATCTGCGAATCCAAGAACTCTTGACGTTTCTGTAAGTCTATGGAAAAGCAACGTAAGACATCATTCCATCCACCCATAAAAGACCTCTGCAGGTTGGAGCAGAATCATAATAACCGAGGGTTGAACATGTCATGTCGATCCCCAAAAAGAGCAACGCAACCTGTGCAAACAAAGTAGATAACAAGAAAAGCATAATGGTTTGTGCAAAGAAATACCTCGCCATCTGAGACGGGGTTCATGACTTTCCAGGATGCACTATCCGGGAAAGTAAGAAAGATGAGAAAAGGATAAACATGGAAATATGAGAACAATCCAGGAACGCCGTTCATGCAGATAATAATCACCAATTATGTTGTCTATGATGACGTCGTGGGGAAGATAAAAAGACCTGACTGATTCGGAAAAAGTGGTCTAGTAGGAATGTTGAATGAGAAAGCAAAGATCATGCCGTCAGGTTAGGGCATTCGCCTTGGGCACGCTGGAAAGCGCCCGCGAATAAATCCTGCATAGCGCAATAGTGGAACAGAATCCCACCCAGCACGGCCATATGCCAGATATTGTGGCTTCCGCCGAAGTAGTCGAACAGACCAGGCTTCCATCGCTCGGGTACCTTAGAAGCATAGACGCAGGCGCCGACAAAGTAGACAAGGAGGCTCTTTACCACCGGAGCGTAGAAGTACATGCACCACTCAAGGCCGCGGGTGGTGGAGAGTTGTGCGAGAGGCGCGAAACCGGTCAGGGCCAGAGATACGTAGAAGACCACACGAGCCCAGGCCATGTCGTGGCGGTTGAAGGTCGGGTGCCATGGCAGGATGATACCGCCGACGCCCAAGGACATTGTGAGCACGATGTAGGTCCAGCGCGAGTAGGGCTCGCAGTAGAATGCGGTGTACTCGATGGTGACGATGGAAGCGGCAACCAGCAAAGAAATGCCGGTGTAGTCCACGCAGGCGAAGCGCTCCATCAGGGGCTGGGAGGAAATGCTGTTCATGGTGTGCCAGAGGGTGCTACAGAACAGGCACTTGCAGGCAGAGAAAAAGAAGACGGCGGCAATCAGCACGTCGGTCTTGGTGCTCAGATGGAAATTGGGGTTGAGCGGATAGAAATAAAAGGCGATCGATAGGACGATTACCAGTCCGATGAAGTGGGACCAAATGTTGACCAGTTCATTCGAGAAGGAAAATGCCGACCAAACGCATTCGATCTTGGATGACGTGAATCGATAGCCTCGGAGGATGTGCGGGTTCACTCGCCACGGATCGGGCAGATCGGAGTAGGAAATTAGTCGGTTTTCCTGGGCCAGTCGAACGGCCTGATCAATGCTTTCTCGCATGGCATCACGAGCACGACGAGCTCGTTCCATACCCTCATCCACCACTTCCCGGGCGTGGACAAGTTTCGAGTCCATAGCCTTCCAGCCATCGTCCAAGGTCCCGTAGATTCCGCGGTCGCGGACGGCGTGCGCTCGAGACTCCATTTCCGACAGGAAAGACTCCATCAGGCGCACTCCAGCCTGGGCCTTCTGTTCGAGGGTCTCTTTGGTGGCCAAAGCCTCAATGTAGCGGTCCTCGAGCGTTTCCACGAAAATCTTGGCGCGTTTCTTTCCGCTTCCCATCAATTCCCCCGAGGCCATAGAGCATTGGTCTCTCACGGCTTCTAGCGTGGCATACCCTCGTCGCAGACTGGTGTCAATTTGGACCATATGAGATTTGCGGTACTGTTCGATCCAGTGCATTCGGCGTTCCAATTCGGCCAGGAAGAGTTCAACCTAGAGCCGGAAAATGAGTCCCAATGCTCGTCAACCGTTAGAGAAAGAGTGCTCACCCGAATAAAGACGGTATCGGCATCCTGGTAGTCACAGGACAATTTCCGGGAGGCGTGGAATGAGTGCCGACGTCGACGATCCCGCAGCAAGGCCATGTCCTCACTGGGGGTCGCCGTCGACGAGGCAGCGGCAGAGTTGGACTCCACAGTCATTGACGCTGCCAGAGCCATTGTGCCGGCGGGATGTTTCATTTGAGCAACATCCGACCGTCAATTTCAATACGGAGGCTGTCCCTGTTGTTGGGAAAGGATATTGTTGAGGAGGGGGCCGGGGAGATCCGAGGGGCGGGAGATTTCCCGATGATCAGGTAAGGAAACGAATATGTACAGGAGGAGGAGGAGGATGGTTTGTCCAATCTGAAGTTATTTAAGGAATGACCGAGGGGCAATAAGAAGAGTAGTGGGGGAGTAGTGAGTGTATGTCAAAAGGGAGAGAGAGAGTGAGGGAGTAAGCCCAACCAGCCGAGCACATGTTCTTTCTGCTGCCGATCCCCACCCATTTCCCTCTTCCCCTTCGCCACTTCGCTCATCGTTCGACCTTGACCCAGAATAATACATACTGCCATGGCCGTGATTAGCGAGATCGTCTCCGACGAATCCCTGCTGCCCGTGCTCGCCACAAGTGCCGACACCCTTGCCCAGTGCCAGCACCTGCTCGCTCTCCTTGATCCGAATAATGCCGTTCCCGACGCCGACGCCCAAGCGGCCCTACTAGCCGCTTCCAAGCAGCAGAAACTCCTGTTCGCCCGACTCGCCCAACTGCGCGGCCAGAACCGGGATGCCATCTTTCGTGTGCGTGACACCAAGCAGGCGACTGCAGAGGCGCGCCAGGAGGTCGATCGGCTGCATCTCCAGCTGCAAAACCTGTACTACGAACAAAAACACCTGACGGGCGAGATCGCCGCCTGCGAGTCTTACGAGTAGGTCTCGGAATGTCGACTTCGACTCTGTGCTAACAACTTTGCGACAGCCACAAGTACCGGTCCCTGCCCTTGATCCCCATTGAGGAATTCTTAGAACTCCATCCGGAACATCGTGCCATGAACGAACACGAACTCATGATCGCTCGCATCAACCATGAGCACGCCGAACGCGAAAAACTCGAGCAGGCACGCCAGGAACTCCTCAAGCGGAAGCAGGCTCTGATCGCCGAGAACAAGAAGCGGAAAGACGATCTCGCGAGTTTGGATCAGGATCTTGAAAAGTTCATTGATGTACGCGCACCCCTCCTGATTGGGTCCATGAGTTCAATTGCTGATATCTCTGCGACATATAGGCGGCCAAGCCGATTCAGAAGATCTTCGAGAAGGAGTACTAGAATAATTGTCGTCATTGGTGAGAACAGGGAAGGGCCGTTAGGGCCTTTGACCGCTACATTGGGTCGGCGTTTTGGTTTAGATATAGTCAAGATACCCGGAATTGTACATGAATGAAATATTTCCAATTAGTTATGCCTTTGCGATTCAATCAATGGAATAAATATATGATTCAGTTGTAACGGAGTAGGATGCTATACTAAGTAAGACAAGTACTATACTAAGAATTAGTGCCACCTCGTCTCTCCGCCTTCCGTACCTCCGCAACACCGCGACTCGCCCTTCCGCTCAGCTCTCTGCGGTGCCATAGTGACCTGCAAAGCATGCGGCGACCATGACCGACAAACATGGAGACCAGGCGTCTCCTCAAACAGTGGCCACTCATGCCGACAAACCCAGCGTCAAAAAGGTCCCGCCCCCCGAAACCCCGGAGGCCATCCAAACACGATTCCGCGTCATTGCAGCCTTCTGGGCTGTGATTATCTTCCTGGGGTTTCCAATATGGTGGAAGACGACCTCCATCTACCGAGCCCACCTCCCGATTCAAGAAATGGTGGATTGGGCCGATAGCAAGGTACGGCTGCCGTGTCTTTTGGGGGAGGCCAATTCTAATGTTTACAGGCCTGCCGTCCCGTCTTCCCTCTGGATATCCATCTCGCAACGCCGGGGCTGCAGTCTACAGAGGCCCAGCATCTCCTTCGTACAACGCAGCACACACTCGACGATCTCAATGAATTCGCCGCCCATCACCTGCGGCTCAAGTTGGCGGATGATCAGAATGGCGAAGAGGACGTGAATAAGGACAAGGCCGATACAGCATTGACCGTTCGTCTGCTGCCCCAGGATGATATCGCTGCTCCCCGCTCCGAACTCCACACAGACACGACCCAGCTCGATGTGTTCTACCCTCCGAGCCAGGTTCCCGCTCCGTCATCCTCGAATCCACCTCTCTCGGCCTTTATTGCGGAGGAGCTACAGCGACTCTATAGTGAGGAGAAGGCTACCATTGCACACATTCTGTCGGGAAAAACGGCTGGGCTGGCTTCCACCTCGCCGCAGGTGGCTGAGAGCATCAGCAGACGGTTACGCCGGTCTATGAAGTACGCCGAGACATACCACTTGTCATTTTCACTGTTTACTCCGGGAGCGGAGCCATCTTCGTGGGATATTGAGGCTGCCGTGCATGAATATCTGTCACCTCTTCTCGAGGCATTCGCCCCCATCAGCAACTTCACGGTTGACACGCAGGTCCAACTATACGCGACATTCTCGCCGACTGCCCCACTTCCTGAGTTCGACAAGACAGAAGCCGCCTGGACGTTGAAGAAAGAAGACCTCAGCGCCTTTATCAACGCGGCTGAATGGCCACTCAATCCCAGCATCGGCAATGGCCCCACTATCAACTTCATCCTCTACGTCCCTTCTCCGTCGCAGTCCCCGTTGATCGTCAAAGAAAACCGCGCCTCGAGCTGGATTATCCCGCAATGGGGCGGTGTCTTCCTCCTCAATCCGGCCCTATCTCCAAACACCAAATCCAATCCCGCCCATCTCTCCCAAGAATCCCTCCGTCCGGCATTCATGACATTCTCACACCAACTTCTCACCCTCCTTGGCACCCCGAGTACCCCCGCCTCCCTTCCTCTCCGCCTCCACACACTTATTCGCATGCGCGCTGCGGCGCTCCTCCTATCGGCTTCATCGACCATGGGCTCCCTCGCCCGTCTCACGGAATCTCTACCTTCAATCCCCATCCCCGCCACCGTGGCCGCGTCCGTCTCCACGACATTGTCCCACCTCACCGCGACCTGCTCCAATCTACGAGATGGCCGTTTCGCCGCCGCGCTAGCCAGCGCGCGGATTGCGGAGACGGAGGCCGAGCGCAGCTTCTTTGAGAAGAGTATGGTGGGCCAGGTGTATTTCCCGGACGAGCACAAGGTCGCCGTTTACCTTCCGCTTTTAGGACCGATTGGCGTGCCCTTAGTGGTTGGGCTGATCAAGGAGTTGAAGAGGATTGTGGCTAGTAGGAAAGCGAGAAGACAGGCCGCGTAGTGGGTAGTGATGGAGTTGTATTTTAAGAATTAATTGAATGATATAGTCTTTCCAGATTAAGAACCTTTTAATTCTGCCGTGGAGTCTAATTTAGCGTTAGGCTTCGTTTTGGCCTATGTAGTCCCACTACAACACTTACAGCGCCTAAGCAGTATTTTGGATAGAGTGAGTGTATTGACACAGCCACTAACTTCCTGTGGTGCATGGTAATCCTCGTTGCGAGTGTCTCGATAAGTATCATGGGTATCATACCAGCAAAACAAACAGAGATACAGACAGCCCAGAGGGATCTCAGCAAAATAGATAAGCATTTCTAAAATTGATACTAGAGGACTTGGACTTTCTATACTATACTCCACAGGATGTACGTACTATCAAATTTTATTTATGTCAAGATCCGGCATTGGTGAGTAAATTAGATATCTCAATATCAAAATTCAAAAAGAACCGCGCAATCTACATAAACAACAAAAGGGAGAAAAGCATTTTGATACATGCACCCATATGAATTCATCACCCTTTCTCCGAGATCTTCCCCACATCTCCATTCTTCTCCCCAAACCCAACAACCTGCATCAAGTCCGTAAATGTAGTATCTGGTCGCGCAATAGCCCTCGGATACGGCTCCGGGCCCAGGAACTTTGAAGACTGTGCAAACGCTCCCGGCGGCGAGAACACCCGTATACTCTCTGTGCTTGATGCACGCTGTCTCGGTGGAGTAGTGGGATACGGCGCCGGTACGGGAGGAACGTCTTTCTCATAGGTGGGATTACCGGAAAAAAGACTGCGGACTCGAGTCCCTGTTCTGGAAAGCATAGATCTGGCACCTGTCGAGGCTCTTTTTGCTTCTGCGGGACGCAGGAGGAAGTCTGTGCGGTAGGACCCGTCGTCTGAGGCGATAGGATTGGATATTCCGATTAGAGCTCCGTTCGAAGAACGCTGGGACCACTGGGGTCCTGTGTGTTTTGATTCTTGGATGAGCGGTTCGTTACGGCGTGCGCGGTGACGGAGACAGGTTGCTATTAGGAGGGCAAGGATTGTGCCAAAAACGACACCGGGGAAGAAGCCTGCTACCACTGCTTTGCTGGGGAAGGAGGGGCAGGATCTGGCGAGGGAGCAGGTTTGCTGGCTTTCTGCAGCTGAGGCCGCTTTGGAGGAGGTGATGGTTGTTATTGATGGGGATTGGATAGGGGTGAATGTCAGTGCTGGGGTTGTCGGAGTTGCTTGTGTAGACGTGGTCGTTGATGACGAGTCTGACTCGGTTGTTGTATGACTGGTAGTAGATGAGGTGGTGGTCGACGTATCCGGCAAGACAGCAGTCGCCGTTGACGCTGTACTCTTGTCCATTTTGCAGGCGTTTCCGTCTTGACAGGAGTATCCAAAGGGGCAGCAGTCGTCGCCGCATGTGGGAAGTGTGCCGTTCAACCGGGTGGTCTTGACGGCGCTCTCGGGGTGCAGTGCTGCATCCTGCTGGGAGACATCGCAAGTAACCGGCGAGATAAAAGCGCAGTCCGAGCCAGTGGGACAGCAAATGGCTGAGCTTGCATTATCCAAACTTATGCAGGTGGATGTTGATGGGCAGCAGAAGTCAGCTGGGAGTTTCGTGCTGCCGCACTGCTTGTATGAGATTGGGCAGGAGTCTGAGCTTTCGGGGAGAAGATCCAAGGCATAGCTGGGTTTAGTTGCTGTGATTATCAGAGTCAACAGCAATAGAACTGACGCCTGTTGGGCAATGATGCCTGGCATAGTCGATCTCGCCATGCGGGCGGTCGTAGCCCTGGCGAAGGACAGAAGTTTTTCTCTGTTTTGACTGAGAAGAGGAAAAAGGAGCAGTCTCCAAAATGATCCAACAAAGATCACCAGCAGACAGTAATGTAGACAGCCAACAGAGCGGTGCACTGAATATCAGATGAAACAGATGAAAGAAGAGAAGAACAAAGGAGACATTGTCCATCGATCTGCCTTTGTCGCCGGGTATCTTTGCACGCGCCGAGCTCCAAGAATAGCTGGAGAGTGTTTCAGAACAGCCCACATGATCGGAGGCATGGCTGCTATTATTATTGTGTCCGACGAAGATGTCGGCGCTTAAGTTGTTGCAACAGAACGCTGAAGTAGATACGCGCGATGTGATTGGCTGGATTATGTAAGCCACGCCAGTCCTCATCGAATTTCTGCGCGGACAAGCTGTTGCAACTCTCTCGACCAAAACCACCCCCGTATCGCCATGTTCAGCCGCCTCGCTAGGCCGCAGAGCGCTTTGCGCGCGGTCTCTTCATTCTCTCCACTCTCTCAGGTGGGTTCAATTGCTGTGCTGTGCTGACTCTGTGCTAACCCTGACGGTCTAGACACCCTCCTCCGCTCTCCCACGCTTCCAGTCCCGGAGCATCCATCGTCTACCTCAATTGCAACATGACGCGTACTACAAAGAGAATGGAGTTCCGGAATTCATGTCTCCCGATGCATTTGACTTTGCCTGGACCCAGTACCAAACATTCCTGATCCAGAAGCTCAACGGGTTGACGCAAGGTGCGCAAGACCGAGATCCCGGAGAGAAAAACAATGTTAATGAGGAATAGACACCGTTGATGCGGATGCGAAACCCGGAGAATTGCTGGTCAAGTACTCGCGGCGTCCGGAGATGGCCTCCCTGTTTAACTACGCCTCAATGGCCCACAACAACCACTTCTTCTTCAACTGCCTGGTCAGTACCCGAAACACGATGGAAATGGAAGCATGTTCTAACTCTGCCTTTGAATAGTCCCCGACCCCCACCCGGATCCCTACAGCCTTCGCTGCCACCATCACCGAAACCTGCTCGTCCGTTGAGTCCCTGAAGCTGGATTTCCTGGCAACCGCCAATGCGATGTTCGGCCCGGGCTTCGTGTGGCTCGCCAAGAACCTGGACAGCCAGGGTCTGATGCACATCTTCTGCACGTACAACGCGGGATCGCCGTACCCGGCCGCGCACTCGCGGCAGCAGCCCGTCGACATGAACACGCACTCGCCGGACGCGCCGCTGGGCAACCAGTTCGCAGGATCGATGGGCGCACATGCGCCGGGCCAGAAGACAATGGCCCCCGGTGCGCTGGATGTACAGCCCATTCTCTGCGTCAACACGTGGGAGCACGCGTGGATGATGGACTATGGCATTGCGGGCAAGGAAGAGTACCTGGAGCGGTGGTGGGATCGGATTAACTGGGATGTGGTGTTTGACAACTACAACGCCGTGGGTCAAAAGGCACAGCAGAAGGATTTTAGACTGAGGGCTTGATTGAGAGCGTGAAAGGATGCCGAAAGACTGTACAATATATACCTAACAGGATGGTTCGAAATCAGTTCTATCACTTACATAGACTCTTTTCCTTGCCCTGATTATTATCAATACCTTTGAGACATGCTAGTGTAGATTTGATTGAGCTTCTTTCAACATCCCACGTTTTCCAACCAAAAAGGAAAAACGCATCATTAAGTCGAATCAATCAGATCAAGCTCCGATCACCTAGGTGTATGCTGCTGAGCATCGTTGGATCTGTTTGATAATATAATGCAGCAGTTGGTTTTAGTCTAAATTGTAGTATATATAGGTCGATCCCAGTATAGTTGGCATATATCCATCCCAAAACTCCACGCGATATAATACACACCCACCATCATTGCCCTCTCCCCTCCACCTCCCGAATGCGCTTTTCAAACGCCTCAATCATAACAGTAGCCATCTGACCCTCAACTGTACTCATGATGGTAGCATGCAACTGATTCTGGAATTCAAATCGCACCTCGAGTCGGACTTTCGTCTGCGGCGTTCCTCCCCCCGTTTGCGGGCTTGGTTCCAATTCCCAACGCGTCGACAGGTACTTGAAGATACCTTCCGTAGCACCGGGGAAGAAGCTTGCACTTTTTTGATCGGAGTATTTTGCCCCGCTGCGCGCCTCAACCACCCACTTTTGCGCATCGCAGTCCACGCGTGATGTGAAGGTCTCACTGAGAGGGCCGTATCCCACTGTCAGAAACGCCTGTGTTGGAAAGTTTGTCACAGGATCGCGGCTTGTCACCGTGGAGGCTGTGAGGAAAGGGAGGAATTGCGAGTAGGATTCCACCGCGGAGATGACGCTGAAGAGAAGCTCCGGTGGGTAGGGGAGCGTTCGGGTGGCGGTTAGGACGCGGCCGTTGTTATTGTCACCATTGCCGTTGCCATTCGAAGATGAAGGTAGGAAGGAGGAGAGGGAGGGAAGGTGGAAGGATCGGAGGTTGGTCTGATTTGTTGCCTGGCAAGGTCGTCGCAACCATGGTGTTTGGCTTGCTATTGGTCGTGTCTGCTGGCATTGGCGGAGGGAGGGTAGTCGGAGCGCATTTTGGCGTAGGCGGAAAGGTGCACTCGCACGACCAAGTCGTACGCAGCGGAGGGTTCGCATTGGGGAGAGGACGATGAAGAAGTGAAGATCCTCCGCCAGGCGAAATCTATATGCAGTCACGTGACGCTGCGTTGCGCATTATGTTAATCTTCTTTCTCTTTCTTATTTTCGATGGCAGAGATAACAACTATCATTTCAGAAACAAGAACTATTATGAGCAGTTAGACAAAAGTCTGGAGCTCGCAACAGGTCTACGTCTGCAAGAATCGCCGGGGTTGCCGGCATTCGTATCGATGTCGAGTTCCGCCTCATTCTAGGCTCCGCCGGTTGAAATGAAGCCAATACGAATGTTGAAAATGTATATAGCGTCAGTGATCCGAACCAAGAATGCCTTTCCTTACGAACTTACGATCGATGTGATGCTTGACAATCCCCCCTACTTTCAAGAAAGTCAAGGTGAGCGGTGTCCTCTCGCCGAGAACAATCACGGACATCTATCAAATTCCCGTCGAGAATCCGATTGCCTGTCTTTTCTGGGACTCGATGATGTCGTTTCAGGTGACTATCAAGAAGCCTGTGATGTGTGGCTCTGTCGGAGACCTGGATTTTCATGGCTCTCAGCAGCATATGCAGCTCGACACGTTATTGTCGAATCGTTATCTTGTGGTCCCGTGTGTGTTCCAGTACAAGGGGAAATCTGTTAGAGACGAGACCAGTACTGATATATGTATATCGAGAGGAAAAATAATAGCCCTCAGCCACCGAAATAGACTAACTACCGGCGGACCGACCGTTAGGGTTGAATAGAACATGGGGTCTAGTCTTGTCTCCACATTTTCCGCCCCACAACCTTTGCAGAGCGAATCTCGGCGCTGATTGCGATCTCGCCATCTCCATCTCCATCGACCACATCCTATACCGCAATAGTGCGGTTCTTCTGTCTGGCCACTATTTAGCAATAAATGCATATAAGTTGACAATGGGGAAGCAACGGGCTCTGGCGGCATGTGTGCACTGCCGACAAATGAAGGTGAGATCCCCTTTCTTGCTCCGACGCAAAGAAACGAGAGAATAACATCCGAGGCACTATTAGCTGGGATGCAACGCTGCCCAATCATTCCCTGCACCTTGCTCCCGCTGCGTCCGGAAAAATTTGACCTGCTCTGTGGATCCGTCCTACAAGCGAGTTCCTAAACGCGGGTATGTCTAGCGCTCTTCCCTAGATTTCATGTCTAATCGATATCGCTAGTCGGCTCGAAGCTGTGGAAAAAGAGCTGAAAGACATTAAACGTCGCTTTCTTTCTCAACAACAGACTACTTCTACCTCGACCAATGAGTCTCCCAGTCATGCAGAGAGCAATGACCCCGTACCCTCTCGATCTCCATCCCCAATAGAGGACATCCCTGCTCCACTTCTTACTGACAAAGTCCTGGGCGAAATAATACTAAACCCGGAATCTATCTCATCAATTCTCGAATGGTGAGAACGTATCACGCATCACATATTCTCTTACTCACAATTCATCAGTTACTATCAAATCTACCACCCCTACTTCCCCATCATCCCTAAACAAGAAAAGCTCCTCAAAAGCTACGAGCAGGACCCAATACTCTTCTGGGTAGTCATATCCATCGGGTCTCGAAACACTTCCCAATATGAGTACATGCAAGACGCGCTGCAGGGAGAAATCAAGTCTCTCGTTTCAAACGCCCACACGCCAGCAAAACAATCTCTCCAGTTGATCCAGGCACTGCTACTGCTCTGCTACTGGCCCTTCCCGTTTGGAGCTACAGCAAATGATCCCTCCTGGTCGTACTCGGCTCTCTCCATCAGCTGTGCCTATACGAAGGGCGTACATCGAGCAGAACATCTGTCTGATTTCGAGTACGACGCTACGCCAACGTCCGAGATGATTGTTGAGCGGAAGAGGACTTGGATTGCGTGTTTTATTGTGAACCAAAGGTGTGCCACTGACGTCTATATCTGGGAGATGCACAATTCATTAATCATCGTATAGGCTAAGCTCCTTAAACGGCTTCCCACCGCTAGTAACCCCAGACCACACCATCCAGTCTGCAGTCTCACTCCAACCAACTTGGCTCCCAACTCCACTCGTTCAGCAGCTCTACATATCATACCAAAGCTACAAAATTACCTCCGCCCTGGGAAACAGCGAGACTCAAAGCTCGGGACTCCTCCCACACCCAGCGAATCTGATCCGTCTCTTCGACTCCGAGCTACGCAGCACACAACCCCCGTCCACAGCAAGTATAGATACAGATACAAGTGCGTGGCAAGAAAGCGAAACGATCTATCTCCTCGCCACGAAACTGCAACTCTACTCCTTCGCCTTGAACCTGACTTCCCCGGCCTCGGCCTCAACCCCCGAAAATGAAACCCTCGCCCGAAGCTACACAGCCGCAATATCCCTCCTCCAACACGCGCTCAAAGTCTCCCCGCAGATAAAATACTGTCCCTTTCACACAATCCGCTACATCACCTACGCCATTTTCGTGCTCTTCAAACTGATGGCCTGCACCACACCCGAAGAATTCACCGACGAAACAACCTCCCGAAATCTAATAGCGCGCACGTGGGAACTATTCCGGCAGGCCTCGCACGATACGACGGACCATGTGTCGCGGATGTGTGATATCATCCAGTATCTCAGTACGACACGGTGGTATGACGAGGAATCCCCCGAGGTGCGGGTTCTGTCGAGAGGAGCGGCGAATCTAGTTGTTGAGATGATATGGCGAGCGCGGAGGAGGTTTAGTTTTAGTGTGCGGCAGCAGAAACCGAAGGATTATACATTGACTGCTGCGGAGGAAAAGACGTGGGCTGATATGCAAAGCTTGTTTTTGTCTTTTGTGGATGAGGGGTGGGGATGATCTGTGAATCCTTTGATAGAAAGGGCAAGAACGAGATTTGGTATACGTACGGTTTCAGATTCACCGATAAGCTATTCGTATACTGTCAGTAAATAGGTCGAGTTTCAAACTCCATCTCGTATCGAGCATGTACAATCCAAAATGCCGCCCAAAGATAAAGTAAATACAGTACAAACAAACACCTCCCCGTCGCGTTCCCATCAGACCTAGTGTATATATTTGCATATCAGTCAACGAGAAAGTATGTACATAATAATAAATGGAATATTTTCACATCTACTGCGGCTGCTGCTGTTGAGCCAGCGGCTGCACGGGGGCAGCAGAGGAATAGTCATCAAATCCGTAGCCTGGCGGTGCGGTCGGCATAGGGGGCTCGGACGGCGAGTCAAAGTACCACATGTTGTTCTGGTTGGCCATTTCAAAGCCGTTCACGCGGCTATCCCAGAGACGCTACAGATTTGAAGTCAGTGAATAGTCTTTTTCAAAGTATGGAACGAGGGATTACCCAGTCCAGCTCGGCGGATGAGTTGAGCATCTCCTCGATTACGCCTAGAGAGAGATGCGATGGGAACTCGGCGGTTGGATGCACCGCAGGATGCATGTTGTTGGGGCCGGCTGTGTACATCGAATACTGTGGCTGCTCCATGGAGACTTGCGAAGTAGGTTGTGGCGCGAATTGAGCTGTGACGGTGGTTTAGCGTCATACTACAACAGAAGAAAGGAAAAAAGAAACTTACCATCCATCGGCATGACCGGCTTCTCGTCCGTATTTTGCACAATGCTGCCCCTAGCACCACTCTTCACGCGGTCCAGCATGATCGTTAAAGCGACAAACGCACGCTGCATATCATTGGACCGCCGGCGCGACTCCTTAAAGATGCGTTGCGTGGTCTCGAGAAGAACCAAGAGATCCGTGCGTTGACGCTGGTTCAGGGTACGGCCATCACCACGCTCACCGTCTCGAGAGAGCTCCAGGCACAGAATCATGGCAGACAGGAGGAAGTCAGTGTTTTGAAAGGAGTTTATAAACTGCCGCTCGTGGTACAACTGGCCGCCCGGCATGGATTCATTCCATATTTCTGCGTGGTGTCGGAGAGTTTCTGTCGCGGCAGCAAGGCAGACTCCTTGCGAGTACGAGTATCGCTGGTTTCTGGGGGCCTCGGCCATATATCGGCGATGTAGCACAACGCGGGACTTTTGATAGAGCAGTTCCAAGGTGTATCGGCGCATGATCAGCTCGGCGGGGTCTGCAATGCACTGGGCCATGGGCCGGATCTGGAAATATTGCGGCAGCATGTCGTGCGCCTCCTCCAAGCGGCGATCGATCTCAAGAGCTTCTTCGTACGTCATATGGTCTCGTGAATATGCCAGATCGGTGATTTGCCCAAAAACCCTCATGATACGCGATTTGCATCGAGTGTAAGAAGCCATCGTCCGCTCCCCTTCCGGGCGAGGGGGTGGGAGTTGGGCGGTCGTCTCGTCAAAGTCGGTGTCCATAAGGTTGGATGGCAGCTCCGTGTCGTAATGCCAAGGTTGGATGGTGCGTGGAAGTCCGACTTGGAACGAGATCAGAGTATCAAACTGACAGAGCAAGGCCCAGTGCCGACGTCGCATTTCGCCTTCTAGGGCGGTAAGGCTCGTGTAGTGACGCGGATCACGGTGGTAGCCCATGCGCATGGCTAATTTGATTGTAATCCCAAGCAGGTACGAAACCCCAATCTGCGCATCTTGGCTCCGGTAGAACTCTCCCAGGGAGTAGAGGAAAAGTGCCTCGGTCTTGTACCGGCCAGGAATCAGGTAGTTCGCCTGGACCAGACACTGAGCCCCGCGCTTCCGGAATATATTCCACGTCAACATAGCGTCGGCCATGGCCACCGGGAGCGGTTCTTCACTGCGGTGGTACAGAGATACCGAAAGAGTCATGATGGCATATAGCAGGGCCAGCCAGGTGAAGGAGACCTCGTGCGGTGCTCGCCAGAACTGTTCATATTCTTTTTGAAACGTGGGGATATGAACGATCACTGTAGTTGATTAAAACATGAAAACAGGTGATGAGGGGTTTAAACCCACCTAATGATGGATCCGACGTCTTGAGGAAGCGAGAGACCAGCCGATCGACGACCGACTGCGCGGGAATATCAATCAGTAATTCCTCTATGCTCACCGGCCGGCCCATGCTCAGTAGCAGAGCAGGCGACGAGTTATCGTACGGGTCATCCTCGACCCCTTCGTCGTCGGAGTGTTCTCCATTCTCATCGAGATACTCCTTGACGCCGTTGATCTTCACCAGCGGTCAGTTCCAGGAACACAATACGCAATACGCAATACGCAATATGCAACACAGCCAGAAACACACCTCTTCCAGAATGGCGCGCCAATTAGCACTGTCAATATAACTGATCTCCTCATTCTTCACCACCAATTTGCCCGGCGCATCGAGCGGTGGCGACTTGGTCTCCCGCTCGGAACTCGGGGAAGGCGTGGCATATCCGCCGTCTTCATCGTTGAGCGATTCATTAAAGTTGATATCTACCGGCTCGCCCGATCTGTTCTTCTGTGCTAGCGACATTACTAGATTCTCTAGATGCTGCAATCGGTCCTGGACCAAGGTCGGGCTGGACCGGCCATATTGGACCTTGCCGCGAGGACCGCGACCGACATAGGTACACGAAGCCGCCTCGCCGCGCTTCTTGCAGTTGCTACACGGGTGTGTGCGACAGCATCTCAGTCTAGGCGGAGTTAGCTAGAGCATAGATGTTGGAAAGCGGATGGATATTCGCTCTGTCGGTCAGCCCGGTAGAGTAGAGTCGATACGCACTTTCGGTATCTACAGGCCGTGCACGAGAACTGGACACGAGTTCTCTTCTTCGGAGCGGAGGCTGATGGGTCCAGGGTGTTGCTGCTGGCCGGGTCGGACATGGCCTTACCATTGGGAAGCTCCAAGAGCAGGGATGATGGAGGATAATAGGCCGGCGTCAGATTACTGAGTACTCCGTAGGTTGGACGTAGTTGTTTCGATGGAGTGAGGGCAGGTGGTAGGGCGGTGAACCAAAGGTGGTGGGCTCTATCAAGTTCGGTTCGGGGATAAGATCGACCTGTTTATACACTACTGACTTGGGTTACTAGGTACACAAGATGTATATTCAGACAACCACAGGACGGGACTACCCCTGAATTTCTGCCTTCATCGCCATCCCATCCGGTCCCAGAATCTGTACCTGGGCCGCACCATCTCCCTCCTCCAACACAATCCGATACTCATCCCCCGCATACAATGGACTCGTCGCCCGATAGGAAATGCGCTCAGGCACCTCCTCATGCGAACGAATATCTCGCCACAAATCCAGGATGGAGATGAGATTCAAGGGTCCGTGAACAACAATATCCCGGTGCCCCTCGACATCCCGCGCCCACGGCAGCGAGTAGTGGATCTTGTGCGGGTTGAAGGTCAGCGCCGAGAAGCGGAACAGCGTGACGGGCGTCTGGACCAGCGTTCGCGTGTGGGTGGAGCCCTGGGAGACAATAGCGGACGAGGGCGGGTTCAGTGGCGCCGTGTGTGCCGCAGACGTAGCGACGGGAGACGAAGAAGTTGAGGAGGATGAAGGGGTGGGGAGGGCTTTGCGAAACACCCAGTTTCTATAGAGAATTAGTATCTCTCTCTCTCTCTCTCTCTCTCTCTCTCTCTCTCTCTCTTTCCCGACTATAAAAGAACAAGAGAAGAGGCCTCTCTCACCTCCGATCAATCACCGCCGCCCCATCCTCATTCGCAAACTCTTTCTCCACCCCGACAACAATCATATCCTCGCCCGTCTTCTTGACAACCTTAGGCTCGGCACTCAGCACACGGGTCGTTTCGCGCACCGTCTGTCCCACCCGCAGCAGATTCGGCTTCCCATCTTTCCCGCGCGGCCAGAGTACCTCTCCGCCAGCCCACATGCGGCGCGTGAAGGGCGGTTCCGGATTATACGATGCATCTGTGCCGTCAGCTCCAAGCTCGGATCCCAAGAAGGCCGGCGTGAAGTAGGCGAGGTGATAGCCGGGTGGTAGTGGCGTGCCGGATGGAGGGGCGGGTGCGGAGTTAGATAAGGATGGGGAGTTGGTGTTGTTGGGCCAGAGGGTGGGACGGTTGAGGGTGAGGGAGAGCAATTGGAGCTGGTTTGCGTCTAGGAGTTGGGTGCGAGTTTGTGGACCGAGGGATTGGAAATGGGTGAGGAATTGGGTTGTAATTGCTGAGGCGGAGGAAGAATTGGAAGAGGAGAGACGGCTTGAGAGGGTGATGGGTCGGGCGCGCAGGGTTTGACGGGTTGGTCGGGAGCGCAATCGCGCTAGAAGAGAGGGTGAGGACATAGTTAGCTGTGTTGTAGATGGTTTATCTGCTGAGGAGGGACATCGATCTTATATGCGGAGAATGCGGACGGGCCGAGTTGCCGATCAAGTCGGCTACTACAACGGGATGAACTAGATATACATATAATGCATTACAACCACTCTGAAAGATCATGATTCGGATAAAAATAACAGGGGCGGCGAGGGTATCTTAGGGCAAGCTAGGCAACTCAAGGAGGGCAGGCGCAAAGGTAAAAAGAACAAAAACCATCTACAATCGGACCTGGCCACCAGTCAGCCGAACCCAATCCTTCTCCTCAAACGGCACATAGGAGGTGCCCTGAAGCCAGTACAGGCGATCGTTCTTTGTGACCAGCGCCGGGTCCACGCCCTCCGTGCGCAGAACATGCTTCTGCTGCTTGTTGTTGCCCGTTGCCTGCATCTCCGGTGTGACGCGCAGGAAGAGCGGCGCCGCGAAACGGGGCAGGTTCTTGAGAACGTGTGCGGCCAGACTGTTCAGTGTGTCATGCGAAGGCTCTAGCGCAGGACCGTCTACTTTGCCGTTCAGAATCTGCTGGTTGAATACGATGGCCGCGCATCCGGCGCGGCCATCGTGGTTGGGGAGAGCGACGCCGTAGACATTGGCCTCATGCACCTCTGGATGAGCACCGAGGACTTCGGCGACTTCGTTGGTAGACACATTCTCGCTCTTCCATCGGAAGGTATCGCCCAGACGATCCGAGAAGAACCAGCGGCCATCTTTGTCCCAGCGGACCATATCGCCCGTTCGGAAGAAGGCGTCGCCCTTCTTGAGCACGTCCCGCAGGATCTTACTTTCCGTAGCCTTCGGGTTTTGGAAGTAGCCCTGGAAGGTCTCGGCCGGGTCGGTGGCATCGATGGCAAACAGCAGCTCCCCTGGATCGCCGCGAGGAACGCGCTTGCACAGACCCGTCTTGGGGTCGCGCCACGGTTCCTGGGTCTCCATATCTACTTCCACAATGGCCGAGCCGCGACCGAGAATGAAATTTCCAATCGCACCGTTGCGGCCAATGGCGCCCGCGGCGAAATCATTGGATGAGATATTCCACGCGCCAGTGGTGCCTTCCGTGGCGGCATAGAACTCGGCGATCGTGGGAATGTTGAATCGATCCTTGAACCGATTCCAGATGTCTGGGCGAAGGCCGTTGCCGAATGCCAACCGAATTTGATGCTTCTTGTCCAAGTCTTCGCCGGTGACAGGGTCGATCTCAGGCGGTGCACCCAGGATATACCGAAGGGTCTCGCCAACATACTGGATGATCGTCGCATCGTTCTCACGCGCCTCTTTCATGAAGCCACGCGCAGAGAATTTGCGGCCTAGGATCAAGGTAGCTCCATTCATCAGGCATGTCACAAATCCGAGGACAGATGCAGATGAATGGTATAGAGGCATGCACTATCTCCAAGTCAGCGGTGGAAAACTTGAAACAGACTGGGCGAGCTTACCGTGAAAAATCGATCAGATGGGCCAATGTTCATCCAGTTCCCAGTGAACACACTTCCAGTCCAGCATTTCCTCCAGCTGACAATGGCCGGTTTGGGAAGGCCCGTGGTACCGCTGGTGTAGATCAACAGGGCCATGTCCCGGGCCATCAGCCCACTGCGCACCTTGTCGTCCTCGCGCACGGGCTCCATCTCCATAATTTGCGCTTCCACCTCCGGGGTAAAGAACAAGACCTGGACAGGACCCTTTCCGTCACGGAAGTCGGAGGAAGCAAAGGTCTTCAGCTGCTCCGGCGGGAAGCAGTTCCGGACATCCTCATCCACCACCAGCAGTCTCGCTGTAGATGTGCGGACCGAGTGGATCAGCGGCTTGCCGGCCAGATTATAGTTGATGAAGGCCGGGACGGCGCCGATACTCCAGAGCCCGACAACCATGAACAGGAACGTGTCCGAGTTCATAAAGTCGATGGCGACGATCTCCTTGCGCCGCACCCCGTGCACCTTTTTGAACCAAGCTCCATAGCGCAGGGCCATGATATACGTTTCGTGAAATGTCCAGGAGCGACCGTTATACACGATAAACGGGAGGTCGGCCGTGGTCGACGCGAGCGCATGGGTTTCCAGGACGTAGAAGAGGTTGAGGCGATCGCCACGCTCGGCAGCACCCGATCTCATTTTGATCTTGAGCAGGGAGCCGATTAGGTTGAAATCGTAGAACAGTGACCATCTTGCGTTCAGGTAGGCCATCGTCGCCGCGGTGGCAGGGAGGGTGATGCTCAAGGGCCACGGCATGGTGATCGTACGGGAGCGCGGGTGGCGCTGGGTAACTGTGGCGGAATACTTAGGCAGGCAGGAGGAGGTGACGGGAAGGTAGATTCCCAGCAGGGGGAGAGAAGGTGAGTGGAGGCCTCTCTAGGACGCGTAGGCCAGTACTTAAAGGGAATCCAAGGCGAGTAGTGAGTGAGATGAGGGTGGATCTGGAGGGCCTGAGACATGCCTCGGCATCTGCCTAATCCGGCAGAATCGGACCAGCCGGACGCCGGGATGGTGGATAACACTACATGTACTGTTCATAAGCAATAATTAGCCACCTGAATAACTCCTGACAATCTGTCCAATCATCATAATCATGTCATTTTGTTGCACTTTCTCATACATTCTTATTGTTGTAATATGGCGGTTTGCATGAGATCCCTCGGGACGGCTTCTTCACATGGGTTCGGCTTATTATGATGAGGTTGATCAGCGCTATGGCTAGTTGGGGTTGTACGCGCCGGCATGATTAGTTAATTAACCAGGGCGAGACTAAATAATCAACAGTGAACGAGTGCAGCAACCCCAGATTCTCAGTATGGCGGACGGGGAGATCCACCGGAGTGTACTTCGCACGGAGTAAAAGAGAGTATGTTTCAGACAATAAATAATGTCGATTTATTATTCTAATTTTTGTATTTACTTCTTCTTCAATAATGGCACATCTTCATACCCATCCTCCATAAACGCCTTCAAAGCCTCCAGGCCTTGCTCCAACACCTCCGTCTCAGGCACATACCCAATGCGCACGTAGCCCGGAAAGTCCTCGCCACCACCAAAACAGGCGCTGCCCGGCACGAACATCACCCCAGTACGGTCCAACAGCATCTCACAGAAAGCGACATCATCCACGGGCTTGCCCATCTTCGTGAAGCGGACAAACGCAGTCGTCCCAGCCCGCGGCTTGACCCATTCACATGCCCACCGGTGGGACTCGATAAACTTCTCCAGGAGAGCCAGGTTCGTCCGGGCCAGATCAATATTCCTGCGCAGAAGATTGTGGATGCATGTCGGCGCGAGCGCATAGCTAGCCACTGCGTCGTCGATCTGGCCGACTGAGATGGTGGTGTAGTCGCGGGCGGAAGCGCAGGCTTCGATGATCGTTGGATCGCGCGAGGCGATCCAGCCAACCCGCAAACCGGCTAAGCTGTACGCTTTGGAAACGGATCCGGTGACCACGGTGCGCTCGTAGCCAAGCGACAGGAGAGATGGAGGGAACTCCTTGTCCATGGGAGTGATGTTGTGGAAGAGGGGTCTGTAGACCTCATCGGCAAAGAGGGTGATAGACTTCTCGCGCGCTAAGTCCACTAGCTCCTCGAGGGTGCTGTGAGGAATGATGGCACCCGTCGGATTCTGCGGATTGCTTCATTTTCTGTCAGGAATGGATATATATCTCGGAGGGGCAATTGTGCATACTTGATGATGATCAGTTTCGTGTTGGGCCGAATCAGCTTTTCCAATTCCTTGATATCCAGCTGCCACCCATTGCCCGCATCCGACTTCCACAGACTCACCTCCGCGCCCAGCGACGTGGGCACCGAGTAGAGCTGCTGGTACGTGGGGTAGTGGCAGATGACATGGTCTCCCGGGCCGACCAAGGTATAGAGCAGCATAAAATTGGCCTGGATGGCCCCGGCCGTGATCAGGATATTATCCTTGGGTAAAGGCGTTGGCGTCTTGACCGAGTACAGGTTTGCCAAGGTGCCGCGCAGTTCATCGGATCCACGAATCGCACCGTAGGTGAGTTTCGTGGAGTGCAGGCGGGTCAAGGGGTTGGAGTCCTTGTCTTCAGATAATTCGCGGAGATCATCCACGGAGATGGAGGCGCAGCAGGTCTCGGCGGTGTTGTACTTGGCGATGGTCTCATACTTGTCCATCCACTGCGGGCAGTCAGGAACCAGAATCAATGCGGGGACAGAATCAGAAACTGCTGGGCCAAGCGTACCTGTTCGACCGCGAAGGCCTCGATCTTGACCATGGCTACGGTGGGAGCTACCAATAATGGTCTGACTGCCTGACCTGGGTCTGTCTTGATTCTCGCTCCGTCGAGTCAACTCCAGTGGGAGAAGACATCACGTGGTCCCCCCGCATTGAAATTGGGAGATCGGAATCTCCTTTCGGATTTAATTGTTCGCTCCACTACTAGTTTTACAAAGCAACACTCTTTTGGTCTTACAAAATGAATACGGCCAAGAGAACTACATCATAGTAGAGTAGTCTATGATTCTAATAGGATAGTAGTAGATATGGTGAAATTCAATGATCCCGGGCTGAAACGTGGCAACCTGAAGTCAGTTATTGTACATTGACCAAGGTCACTACATTTCTTCGATTGCCATCATGTTTCTCGGCCGATGCCATCGCCATTTTAGCAGCCGCGAGCTCCTCCTCAGTGGGCAGGTTTACAACCATGAGATAAAGGACATCTTTCAATATCTTTCTGGGCATCATGCCTGCTCCTTGAATCTGGGTCTGCAACTGTTCTCGCTGGAGCTGGAACTGTTGCTCATAGAGTGCGATGGTCTCGCGTGCCTGCAGGTCTGAGTAGCCCATAGCTTGGAACTGGCTATGGAGCAGCTCTAGCTGGCAACTCTGTTGCTCTTGAAGAAATGCTTCCTGCTGTTGAAGTATACTTTTAGTATCTTCCATGGTCTTTTTGGGGTCCCGTGTAAGGTGACCGCCCGATACTAAGCCAAGAAGACCTCCATTAGTGGCTGGGTGGTTAGGATCGAGGAATCGATTTTCGAATCTGGATTCCGGGGCTGTAGATAGGGTGTCATGATTGCTTTCAGCAGCCTGTCACGATTTTGTATTAGAAGCATCCTTATTGAGAGGTTGAAGGTGACTTGCATATCTTGCTCGGGCACGTTTGTCGAAGTAATCATTCACCTTGTTCCAAGGCTTGTCTTTCTTTTTCATGCAGGCGCCCTCATCTTCTTCCGAAAATATTAGGGGTGCAACTTCTGATGGCAAATTTTGCTCTCCTTCGGTAGAGGTTGAGAATGGATTGCGCAAGTTTTTTGCGAACTTTTGCGGCCACTTCCTGCGTGGCACAGTGGACTCTCTACTGGAAGATGGTACCTCTATCGTGGTATTGATATCTTCTTGCTGTTTCTGTGGGAGAGGGTTGTAGGTCACAATCAGACAATAGAGTCCTCGAGGACAGAACAGTTCTCGATTCGCCTGGTCGAGAAAGGTATTCACTCTGGCCAAGCAGTATTAGACAAAGGGCATTGGAGAAATGCATCTAAAATAGACTTACTTCCATCTGATTTGTGCTTTTGCTGCAACTACTGATACAATTTGCACTGCCGCTGTCGCGCCCATGGAAATCTGATTTGGAACGAAAGAAGCGCCAAATGCGGCAACTTGTACCGCAGCAATCCATTTAGAGACTTGGATCGCTTTGTTTAGAGTGTGGATAAATTCGTGAAAGTGTTCTTGGTTGATGCCACACTGGGATAATATCGGAGCATAAGCCTTCATAAACCCTCGCTGCTTGTTTCCGGGTCGTCGTTGAGGAATAACGACAGGGTAGACAATCCCCCGAGCAGCAGGATCCATTGAAATCCCGGAATTGTTTTCCATGAACGAAGCGATTGCCGAGTCAGCTTCTTCTTCTCTTATGGCATCAATCGGCATGCCATCTTCCTCACCAACAGAGTTCATGGACATATTGAGTTCGAGTGGATCTTTTTGCTTGAGAGGTTGGGGAGAGCCAGGGGCCATTATTGATGGTGGTATGAGATTGTATCGTTAGGAGCCAGTCGCGGGACTGTTCCTTTATATGCTAGATATATTTTTGAGCTGAACAACCGCTGTAGGTAGCAATGTCTCCATCGGGAAGATCGACACTCTTATCCGAGGCGGAAAACGAGACATGGCCAACGAGGACTGCCATCCATTGCTAATTTCAGGCTCAAGGGAGACTTGACGTAATTCTTTTCTATATATATTCCCCTTCCTGGGGCTTAGTGTACTGGGTATTCCACAGATCTATGTCCTTTCAAGCCCTCGTTCGCGGGACTTACTGTAATGGGTTTAGCGTTCCGCACGATAAACTTCGACCTGGGGGCCGAAACTAGGCTCTCCCTCGGTTCCAGCGAAGGCCCGACCTGCTCAGCCTTGCGCACGGAGCCTTCCCGATATTAGTCTGCTGAACTGCTGAACCGCCGACATACTGCTCGCCTAGCCCTCATGTCTCCCTCCCCCTTTCCTAGGCAAGTTTTATGAATTGTTTTCATCCGCACTGTTTTGGGACCATTAACAAAACCGTTACATATCCATCCTCATTTAATGTCGCTGTGGAACCTTGTTCTGGTTATTCGGCTACTTTCCAAGCCCACACATACAGCGATAACCATTTCAATGACCAGGGCATGCAGATTAAAATCAAATGCTGGCCACTACGCTCGAGCTCCCATCTGTCAAGAGGTATCGGCGCTAAATGGCAGGGAAATCTACTCCCTCGGCCTATACTTTCCGGCTTGATATTCGACCGCATGTTCTGCAACTGATAGTTTTGATGGCGGATTCACATTCCAATGCTGTTGTACCAGTTGGACAAATTATTATCCTCAGTGAAATCTGATTTCAAAGACTACAGAAATATTTTCGCCTTACATCTTTATAGCCATGGCGATATAATCTCCTAAATGATCTTGGTCTTCACAATCTGGTAGACTGACTTTCATGCTTGAAAAGGATCGAATCTATCTGCCCAGCTATACTGTCCACATAAAACGGGTAAGAATCGCTGAAGGACAAGAGCTTGGTGTATTCCCATAACACGTGCAATTATATGAAAGCATTCAAAAACCCACTCCGAAAGCGAAGAAGGGTGATCCTCAACGACCACGGCAAAGGAAAGCGGAAACAGAAGTACAAAGCCTCCAGCTGAACTTTTTACAGTTGAAGACTCTGGCTTGGACACACACTGGTCCAGCACGCCGAGAATATGAGGAGCACTATAACAGATTTCATCCGCAAGTTGGCGCATTTGCTTACGCGTTCCGGAACATTTCATCTGTGCCTCTTTGATGGGGCTTGAATTCCCCTCCATCGTTGCCAGTGGGCGCAATTGAGATATAATCATGTCATACACCAAAATCTGAGTGACACGGTAATTGTTCCACATCAAAGCCGAGGGCAGATCCGGATATTTGTGACAAACACCACGATGTGGGCGGAGCTTGGAGTCCGGTCCCATGTCGAATGCGTCAGATCTGACAAAAGATTCATAAGCGCAGCTCGGCGAGACGTATTTGAGCCAGCTTAAGAGCTCCGTTTGAATAAATGAGAGCTCCATCAGAATCGATTTGTCGTTACCAACCAACCCACTTGCTATTTGATAGCGGAGTTCAGCTAACCTGGCCATGAGTATAGTGAGCTGGTTTGAAGAGGTCTCAACCGGGGTGCACAAGGTTGCTGCCAGTCGTCCTGATAAGCCGACAATGGTCGGAGGAACGGGAACTTGGCGGTATATACAGCCAAGGGTCTGCAGAAAAGTGAAGTCAGATATAATCCAAACCAAGATTACACGGGCAAGATACAATTTGATCTCTCCAGGCTCTAAAAGTCGTCAGACACGGAGTATTGATCAAACCATCTATACCGCGCATTTCCAATAGCCTGACACAGCCATTGATGTGCTGTAACCAATTTTCAATTGACTTCTGTCCGTGGCCAGTGACGACCTAGTGCTATCAATGAGCTTCAAGACAATACATATCTCGAGAACGGACCCACCTCAAATATGGACAGCAAAAAAATAGCAACAAGCGTGGAATCTTCTTTCCACTGATGAACATCGGAAATGGCGGCATTTGTTAACCGAAGCGACTCAGAATAGTCAGATCTGGCCGATTGTATCAAGGAGCCCATATTGTCGATATTTCCAACAGTGGCCTTTCCAACAGCGGTCACACCTGCTAACAACGCTCTTTCGCCTAAGGGGGCTTTCACACTGTCGACACGGTAATCAAATGAACCACGGATTAAGGCTAGAGTGCCAATCCAAGTGTAAGTTTTGAAAAAATAGCATGAGGCTTGATGTTCGGCATCGATGACAAGAGAATCAATTGGCAATAAGAAAAAATTCCTCCATCTCTCACTCGATTGTCTAGTGATATGGGTTTTTAATGACTCGTCGATGAGTGACTTTTGGGTTCTTCGAGATGTAGACGGGGCCCCGTGAGCACCGGCTTTTGCATGTTGGGCTACTGATTTGGTTTCATTGCGGAACTGAAGCTCATTCAGGTCTCGGTATCCTGGGCAACTTCGGGCTGATTTAATACAACGAGCACACTGGGGTTGCTGAAGGTCACACTATTATGACCTAAGTACAAGGAGAGTATGAGCGACGCCACATGTGAGGACCTACTTTGATTTTCCTTGTTCGGCATTCACCGCAACCTTGGCTGAACTTCCGGAAAGACATGATTGTCATCCAAGATCGAATGTATCCAAAGTGTCTATGATGAGGGGCTTTCAGGGTTAATTGTCAGCAACTAGCTTGTGTATTGGAAGGGGGCGGGGGGCAGCCCGTCTAACCATAAGCTGACTACGCGCAAGTGTACATGAGATCACGTGGTCCACGTGGGGGTAGTGCTCCAAGACCTTGTAGTAGTCCGCACAGTGAGTGCACAGAGTATTTCTCGATATGAAAAACCGCCCACGGGTTTGCTTTGTATATAGACTCGAGTCGACTATAGTTGTTGTTAATATTGATCATTCATCCCGACGACGCTATTCGCCTCTATGTATACTTGCCGACCCTCACATGCTCCCATGAACCGAATATCTTGCTCCCGAGAACCAGACACGTGTTCCGAGGAAACCCATCTATCATTCTACTGTACTCGTCAGCTGCATTATGTTGGCTTGTCTTGGATCCCTACGACGATACTGTACTGTGAAAGTGGCCTCGAATGGCAGGTCCTCACCGCTCTAGCTAAGCGGTGAGGGCCTGCCATTGGGGAGGCGGGTGTTATGATGTGCCTGATCGGCCAACCCTGCTTCTCCGCCCGCGTCATCGTCTCACTCCTTATCTTCCCAACCCTCTCTCTCTTGACTACCACACGGTTGAAAACCAATCCTATACTCCATTCATTCTATCTCTCCGCCAAGCGGATGCTCGCTCCTCGCCTGGCTTGAGTCTCTGGTCACCCCCCGCATTCTCCTCCTGCCGGTACCTCGGTTGACCAGCCACCGGCGCTGGCCCGATCTGCTTTCGGTCGTAACCCCCCAACATGCGATCGACATCAACACTCACGATCTTGCTGGCTTGCTTGTCAGCATCTGTGACGGCATGGAGTGACTTCGACTACGACTCGGATCTCTTCCCTCGATCCCTGTCGACCCTCGACGACCGACCACCGGACTGCCCTCCTTGTTTTAACTGCCAACTTGACGCCTTTAACTGTACTCACTTTGCCCAATGCAACACCTTCAATGGGAAATGCTCCTGCCCGCCAGGATTCGGAGGAGATGACTGCTCGACGCCCGTCTGCGGCTCGCTGGCCGATGGTGATAACCGCCCGGTGCGGACGACCAAGTCCTGCGATTGCAAGGATGGCTGGGAAGGTATCAACTGTAACGTCTGTGCCACAGACAGTGCCTGCGATGCGATGATGCCGGAAGGCCAGGGTGGTACATGTTACAAACAGGGCGTCACCGTCAAGGAGAACTACCAGATGTGCGATGTGACCAACCGCAAGATCATAGATCAGCTGGACGGCCGGAAACCTCAAGTGACATTCTCCTGCGCAGCGAAAGACAAAACCTGCAACTTTCAGTTCTGGGTCGGCCAGAAGGAATCGTTCTACTGTGGCCTGGATACTTGCGAATGGGACATGAAGAGCGATTATGCTAGCAACAAGACACACTACAAGTGTGAGAATGCGGCGTGCAAGTGTATTCCCGGCCGCTTTCTCTGCGGTGAGAACGGGTCCATCAATCTGGATGACTTTCTGGACCAGACCATCAAAGGTCCAGCCACATTTTCAACAGACTCGACCGCAGATCGTACCAAAAGTATCTTCTCGGAGCCGGAGATGGACAAGCTGATTAGTGCTGTCTTTGGAGATCCGGCCATCTATCTGGCCTGCAATGCGGGAGAATGCCTGTACAAAACCGACGTCCCCGGCTACGAGCGGCCTGTCAAGAAGATCAACACGCCACTGATCGCTGGAGTGATTGCGGGATGTGCGCTTTTCGTCGTTGCGGTCATCCTGATCGTTTGGTATCTGTCCCGTCGTGCGGCGCGCCGTGGCTACGTTCGCCTATCTCTTTCGGATGATTCAGATGATGAAGCCGCCAAGCTCCTTGCTGAGCATCGACCAGCGGCTTTATACTGGGATAATGTCTCCTACTACTTGAATGGCAAAGAGATTCTCGCAGGTGTTCAGGGTGCCTCTACGCCAGGTCAGATCACGGCCATCATGGGAGCATCTGGTGCGGGGAAAACGACTTTCCTGGATATCCTGGCGAGAAAGAACAAGCGAGGCGCCGTTGCAGGTGACTTCTACGTCAATGGCGAGAAGATGAGTGACCATGATTTCAAGAGTATGATCGGATTCGTCGATCAGGAGGACACCATGCTGCCCACTCTGACGGTTCACGAAACGATTTTGACCAGTGCTTTGCTGAGGCTCCCTCGAGACATGAGTCAGGCGGCCAAGGAGCAACGAGTCTTCGAGGTCGAGAAGCAACTTGGCATCTATCACATCAAGGACCAATTGATTGGGTCAGAAGAGGGCAAGGGCCGTGGCATCTCGGGTGGAGAAAAGCGCCGGGTGGGCATTGCTTGTGAGCTAGTCACCAGCCCTAGTATTCTTTTCTTGGATGAACCCACGAGTGGACTGGTAAGTCAAGACCCCCTTGTTGGCGGATTCGGTTTAACTGAGAATGATAGGACGCCTACAATGCTTTCAATGTGGTTGAATGTCTAGTGACATTGGCCAAGACGTATAACCGCACGGTCATCTTTACCATTCATCAGCCCCGATCCAACATCGTTGCGCTCTTTGATCGGCTTGTGCTTCTCGCCCAGGGCCGTACTGTATACTCCGGACCATTCTCAACGTGCCAGCAGTACTTCGATCACGCTGGGTACTCGTGCCCGGCGGGTTTCAACATTGCCGATTATTTGGTCGACCTTACTATGCACGCCGGTAACGCGCGTTCGTATACGGATGAAATGGAATCACCCGGGAATGGTCGCGCCCGTTTAACAAAGACTCCTTCGAGCAGCCTCAGGGCTGTCAAATCCGTTGCCAGTGCATCCAATGCCAGCATCGACGAATTTTCTAGTGGCACGACAGAGCCCACTCGAAGACCCAAGAACAAACGGCGGGTATCCCTGAAACAGCAACAAGATCGTCAACTCTATTCACGCAGGAAAGACAATGAGCAAACCCCCTCCACTCCCAAGACAGATGAGGAAGATGCCGCGCTGGACGTGGCGGAAAATACCCAGCAATGGTTGCGTCTTTCTCGTCAACAAGGCAGCGTGCCGCCTCAGATCCTTGACGACCCAGATCAGTTACCTCCCCCAGCACCCGGCCAGACGGACCTGGACATTTTGGTGGCCGGCTATGCGAACTCTTACGTGTCTCGCTCAGTGCATGATGAGATTGTGAATGCGGTGCAAGGCGCCCAGGCTGCAAATGGCTCAGCTAACTCGGATGCGATGTCTGGCTCGTCCCAGCCAAAGAGCTATGCCCGCATCGGATTGATGCGGCAGTTCATCATTTTGTCCCAGCGTACATGGCGCAACCTCTACCGCAACCCGATGCTGATGCTCACCCACTACGCCATCTCGATCCTGCTGGCGGTTCTCTCCGGATACCTCTTCTACGGCTTGACCGACGACATCAAAGGTTTCCAGAACCGCCTCGGTCTTTTCTTCTTCATCCTGGCCTTGTTCGGGTTCAGTACCCTGACCAGTCTCACGGTGTTTTCCACGGAGCGGCTCTTGTTCGTACGCGAACGTGCCAATGGCTACTATCATCCGATCACGTATTTTGCAGCCAAGGTCGTGTTCGACGTGGTGCCGCTGAGACTGATCCCTCCCATCATCATGGGAATGATTGTGTATCCGATGACCGGCCTGATTCCCGCATGGCCCGAGTTTTTCCGGTTCCTGCTGGTCTTGGTTCTGTTTAACTTGGCTGCCGCCAACATCTGCCTGTTCATTGGCATTGTCTTCCGGGACGGTGGCGTGGCCAACCTGATTGGCAGCTTGGTGATGCTCTTCAGCTTGCTTTTTGCTGGTCTGCTGCTGAACCACGATGCTATCCCCAGCTCCGCTCTGTGGCTACAAACGGTAAGTCCTCTTTCTGTGACGTTCACACTCATACTGATTTTTTTGTCCAGCTGTCCATCTTCCACTATGGTTTCGAGGCCCTGATCGTCAACGAGGTGACCTTCCTCACTCTGATTGACCACAAGTACGGGCTGGACATTGAAGTTCCCGGCGCGTCCATTCTAAGTGCCTTTGGCTTCGACACCTTGGCGTTGTGGGGCGATGTCATCGGCCTCGCGGTGATCTCGGGGGCGTTCATTATCATTGCATATGCTGCGATGCATTTCCTGCTTGTTGAGAAGCGGTGAATGAGCAGCTATGGAGGATTTGCGACTGGAAACTATGTATTTAGGAAACCATATATTTAGCGTTCTCCGAGCATATATTGAGTCGTGTACATTTCTCGGGATCTATCTATCCCTGACTCTCTTTTCCACGTGATCAGCGTCATGCTTCGTGGCTCATCTTATGAATTATTTCTCTGCTACATATCCTCTTTGCCTAGTTATCTTCCTCCCTTTTCTTTATCTCTCTAGACTAATTCCTGTTAGTCCCGGGTATATTCTGCCCCTCCCCCAGTGTCCGTGCAGCAGCCCGACCGCCGACCCGTTCAGGCTTGGGTTCGACGACTAGACCTTCGCTAACTCAGCACCAGCTCGGTCCCGATCCACCACCACCACCACAGCTTATCCTCATCCTCCTCCCAGCCCACTCCCAGCCCCTTCTTCTCTGTCCCCACCCGTTCAACTTCCTCTCCGTACCTCCTGTCGTGCGTGTGAGCTTGGGCCAACCACTACCCAAGTCTCTCTTCGATTCCTCCGTCTTCTTTGCCGCTGCCGCGCCCCCCACAAAACCTCTCCAATTCCGGCCCTCTCCAACTATTCCCTTCCGCCAACCTTGATCCTACCTCATCGGTCTTCAGACTCGGGCCTCCTTGACGTGACTCGATTGTCTTTCCTATTTCTTCCTTTTTATTAAAGACTTGCATCTACATCCACCACCATGTCCGGCGAAGCGTGGCTCTACCTGCTCGCGGTGCTTATCAATGCCGTGAATCTGTTCCTGCAGGCAAGTTTCATCATAGCACGCTGTATTCGCTGCTCTTCCTGACAGCCATCTAGGTTTTCTTCACGATCATGTACAGTGATCTGGAGTGGTGAGTGGTTCCCTTCCTGCCAGCCACAGACAGAGAGAGAGAGACTGACCTGGATCCCCTTTCTGCGCAGCGACTACATCAACCCGATCGACCTGTGCAACCGCCTGAATGCCTACATCATCCCCGAAGCTGCCGTCCACGCGTTCCTGACCTTCCTCTTTGTCATCAATGGCTACTGGCTCGCGATCCTGCTGAACCTGCCTCTCCTGGCGTTCAATGCGAAGAAGATCTTCGAGAACCAGCACCTTCTGGACGCGACGGAGATTTTCCGCAAGTTGAATGTTCACAAGAAGGTGGGTTCTTTTTTTTTTTCAGAAGAGGAAATCTACTTATTTACGGGTTGCTAACTCGGGGGTTGGTTGTGTGCAGGAATCCTTCGTCAAGCTTGGTTTCCACCTCTTGATGTTCTTCTTCTACCTGTACAGCATGATCGTCGCTCTCATCCGCGACGAGAACTGACTTCGCGAAAAAACCGAAACCGCCATGCGCCATGGTCGTCCCGTCTAGCTCATCGCTAGTCATGCTGCGGTGCGGTGCGATGCGATATACTAATGCGGTTATACCCCTATGCAAGTCGACTATCACGAAGAACGAATGGTATGACGCGCTCTCGAATTCAGTCTTGCGATAGACGGTGCGGTTGGCGTGGGTAATAATGGAGGTTGTCGTGTGTAGCTATCTGTCTCTCTCTTGGAGGGAGGGTGTTCCGGAACATGAGAAGATGATGTGATTGTGTGTTGGACCCAGTGTGGCCCAAATAATCTCTTCTGTCTGTAATTGTTTCTTGCTGTTTGAAGCTGGTTTCTTTGTTCCTTTTTTTATCTTTCTGTGTTGATCTTGCTGTCTTTCGGCCTGTGAGTTGTATATACCTCCTGCGCGGTCTGGCAATGAAGAGTACGATACCCAACTGGCAACTAACTTGTAATTTTCCCATGTAGATCTGAAGTGAAGTAGATTCAAGAAATCTGCTCGAGTGAAAAAAAGGGACAGTGCTACTGAGCGGTTGTATTCTTCATCTCGGGAGCCTCCCGTCGCCCGTAAAATTCCTCCTTCAGACAACCATCTCCACCAACACCTCTCTCCATTACTCGTGGGCATATATTATTCTCCCATAATAATATCCCACAATGTCATCATTACTAGGCGCTGGATATGACTCCAGCGACGATGACAATACCACATCTACCCACACACCGGCGACGACCGCAACCAAGGTCGTCGCTGCGCCAGAAGTGAATACAGAGGTTTGGTTCCCGGCCTCCTGCTCTGCGCAGGAGCTTCATTCGACCCTCCAAGACGAACCGATAAGACTAACGACTCTACAGGATCACGCGCACATGCAAATGACACTCGCCAACACCTCCTCGCAAGCCCTCACCTACAACGCCACGTATGATGACCTAATGCGACCATCGCAAGGGCCCGTCAATCCCTTCAAACCAGCCGGCGCCAGCAATGGCATCAAGCGCAAGAACGTCCCCACCGGCTTTGCGGAGGAGGCGGCTATCAGCGAGGCGACGTTCTCCGCGCAACATCGCACGTTCCAGAGTCTCGGGTACACGCGAAACCCTACCGCACCGGATCAGTTTGTCGGCGATATTCAGAGTGCGGCGCAGTTTGGCGGCCGCGATGTGGTCCAGATGAAGCCGACCAAGGAGGCCTCAGCGAAGTGGCGTGCGAAACGGCAAAAGAAAGGCGACTCCGGCGTTGTCGAGGGTGACGGTGCTTATCTGGGCCCGTGGGCGAAGTATACGAATCAGGAGCAATATGATGAGGTGGAGGTTGGGGACGGAGAGGAGCACGAGCTTGCCAGCGATGAGGAGTGGGTTGAGGAAGATGAGACGCTGACTTCCGGTGCCCCAATGCCTGCTATGAGCAAGGCCGCAACTGAGTACGAGGGCGATCTAACCAGCGTGGAAAGAACCGAGTTCCACGGCTCAGAGCAGTTCGACTACCAGGGCCGGACGTACATGCATGTGCCCCAGGACCTCGATATCGATCTGGACAAGGAAGTCGGCAGCGTCAAGAACTACGTGCCGAAGAAACTGGTGCACACTTGGAAGTCTCATACGAAGCCCATTACTTCTCTGCGGTTCTTCCCTAAATCAGGCCATCTGCTCCTTTCCGCGGCGGCCGACGGCAAAGCCAAGATCTGGGATGTGTACCATCAGCGAGAGCTGCTGCGCACGTTCTCGGGCCATAACAAGGCCATCACGGACACGGACTTCCACCCGTCAGGGAAAACATTCCTCACAGCTTCGTATGACCGACAGATCAAGCTCTGGGATACCGAGTACGGGAAGTGTTTGGGTCGATTCTCGACCGGCAAGACGCCGCATGTCATCCGGTTCAACCCCGGTCCTGAACACTCACACGAGTTCCTGGCCGGTATGTCTGACAAGAAGATCGTGCAGTTCGACACGCGATCCGGCGAGCTGGTCCAAGAATACGACCACCATCTGGCCGCGATCAACACGCTCACCTTTGTCGACGACAACCGACGCTTCATCTCCACATCGGACGACAAGTCCCTCCGCGCATGGGAATACGGCATCCCCGTACCAATCAAGTTCATCGCCGAGCCATATATGTTTGCACTCACGCGCGCAGCAGCGCATCCGAATGGCAAATACGTCGCCTTCCAGTCTGGCGACAACCAGATCGTCGTGTACGGCGCGACAGACAAGTTCCGCCAGAACCGCAAGAAGAGTTTCCGCGGCCACAACAATGCCGGCTACGCGATTGATCTTAAAATCTCGCCGGATGGCCAGTTCCTTGTTTCGGGTGATGGGGGTGGGTTCGTCTGTTTCTGGGATTGGAAGACGGGGAAGATGTATCATAAGATGATGGCTGGTGGGAAGGAGGGTGGTGCTGTCACTTGTTTGGACTGGCATCCGCAAGAGACATCCAAGCTTGTCACTGGTGGATTGGATTCGACCATCAAATACTGGGATTAGAGGGTTTAGGAAGGAACTGTATAGTCTATCAATCCATGGCCCTATTCTTCAATGTCGGTGTTGATGTACTTCCCGCCAACATTTATTTGGGATGCAATGGTTTCTACAGAAAGTGCCGACATTGTGTAACAATGAGTGAAGTCGATTCTATAGTTCTGACCAAGAAGGGAATCAAAAATAACCTATACATGTCCTCCATATCCAAGATCCCACAACCAGAACACATCTCTACCGTTATGAAATCGGTCGAAACACCCGAACCCAAAGAGACGCAAGATGGTGCAAAGAATGCCTAATCAAACACACCGGCGAGAAGTACCGCGGATACTTCCACATCAGCACAGAGACTGCTCCCAGACCAGTAATAAGCAGCGAGCTCAGCCCCCACCCCAGCACCGAGCTCTGCCGCTGCACAGCCTGAATAACATCGGAATAGCGCTGGTTACTAAACGAGACACGCGCATACTGCGTCTGCCAGCCCACAGACGGAAAATATCGATCTACAGACTCCTCAACCGACTTGCGCAGCCTGTACAGCGGCGACTTGACACCCCAGCGCATCTCGAGGTAATTCTGCTTGGACAGGTCGTTGATGGCGTATGTATCCGCGCAGCGCTGGTCCGTGTATGCCTGAAACGCAGCGAGGCGGTGGAGGGCTCGAGTGTGCGCATCTGTCTGTGGGTCGTAGACGCCGCAAGAGTCGAGCATCTCAAACAGCACCCGGACGTCTTCGAGGCCTGCGTTCAGGCCCTGGCCGTAGAAGGGCAGGACGGCGTGCGCGGCATCGCCGAGGATAGCGACGCTGGCGCCGAAATGGTGCGGGCTACACTTTATGCTGATGAGCGGGAGGTGCGGGTTCAGGTTGAACTGCTCGCTCAGAGCGTCGGGATCAATGAGTTCGGGGCACACGCCTGGGAAGTGCAGGTCGAAGAATGCCTGCAACGAGTGCGGGTTCATTTCCAACGCGGCATATTGCGCCGACGGCGCAAAGAGCGTGCATGTAAATGATTTGTCGGGCGAGGGGAGCGCAATGAACATGAACTCTCGTCCCGGCCAGATGTGCAGATGGTTCGGCGAGATGCGGAACTCGCCCTCGGGGGACGGCGGGATACGGAACTCGCACCACAGCGTGTCGATGTACTCCTGCTGGTAGTCGACACGGGCGAATTTCATCATGTGGAAGCGGGAGGCGGAGTGGGCGCCGTCTGCGCCGAGGAGGTAGTCGAAGGAGACCTCTATCTCGGGGACGCGGCCTGCGATTCCTGCGGCATTGGCTTGTGGTGTGTCGCCTGGGATGCGCCGCTCGAACCAGGCTTTGTTGGTGCGGAAGTCCGCGCCTGTGAGCTTGTGGTTGAAGTAGAGCTTGACGTTGGGGGTTTTTTCGAGCTCGTCGAGGAGGGCGTTGTTCAACGTGCCTCGGTCGACTGCGTTGATGGCCTGGGCAGAGGGTTAGCCGTGTTTTTTCTTCCTCCCGCGTTTAGAGACCTACTCGGCCATGAACATCATAGGCCTGCGCAGCCTCCCAGAGCTGTCCTCGGTCGCGGCCGTGGATCATTCGCCCGTGCATGGGAATGGTATCACGGAGGACATTGTCGATGAGCTCACTCCGGTGCGACTGTTTCATGGAGTTGATGCCGCGCTCGGAGAGAGCCAAGTTGATGGACTTGGTGAAATTCAATGGCACCGTCGTTGGGTCCCGGAGATCTACCGATTGACCATTATTCCTCTGGCTTCGATATTTCCAGGCATAGCGGGTAAACAGCAACAATGGGGAGGTGGGTCATCTTCCTCGTCGGGTACATGAATATCAATTCTTCTCCGAGAAGATCACAGTAAACATTCAGACAAGAGAAAGGAGTATTTCAATGTCGACTGGCAGGGGCTCAAGTGAACGTCACACGAGTCAAAAGTGGCAACGTACCTCCACGCAGCTCGTATACTTCGACCTCGTCACCTCTGGACGCAGCATACAATGCAGCCAGGGCACCTACAGGCCCAGCACCGACTACGACGACCTTCTGGCCGGATGGAAGAGCGGCCATCATGGAGTACAGGCGACGAGCGCCATCGGGATGAGTCGTAGCGAAGAAGAAACTCACACGGTCACGTGTCTCCCAGTTGTCCGAAAAGATCGACCGGTTAAGGTGTTGACTCAGCGCGGATCAATTCACGGTAGCCTGAGGCATCGGTCCTGCCTGCTCGGGCTTAGTGGGGATCGGTTCCTCGGTCGCGGGGACAAAAAGTGAATAATTCTTGATTCTCTTCGACGATCACGATTCACGATCATCAGTCAACGATGGCAGCCACGGCCCGAAAATGCATTGGCTTGGAGTGCCCCAATGATGCAGGCACTCTGCAGTGCCCGACCTGTCTGAAGGCGGGCACTGACAGCTTCTTCTGCTCACAGGACTGCTTCAAACGGAGTTGGGTATGATCCGATCTCTCTATCTGCTGTGTTGACATTGTGGCTGACTCCACGGCTGCTGTAGACCGAGCACAAGGCCATACACAAGAAGAGTAATATCCTCACCAATCTCTTCCCTCCCAAGGTAGTCTCTGAACCAGATCCAGCCACCGGTCACTTTAACCCCTTCCCGTCCTTCCAATTCACCGGCCCGCTGCGTCCAGTGTATCCTCTGTCGCCCAAACGCACTATCCCCAAGTCGATCCCGCACCCGGACTACTCTCGCGACGGCATCCCACGCTCCGAGCAGCGCCTGGTCGGCCGGCACAACATCACGATTCTGAACAAGGAGGAGCAGGAGGGAATGCGCAAGGTCTGTCGGCTGGCACGGGAGGTACTGGATCTTGCCGCGGCGGCGATCAAGCCCGGCGTCACGACGGACTATATCGACGAAGTGGTCCACAAGGCCTGCATTGAGCGTGAGGTATGTTGTTGACATAACCGCCACTCTGGGGAAACACACTGACGTTCGCAGTCATATCCGTCACCACTGAACTATGTGCACTTCCCGAAATCCGTCTGTACTTCGATCAACGAGACCATCTGCCACGGCATTCCCGACCAGCGGCCGCTGGAAGACGGCGATATCGTCAACATCGACGTGACCCTGTACCACAAGGGATTCCACGGAGATCTCAACGAGACGTACTATGTTGGCGAGAAGGCTCGTGCGAACGCAGACGCCGTGCGCGTGGTGGAGACGGCGCGCGAGTGTCTAGACATGTCCATTGACCTGGTGAAGCCGGGCATGCTGTTCCGGGATCCCGGCAACGTGATCGAGAAGCACGCCAAGAGCCGCAACTGCAGCGTTGTCAAGACCTACTGCGGCCACGGAATCAACCAGCTGTTCCACTGCGCGCCCAACGTTCCTCACTACGGCAAAAACAAGGCTGTCGGTACTGCAAAGCCCGGCATGTGCTTTACGATTGAACCCATGATTAACCTGGGCACGCACCGCGATCGTACCTGGCCAGATGATTGGACCAGCACGACCGCTGATGGGTCACTGTCGGCTCAGTTTGAGCACACCCTGCTGGTGACCGAGGATGGGGTCGAGGTGCTGACGGCGCGGCTGCCCGATTCGCCTGGCGGGCCCATCCCGATTCCCGTGGCGGAAGAGAAGAACGGGAATTGAGATCTAGTCTAGCTTAGATATCTCCAAACTGCATCTATCCATCTATCTACTACTATGGTAGTGACCTCCGATCCCTAACTACGAATGAGTTGCCGACGTATAGTTCTCATTGGTCCGATATCGGCTAATCCGGCTGTTCAAAGGCGGGGTGTGTTATCACCACGTGACGGTGTGAGGATCATTGACGGGTTTCACGCCGAGCGGGTTTTGAGGTTTGTGAGGATCTCCTGGGCTACTGGGGACCATTCGGGGCAAGAAACAAGGGAAATGCCTCCAGACCGAGAACCCAACGAGACATCCCCTCTGCTGAGAGCGCAGGGGGATGCCCACCCTCCCTCCACGGGGGCCATTGCCTCGCAGTGTGACGAAGAGCAGGCAAAGGAGCCGTTCCCCGATGCGCGGAAGCAGCTGAAATATATTGTCCCTGCAATTTCCCTGGGAGTATGAAGGATCCCCGTTCAACCCATAAATCAACATGATTAACCTTGCATACTATAGATTTTTCTCTCCGCCGCAGATCAGACAATCATCATGGCCAGCTATGGTCAAATCGGCAGTGATCTCAAAGCTTTAAATTTGACGAGCTGGATTGCAACTTCATACTTTCTCACTCTCACCTCGTTCCAACCACTATATGGCAAGTTGTCCGATATCTTCGGCCGCAAGCAATGCCTGCTTTTCGCGTATGCCATTTTTGGAATAGGGAATCTGTTCTGCGGGCTGGCTCGCAATATCAATGAGTTGATTGCTGCGCGGGTCTTCCAAGGGATTGGTGGCGGTGGTATGACTACCGTGGTCAGTATTCTGATGAGTGATATTGTCCCGCTGCGGGATCGGGGCTTGTGGCAGGGTATTATCAATATTATCTATGCCACTGGCTCGGGCACGGGTGCGCCGTTAGGTATGGCCATCCAATCATTTTTATGCGGACCAACACTGATTGATACCTCCTAGGTGGAATATTGGCTGATTACATTGGCTGGCGCTGGTGCGTATCCCCTGGTTTTCTACCTGAAATTCTTCTCTGACAGTCTCTCTGCAGGGCTTTCCTAGCACAATTTCCTCTGTGCATTATTGCCTTTATCGCCGTATCCTTCATGTTGAAGCTCCCGCCCCGTGAAAACGCCCACTGGAAGACCAAGCTCCGGCGCATCGATTTCCTCGGCGCTATCGTCCTCGTCGGTGCCGTATTCGGTTTCCTGCTGGGTCTGGACCGAGGCAGCAACGTCTCCTGGAAGATGCCGATCACGATCATCTCGCTGAGCGTCTCAGTTGTGCTATTCGTGCTCTTCCTCCTGGTCGAGATCTACCTCGCGGCTGAGCCCTTTGCGCCGGGACACATCATCTTCGACCGGACCTTCTTTGCTTGCTACTGCTGCAATTTCTTCAGCTTTGGAGGCTGGCTCGCTGCGCTGTTCTATATCCCGTTGTATTTCCAGGCAGTCGATGGCGTATCTGCCACTGTCGCGGGTCTACGTTTGCTTCCTAGTATCCTAGCCGGCGTGACCGGTTCTTTGTTCGCGGGTTTTGTCATGAAATGGTCTGGAAAGTATTACTGGCTGACTGTTGCTGCATACACTTCTCTGACAACGGGGTGTTTCTGTGTCTGTCTTTTCTCGGGCGCTGCTGTGGAAAGCACGGTTATGATGATTATGGGAATGGTCATGGCCGCGTTTGGCAATGGCATCGGAGTTACGTCGACCTTGATTGGCCTGAGTAAGTTCTTGACATTCCCCGCCCTATAAGACTTACTAACCGATTAACCAGTTTCAAACGCTACACACGAAGACCAGGCCGTGGTGACAGCCTGCTCATATCTCTTCCGTTCCCTGGGCTCCGTCATCGGCCTGTCGCTATCATCGACCGTAGTCCAACAACTCCTCCGCGCTCGACTACGCTCCGAACTACACAGCAGCAAAGACATCGACCAGATTGTCGACGGCGTTCGAGAGAGTCTCGATTTCATCAAGAAACTCGATCCCGAAGTCGCCCGGATCGTGCGCAACTGCTACGGCTGGTCCACGAACAAGGGCTTCGGCTTTATGGTGGTGGTGGTGTTTTTCGCGCTGTTTAGCAGCTTCTTCATTCGGGAGAGTAAGCTGAATCGCTGAGAGAACTAGATGGAAAAGTACATAGTGTCAAGGGGTGAGTGAAGGGTTGGCATTTCTTTTATTACGGACGCTCTATGTACATACCCCTTTGCATTTGCATGTGGATGGAATTAGATGGATGGAAGAAGTAGCATCGCATTTTGATAAAATTGTCAATGATCACGATCTAGAGTTTGAGATCATAGCCGCTTCTGTTCTTTCTTGTACAGTTGGAGCTGGAGAAATGGTTTGCCCTAACTACTTTCGATCTCAATTGGAGTCGGAAGATAATGAGGATATAACAGTTACTCTCTTCAAACTCACCCTCTATAAGGTTAAAATGCAATCATTGCACAGACTCTTTGGAAATAATAGCCCCCACACTCCATCAGGCCGTTACACGGTCTGGCCCGCTCGCTTTCATTTTCTTGAACCCTGTTGATCACTGCTTTTACTGGTGATAAAAACCGCCTTGGCCATCCTTGGCCAGGCTCCCCCTGATCCTGATGGCCTCAAAGCCAATATTTATCACGCTAACAATGCCTAGAACTTGAGGTTCCTAGCAGGGATCTTTTGAGCCAATTACGCCAATCTGGGGCTTCTGAAGGGAGTGCCCCATTGGCAAAACCACGCGCTTCGGTCTGGGCTCATTTCCCTGGACCCTGAGCTAGACATCCTGCCTTGGCTTTCGTGTTGGTGCTGGCTCAGTTCAATGAAAATGTCTCCATCCGTTTATTATTCGACGCCTTGCGCGGTGTCCCCTCCTTCGCATTCTTATCGTCGCGTCTCTGGGTGACTGCTCTCTCTCTAGCCGTCACCATGGTTGCCATTGTGCTTCTAATTCTGGGAGTTCTGGCATCTCAGATCCCCGGCGTGCCAGCATCCGCCCATAAACATGGTCGTAATGCTCACCACCGTCCTCCGCCCTCCCCGGCAACACCCACTGCTGCGTCCACGGAGACAGCAGCCGCAGCAGCTCAGCTAGATCGTCTGTCACAGGTTGCTCTTCAAAACGCAATTGAGAAATTTGAGGAAGAGCTGATAAGCCCAGATGGCTGCAATGCGCTAAATCTGCGAGTGCGGCGTGACTGGAGGGACTTCTCTTACCGGGATAAGAGGGAGTATATCGATTCCGTGCTCTGTTTACAAAGGCTGCCGGCGCGGACTCCGTCGAAGCTGGCTCCGGGGGCGAAGACTCGCTTCGATGACTTTGTGGTAACCCACATCAACAAGACTATGGAAATCCATTACACTGTATGTGTTTTTTCGGATAGCTTTCTTCTGTCCAATGCTGATTTCAGTAGGGTACATTCTTGGCCTGGCACCGATATTTCGTCCATGGATTTGAAACCGCTCTTCGCGATGAATGCGGTTATACTGGCGACTATCCGTATTGGGACTGGGGCGCTGATACTCACGACATGTCCAAGTCGCCCGTCTTCGATGGAAGCGAGACGTCCATGTCTGGCAACGGCGTCCACATCCGCGACGCGAAAGATATCCAACTGAAAATGGGTAACATCGCTCCCATATCTCTGCCAGCTGGCACGGGGGGAGGATGCGTCCATAATGGACCATTCAAGGACTACACGGTAAACCTGGGCCCGGGGCCTCTGGAGCTATGTGGTGGAAACGTGAGCAAAGTAGCTCACCCGATGGACTACAACCCACGCTGTTTCAGGCGCGACCTGACCACGGAGATCCTGCAACAATACGCCAATTACACGTCCATCGTGTCACTGATCATCAATAACAACAACATCTGGGACTTTCAAATGGCCATGCAAGGAATACCAGGCAGTGGAACCATCGGCGTCCATGGGGGCGGCCACTATGCGATGGGCGGTGATCCCGGCCGCGACGTCTTCATGAGCCCCGGTGACCCGGCCTTCTGGCTTCATCACGGCATGATCGACCGCGTGTGGTGGATCTGGCAGAACCTGGACTTGGAGACGCGTCAGAATGCTATCGCGGGTACTGGCACATTTTTAAATCAGCCGCCTTCGCCGAACACCACCCTTGCCACTGTGATTGACCTGGGTTGGGCGAACCTTGGACCTATTGCTATGAAGGATCTTATGAGTGCCAGTGATGGGCCTTTCTGCTATGTGTATAGATGAAGGGATAATGTGAGGGTAAATGTGTTTTAATTTTGTGAAGGATGGTAATGTATATAGCTAAAAAATTAATTTATGATATACATATGATATGACCTTTCTATTGAGCAAGGAGCCGCATAGCAGCGTAGGTCTGATATATATCTGAGTGACAGTGTTTGCGCCAGAACAAGGCCATATTTATGTTGCGAATTTCGACAGTTTATTTATCACCCATAATAATCACTTAGAAAAGACTAACTCATATTGTGGTAGTGATGTACATACCATTCAGGTCTAACCCCGTGATGTCCGAGCTCCACACCCTTTCCGACACCATCATCCGCTTCGCACCTACACCTTCGCCGATCACTCATTCACTCGGACCACTTGGGCTTGTTTTTTGCTGCCCTCTGTTTCTCCAAGACAATCCACCAACAATGATCTCTCTTCAACTCCCCTGACAATTTCTTTGCAGCTTCAAGCTCAACGGCCATGCCCACACCGCATTCGGGGCCGGTCTCGTTGACAAGGTACCGGCCCATCCTCTACCTCTTCACCGGTGTCGCAGCAGCCTATGCAGTTGTCTACATCCATAACAATGTCATTTTGCCACGGCGTTCCCAACCCTCGCTGCGACGTCGAAATGCTGTGCGCCGCCACCGACGAAGCGACGCCGAAGAACTCGCGTTGCTTGAGACCCCGTCCTACCGAGCCATCACCCACCTCGAACAACTGGAGCGGCAGAATGGAGTGTACGGAACATTTCGCATCGAGACCGAAGACGGACGACGTGTGGAAAGTGGCCTCTTGCCTTCGCTACTCGCAACCCGCGACCAGCTGATGGAGGAGGTTGGCGTCCCTCCGGCCCACGCGGAGCGCATGCGCGAAATGATGGAGGATACTTTTCTGGAATCTTTTCTTGCTCTCGACTTTCCCTCCTCACACACCCTTGCAGACAACAGCCCAGAAAGGACTTACTTGACGGAGCAACTTCAACGACGAGGGATTTCCCGGGCGGGCATTGAGAGGGCGTTGATACGGTTCAATGGAGACGAAAATTATGGAGACGAGCTGCGCCGGCGGAGGCAGAATGGCGAGCGCGTAACGCTCTCTACTTCCACCTTCCCAGATGTGTCAATGCCGCCGCAGAATCTTGATGGTGTGGAAACGGTGGTTGATGACCAGAGTGTCTTTTCCTGGAGGGATGGGAACAACGATGCCTCTCCGACACGAGAGGGTCAGAATCTACTGAATCTGCTGTACCATATTGCCGAGGACCAGGCGCGGAGAGACGGTTATATTCACCGAGGCGTGACTTGCAACAGCTGCGGCGCCATGCCCATCCAGGGTATTCGATACCGATGTGCGAACTGCATCGACTATGATCTTTGTGAAACATGCGAGGCGATGCAAGTACATATCAAAACACATCTGTTCTATAAGGTGCGGATTCCGGCTCCCTTCTTGGGCAACCCACGACAATCACAGCCGGTGTGGTATCCTGGGAAGCCCGCGATGCTCCCACGCAGCCTTCCACGGCCCCTAGCAAAGCGCCTTATGAAGGAGACGAGTTTCGAAAACACCGAGCTCGATGCCCTCTGGGACCAGTTCCGCTGCCTAGCGAACTACGAATGGGCAGATGATCCGAACAAGCTGTACATGGCCATCGACCGCAAAACATTTGACCGGTGCTTTGTGCCCAATACCTCCATTCGGCCGCCTCCTCCCAGTCTTATCTACGACCGCATGTTTGCGTTCTATGACACAAATAACGACAACCTCATCGGGTTTGAAGAATTCCTCAAGGGGTTGGCGAGTTTGAATAATAAAAGTAACGATGAAAGGCTGCGACGTGTCTTTCGCGGATACGATATCGACGGAGATGGCTACGTGGAGCGCAAGGACTTCCTCCGAGTTTTCAGAGCGTACTATGCTCTCAGTCGGGAACTCACCCGGGATATGGTTGCTGGGATGGAGGATGACTTTTTGGAGGGTGGCGCTCGCGATGTCGTTCTTGGTAGTCAGCCTATCAGCTCTGCGTTTCCAGGCAACATCCCCTCGGGAGAGCCTTCACGGACTGGTGAGGGCAAACGGGCGAATCAAGATGGCGATATGGAAATCGTCGACAATGAAGGTATCTTGCGACAGGATGGTGATGATACTGGTGACCGTCACGAAATCATCGGTGACGCTGCCGTTAGAGAGCAGTTCGGTCGAGTGCGTCCGATGTTCCCGTCGACACTTCGCCTTCCTCGTGCCGAGGTCGAAGCTTCCCAAGCGGAACTTAATCATGGTGGTGACGATGACGATGATGCCAGCGAATCTTCCGACGAGTCCAGCTCCTCAGTTGCCAGCGGAAACTGGCCACCAGCCGAACACATCCACGAGGAAGACATTATTGACGCACTGGGAACATATGTTCCTCCTCAAGAGATTACCGATCCCGTCGACAGAGCTCGTATCGCTACCTCGGTGTATCACCGAATGCGCGATGACGATCGTCGCCGAGTAGACGAGGCTCGACGATTTGGTATTGACGAGCGCTGGAGACGCCGGGCATTCTACACGGATGAAGAAGATGGTGCAACCGTCCCCGAGGGATATCAACGGGATCTGGCCGTGGATGATGGTCTCAGTGATGACGAGAAGCTCCATGTACCGCAGACTTTTGAATCGCACCCGCCTTCTCCCCGTTCGCGATCGTCGTCTAAGGTGCGATTCCAGGACGACCTCACCGACGATTACGATGTGCGCTCAAACCCGTCAACATCATCCCGGAGCATACCAGTTGGCGAACGGTGGGGAGGTTTCGAGATCCCGGAAGTCGAAAAAGATGTAGGCAAAGAGATTTTGTATCAGGTCACGCAACAGGGCTTCAACGAGCTTCTCGACATCTTGTTCAAACCCAAAGAGGACCTGATCATGGAGGCGTATCGGACACGAGCTGATCGCAAGGCATGGGCTCGGGAGATTGAGCTTGTGGAGAAAGCTGACCCTCAAAAGGGCACTGTCAAGGAAGCACAGGCAAGCAACGAGGAAGAACTGCGGGCGGTCACCAGTGAAAGCTCTCTCGATGACCTCTTACAGCGCTCTGGCTATGCCGTACTCAGTCCGGTAGCGGAGTCCATCAATATAGGGCCAGTGTTGGCCCCTCCATCTCCAGGGGCTGTGTCGCCCGAGGATGACGATAGCGACGACGGCGATGTTCGGCCTTCTCATCTTGGTGATCCAGGGGACGATGCTGCCATTGGCCAAGACCGGCCTTTCGAGGAGGATAATGACGAGACTGAGTCAGACGTATCTGAACCAGATTCCTCAGAAGTTTTTTCGCCAGTTGTGGACGAAGAAGAGCCGTACTCTGATCCTACATTACCACAACACCGTCCAAACGCCGAATTAGCTCGACCTCGTCTTTCTTTCCGCGACGAGCCCTCTGTGATAGCCTTACCAGAACCCTCCGTGCTCCCCTTGGGGCTCCGCCTCGAACCAAATGGCACAACCTCCCTCCCTGCACCGTCTTCTCCCATCTCCTCATCGCCCGAAGCCGAAGCCACGGCACCCAAACCCCCGCCCTCACCTATGCAGCCACTCCCACCACCAATTTCGTCGACCGATCAAGTGGCGGAACCATCTGTCCCGAAAAAACCGTCCCCCAAGACGATTGCCCGATGGGCGTACCTGAACCAAGTCGAACGCGAAGCCAAAGAGCGTGGCGGTAGTGGAGCAAAGCTTAACTTCGAGGAATTTTCGCGCCGCATGGCTGCAGACCGCGGACGGAGGCTCGGGTTTGTGGCTACCTGGATTGAAATGGCTAGTTTTTAGATTCGGCGGAGAATCTTTGTATATTAAAATCTATAGGGAAAGGAAACCAAGGAGTTTATGGTTCAAGCAAAGTAGTGAAGTCGCCTGTCTTATAATCACGCAGCTGATATTTATTCCAACCACACACCTTGAGGGTGTGGCGAGACGGGGGCCAAACTCGCGTTCTACAGCAGAGAAATCCAGAGCAAAAGAATTCGGTATTGTCTGGGCTTCCAGGGAGCCTGCCTTTAAATCTCTAGTCGAATACGATTGCGGCTTTAACTACCGACTTATTCTTCACTGCATCGAGGCACGCCTGCCAATCCTCCAGCTTGAATGTCTTGTTCACAATCCCATCAACCTTGATCCGCTTCCCTTCTGTCCAATTATTCTCCATTAGTAACTTAATTTTGCATAGGTAGCTGGATACTGACCAAGATAATCGATAGCAGCCGGAAATTTATAGGTCTGGCTAAATGAACCTAGCACATTGATCTCCTCCTTGAAAATCACGTTCGGCGACAGTGAAACACGGTCTTTATCGCCGTAAACACCGTATACTACCAACTTACCACCCTTACTTACAAAGTGGATGGCGTTTTCCAGAATCTTCGCACTTCCAGTAGCTTCCACAACAATGTCGAACCCATATGGATTATCCGTTCGAAGCTTTTCCATCCTAACGGCCGCAGCTTGTGCCTCACGTGGAAGCTCCACATACTCATCGGCCGCGTCAAGAGACTTGGCAAGCTCCATCTTCAAGCCGTCCGGTGCAGCAATCACAGTGTGACATCCGCCATTTTGGCGAAGAAGTTGAGCCAATATCAGTCCTGTCGGGCCCGCACCGAATAAAAGCACTCTTGATCCCATCCGAGGGGCGATCTTGTCCAGTCCATGTGCCGCACAGGCCGCAGGTTCCAACAGCGTCGCATTCACATTAGACAGATTCTTGAACTTAAACACGCGGTTTGCCGGGTATGAAGCATATTCTGCAAAACCTCCGTCGACCATAACACCATGGGCAATGAAGTTGTCGCAGAAGAGTTCCTTTCCCCGACGGCAGTAGTAGCAGTGTCCACATAACTCGGAGTTGTCTGCCACCACGCGATCTCCAACCTTGAAGCCCTGAACCCCGCTGCCAAATGCTGCGACTACACCCACAGTCTCATGACCAGGTACAAGAGGAAACTACGCTGCGTGGTCAGTAATCCCCATGAACCAGAGTTATGGCTTGACCTACTTGAGCTCCAAATTCACCATCATGGATGTGCAGATCGGTACCACACACTCCAGAGGCTTTGACCTTAACCTGCGCAAACTATTAGATGTGAAATTGTATGTTTTTTTGCCCAAGTTGCATACCAAGACATCTTGCTCCCGAACTTTTGGAAGGGCCTTCTCAATGATGCTGAACTTTCGAGGCGCACTGTACTCTATGTCCTCATACACTATTCTTAGCCCAGTGTACTGAGATTAGCCACAGAGAGTACCACTCACCTAGCGCTCGCATCGAAGTGGGAAGACATAAAGAATCCGTGCTATCCATGGTGGATTCGAGGAATGTAGAAATTTGGGATCTGCGAATGTGAAAAAAGCGCTTGGATAAAACAGTTAAAAAGAAAAGCCGATCGAAGTAGTTAAAAGACCCGACTATTTACATGTATGAGGTGTTTTTAGAAAAGAAAAAAAAAGACAAAATAGTAAGTTTGGAGAGGCCAGAATTGAATCACTTGGAAATGGGCAGGCAGAAAGCCACTGCGTTTTGGAAACAAGGGCCCTCGAGACGGGGGATTGTGGAGACAAACCTCTGCATTTTCAGCGTCGATCATTGCGTTAAATTAATGCCGGCATGTCTCTGACGCAATTTTGGACACGAGGCTTACCTGCCCTGTGGGACAGGGATGGACTCAATCTAAGGCACTTTCTAGACAGGCGAACAAAAGATCTAATAAGGCCCGCTGGCTTGGCCATGTGCGGGCGCTCAGAAATTACGGTATGGTCGTTGAGTACGAATCCGCCGAGAAATTACCTGTCCAAGCTTGTACTATGACATTAATCATCTTTTTGTAGGCTCTCAACTAACTTGATCATGCAGAAGTTGTCCACAGGAATACTACTTAAGTGCCTCCCTGTGGATATTTGTCGTGAAAATTAATCGGTTTTTGTGTAGAAACAAAGTCTGTTTGATGAAGAACAGACATAATTCCAAAAGTTATATTTTACAGAGAATACTTGATGCGAGCAATAGCAAATGGGAGATGAGATCTGATCTGTCGGGCCCGATCACACTTTAATCAGCATAATATTGAGGTTGTATGTCGTGCTCCAAGCCAAGCTCGGGCAAACATCGACGAAATATTTGAAATTCAAATGTTCCTAGATCAAGTTTCGACATCTTCTGTTGTTTCCAGGTGTTGCGCCGTCTCGCCTCCTTCTTTGGCCCGAATGATATGTTCATCTCGAGATTGGTATCTCTCGGGACGCTTGCTAGAGATTGCTTCCTTGTCAAGGCAGGCCAGAAGAGGAGGATTGCCGCGATAGTAGTCATCCATGTCCTCCAAAGTGCGGCCGGCTGTCTCCGGATAAAACATATAAACCACGGGCACCATAGCCGCGTTCAAAGCGATCCAAATGATGTAAAAGCGCCAGCCTAGATTTTGAATTCCGGTTGGAGTAATCTCGACAACCATGAAATTGAAGATCCAGTTTGTAGCTGCTCCCAGCGCAGCTCCTTTGGTCCGCATTGTGAGCGAGTTGATTTCAGTGGGGTACACTAAACGGTCGATTAGTTTGGAAAATCCATGGGCAGGGTGGGGTTTGGATATTGAACATACACCACGGCACACCTTGCATGCCAATCCCGAAGAAAACATAATACAAGAAGAAAAAGGCCACAGATGCCGAAGCCACTTCCTGCCGATGAGCATAGCCAGGCATCTCATTGTACCGGATGAGAGCCGTGATAAAGATGTAGCAGAAGCACATCCCTGCTGCGCCGAACATCATAAGCATTCGACGACCCCATCGCTCGACATTCGGGATGCCGACCATGGAGAAGAGTAGGTATTGAACACTATTGCATGCTGTGAGAAGCCTTGCCAAAGACTCGTCCAACCCGACGGACTTGGTGAGTACCGTTGGCAGATAGTAGGAAGTCACATTGATGCCCGAAAATTGTTGCATCGCTTGAGCTCCCATGCCAAGAATGAGACGGCGGACTGTCTTTGTGCCCGACTTTTCATGGGCTCGTCCACGCAGAATGTCGCTGAAGCTGACACTATTTGCTCGCTCGTACTCTACGCTGTATTGGATCTCGTTCATTTGAAGCTGAACAAAAGCATCGCTGCTGTCCTTATCTTCAAGATCCGCAATAATCTGTACAGCCTCATTTGCACGACCATGGGCGATAAGCCATCTGTGACACAATAAGCATCAAAAGCGCCCAATATAATAAGCATATTTGCATACCTAGGAGATTCGGGTAGCCATGGAACTGTGCAAAATAAAAGTATGTTAAAGACGAATTGGAATGATAAGGGAAAGCGCCATGAAACAGGACCACTGGCGAAAGAGAGACCGTAGTTAAGCCAATTGGCAAGAGAAAAGCCCACGAGTACGAGGACATTCTCTAGGATGACCAATTTCCCTCGCAACTGGACTTTCGATGTTTCAACCTGCCAAATGGGTGCGGTCGATGTATTGAGACCTGGAGAAGACAAGTCAGGCTCTGTATCGCTCAAGGTTCAAGTTGCTCGTGCGTACCGTTGCCGACTCCGGCGATGATTCGACCCGTCATCATTTGGCCCAGGCTGTAGGAGCTGGCCTGCAGAAGAGCACCAATTGACATGATGGTGGTGCCCAGCAAGACGGTGTTTCTGCGGCCCAGCCGCTCTCCAAGCCAGTAGGCGGAGAGCGATCCGAGACAGCAGCCCACGTCATAGATAGCGGTGACAGTGCCGAGTAAAGTCGTCTTAGATGGCCCTTCAAGATTGTGCAGTCGAAGAAAGTCTTTTGAGATCACGACTCCACTGAAGACTCCCTAGTAGTAGAATATAAGTCCTGCACATGTCTAAGCTCGTCCGATTTAACACACTTGGTCATATCCATAGAGGGTCATGTCGGCACCACAGGCCAGCGTGATCCAGAATGTTAGCCATCCGCCTCGAAGGCCGAAATATGGCTTTCCCGATTTGAACATTTTGTGCGGAAAAAAAGACACCCGGATGTCCTCAATGTCCTCCCACGTTTCGGACACCATCGCGGCTATTTATTTCTCAAGCTTGTTTCTGCGGAGACGGATCGAATCCCCGGGGTTATCAGCCCACCCCCCGCTCTTCCCCACGATCAACACTAAAACAAAAGCCGTGAGACGGCTGCCCATCGTGCGGTTAAGGGTTCGGCATGTACCCGAAGCAACTTACGACAGTGGATACCAGTGTTCCTAACGTGGGATAGTGTAGAAAGATCACGTGCTTTTCGCTGTCCCGACAGGGGATCCAACATGTCTCCCCGAGACGGGGACACGTTAGTTGCTGGAGCAAGAATGGATTCGGCTCTTGCCCACGACAATGTCGAATGCGCATGGTCTCATGCTACCGTAACGATGCATTCGCGCTCGCCCTACAGACGGACACGCGTACGAAAGTCCCGCGGCCGCGGCCTGCGGACAACGAATGGATGGTGAGTTCCTTACGTTCGGGGCTTGTCGTGCCTTTCTTGACGTGCTTAATGTAGCATAACATGTCGGAAACGACACTTGAAGTGTGATGAGGTCAAGCCAATATGCGGCGCTTGTGCCAAAAAGGACAAGCTCTGCGAATACAGCTCGGCACGTCGCAGTGTCAACATTCCGACCTCGGACAGGGCCATTAATGAGGTTCTTCCCGTGCCAACCACGCAGCAAACCACGTCTCCTGTGGGTAATAATGATCACGCATCAAGTAATGCTAATCCAAACCCCCCGGCCTACGAGCCGCATGAAGTCACTGACTTAGCCTGGACTACTTCCGAGGCGGACGCTAACCCCACTCCGCCTGCCCTACTTGACCACCTACAGGAGAGTCAGCTGGCTTCGAGCCAGAGTCCGGTGGCGTTGCAGCATAGCTATCAATCACCCTCTAATGCATCCTTTGCGGCGGTGCGATGGTTTGGGCTCCTAGCGAGTGATGCTGCTCGGGACAGCCCCAAACTGTCCACCATCCCTACTTCCTGGGCGAACCAAAGTCTCTCGCTTGACCACTCTGGTGCTGATGGTCTGATCCAACCCAGCCCGCTGCAATGCGCGACCCAGGTCTTGGATAGCCCTCCTGCCGGTGATGTAAGTCATGACCGGACACATGACGGTCTTTCGGAGGGCAGTACTCCAGGAGAGGAGCTGATTTGGCACTCACGGGAGCCAATAGAGCTTCTGCCGGCTGAGCAGACATTATTTGAACATTTCGTATATCAAGTGAGCCCTTGGGTAAGTCATTGTTCCCAAACTTGTGATTTGGACATATTTGGCTTACAACCTCCCTTCGCAGATCGATCTTTTCGATCCCACAAGCCAATTCTCTTCGTTCGTTGCACACTTGGCCGTAAGCTGATCTCTGTTTTATGGAGAAAATTATGTTCCTGGAAGACTGACTGTATATCCTCAGATACACAATGCTGGGCTTATGAATGCTATACTGGCTCTTGCATTTCGACATCTGGCCTTGAATCCCCGTCTGGATAATGGGAATATGCTCCATAAGGAGGAAGCGGCGCTCCAATATTACTACCAAACTCTCCACTACGTGCAAAGAGCCATGCAATACTCTGGTTACAAGACAAGCCTGGAGCTTCTTGCAACCACACTGATAATTTCAGCCTATGAAATGCTCGACAACTCTACTAATGACTGGGAACGGCACCTTGAAGGAGTCTTCTTGATCCAGAGGTCTCAGACTATCCATGGGGAGTCTGGTGGACTGCATTCAGCCGTGTGGTGGGCTTGGCTTTGCCAGGATATCTGGGCGGCTTTTCGAGAGAAACGCAAGACTCTGACTTTCTGGGTTCCACAGAAACCCCTTTCTGCATTATTACCGCATGAACTCGCGACGCGCTCAATCTACATTACTGCTAAAGTGATCAGCTACTGCGCTGATGTCACGACGAAAGAAACCATCCAGCATCGAATTGATGAGGCAGTTTGCCTCCGCAAAATGCTGGACGACTGGCAACGACATCTGACCATTGAGTTCTCTCCTTTGCCGCTCGGCTTAAGCAAACATTCAACATGTTTTCGACCGATCTGGATCCGCCAACCTGCATTAGGTATGGATGAGACACAGGCTCCACACTATGGTCCTTGGAAGATAAACTAACGCGACGATACAGCCGTGGCCGTCCAATTTTTTAGCGTTTCACACATTCTCTTACTTGCTCACGAGCCTAGCCTGGGAGGGTTGGAGCAGTATATGGAGCGACAGAACGTAATCAAGTGCTGCGTGGAAAATATCTGTGGCATTGCTATGACGTTGAAAGATAACCCATCTAGCTTGATGTCATCACAAGCTTTATTTATTGGTATGTTGCCCAATGCAATCCTTCTATGAAACCGGGTTAACCAAGACCTAGCGGGAATATTTACCCAAGAGCATTGTGCCCGAGAGGCTATTTTGGAGTTGCTAGAGTCCTGTCGTGAGCGAACTGGCTGGCCAGTTAGATCTTTAGGGGCAGAGCTACAGCAATTTTGGGGAAACCATGAGCCCCCAAAAGCAGCTGCCGCGAAACTGTCCATGCGGTCTGTTCCTTCATAATAACGAATTAACTTGTTTGGACTAGCAATTATTATTGTCTGTGTATTGTTTTACTTTATAAGAAGTCTATAACCCGAGCAATGCTCCCTTCACGCCCGTTCCTAATTGGACTCTCCACAAACGGTGCTCATTCAGAGCAAAAATCTCCCCGTTTCGTCCAAAACAAAAGTTTGCAACACCACCCTCAATCAAGATCCGACCCAAGAGAAGACCTCCCGGGGACCATACATTAATTCCATCCCCGCAACCACTGTACACGTTTCCTTTAATGTCACACTTAATTCCGTCTGGGATCCCCTGGTCTGCCATAGCGAAGAGCCGCCGGTTTGTGAGGAACGGCTCTCCGTGATACGTGGACACATCAAAAGCGTAACTAAATAGACATTCGAGATCAGCCATTCTGACTTAACGGATAAGTAGATCATAGAGAACACCCTTGTCCTTACATTGAAGAGGCTCGGTGATCGTCGACAGTCCCATCACCATGAACCCGATCTGTATCGGTAATGTAAACAACCTTCTCATCCGGGGAGAAGCAGATGCCATTTGGTCGCCCAAATCCATCAGCCATGGCTCGGATAGCTCCAGTATCTGGGCACCACCGGTAAACCTGGTTAGGCAGGCATGGCTGCGGCCGATAGCCCTGCTCAGAGCCGTAAATGGGATCGGTGCACCAGATCGATCCGTCCGAGTGCACCACCACGTCATTAACAGCATTAAACGGTCGTCCGAAGAAATCTCCCTTCATCAATTCAGCTTTGTACGGCGCGGTTATGGACATACGGTATAAACCGCTTGGCTCGGTCATGGACCCCTGCGCGCAAAAGAGAACGTGATCGTTGCCGTAGTTAATGCCCCCATTAGCCATAGGGATATCGGTGCGAACTTCCTCGCAGGTGAGTGGTTTCTTACTCAGGTCGACTCGAGTAATATGCACTTTTTGCTGTCCGCTTGGACTGATACATCGGTTGCTGGTAATGAAGAGACTGTTGGTGTCAGGAAAGAAAACACCAGCCTCGTGAGCGAATGAGTAAACTTGATTCTCTGCTAAGAGCTCTATTTTCGGGGACTGGCCAGTTATTGCTGCAAAACGCTGATCATGAACCTGGAACGAAGTACTCATGGTTGTGGACATGGTGAATTGCGTAGTGACGCGCCGGTAAGAGCTTTGCGATCGATATTGCTCCAGAGGGGCGAAATCAGACTGAGCGGTCGTTGAAGCTGCAAGCAGATACGAAGAACTTGGGAGAAATGTGATCAGACCAGTGAAGTCTTCAATAATTCGAACCATGAAGAGAAGACGACTTCGATTCGAAATCAGCTTTGGAGCCTCGGAGAGAAAGCGATGGTGGGGCAGGTCCTACGCCCGTCTCGAGGTCATGTCGTCCCCACGCCAATGCCGGCTCCCATTGCAGCTCCCCACGTTTAAATATGTTGACCAGCCACTCTAGCCACAATGACTTCAGCACATTCATTTTCCACAGCGCGCTGGCTTTCATTTAGTGCACTTTCCTCCGGTTCCCAATGTCCTGGAAAGACTCAAACTGCCATAGGCGCATTCTCCGTGATGCCGAAGCCGGCCGCTACGGCGTTATCGCCGCCATCGCGTACAACATCGAACAAGTTTTGGGCCTGGTTCGAGCTGCCGAGACTGCTCGCTCACCACTAATTATTCAATTCTTCCCCTGGGCCATCGAGGCCACCGATGGCTTGCTGGTGCGTACCGCTGCGGACGCTGCCAAACGCGCGAGCGTTCCCATCAGTATTCACCTCGATCATGCCCAGTCGGAAGCTATCATCAAGCGAGCAGCGGAGCTGCCTTTCGATAGTATTATGGTCGATATGTCGCACTACGAGATGGAGGTTAACTTGAAGGTGACCCGTGAGCTGGTCAAATATTGCAACGATCGCCAGAAAGCTACCGAGGCTGAGCCGGGTCGTATTGAAGGAGGAGAGGACGGAGTCATGGACACAGCGGGTTTAAAGGCATGCATGACGACCGCCGAGGAAGTGAACGACTTCGTCGACACAGGTGTGGATGTGCTTGCCCCTGCCTTTGGCAATGTCCACGGTGAATATGGTCCACGCGGCCCACAACTGGATTTCGAGAGGTAAGTCTGAATACACAATGTTTATAAATCAGTTTACTAATAGTTATCGTGTTAGATTTGAGAAGATTCGCATCCAAGCAAACGGCCGAGTTTATTTGGCCCTGCACGGCACCAACGGGTTTGCACCAGAGCTGATGAAGCGCTGCGTGGCCGCTGGTGTCACCAAGATCAACGTGAACCGGCTGGTGCTGGATGGCTACTACGACCACCTCCGAGCAAATGTGGACAAGATGCCGCACACCCAGCTTATCGAGGAGGGTATTCAGAAGGTGGCGGATCTGACCATTAAATGGATGGAGATCTGCGGGTCCGCGGGCAAGGCATGAAGAGGGATGGGAATTGTACATAGCGATAAAAGAATGTTTCAAACTCTTCTAACCAAGATGTTAACCGTGGACTTTGGGGTTTGGTGAAATTGGGCCACTACGCCACATCTTGCTTTTCCCTTTCTATTCCATAGATCATATTCTCCCAGAGCCTAATCCAACTGCTCGTGGCTTCCTGTTGGAGATTTCGAAAGAAATAGCGAAATCTTACTGAGTAAGATCTCTTGCGAAAGACCCTAAAGCAGCTATGGAAGACGAAAACGTTCTTGACTAAATTCCAACCCTCTATGTCTATTCGCTATCATAACAGGCCAAAAAATAGTAAGATTCTCACAATTACTGCAACTTACTGAACATTCCACCATCAGCCAATAACCCCGTCGCGTTCACATAACGGCTCATCTCCTCACAAGCCAAGAAAACTGCGGGGCCGGCCATATCCTCCGGGTCGCCAATGCGACCGAGGGGAATGCGCTCCTCGAGAGCGGCCTTCTTGGTGGGGTTCTTCATGTCATGGTCGGCCAGCTGGGTGGCAATGGTGCCAGGCATCAATGCATTGCAACGGATCTGATCTTTGCCAAGGGCAATCGCCATAGACTGCATCATGGAGAGAATAGCGGCCTTCGTGGGGGTGTAATGGGTCTGGAAGCCACCGCCGAGCAGGGCGCTAACGGAGGAAATGCCAATGATCGAGCCGCCATGCCCTTGCTTCACCATCTGACGAGCGGCAGCTTGACAGGAATAGAAGGAGCCCTTGACGTTGACGTCGACACTGTGGTCGAGGAGAGATGGCTCAATCCTAGATATATTAGCGCGTTTGGCCTTTTGCGGCGTGACTCGATTCCGTCACTCTGAAGTTAACTGACTTGAGGAACTCCGCTTGTTTGAACACACCCGCATTGGCGACAAAAATGTCCAGCCCGCCCCATTGAGACACAGCCTCTTTGATCAGGTTGGTGCTGGTCTCGGGGTTGGTCACGTCTCCGGGTAGCTCTAAGATATCGCCCGCCTGGATGCCCTTGTTCTTGATCGCCTTGACCTCCTCGAGAAGACTATGGCGATGCACTTCATCCTGGCGAAGACCCAAGTGGTTGACGGCTACATTGCATCCTTGCGTGATGTATGCCAATACAATCGCGCGACCGATTCCAGTGGTGCCACCGGTGATCGCCGCGGTCTTGCCTTTGAGCAGGTTCCAGGCGGGCAGCGCAGCCATTGCAAATCAAGCTATAGCGACGAAAAATGAAGGAACTGGAGAACTGAAGGGGTTGGAGAAAATCAGAATTCTGTTGTGTCGAAGGGGAACAGGTGATGACGGTCTGGAGCGCTCCCAAAAGTTGCATCGCTGCATTATTATTATTAGCCGGAGCGGCTCTTCTCTCACCCCCGCGTCCTGTCGTCCTGTGATGACGGGCCCAATGAGGACGCAGCTCATGGATCAGTTTGTGCCGTCTCGGGGACCGGCCCCATCTCTTCTAGACCGTCTCGGGCGACCCCCGACTCGAGAGGTGCCGAGTGGGTCCTGATGCCAAAGGTGACCGACCATGAGCCCAGAGGGTTGTTTGCTTGCAGATGAGCCTTTTTGAAGAGGGGTAGAAGGGGGTGGTTTTCTGTGACTTATAAAAGATATTTTGTCTTCCCGAATTGTCCATCTTCTTCTGTCAATCATCTGTGTCTGCTTTGTACGCGCCTCCTTTCAGAATGGCTCCCTCTGTGATCTCCGAGCAACTGGCTACGCCCCAGGCGGACACCACCCCTCAGACCCAAGTCACCCTTGGTAGAAAGGTTATTGCTAGTATGTACACTGGAAGATCTATGACGCATCCAGAAATGTGTCAACTAATGTCACATCCGCCTAGTTACTGGCGCCAACCGCGGAATCGGTCTAGGTATTGCCGAGTGCTGCCTTTCCAACGGCGCGGCCAAAGTCTACTCCATCGACATAGGCGAGACCGGAGAGGACTTCGCTGCTGTGTCCAAGCGCTACCCCGGCCAACTCTTCGCTGTCACCGCTGATGTGACCAACGAATCGACTATCACCGCTGCGATCGATAAGATCATCGAGGAGGCCGGTGCTCTGCACGGAATGGTGGTGAACGCGGGACGTACCCACCATAAGGCCGCACTCGACTTCACCAAGGAGGAGATTGAGAGCCTGTTCAACGTGAACCTCTTCGGGGCTTTCTACACTGCACGCGCCGCTGCCCGTGCATTTATCAAGCTCGGAATCAAGGGATCTGTTGTCTTCACAGCATCAATGGCCTCTTACCGCCCCAATAAGGTAAAATCTTGTCAAATTTGATTCTTTTTGTATCATTACTGACTTTGCATCTCAGCGCGTCCCCTCCACTCCCTACGGCGCGTCGAAGGCCGGCGTTCGCAACATGACCCACACTTTGGCAATGGAATGGGCACAGTACGGCATCCGTGTCAACAGTGTATCACCTGGCCTGGTTAAGACCGCCATGACATACTGGGTACCTCAGCAGCCGGACTGGGAACAGCAGCTGAAGTACTATGGTGGTTTCCCTCGATTGGCCGAGGTGCAGGAACTCGGTGGTGCCTACGTGTACCTTCTTAGCGACGCCGCTAGCTATACTACCTCCATTGACATTCCGGTGAACGGTGTGATTGGCAGTAAGTGCTTTCGAATGCTCCACTAAGTAAACTTTATATACTAACATGTGCAGTTTGCTAAATGGCACGTGGAAAATCCCACCCAAAAAACAGACAGGACATGAATTTTGATTTGTATATGTGAATATGGTTAAGGTTTCTTGGTTCGATAGAATTTTGATACTGTTTGATTTTAGAAATGAACGTTCTTGCACATTCGAACTTTTTAATGGTTGATTCGAAGGATTCAACTAATTGATAAAGCAGTATGTCATAAAACCTATTGAGCTTTGTTGGAAGGCGGTTTCATATCATAATTTTGTGGAATGGAGCAAAACAAGCTTTCAATCGAAACGATTAAATAACCTTCGGTGTTTCGAACTGTGCGTCTCTAGGCCGAAATGCATATGTTGCATCTTCAATTGTTTCTTTCCGTTAATGAAATTTTGGATTTACAAGGAACCCTAATTCACGCGGCCTTTGTTGCTACGTAATAGCGATGAATCCGTATGTGTTGATGCACGAGGCAGCATATAATTAACTACTAACTGGAACGTTGTTTAAATGCAAACTGCAAACACAAATGGCATCTAAACCTAGCATTGAATTTGGGTCGTGGGAACCAACTATAAGCAAAGAAGTGTTTTGACGCACGTCATTTCTTGTATCATGCAGTGCGGAGTTGCAAATAATCATTGAGAGATCAATGCCGCCTAGGGCATGCAATTACTTTGTCTATTGCCCTCCGCACAGTGCATAGCTGTATGAGGCTGATGCTTAGAACACAATTTCTATCCCAGAAGATTGAGAGGGATCAGGGGGTCGTTTTACTTTGGAAATAGTTAATAGCCTATTTTTTCTTGATCCAAATTTGTTACATTTCATCGATGTCGGTCTGTAAGTGCAGACTGCGGAAATGCTCTCGTTTCGTTATATAGACAAAGTCTACCAGGAGAGCTTATCTTCTAATTGTTTGAAACCGTCTCTTCATGCTCAGACTCGGCATGCCATACCTTCTCATCGTCTCCGACGACGCTATTACGCTGATGAACGGCCCCGAGATCTGGCCTTTCGGCTATGAGTGTCGCGAAGTTAGACTCGGCTGCCCAGACCCAGGGAGACTTGGCCGCAAAGAGCAAATCCATTTCCTCGAGTGTACGTCGGCTAGATTCAGGGTAGAGAGCCCAAACTGAGTTTTGTCAGCCGAGTCAAAACCAGATATAAGGATCATCAGAAAATACTCACCGATCGGGATACTGATGAGATTGACAGCACCGAACACATGCAGGGTATTCTCACCAATAGAACCGAAAATGTAGGGAAGGGCCAAGGTCAGCGATCTGGCGCATGTTAGTATCCTTTAGTGAGACCGGGATGACGAAGTGTTAAATAACATACCCATTGCCCAAACTCCAGCCAACAACACCCCAAGCATTTCCCTTAGCTCGGACCTTGAGCGGGAAAATTTCCGCTGGATACAGCCACGGAACAGTCAACCAGGTAGCGCCGAAGACAAACGTGTACAGATAAACCATGGAAGTTGCTCCGATACCCCATGGTCCCTGGTTGCTGGGATGATCTAATCCACCACGAGCGAGACCTCCTGCGGCGAACATGGCAATTGCTTGTCCTGCTGCTCCCCACCAGAGAGTCCAGCGGCGACCAATGCGATCGAGGGTGAAGACACAAAGAAGGGTTGCGAAAGCGTAGAAAATGTTGTTCAATCCCGAAATCCACATTGTCTTCTGAGAATCGAATCCGGCGATTTTAAAGATTGCTGCGAGCACATTAACGTCTTGGTGGACGGGGAAATATGTGGAGGCAACTTACTTGGTGCGTACATAGTGACACCAGCGATTCCCGTCCAGCTTTGCAGAATCTGCAGCCAGATCACCAGCTGCACACGCCTTGCAATATGTAAATCTTCCTTGCCAATGCCAAACAGCATATGGAGATAAGTGGTGTTTTCTCCCGATTCTCTCTCCAGCTCAACGATTGCCTCAATCTCCCTCATCTCTAGTATGGCGGCACGTTCATTCTCGGACCCGCGAAGACGCTTGAGGACATAAAGGGCTTCCTCCCGACGGCCCATCATGCAGAGCCAACGGGGAGATTCAGGGAAAGCCCAGCATGTGGTCACGAGCAGAAGCAGCATGATAATTTGGAACGCAATAGGGAATCGCCATTGGAACTCGGATGCTCCATTGTCGATGTAGCTAAGCCCAAATCCCAGCCAGTAAGCTATCACTACGCCGACGATGTTCAATGTGAACTCCATGGCAATGAACATGCCACGAGTCTCGTAGTCGGCAAGCTCAGAGCCATAAACGGGAACAGTAGCGTTCAACACTCCGGTTCCGATGCCGTTGATCAGACGAGACACGACCATCCACGTTGGGTTCATTGCTGTGCACTGGAGCGCGGCGCCGATTATCCCCCAGACGGCACCGAAACCAAGAGACTTGATTCGGCCAAATCGATCACTGACATAACCACCTAAGAAGCATCCGATCAAAGTCCCCAGATAGTAAACTGAGACGATGCCTCCCTGCAACAGGGTGTTGGTTACAGTGATTGAACCGCTCTTCTCGTATCCCAATCCCATTCGGTGCACGTACGCCTGGGAGTCATTGACTCCACCCATCATACCTTGGTCATAGCCTACTTGGCACATCAGCACACGCCATTCCTAACAGACATGGAATTATTTGCAGGGGGCGTCACCGAAGAAAAGAATTGCAAGGCCAGCGAGGGAGTTGACCGCTATCAACAGCGGCCTTTTTCTAGCCTGGAGGCGATCTTCCACTTCGCCCGCTCGTCACTAAACATTGTGATCATGTACCTTGAGCATAAAATGGTTCAATTGTTGCAGTCAAGAAAGTGAAAAAGGGATCAATGTGTGTGATGCTCTCTTGGGTGCGTCGAATAGCGCGGGTCTCACCGCAGTTATATGATCACCTAATGCCCCTTATACGATGATACGTCCTACCATATACGTCCCGGATTCGTTCAGTCATCTGTTGGTAAACTGGGGATAGGTTGCCCCGGATCCAAAAATGAGATGTGGAGTCCAGTCCGGGGTACGCTCGACTCGGGGACGCAGGACACGAAACGGGGGCCGCATCTGCTAACTGCCAGCATGCCATTGGATGATTTTCCAAAGAGGAGCTCCGGAAGGCAAGCTTTCGTCATCTAGGCATGGGGAGATTGAGGCATTTGTATTTCGAGACGAACACACCAAGTAATAGAAACCTCGCTAGGAAGACGCACTTGGTACTCTTATTCTGGAGGAAATCGCGTGCCATATCATAAGCATCAGCCAATGTAAGACTATTTTTCTTCCATAAAATACATTTGATTGTCTGGAAAGCAGAAGCAAATCCCGACAGGCGCGCCAGCTTTTAATTTTCTATTCCGCAGTGTTGAGTCGTTCATTCACAAGCTCCCTGTACTCACGCTGCTTGAAACACATGTCCAAAAACACTTCATACTTGGCTTGAAGAAGCCGTTGCTCCTGCCTATTGTTGGTAGGGTCCACGCGTCGGCCAGGTTTGCTCATTTGACGCATTATCCCCCACAAATCTTCCGACTTTGCCCCTGAGCTCCCACTGGCTGCCATAGCTGCCAGCATAGCAGCACCGTGGCAGACAGCAGCATGAACATATTCGGGAAGTACCACTGGCATTCTGCAAGCGGACGCAATTAAATGAACCAGGAGGTCATTTTGCGTCTGGGAGCCTGACATGAAGATCGTCGAGATTTGATGCCCGTGTTCGTTCATCGTCTCCACAATCTGGCGTGTTTGCAGCGCGATAAACTCTAAAACCCCGTAATAATGCAGAGCGAGGTTCTTAATTGACTGATCGCTTCGTAGTCCGATGATTGTGCCGCTCATTTGTGAGTCTGCAATTGGAGATCGGTTGCCCCATAAGTCGCCGTAGAAAAAGAAGTGTTTTGCCAGCTGGGCCACATGAGCCACCTGGGTTTGCTTGGTTTCTTCGCGAAGGTAGTTGTTCATGTAATCGTAAATATGGATGCCAGCTGTCTTTGCTTCCGTCTTTGCTTCCGAGTACGCTGGATGGCTCTCAACAATATGTCGAATGAGCTCACCCGTAGCCGACTGGCCTCCTTCGGCAAGATATGCGCCAGGAAAGAGAACATCCCGATAGGGGCCCCAGACACCAGGGACGAACAACTCATCGGTCGACATGGCCAAATGACAGGTTGATGTGCCGGCCACTACCGCCAACCGATGGGAGACGTGCTCTTTCTCGTCAGTCGAGCTATCGAGTCCGAGGTCGACATTTGCACCAACCGTGCCAATCCAACCTGCATAGGCATCGATGACTCCGCTACCGACGGCGATGCCGGGCGAAAGCCCTAGTTCGGCAGCAGCCTTTTCACCTAGTGGTCCCACGCACTCGCCCGCACTGAGATACTGGCCGTTCTGTATTGATTCACAACGTTAGCTTGTCTATCAAGCAGGTAACAATGTTTGTGAGCAGCCAACCTTGCCGTTGATACCGCCAAGTCGAGAAAAATCATCAGTAGCAAGCTCTTCGAGGCCGATCGAAGTCAAAAAGTCCAATTGCCAACCCCCTTCCCCACAGTCGATGCCAGATGCAAGGTAACCCTGCTTGCAAATCACGCTGCAATAGCTGCGAGTCTCTTTTCCGGTCGCAAGGTGGGTGAGGGCATCTGCGAGATCATAGAACTTGCAGTCATTAAACCTGCGTGGATTCATATGCTTCTTCAGCCAGAGGATCTTGGGCATCTCCATTTCCAGTGACATCCCGCCCCCGACGTACTGCAGGACAGGGTGGCCGGTCGCATTGATTATCTTGGTCTCATTCATCGCGCGATGATCCAGCCATAGAATAACGTTGCGGTTATTGCTGATCTCTGAGCCACTAACAGAGACTGGATTGTCGGTGTCCTTGTTGAAAACAGCCAGGGAGCAAGTAGCATCAAATGCAAGACCTCGGATGTTCGACGATGGCACGCCACATTGCTGAACTGCTTGTTTGACAGCGGCACAGATACTATCCCAGATGTTGATGGTCGATTGTTCATAGAACTCCGGATGCGGTTGCCATGTTTTGATGTCTTGCGATGCGAGACCAACAATGCTGCCCTTATCGTCAATGACACAGGCACGGGCACTGCCAGTGCCTACATCAATCCCAATGTAATAATCTCCGTGCCTGTCCTTAAGCATACTGAGCACAGGGTGAGCTTGGGAAATCCAATGTTAGGACTGATACACAGATGAAACTTAGAGAGCTGAATGTGACTTGAGGATAAAGAGAGAGGGGTTAGCTGCTTCAAGCACGCGGGCAGACTCCCCATTGCATTTAAAATCAATTCTATTGGCCTAGTTATCACTCAAATCCCTAATCACTTGTGTTAATTGTCGTTTTGTCGTCTGGTAGTTTGATATTCTTCGTTGGCTGTATAATGATGAAGTCCTCGAGACGGCGTACAGCCACGAGACGGCGGTGGGTAACCCGCACTTGCCGGGATGAGGACGCGCGCCGTTGTATCTAGGAACTATACCTTGGGTCACGGACCATAAGAAGAAGGAATTCAAGAAGGCGATGGACTTTAAAAAGATCTACCAGTATCTTCTAGAGGCTGGTTATTCTAGTCGTTAAAGCCTTGGGCAATTTTTCAGAATGGTCCTCTCTAAGCCCAACGATAACCCTGTGCAAACGCTCTTTGATCTGACTGGCAAGGTTGTCGCCATCACTGGTAGGCAGAACTTGCTCGTTTGAAGTTCTCTTAACTGACAAGTTTTTAGGCGGCGGGCGAGGAATTGGCCTAGCCGTGGCTACTGCATACGCCGAGGCTGGTGCCAAGGTATTTGCACGCGACTCTTTTCTACCTCACATGAAAAAGCAACATTAATTTCTCCTCTAGGTTGCTATTCTCTATCGCACAACCACAACTGCTTCCAAAACAGCAGAAGAGCTTGCTTCTAAACATCACACACAAGCTCGCGCTTACCAAGCCGATGTCACCGTTCCCAAGGAAATATCTACAGCTATTGATCAGATAGTGAAGGACTTTGGAAAGCTTGACGTGATCGTGGCCAATGCAGGTATTTGCTCAGAGCACGCGGCTGAGGAGTACACTCCCGAGGAGTTCCAGGAGATTATGGACGTCAATGTCAATGGTGCATTCTATACTGCGCAGGCCGCCGCAAGGGTCTTTAAGCGACAGGGATTCGGCAATGTGGTATTCACAGCGTCTGTCAGCGCGACACTCGTGAACACGCCCCAACGACAGGCTGCGGTACGTACCTTTTTTTTTTCTTTCTTGCGCATATGTGAGAAAGAACATCTTAATTACCACGTTTGGAATATTTTAGACTAACGTAATCGATGTTGTTTGCAGTATAATGCGTCAAAGGCCGGAGTCTTGCAGCTGACCAAGTCACTCGCGGTGGAATGGGTGAACTTCTGCCGAGTTAACTGTGTCTCGCCGGGCTATATCCAGACTCAGATCATGGAGTATGCATCTGAGGACGTGCTCAACAAGTGGCTGAGTCAAATTCCCGCCCGTCGGTTCGCTTCTCCATATGAACTCAAGGGGGTAAGGAACTATAGACAAAATTATAAAATTTCGAAGTTGAATGTGAGCTGATGTGGATCACTCTAGGTTTACCTTTTCTGCGCTTCAGATGCGTCTAGTTATATGACAGGTTCGAATCTGGTGGTTGATGGTGGATTCACATTGCCATAAAAACTGAACAAAATGAAGATCAGACAGAATGTCCAGTCAGCGTCTTAGCTTTCCCTATACTGTGCTTCCATGCAGCGAAGTATATAACTGATAAAGCTCGCCCTTTCTTGGACCTTGAAAATGAAAAATGAAAATCTGGACCAGAAGGCTGTATTTACATTAAACTAGTCGACGATTTTTTTTAAAAAGGCTGGCTGGTTAATAATTAAATGTCGAACCGAAAACATGCATTTCCAATAGGCATTTTTGCGTGCTATTCATTCGTAATTCGTGCTAGAGGTTCTATTGACTGAGGGACATAGATCAAAACCCGATGTGAATAGTAACCCTGAAGGTGAGTGTGGGGGGCGGGTATTGAGGATTGTCCTGCGAGAAGCTCATGTGAGAGATCAGCTCTTGAAGGCTTGTCGCTGGGGCAGCGAACCCTTGTTGATCAGATGGAGGGGTTAAAATGATCGCACATTATGTATCTACTTCTCTTCTTCAAGAAGTCACTTCTTGTGCAAAATAGGATACACTGTTCGCTTCTTCTTCGCTCCTTACCTGATCCACAGGCTTTCTACCCTGACCAGTAGGCCCTCAACTCTTGACAAAAGAATGTTATTGGCATAAATTTTAACTTATACACTTTTCCCGATGATTTCTAGTCAATATCTAGTGAGTTTTTCCTCTCACGGTGCCGTCAATTCCTTCCAGGTCACTATACAAACGCCATTCGTAGTCCAAGCTGGGATCATTGAAGCGAGCCTTCACGTCCAGAGTCGCAATTTGGGCCATGTCCTCAGGTTGCAACTCGAAATCCGCCTCTAAGTTCTCTTCAATCTGCCAGTCGACAACACTCTTGGGGATGACAGAACGGGTGCTGTTGATACCCCATGCAAGTACCACCTGCACGGGGCTTTTACCGTACTTCTGGCCAATCTCCTTCAGAATCGGCTGGTCAATAACCCGCATCATATGCGCAATCTCCTTAGACCATCCAGTCTGTCGGTAGAAGTCGTTCATGTTGCCAAGAGGGCTGAACTGGACAACGTGAATTCCCTTTGTCTGCAACCACTCGTTGAATTCCTTTTGCTGTAAATAGGGATGGACCTCCATTTGGTGAACAGCTGGGACCTAAAAAACAAATTAGTCTTTCGTAATGCTGCGACTAAATAGTATTACTCACTGTGGAAGACTCGTTGAGCAGGGTCTCAATTTCGCCCATGCTGAAATTCGAAACTCCAATAGCCCTGACCTTGCCAGTCTTGGTCAATTTTTCCATCGCTTTCCATGTGTCCACATACGTCGTCTCGCCCCGAATCATTTTGCCGGCGGCATCCCGAGGGAATCGATCGGGTCCCCTCTTAAAGGTGCACGGATAGTGCATCAACAAAAGGTCGACATATGGGGTATCCAGGTCTCGCAGGGAGCTATCCAAGGCACGCTCTACGTCATCGGGGTGATAGTCGTTGCACCACAACTTTGTGCCGAGGAAAATGTCTTCGCGGGGAACGCCGCTCTTCTTGATTCCCCTCCCCACTTCTTCCTCCACATTGTAAACCCGAGCTGTATCAATCAGGCGCATGCCCTTCTGCAAGGCCCGGCTGACGGTTTCTTCCTGAGAATCGGGGTCTTGGAATGTGCCGAATCCGAGTGCCGGGATCTTCGTACCGGTGTTGAGTATATAAGAGGTTGCACGAGTGGTTAGAGTGCGAGAAGAGGGTTGTCGAAATGAGAGAAAAGCTTTCCCGAACACCGATATCCGGGTTCCTCTGGCTGCAAGAGAAGCCATGGTGTGAGATTTGGATGCTGCCCAGCTAGCGAAGTTTCACTGAGATGCGCCCGGGTCTTCCTTCTCGGGGCGTTCCTCACTGTCTTTGGCTTTGTTCTGCGGAGCTCTGCAAGGTCTATATAGACAGTTTTGTCCAAAGAGGCGAAAGTAAACAATAACAGGATGATGGTAGCTGTCCCAGGTCACAGCACCGGAGCGGGAGTTTAAAGGTCCAATTGCAAGGAAATGCGGAGTTGCCGATTACGAGCGACTGACTACAAGCGTGGACTGATCGGGATGCTGTGTTCCCCGTGTCGGCGCCGTGGGGACGCGAGACGAGGGTCGAGAGCCAAGAACATCTCCGTGACGGAACCGATGTTCCTGAGCCCCGACACCGGCAGCTAGATTCGGCGCGCCTAGTCGGATCTCCCTCAATAATTCTAACTGGATACTCGATTATGAATCTCACCCCAGGTCAGAGAAGCTCATGTGGAGAGTTCCCGCCCTCGAAAGGATACAAACAGATGCGGATTCAGTGAAGTGTACTCAGTGAGTGCAACGCTACCATCACTTTGCGGATGGTCAGTGCCTACTGCCAAGAATGAATGGTTCTCCCTGAGGTCACATTTATTTCAAACCTCATCCAAAGTTTAGATGTTGACAAAATTCTCCAATAGCTCAAGGTTGGATTTTGCAGCTTACGAGATAGTTACAGTGGCGCCTTGTTTTTCCTCAATGATCGCGAGACTTCACGAAGACCACTTGTAGAGTTTAGGACGGTTCCTGAACCTGAATGGTCGTACGGCCACGTCGTCAGGTCAAACATCAAAGTCTCTTAGTCGGATGCGGTTGTTAATAATCTAAGAGGCCATTCACGCCCTCTATTGCCTAAAGTACCTTCGCCGTCGCTAACACATCGTCATCTTCGCGATCGATTGGTAGACCATGCGAGATGAGTGGGAAGACAAAGTTTCACTCCTACAGCAATGGCGTCATGCGACTCAAAAACGACAAGGGGAGTATTGACTCCATATTAGTCCATTACGTACGTTTGGGTACCTTGTTTTATAGTATCTTTTCTGTTTTCAAAGGTGGCTATGTTGCTTATGTTGCAGTACCTTGTGAGCCCCATTTCTCAATGGAGAAGATTTGAATCGACGATCCTTATTGGTCGACTATTTCTCAAAAGGGAAACTGGCTACCTCGGATTATCACAATAACGCCTTGGGCCGACCCCACAGCCGAATGATAAAGAAACCACAATTTAAAGTTTTCATTGGGGGCGGATTTCATCAGAACAGTCGAGGACGAGCCAGTAACAGTTCCAGAGAGAGGAAATCGGGAGTCGCTGAACCTTAGTCTCCGAACTTCGCTGACGCATAGTGCGGAGAGATGTTTGCAGAAGGTCGTATCGATATTTTAGTTCTTGAATATCATGACATCTTCGGCAAGCAATGGCAAATATCTCGACGATCGCCTTTGTCGAGTTATTGGGGCCAGCATGGACTTTGGTGCATCGCAATCTGAACACGTTAGCCTTGTCACGACAAGATGGCCTGATGTCCATGTATAAATATGTCCAAGAATTCATCCTTCTGTACTATCATATTTGCCTAGTACTTTGGGTATCCAGCATCTCTTTCGTCCACTACTTCTTGCACGCCTTCAAAAGCAAGCTATTCGGACTTTCCTCAACCAGCCTTGCGGTTCAAGCAATTCAGTCAGCATGGCGCAAGTCCTCTTTATCGCCTCTTCCGTGATCGGGATTTTCAGTTTTTGGACAAACTCTTTGATAAACCTGACCCTGACACGGCTACCGTCCGTGTGGCTGCTGGGTTAGACGGGCACGGTCTCACACAGGCCCAGGGCTCGTTGAGCGGTGTGAATGTCTACAACGAGTTCCAACATCTCATAGGATCCAGCGGAGGGGGCAACATTGGCTCTGGTGGCTATTATGACTTCAAAGTCGATCAACATAACCTGCAGCAGGCCACCTTTGTGGAGCTGCTCGGCTCGGATGGTGCAGTCTGCATCCCTTATATCTCAGTCACTTGGGCAGACGGTTCCAAATATGGATGGGTTGGAGACTGGGGGAGGAATTGTGGGCTCGATTGGTACTATAGCAACGTCTATGTAAGTTTTGGCTTTTGACGAGATAAGTCTCCAGGTGGCTAACACTTCTCCGTGATATCCAGGTCAGCAATGGCCCTCAGTAAGTCAAACTGCATCACGATGTCTTCTGTTCCTGAAAAGAAACAGAGAGCACTGACTTCGTTACTTTCTAGTCGTCCTGCTTGCACCTGGGTTGATGCTGATCATACCAACGGCATCAAGGCTGGTTCCATCTTGATTCATATGCCCTCGTTCTCTGGTAACCACCAACACTCGAATAACGCATCGAGCTATTGCGGATATCCTGCTTTCAGAGCCTACCGAGACTCAGATGGAACTGGCAGCATCTTCAAGAGGAGTGAAAGTGCTCCAGACAGAAGACATCAGAAAATTGCTGCAGACTCACGTCTTGTTGTGTCCGATATCCCGTTCCACAGTGCCATTGATCTCTGCAAGGCCTCGAAATCTCATGGTCCGGACTTCGTTTCAACCTCTGAAGGCGTGTACTGCGACATGGAAAGTCGCGAAGTTATGCCCGTGTGTCGTGGTGACGTCAAACATAACTGCTTCAATCTTGATCATCATGTCAACGAAGAGAGCCGTTCCAGTGTTGCCGATCACTCAACAAGGAAAAGTTACTCTAATGTCGTCAAGTGGGATTATGGGTTCTAATGGTTGAAATGCGTTAAGAAAATACTCCTTACTCCGTAAGGTGTGAGAGCCAGGTACCAGTAGAAGAAGGTTTTAGTCTTAACATAGGTTTGTCGGACTAGGTTGGATAGAAACACTCGTTTGATCAATTTTCTATTTTAGTATGTTGTTACTGAGCGTACCAAAGGCCCTCCACAGATTTGCTCAAACTCAAAGATAGTTTCTCACAATTTGACTTAAACAGAAGAGAAAACCTATCTACATTTGATAGCAGAAGATAAACAATCTCCTTTCTAGACAATCGAACAAAATAACATACGGAAAAGTCTCCACTCATCACTCATTAACTGCAAAAACTGGCAAAGAATATGTTAGGCGTACATAACCAAACGTCGGATATTTCTGGTATTTGCTAGTTGATCTGAGAAGTAGGAGTCGATATCTATTAGCCCACAACAGTTTTTGAATGACCAATTTTCTATTAGATTAGTGGCAAGGATTGGAACAGCGGTGGGAACTTGACTTTTTCTCATTTGTAAGAGGCCCTCACAACACGAGTACTATCTCCACCTTTCTCTCAAGGTGAAAGGAGACAAATTTACAAACAATCTCCGATTATTATGGACAGCATAGGACGGAAAAGGCAATTTGTTCAACGGGACACTTGGATTCCGATCACATTGTCGGCAGGACTATCGAGTGTCACGATTTCCAAAACCATACTTGACACTAGGACTACTCTTCAGCCACAGACGACTCGTTTCCACAAGAAAAGTGCTGCTCATCTTCTCAGCCTCTTCATATCTCTCTTCTAAGAGCAGGGCGACAATATCCTCGCGTTTCTTCCCCATCGCTTCGTTAGGGAGGCTTGTCAGAGCGTCTTTGAGTAGGATAGAGGCTGCTCTATTTAGGGCCAGCAGAGATCCGTTGCACTTCTGTTGGTCTAGAGCATTTCAGTGATGAAAAGAGCACTAAAAAGGTTCGTGGACAATACCAAGATCATTCACATTGTCCGGGGTGAGTCCATATAGAATACGGAAACTCTGCCATTCGATGCTGGTTTTGCTGTAGCGCCCAGTGACTACCATAGCATCCGATCGCACATCACCATTGTGGATGTTATCTTCGTTCAGTCTGCGGGTTTCCTCCGTCTGGCGTTCTGTGTCTTTGCAAATCGCATCTCTCCCCCATGTGGAAATGGCCCTTTGCCGGAGATCCAGATGACTCTGGCGATGAGATTCGAGTTTCTTGATCTTGTCGTTCAGTCCTGTCATCTTTGCATGCATTGCACGCATTTCCGCAAGCAAGCCGAAGCCACCGTCGTTAGCGGCTATGCTCTGCTCGTTGTCGTCGCGGGCTTGGACTTGTGCCTTTTTTTGTTTTCCTTGCTGCTCCTCCGGCGAACTCTCGCAATCGGTCTCCATTATTATTGGTTGAGGAGAATTTCGAGTGCAGGTATGTCGCGTTCAATAATTGAAAGCAGACTAGGTGGAGATGTCATGTTGATACGCTCTCCTACTTCTGGGTAAGTCTACCACTAGTTTGATCGTAAGCGGCAACTTACCTTCCCATTGATCCACGGTTGGATAGAGGACGATGCTGGACTGGTTCACGGGACGGGTGTGAAGAACGGGAAGCAGCGACCAGGGAGCTGAGCCAGGCTCCTCAGTGGACAAATCGCGTGGCGACGATGAAGGTGTACGGGGAAGTGGGATAGTGGTATAAAGCAATTCTCAAACAAACAAGTGAATACCCCGGTCGGAACGTAATGGCGGTCAGACTCAGTGGAGGTCATAGAGCGCCACAGCAGAGACCTGATCATGGAGATCATGAAGGAGAGGAAACGATTGGAGTGAGTTGTGTTGACTAAGTGATCTCCCAGAAGGGAAGGTCTATCTACAAGCGGCGGTGGGCGCTGACACCTCAGGCACCCACCTGGTCAGAACGGCTAAGGATGAAGGTCAAGAAGGAGCCGATGCTGCTGCATTGATCAGACACGAGCACTCTTGCGCAGCAGGGAGTAGCTGTCACAAATGGAAGACTCATTGCTCAGGGGAATCAATTGACGAATAGAACCTCAAATGTGTGGCAATGCTATGTTGGGCCCAATCTCTTAAGGGGCTAGTAATATTCTCATTAGCGTGATAAGCGGCATAATTGCACCCCCTCATTGACACTTTTCTCAGAACAACAAAGGCTCCCTCCCCTGTCCTTCTCCTTCCAACTGTGGCCCTCTGGTATCCAGGGCGAAAGTATTCGGTTCAATATGGTCCTTCTCCTGGTGCCTGAAATGATCGCGTCACTGAATACACGCCTTGGTTGGGCTTTGATCCTCGTCGGCATCGTTGGTGCCCGTGCCGTATTCCGCCGATACGCAACGTCAATCAAGGATATCCCGGGTCCATTTTGGGGGTCTTTCTCTAGTCTGTGGGTGGTGTATCAGTTATGGAAAGGCCACCTCGAAGCAGAGACCATCGATCTCCACAAGAAGCATGGTATGAAATCCGAAATCCCCGAACACGAGGTTTGATCTTTTGACGGTGTGCAACAGGATATTTCGTTCGCATTAGGGATAACGAAGTCAGTGTCTCTCACCCAGATGCAGTGAGACAACTTCTCCATGCCAACATTGCGAAGGTAAATCATACTTTCTTGGAGCATGACCTGACGTGTCCCTGATTTCAAGCTTCCATACCTCAGGGCCCCTGGTATGCCATTTTCAGTTTTCCAGACTATCACTATGTCAACCAGATGTCAGAACTGGATCCTCAGCGACACTCAGAGAAAAAGCGCAACTTTGCCTCGGGCTACGCTCTTTCCAACATCATCCAATCCGAGCCATATGTCGATGCAGTCTTAGAGCTCCTCATTAAGCACGTGGACGGGCACTGCGATTCTGGCACCCCGATTGAATTTAGCGATTGGTTTACCTATTTTTCATTTGACGTCGTGGGCGAGGTCACCTTTTCGAAATCTTTTGGCTTTGTTAAAGCTGGTACGGATGTTAGAAATGCTATCGCAAACACTCGAGCCTTGGCTTTATATGTCGCAGTCATGGGTCACTATACCTGGTTCCATAACCTGACACTGGGTAACCCGCTCCTTAGCCGGCTGGGAATCCAGCCTTCCTCGCATATCTTTGATACCTCTCTTGCTGCGATTAACATGCGACGAGAAAACCCTAAGGTGCGAAAAGATATGATGCAACAATGGCTCGACACCCGTGCCAAGTATCCTGACCGGATGACTGAGAACGAGATCTTCGCTGCTGCCGTCGTTACTGTCGGTGCTGGATCCGACACCGTTAGTGCCACGACGCAATCTCTTTTCTACTGGCTACTTCGTTACCCTAAACACCTTCGCCGACTACGTGAGGAGCTTGACACTGCCCAGGCTCGTGGGGAACTTTCGTCTGTTGTTCAGTACAATGAGGCGATGAAGTTACCATTCCTTCAAGCTTGTGTAAGTGCCCGCTCTGTATTTTCTCGTCATATCCTTATGCTAACACTGCTGCATAGATGAAAGAGACTTACCGATTTCACTCTGTCGTTCCTAGTCCCCTCCCTCGTGTGGTGCCAAAAGGTGGAATCACTATAGGTGGCAGATATTTCCCCGAGGGCGTAAGATCCCCTATTTCTTTAGACGAACCAGACCATAACTCTAGCAACTTTAGGTTATTCTGAGCGTCAATCCGTGGGTTTATCACAGAAACCCTACGCTGTTCGGCGAAGACTGCAACACCTTCAACCCAGACCGCTGGCTTCAGGGTGACACCCAAAGAATGGACTCATTCCTGATTCACGTAAGTGACTATTTTAATACCGCTTTCCAATTCAGCACCGTCAACTAATACTCATGTGACACTGCGATAGTGGGGAGCTGGATACAGACAGTGCGTTGGACGCAATCTCGCTCACTTCGAAATCAGCAAGCTCGCTGCCACCCTGATTCGGGACTTTGAATTTGAGCAAGTGGATCCGAAGAAAGAGTGGGAGTGGACGAATCATTTCTCGATCTTGCCGTGGGGATGGCCCTGTAAGATTCGGCGTCGCTCCATTGCTGGTTGATTCTCGAGAGGATTTATGAGATTGATTCAAGAAGCTTGGTTTTTACGTCTCGCTCATTATTGTTCCGTATTCATTTGGACATCGATTGTTTCTCGTAATCGGGATAATCTGGAATCGAGCCTCTCCCATAGGAAACCTCTCTCCGCCGTTAGTAATTCTCCAAATGGACTCCATGTTTCTATAAATCTCAATAATACGAATATTTCTCCTAATGGGCTACTCATTTTTATTTATATTGCTTAAAATTAAGCTGAATGGGTGTCGTGGTTCTAGGTAGATGTTCAATCAGAAGCGTCGCGTTATCACATCACGTATCCTGTGGTAACGGTGAATGACTAAAAACAGCTTAGCGTCCCCTTGCTGCTTAAGCTTCCCGTGCGCGTTCTAAAGTTCTCCACTCCCCGGCCCCAAATCGGTACTTCAATTTCTTATTGTTTTCGCCCTTTTGCTCGTCATTCTTCCCACCCCTACTCTCCTTCTATTAGTTGAGGCATTTATGCCATTGATCGATATCGCCGAGCTCTGCCACCCCTTTCCCCCTTCTTCCTCCTAGCTCGAATCGACTGGTCCGCTGCGATCCCACGTCCTGCATCCGTTTCCTCCGTCAAGTTGTACTGAGCTTACGCCCTAGTATTCTGGCTTTGAGTATACCTTATGCCAAGGTTTAATGCAGGGAATACGAGAGGTAAGTGACTACGGCAGCGATATCTTATCCTTTTACGATGACACCGAGAATTCATGATGTCTATATTGAGACCCTAGAACGAGACCTAGATACAAGGAGGTATAAGGCGATATATCCTTAGACTTTAGACCGTTTACAAACATCTATATCAATCGATATATTCTTTTTTCTCACGCCACTGTTCACGGTCCAGCAACGTAACCCTAGCCCTATCACTAAGTACACCCGGTGACCAAGGTCTTCTTTGCTTCATGAATGATTAGCATATAGGATCAGTTAGATAAATAGGTTTTACTTCTGTAGCGAATGTGCGGACTAGGATAATGGAAGGGCTTTTGCCACAGTGTTGATTCTTCCTGCGCGTTTCGTCTTCTCTCTTGGGCCATGGAACGACTAGTAAGAAGAGCTCGAGATTCTTGACTGGATCTCCTCTATACAGCACAGGAAAGACCAGGACACAGTCAAGGAGGTCCGAACCTCTCACACATGTGGTTGATTATTGCGCCATGATAAATTACGTGAATGGGAGGAAGCTGCTTCCTCAGTTCGTCTGTGGCTTTAGGGTTCCGTAAGTAATCTACCTTATGTTCATTCTCTTCAGGGAGGCTTTCGCATTATGTACCTCAATGACCTACTCGTCTTGGACTCTCAGCAAAACATCTGGAGATTTTTCCATCCCTCAGTGTCGGAGTATTTGAAAATTAAATATTGGAACCTTCGGCAGGCTAATTCTCATTTTGCCAAGATCTGTCTTGCACTTCTTGTCGCGAATGAGAAGCATTCAATGGCAAAGTATGCTGCAAAATATTGGCATGAGCATTTCGTCAAGGCCGACAAGTCTCAATATTCCCTGGAAAAGCAAATCTTGCAGCTTTTTCAAGATAAAAGCTCATTTCAAAATTGAGTGTCTCTTTGAAATGTTGATAATCCAATGAGTGATCCTTGGGGACAGATACCTTCTCCTTTCTATTACGCCTGCCTACTTGGGCTTTATTCCGTAGTGACTGCGCTTTTACAGGGTCTATTAGGTGCCGATACTTAAAATATCGACTCGTATCAGCGATACGGGACAGCACTGAATGCAGCATCAGCACAAGGCCACCAGGAGATTGTCCGACTGTTTCTCAACAACAACGCGGACGTCGATGACCAGATGGAGCTTGGGGACCAGCGCTTCAAGCAGCATCGTCAAAAGGTCACCTAGAGATTGTCCGATTACTTCTTGACAAGAATGCCGATACTAATGCTCAAGGTGGATTCTATGGAACAGTGCTTCAAGCAGCGTCAGCAAAAGGTCGTTCTAACAATACCGGGTGAGCCTGAACCAGGATCATAACAAGATCATTCCAGCCGAATAGCAGTGAAAGAGCAGTCGACTCAGACCACAGCTTGTCTACTATACAGATATCGGGGAGAAGGGAGTTATCAGCGTGGCTTGGCCCCCAAATTACCTGAAACGTACCTTTGCTATAGTGGCTGAGAACCCATGTCTAGGCGCTGAACCAATGCATGCGCCGTATCCCATCCCCGCCTCTAATGTCTAAGCGCTATATTAGCGAGATTTGGTCTACGAACCAGAGGACTTGCAACCTCGGGAGCCCCATTCTCCCTATCCACTTTCCGCAAGTGGATGTAACTATCGTGAACATGGGTTGATATCCCCTGTTCCAAACCCTTGCGAAGGCTTTCACGCGGACACTCTGGACCCAGCCCCCCCCCTCATTATACCGCGCATGAAGCGGCATCTACTGATGAGGGGGTTGTCTTCCCGGTTTCATTGCCCCCAGACAAGCATGGGCTGGGGGCCTTTGATTTAAATCGAGCATGCATGCCCGCGATGCGGTCTACTCTATAGACTCGCAATCCTTCTCGAGGGTTTTTTTTTTCGCAACTCAACTCAACTCTAATAGGCTCAACTGTGTCTAAAAAGAAAAGGGATTCTCTTTGTCCGAAAATTGTCTCTTCAAATATGACCACCTCCGTGCCAATCTTTTGCTCCTTAACAGATTTAGTGGATTGGACTCATGGCACTCCTCCATCTTTACAATGCGCCTACCTAGTGAAGCACGGGAGCCCATGCAAGAACAAAATTAGCCAGACGAAATCTCAATTTGCCCGATCCCTCTTTGCGAGTCACCTCGTTAATCTCACTGCACCTGGGAGATGCATTTTGACAACGGCAATCCACCAGTCCCAGATTTTTCAGGAACTCGCCGACAACCACGTTTGTAAAACCCATGGAAGACACCTATCTGCAGCTACTCGACAGTGGCAGCGTGAATTCTATACAACAAGGACTCAAGTGATTTCCAGGCTGGAGAGATACTACAACCTTGAGATTGATGATACACATCCTGAAGATGAAATTGGAGACGAGGAACAGCCCTTCCCGCATGGATCCAATGGGAGGGAAGGTGAGGTACAGGATGAGAAATACGCATCCGAAGCGGAAGAGGATGTCTCAATCCTGTCTAGTCAATCACCGTCCCAAATCAGGGCTATACGCCGCTCATTAACCTTCGACGAAAACGAGGTGGCCAAATATGTCACCTGGGTTCTGAGGCAACGTGTTGAGGGCAATGCCGCAAAATACGGATGGGTCTATGTCATACGCCCTTGTAACCTATCCGGAAAATTCAAGATTGGCTATACTCTAGATAATCCTCATCAAGGTCGTCTCAAATATCACAAGAATTGTTACGGGGATTTCGACGTGATCAAGACAAAGCTCACCCCATATGCCTTTCGTGTGGAACAACTACTCCTTGCAGAATTCTCGAACAGGCAATATACGCTGGAAGATGTCTGTCCGAAACACAGGACCCGTCACAAAGAGCTGCTTGATATTGACCAAGCAAATTTACTCGAAAGTTTGAAAAAATGGGTCGACTTCGCCAAGTCCCCTTCTTACGATAAAAATTCAGGAAAGTTGTTGGCTGAGGCTATATCAAAGCTTCCTCCTCCATCTTCAAAAGAATATCTCAAATGCGGGCGACCGCGCCGTCGAGTCTCTACAAATCCGACACCACTGAAAAAGCAAGGAGACCAGAATTTTCAGGTCACACCGCCGCCGGCTTTGACCTTCAGGGATCCCACGTCGACCGCCAAGTCGTGTCAGGTTGATGCGGTCGAGCTAGATCCTGATGAACTATTATCAAAGCTCGAGGATTTTGAGATCTCATCTTCAGCTAATGATGACAAATATGAGAATAATTTCGAGCGTGATAAGGAGGACGATGAGGAGGAGGATGTTGATGAGGGAAATGATAATGCGAGTTCAACATCGAGCAGGTGGTAGAGGCAGATAGCGGAGACCTGTGGCCCTATATATCTACCTCCATCATACTATGAACCTCCCGTGTGGTACGAAGACTTGCTAGGCCATGGATTTTCAAGTAAATTAGCAACCGTAGATCTATGAACCGGTTTGTATGATATTTGGTTGCGTAGGATGGGTAATTTGGCCCAATATCTCAATTTTGCGGTAGATACAGTACTTCGGGAGGGCCAGTACTATATTGAGGTTTGAGCCTGTGTCTTCGAGGGCTTCAGAAAGAACCCCCCACGACTTCTGGCCCTACTACGATAATCATGCCGGATAGCAATCTACCACTACAATACCCTAGGTGCTGACAACTATCATCTTCAGTAAATAAAGTAAACAGAAGAGAGATTAGCTAGGGTATGTTCATTGGATAACAGCATTTTCACCATGATCGTTACGAATATGTTTTCACGTTCGCGTCTTTGGTGCTTGTATGTGAAGTAATGCCCGTCGGGCTTGAGTACAGCGCATCTGTGCCTTATCTTCCTACAATGTATATCAGTCTTTGGCGAGATTAGGCTGTGGCGATTCGCTAGTATGTATGTTGCCACATATATTACCGGGATGATGGTCCCGTCTGACTAGGAATAAAATTCCAATCGTTCTTCAATGGAACTTGAACCATTGACCCGATCAATATGCTTGCCAGGACTTTCAAGTCAAGTATAGTTATCCATATTATAAAGCACAGAAAGTGATGATCTCTTAGGCTCGTCGCAGTATGTATCAGCCCCCACCCTGGGGGGCGAAACGTTGAGCTAAACAAGGGGTTCCAACACTTGATCTTATTTCCATCATTTCCACGACTAGGGACTTATGTTCTCTCGTGCTAACTCAAATCTAACTTCTGGCTGTAATTGGTATATTACTTCGGGTTGAAATAGGATTCGAACTCTTTTTTCTAAGGTGCGGCTCGATTTAGTGACCTATAGCCACAGATTTTGGAGTTTTACGAAATCATGGCTTTGTGCGAACATAAATGGTTTATCACATTAAGGCACATTTTAAACATATTCATCTCAACGACGCTATAGACATTGTCACCTTTTCCTCTCAGATTTGGCCTAGCAGTGACAGGCTCATTGAAATATCATCTAACTACTGAAATTTATCACAAGGAGGCAACAGCTCTAGACCGATCGAGTCGATACACTTCAAACGAGAAATTACTCCGCTAGAAGAGAGGTCGACACAAGTCGAGTTTAATGAAGAAAACAACAGAATATAGTAAGATGGGTGATGCAGATGTCTGCTTGGGTAAACGGATGCGGGAGAATTTATTTTTTTGGACGGATGATTCGGGATTTTGGGTATTTCTCGGTTCACAACCAGTACATGTTCTGAATTAACTATTAGTTCTGTTATTAGTTATTACTAGCTAGTTCGCCCTCTAGATTGTTAAACGTTCCTAGATAAATCTGAATCGGAGATTATTCCTTCGTGATTTGCACTTCCATGTGAGCCCGTCGTACGTCTAGATTTCGACAGTGATCTTGAAAGTACTCGATATGATCAGATTGGTCATCCTCATCGAGCACAGCTGACACTATATCTATTGAGGAGCAATGAACTTGGTAGCGTTCCAGAAATGTGCTTAGCCCTCGATGTACCATTTGCTGAGAGACTGATGCGGAACCATGTCTTCTTGTATCAGGCGTCAATAAGTTGACGAAGTTTTTAGTACCCCTTACGCTGCAAAGCCTCACCTTCGATTTTCGTCCTTAGATTTCGTCGTATACAGTGAACTGTGTCCAGTTCGTTGAAGTAGCCAGCAGCAATAAAAATTCGACGTAAGCAGAAACTGAATTTCTACTTCGTGAGAGCAAGATCAAATACAGTTTCCGAAAACCACACAATGGTGGAACGCGAACTCTATCATATAGTTACAGTTATTCTATCGCCCTTGGCGCGTGGGTTGGTTTGCTTCCAAGCAGTGTCCAAATCTATAGTTGACCCGAATCTATAAATAATGCAGGCTATATACTAGTTTTACATAAATTGTGTGATGTTGCAAATATCTTCCACTGCCTCAATCTCCCAGCACGCCTTGCTAGCGGCCCTGGCTCCTTCGCCGAGAACGGGGGTGCACTGGTCGATAAACTTGGTCTCCAGCATGGCCTCGTCCAGGGGCACCTCGAGGCTGCCAACTGCGTGCTCGATGGTCTTGGTGAAGACTTGGCCGTCTTCAAGCTCCACAGTAACCGTCGTCTGGTCAGGCGTCAAAGCCGTGTCAATCTCAGCCGTGATTCGATCCCGAATGGCGATAACCTCGGGGTCAAGCACAACGCGATCGTCGTACTCGGCGGGTGTAGCCTTTCCAAAGCGAAGACCACAAGCACCGCTGTGATAGACGCTGAACTTGGCCTCTAGCCCATCCTTGGGGGTCTTCTTGCCCGTGAGTTCCAGCACAAGAGGGTGGACCTTGGCTGTAACCGACTTGATATTGTGTATATCAAGGTTCTTACTTGTGATCTCACCGTGCAGCTGAGCGCAGGCGTCGATGATGGGGTGGATGACAATACCGCAAGGGAAGGGCTTGAAGCTGTTTCGCAGGATTTCCCAGCGGCCAGCACCATTGCTGACGAGGCTAAACTCGCCCTCACCACCAACCCACTTGTCGAGGCTCTGCGGGATGTCTGCCTTTGAAGAGCCGACAACGTTTGCCCACCCACGTTTGGCCTCCAGCGTCTTCTCGCTGCTGGTGTAGCCGCCCTGGGCCATGACAGCCGCAAGCAAGCCGCACTGCGCAGCGCGGCCGGGGTGGAAGGACTTGGTGTGGGATCCAAACATCTCTCGTAGACCGACCACCTGCGTAGCTGCGAGTCCGATGGCGTGGGCGGTCTCTGACAGGGTCAAACCAAGAATCTTCGAGACGGCCACAGCAGCTCCTATGGATCCGGTGGACGATGTAATATGCCTATATACGCAGCCAATTCAGCAAAACAGTCCCTCTACAGAGAATGACAAGGCAGTCTTACCATCCCACATCATAATGGTCTGGCCAAACGGCCAATCCAATCTTACACTCGGCCTCGATGCCGGCCACAAGAGCGGCAATAAAGTCTTGACCGGATACTCCCTTCTTCCATTCCGCAGCAGCAAGCAGAGCGCTTGCGACAGGGCCAGTTGGATGGATGATTGTGTCAAGATGCGTGTCATCATAATCATGGACATGTGACGCGATGCCGTTTATGAGAGCCGCATGTTGCGCGTCTATCTTCACCTCCTCCTTGTGCCCCAACAGCGTTGAGGTAGGGGCCCCGAAGAATGGTGCCAGAGATTGGCGCTAAACAAATCAGTAAGACTATGCTGGTGGACAGACAGCAATATTCCGCCAGCATCGGATTAGACATACTGCAATGAGGGTGGCCTGGTGATTGCTGCCACCGATCGTGCAACCAGCCCAGTTGTAGAAGCTCCGCACAGCCGCTCGGACAACGTCGTTTGGCAGGTCAGAGTATTGAAGGGTCTTTGCCCAGCCCGCAAGATGCAGTGTCGCCATCTGATTAGAATGGAGCAATGGAGGACAGAAAGGGTCGATACAGAGACTGAGAATGTCAAAATAATTCAGGGATAATTATCAAGAAAAAGGACCAGCGACCTACAGAGAAACCTCGGCGCCAGTCGGCATTTCCGACAGGGCCAGACATCTTCGGCATCATCCGACACTTTTCGGAACCGGAGATGCGGAGCATCGGTGGGTTTGGCGAGCCATCTGGAGATATTTCTTAGTCGGGCTAATGCGCAAGCCAGTAAAACTGCTCGCGTACGAGGCCAAAGGCGGAGTTTCTCGTCGACTTTTGGTCAATTTCAGAAACTCATTCCTTGGCATTGTTCCGTGGGACGGCTCTGACCGACCGAGTTTGGCTCCGGATTCTATGGACTCGCCATTATAGCAATAATAGTATCGAGGAGACGCCTGCCTATTAGTAAGGGCCAACAGTAACCCCACTGCTCCAACGATGGGCTTTTCGGCTCGAACCGATGGCATAAAATGTCGCCCGTCGGATATGCCATGGCCCGAAAGGGAGCGGCCGGCAGTCCCGCCGATACTCGTCCCAACTTTAGTAGCAGATTGGTGGCTTGAGTTTTTAAGACTCTGCACCTCCGTATTACCACGTGAGGCCGTGAGTGAGCAATTAGCAGGCGTACAAAGTTGTAGTCTTCCCCGATCTTCCTCCAAAAATACTGCATGCTCTCCATCTCATCTGCCCTCCGAATTCTTAAGCACTAGTGTCATCGGTTATCTCTCTTTTCCGTAAAGCTCAAATCACATCTTTTGATCTTGCAATCGCTAGAGAGAATGGGCTTCTTCGGATTTCGCGGCAAATCGCTGCAGGCAGCCCAAATCTGGGCTGTCATCATGCCATGCTACATCTTGTATGTCGGGAGATAGCTGTGTGATGTTGTTTACCTAGTTTGCTGACCGGTCTACGCCGTAGATTTGGATACAACAATGCCGTGGGGGGAGGTCTTCTAGCACTGCCGTCCTGGATCGCCATTTTCCCACAAATCAACACTGCTACTACAACCGGGGAGGAAAAGAAGCATAACTCTACCCTCCAGGTAACGAAGCCCTACCGTGGATTCGAGATCAGAACAGCAGTGCTAACTCGCTCCATCAGGGTACTACGATCGCCATGTATACGCTCGGCTGTCTGTTTGGCTGCTTGAACTGCATCTGGCTCGGTGACAGACTCGGCCGCAAGCGTACCATTATGTTTGGAGCATTTACCAATATCATCGGGGCCACTCTGCAGTGTACCTCGTTCTCGTTGCCGCAGCTTATTATCGGTCGACTTGTATCTGGCTTCGGATTTGGCCATGTGACCGCCACAGCGCCCAACTGGCAGGCCGAGTGCGCTGGAGCTGACCACCGTGGAGCAGCTGTCATGCTTGAGGGGCTATTCATATCCTCCGGCCTCGCTATTGCTGGATGGATCAACCTGGGAATGTCCACCCATAGCGGTTCTGTAGCCTGGAGATTCCCCATGGCCCTCTCGGTCTTGTGGTCATGCTTCATCCTGCTCAACATGCCCTTCATGCCAGAGTCTCCTCGATGGCTACTGAAGAAGGGCAGGGTTGCCGATGCGAAATCCGTCCTTGCCGACTTAAACGATGTTGACACAGATTCGCAACAAGTCACCGAGGCAGTAACTGAGATTGAGGCTTCACTCGAGCTCGCCGGCCAGGCAAAGTTCAAGGACATCTTCAAGAACGGACCTCTCCGACTTTTCCACCGCATGTGCTTGGCATGCTTTGGCCAGCTCGCGCAGCAGATGGGAGGTATCAACGCGTTGGCCTTTTATCAGGCTACCATCTTCGAGGATGATCTTGGCCTCGCTCCAAGGACGGCAAGGATCGTCGCGGCATCGGTCTTTACCTGGCAGACCATATGCTCTCCCATTGGTGTCCTGACAGTGGACCGCTTCGGTCGTCGCAAGCTTATGCTGTTCTCCGCCTTTGGTATGGGCATGTGCATGGCTGTTGTTGCTGGCAGCGCTTCTCAGCTCCAGAACATGAGTGCTATTGGCGCCGCCGCTGCGTTCATTTTCCTGTTCTCTCTTTTCTTCCCTACGGGCTTCCTCGGCCTCACCTTTTTGTACGCTGCGGAAATTTCCCCTCTGAGCCATCGCGTGCCTATCACGGCCATGTCTACTGGTAAGTTGATGGATTGCTAGGATCCTCGAGATTGCAGTGCGAGTTGCTAACATCTTTGGCAGGTGCCGCTTGGCTGTTTAACTTTGTAAGTTGACTGCGCCTAGGAAGTGGTCCGGGATGCTTTGTATGAACTGATACTGATGAATCCTTCACAGGTCGTTGCTGAGGTGACCCCAATTGGTCTCTCTACTATCAAATACAAGTACTTTATTGTCTACGCGGCTATCAACTTGTTTTTGACTCTGCCTGGTCCGTCTACCCACATGTGCGATTACGGCTGTTACTAACATTTAATAAGTCGTATACTTTTTCTTCCCCGAAACAAACGGCCGGCATTTGGAGGAAGTGGATTCTATTTTCCTGAACAGCAAGAGCATCTTCGATACCGTTTCTATTGCCGGAAAGATCCCACGTGGACAAGCTGTTCGCCAATTGATGGAGAAGGCTGAGGCATATGATACCGAACATGAAGAGGTTGCTCGGGATGCTGACCGTAACGAGATTAGCGTATAGAGCGAAGCGATCTGATACCGAGAAAGCCTGTTGTGTCGGTGATCAATCATGCTTTAGTATACTTTGTTCATAAATAATGGGGGTATAGCAATGTATACAGAATTGTACGCGGCGCCTATTATCTAGAGTTGTCTTCACATAGAAGTGTCTAGCATCCTGACACGCTAATGGACACTTCAAGGCCTTCCATCGAGCTATAATCATTATTATGAGCGCGTGGGATCAAATCTATCCTAAACTGATTTGCATACTGCTAATATGTTACCAATATAGGGTATGGTTCTCATGCGAAGACAACGTATAAACTCCTCGCCTGTCTATCTTCCTCTTGTATCTTCCATCTTCATGCGGTCCGGAGGATGGAAACATAATGTTCTAAGGATTTAGTAATGATAATCTCAAGGAATCCGTACTCATCTATAGTCGTGACTGCCCCATCACAACATTTATTCATTCCTTAGTTCTTGGGTTCGATTACTGAGAAAATTGAAGCTAACACATCCTGGTACATGTGGGGAATCCCCCATGCACCGGTCATCTTGGCGACATCGTTTTGCTCAAGTTGGGGTACCCTGCCATCGGCTGGGCCAATGTGGGTCAACAACCGTCGGCACTTGCCGACTCGACGGGATATCCGAAAACAAACATGGCCCAGCACTTTCTAGCACCACATGGCCCGGCACCAACAGCTTCCAGACAATTAGTGTCTCGGTCAGGGCGGACCAAAATGCGGATTGTTCACAGAAGCTGCGCAACTCGTTTGATAGGCACCAAGTAGTGTAAGATCACGGCCAGCGGTCAAGTTAGTGAGCTCGATGCACAGGTGATCCAGACCTTGTATGATAGTCCCCATGATAACCAAGGTAAGCGAGTTTGGTTTTCTTACCAGCAAGGCGTGAACTGGTCCATCGAAGCACCTGTGGCCTGGAGCAATAAGACTGATTCCTTCGGTCCTGGACCCAATGACTTCTTCGACGCTATTTACCATATGCATGCTCATCCTCCAGACCACCGCGAAGCCCGTCTTCAACTATGCTGGTTTCACCGTCGATGGCATCAGCAAAGATATTCTGCAGCTCATTGAGGCGTTTTGAGGCTGGGCAGAGAGCACCTGGCCAGACCTCACTTAGTTCCAAGATCGCGGCGGCAAGCTCATCACCTGGCAAGGTGAGCAAGATGACTATATCTGGACGCAAATATCGGCAGACTACTACGAGAGGGTCCGCTCGTACATGCTTAGATCGACCTCGGACTACACTCATATTTAAGACTTCTACCGCTACTTCCGTGTTCCCGAGGCTGGCCACTGTGCCCTGAAACCGGAGGCCTCGTGGACACTTCACGCAGAACGCCATCGGCCAATTGACTGGCTGGGTTGAGAAGGGTCAGGCTCCCGAGACTCTCGATGGTTCTACAAAGAATGGATCGAGCACACAGCCGACGATCTGCATGTGGCGGTCCCAGTCCGTGTGGAACAAGCAGGGAAAGTTGGATTGTGTAGAAGTAGGTCACACGGCCGAGAGCTTCATCCAGACACCCAGCGCCTGGAAGATTTGCACCTTGATGTAACAGTCTTGTCTGCCGATTCCAGATGATACCGAGGCCCCAGCGACCTTGTTATCCGAGATCTCCACGTGTAGTAAAATATCACCGGTGTTGCTATCATGAAGTTCTTCGCAACCTGTCAAATCCCAGGGTATGGCTGTAGGCCGCGAGGGACCTTGACGACCCCGACCACCACCTGGACCACACAAGTTTCAGAGTGGGAGTAGATTCTTAATTTGACGATGTGGAATGGATCAAATCAAAACGATTTAACCTAATGAATCAACCGAAGATATGCCTTAATCATATTATTACATGTTGGACGTTTCACACCCATCTAGCAACCTTGAACGCTTACACGGTGCTATGTCTCGGGCAGAGGTATTGCGTCCAACTCTTGGCCACCGTCTCGTTAGCTATCTTGCTTGGGCGTCTTTTGCTGAGTGTTCATAGCTCGCTAACAAAGTACATGTATCTCAAAGGGCTAATCTTCAGACGGGAAGGCATCCATAGCTTGGAAAATACTGTCCTGCATCCACGTCTCGGCACTGATTTGGTAATCTCCCAGGGCCATCCCGAAGCTATCCCATATACTCTCATGAGCCCTGTCGCCCGAAGTCCAATCACCTTCGTCGCCCAAAGGCTGATCGGCCTCTAACTGCATTGACCCGCTGGTGGTGTTGGGGCGAGGTCGCCGTGGTTGTCTGTCGTGTTCGCCCTCAACCGTGACTGTGACGAGGCGATCAAAGGCATTTCGAACCTTGCGTGCCGCGGGCCACCGTTCCGATATAGTATACAAAAGAGTGCTGCATGCACGGATGTCGCTGCTAAACTTGGCATCGAAGATTGATGGGTCCATGCAGAAACAATAAACCAGCACAAGGCCAGCTACAAAGTTGGCGTGGAGGGCTAGCAGAGAAAATGAGATGTAAGTCTGGTCGTCATAGAGGCGCTTATATAGCTGACAGATCTGGCCCGCCGAGTATGCAACTTGGCGGAATTCAGGTTGCGCCGGTGTGAGTGATGGCAGGAAAGGCAAAAAAAGCAAGACCAGTGCTTTGTGGTACTGCGTCATGTGGTAATCATGCGTGACATATGGGTGCTTTTCTCTTGCGCAGTAGTCTTGACTGATGGGAATATTGGTTTTCCATTCCTCGAGAGCAGCTCGGAGTGCGGCGATCTTGCGTGGGTTGATAGAGCCGACGGGTTTGTCCACGCGACATACCGTGTTGGATATCTTGGACTCCAATTGTTGCAGCCGGAAGATGTGGATGGCGGCTGTTAGTGGTGTGATTTGGGTAGGATTTGCCCTTGCTTCTGCCAGTGCGGCGACTACCTCGCTCTCAGTCTCTATCGAGTCATCAATGTTTGCTGGAAGTTCTACATCGATGTCTCTATCGGATGGCGAGTGTGGGCGTCCCATTGTTCTCGCCACGGAACGCTCAAGCAGGTATGCAGTCCAGAAGATACGCTTGCGTCTTTGATCAAGCAGAGCCGAAATGTTGTTGGACCGGCGGTGCAGGCCGCAGTCGATGCAGTGCCGCATCGTCGTTCCGATTATCCACCTACGATTGTTAACTTGGGCATGTCAAATGTCAAGTCCAGTACTTACCATATTCCAGGTCCTGTTGGTGATCTCAGTTGATATATAGAAATCAAGAGCATTGCGTCCAAGTCCTCGAGGCTCTGAACAGCGAAGATAGTCTCGGCATCGGCTAAAGCGCTCGCATAATGCTCCTGGGCCGCGATCAGTCTCAAGTTCAGCACCACCAGAGGTTCGTAGTCACACTCACACTCGGAGACGGATGCTTGTTGTCGGGTGTCAGTTGCAGGTACCTGCCACCGATCGCGTAGACTAGATGGAGGATGGCGTAGTCGCACAGATCTGCCCTGTTCTCGGTGGACAGCGGAATTTGGTGCGCTGGGACCAGGTTCGCTCTGGCGTTATGCAGGCGCATGATCTTCTTCTTGGACAAAAATGGGTGCTTCGGATGCACTCTGGAATAGTATGCATCGATAAGCTTTTTGCCGACTTCCTCCGTAGGCATGTCTGCCCTGCCAGGGGACATCAGAGGCCCGTTCTGTCTTCCGGTCTCATAGGGAGTTGTCAGATGCGGCGCAAAAGTGATGATTCCTTTAGATGTTGATCGACCTATTCGACTCGGGTCATCGGAGGTGCTGATGGCAGATTTAAGCAGCTTTGCCAGCGGAAACCCACTGGAGGTCCCGAGAAAGGAGTTTGGCGACAGCGCTATAATGCCAGAGCCGGCCTCTGCATTGGACTCGCCGTCTTCCGCGACGTCATTTCCTCCCGGAGAATCCACAGCATCCCTGGCCAAATGTTGTTTTTGATAGACGGGTATATCGGAAACGTGAGATGTCGTAGCTGCCTGGACGGCTGGAGTGGCTCCTCTTTCCAGCTCTGCAATACGATTCTCTAGAGAACTCACGTACTCGGCGGGATATATTTGCTTGAGCCCGTACGAGCAAGCTTCGCCGGCAGACAGGCAGCTCGAACATGACGGGAACTCGTTATCGCAGCGCTGCTTGCGAGTCTTGCACCTTTGACACGCCAGGGCACTGCGGGCACGCCTCTTGGTTGGTCTCTCTCCCGCGCTGCTGGCATCGGCTGTGATTTTCCCCCTATCCATACCCTTTCAAGCGCGTGGAACTGGTTCCGGCGGGCTCGTCACCAGCAACAGCGACCGCTGGCCGGACGGAGGCGTCGTGGAGACGTGATGGCGTGGTAGCTCAATCGTACACACTGCCAATGAGATTTTATACAACGCCCAGTGCCTGCGTCTGCGTGGGGGGAACCCAGTCTGTATGCAAGATTTTACGCGTCCCGCATTGGTAATTGAGGCTGATGGAAAATGACCGGGGGAGGGATAAATACCCGCACATGTTCCGACCCACTCTTATCTGTGTGCGGAGTGAGTCCCGAGTCGAGCGCCACTAGATGACTAACAGTGCTTGAAATTCATTTGCTTAATAAGACCGTATCACCCGAGGGTAATTGATAGAATTCAAGCTGTTAATGATTCCGATTCGGGGTTGCTTGCCGAGGAACGTGACTCAAAACCCCACGAAGTTTGGATGATCTATAAAACACGCAAGTAGACAGCTGATCTACTTTAGTTGAAATCGATAAAGAATCAGACCTCAGCTCGCTGCAACATATACATGTTATTGAAAATCAATTAACAGGTATTTTTTGGGCCGTCTTCGGTTTTTTAAAGTTTCTAATACCTAGCAGAAGACACCTTCGCAATTGAGCTTGCCGCGCTAAACAAGATTTCGAAGCCGTTTGAGCCCGCTGAGGTCTCTCTTAATGAAATTACAATTTACATGACAGCGCTACAGGATCCATCCGATTCTCCAAGACATTATCAAAGATTTATTTCCGATCTTTTCTCGTCCGAACCAAGTTACACCCGATAGAAAGAGGTTAACGAATCCTCGCTTCTTGTCCTCAAGGGACAAACGCTCAGCCGACGGAGCGGTCACTCATGGCTGTCACGGTCTTGTTTTGAACTATTGGATATACTCAAAACCTGGAAGCCGATCAGCTATTTTGTTCAGAATGATTCCTGGCGACACAACCCCCCGCCTCGTCATCTTGTGATCACGAACGTCATGACAATTGAAGCCTAGTGTTTTGGCGGAAACCGAGAGTTCAGATGGAAATCGAGAGGGCGATGCGGCACGCGATTTGGCAAGCTAAAAAGCCTAGACTTTCTTGCGATATTCTTACTTGCTTATTGAACTTTTTTCCTACCACATATAATATCCTGGATCGGCTTGACCGTTGCAATTGTGGTTTGAATACTCTCTTACCTTATATTCTGGATGTGGTCTGAGAGACTAAATCTATCATCAAGATATTCGCTGTTGTTGGTGAGGTGGAGATCTTGGAGGACCCAGTCCCAGATTATCTACTTACAACCATCACGCTCGACCAAAAGCAGATCAGAGCGGCATGTTAAAGTCACCTTGAAAAATAACTGCGGGGTTGCTGCAATCTGTGGGCCACTCGCTGCCCTTAAGGCTTTTTGAGGCTATAAATAACATTATGTGAGAGACTGGTTATTAGAAACAAGAGTGTCACTCAACGAGAATCTGAATAGTAGTACGTGGGCCTAGATCCAAAGAAGTCTTTGCTTCTTTGTTCTAATATGAATATAGATGAATCTGTTAGTGGCTGAAGGCTGACTTTGGGCGAAAGAAGCGCATGCGCAAGGAGGGAGGACACCAATCTGAGTATTGGAAGCATTTTGACCAAATGGCTAAGGCAGGAATAATGGCCTAAGGCTAACAGTATGGGGAGGCCTAGGGCTTTACATAATTCCACGGAGGTAGTTAACGTGATCCACATGCTAGCTAGACACACGGGCGAGCTGGACACCCTAAAACACCATAGTAAATACATTATTTTGATAACTCGATGTTATTTCCAAATATTTCAACAACTACGATTTTAATTGTATTTTATTATTAGTATGCACTGTAAATGGGCGAAATGATTAATGTAAGTTCACAGAAATCTAAAATAAAGATTCTTTAATGGCGTTATCAAAAATTCAATGAGTGTATGCTGCAAATATATATTCGAAACACAAAATATAGGAAATTTTTTAAAATCTCAAAAGGGGCCGGAAATGATCCAAATAGTACTACCATATAATAAATCTCATATCTAGCTTTCACTATTGAGCTACAAAGTTGTAATTTATGGCATTTACTATGGTATTTTGAGATGTCCACCTCGCTCGTGCGTCCAGCTCGTATGTGGATTACGTTAATTCTCCTATCCTAACTTCATCGCCTTTTACGCGCCGTACCTGCTGGGGTTTTTATATCAAGTGTGACCGGATGTCAGATCAAGAAAGAAAATCAATAAAGAATTCAATTTGAGTACGTAGTCGACGGGAGATCCAAATTGAGAAAGGGAAGAAGAGACCGAAGAAGAGTCTCTTTATCTACAACAGTCTATGTCCTGTGTCACCTGTCAAACGCAGTCTTCAAACGCAGTCCTCAACCTTGCATCATGTCAGAGTTACCAGGGTCATGGAAGTCTGCATTGTGGATGCCAGCATGACGGGTTCCCGAGACAGCGGTCCCGTCATACGTGGTTCCGTATGCGTAGTTCCGTTACGACTGGTCACATCAAGCAAGATAGTCAGTAGTCCCTATCCGGATAGCTTGTGGTGTCTAGTTGGAATTGAAGGCAGTATTTCGATGGTACCGGTGTAGTTGGTTATGACTATCCGGCATTGACGGTGAAACGCGATCCAGTCTAGCGTGCATATAGCTTAGTCTTCCAGGCAGCCAGAAGAGATCTTGATTGTAAAGCCATTAAGAGAACTCCCCTCATCAATTGGCCGGATGGTGTAGTTGGTTATCACGTATCCGGGACTGCCTAAGAATTACGCGATACGGTTTAGCGTGCCCATTTGGGTTTAGCGTTCCCCTGCTCCACGCTATCCAGGTGCGTGTTTCTATAAAGTCCTCTCCATCGCCGCTTCAACTTTTCACGGTTTTTTCACTTTTCTGCTGTTAATTTCTCTCCGTTTGACATGCGCGTCCTGCTAGTGAGGCTTTTTTGCCATTGATCCGGATCACCGAGCTCCGCCACCCCCTTTATCGCCGGCGCGAACTGACCAGTCCTTTGCGGTCCCTCGAGCCCTCGAGTGCAAGCTTCGGTGTTTCCCTCGTCCTGCCACGTTTGCACTCAGCTCCACACACCCCCCATTGCGCTCAAGATGAGGCTTTTTTTGCCCTTCGTTCGCTACGCCGACTGGCAGATCGGCTACCTCGGACGTCAATCGATCGGTCGATCGTCGGACGTCCGCGTCTCGAGGCGCATTCACCCTACACTCGTTCTGGACCATCTCCCATGCGCAGCGGGCTTCTAGTCTGCCTTGGGAAACAAATACCTGGAGAGGATGTTGGCGGCATTGGATGATGACGTTCGCATTATTTCGGAACCGAGGAAGACCGATTCGTGTCAGCCTGTGATTGTTAAGTTCGCGAGAGTTTACGAGACAAACACAGCGACTATCCGGCCTTTCGTGACGATCGCAAGGTCTCACCATAACCATTTCAAGTCTCCGGAACGATATCTGAACCTCTAAAAAGCCACCAGGCGACCTCGTAAGACTGTGCGCAAGCAAGCATCCATTCCTCCCGACATACGCCGGTTTTCCGTGCAGCGGTTTGCATTCAGACATCTACGTTGCCTCTCCTCCTGCCACTGAGTGCACCTTGCCGCCTCAAGCCTCGTGGGCTTCATGATTGACTGGCGCAGAGGATAAGTTGGACGGATGCAGCAATGGCGTCATGCGGACTGGAGATGAGGAGGGAACGTTTCGTTTGCTCTCCTTGGCTATGGAACGACTGGTAACCGGAGCTCAATCAACTCACAGGGCGCAGATGATGCGCAGATGCGCAGTCTTCTAGGAATAGCAACAATGTATTGCGGGGTGGCTATTGGATGCAGTGAATGAGCAGGCTCTTCATTCGTGCGGTAGTCCCCTACTCTGTACATCGGACTTGGAGACGATTGGCAGACAGGCCTCGTCTGAATACGATCCTGCCGGAGCTTTTGCCGTCTGAGGTTGAGACTTTACAGTGCGAATCCGCCTCAGCTTGCATTGAACAAGGCGTGATCGGTGTGACGAGAGGTATAAAGCCGTCTATCTCGCACGCTGTCTGCGTGAGAACAGCAGCCAAGAATCCAAGTTTTCTTATCTCAAACTCAGTACTCAAACTTACCTACATCATCCCATACATATTTTGTTCCTAACTTCTACTCGCTATAGTCAACATGGCCTTTTTTACAGACAAAGCACGCGAAGCCTCCGGTGAAGGATCTTCTATAAGCACTATTGACTTCGCTAACTTACATTGCGTAGCTTCAATCCTCACCGAACCATGTGAATTGCCTGAAGTGATCGTACGGGATTCCATCGTTTCCCCCGATTTAGGCACAGAGGCCAATCCCATAGTGATTGAAGATGATCTTGCTCCATTGGGCTCGGCATCCAATCCCTTCGTGATCCATGTTGGCGAAGATTTTTGCCCTGAGGGCTTAGATCAATTTAGTTCTGATGCCGATACCGAGATCATGGCTACACCGGAGTTCTGGGAGAATTTGATCGACGAAGGCTTTCCTGCCCCAGCAAATGAGGGTACGGATGTTGGTCCGACCTCTCTCCTTGCGCCAATTGGGCCGCCAGCCTGTAAGGATACAAAAAAGCTTCAAAGCATCGATCAATTATCTGTGAACCATGTTCAATTGGGCGACAAATCACTGGAAATGACCGAGAAATCTTTCAGCATGTCGAAGGATTGCTCTGGTCATGAGGCCGCAAGGTGTATGGAGGCTGCAAATTGGCAAGCTGGTAAGTTTTGGGTGATGTCTTTTCAGCTGTCCCACTGACGATTGTTAGAAAGTGAACAAAGCTTAGAGCAATACATTTCGAAAACAGACGACCACAAGATGTTTCACAGCGCTCTTGGAACTTCTTTGACTAGCAGCGACGCTATTTCGCAGGAACCAATATATGTGAGTTCTAGATCTTTTGGTAGAAATTCGTCGCGTGGCTCCTACGGAGCAGAATCAACGAAACGCAAATTCTCGCATGCTGAAGGAAGCATGTCTACTGAGCTCAGACGATCAGAACGTTTGGTGAAAAGGGCTAGATCCTGCCGGCGGTGATTCTTCTTCTCTTTATATACTGTGAAATTCCTGAAAACGTTTTACTATGCAAAACGGCAAATGCGACATCGTAGATAACAGGTATACTGAGTGATATCATGCTTCCTAGGCTTTGACAAATGATACTCTACACTAGACCCATCTCAATATCTGTAGAGACCAATGAAACTGCTGGGAGGCTCAAGTACGAAGTGAATTGAAATCGACCAGGACCCTGTTCAGTCTCCATTGGCCTTCAGTAGAACATTAAGAGATGATTCCCATCTGCCACTGAGCCGACCCTTATCCTGATGCAGCATAGCCTCTTCTGCGTACGCAAGAGGCGTTTTACCGAATTTGTCCTGATCACCCAGGCTCAGTGACCCGCTGTCTCGCAACAGATTAATGATTCCTTGGCTTAGTGACCCATTCCTCGCTCCATGATGAAGTATGCTCCGGTTATTCGAATCTTTCGCTGTGATATCAACATCGAAAGCTTTGAGGGTCAAAAGGACTTCGTCAAACGGCTGCCAAGGATCGGCAAGCATCGATATATGAGCAAGGTTCCTTCCTGACTCATCAGACCACAAATTTGAAGCGCCTTTCTCTAATAGAAATCGACAGATTGAGGCCCGATTCAATACCAATCCAGGTGTTCGCAAATAGAGGCTGAGTGGAGAGTCTCCTTTCGTGTTAATTTCATTTACATCAGCTCCACGGTTCAGGAGCATGATAATTGACTTTTGCGAGCATGCCTTTGACTGAACATGGTTGTGTAGCAAATTATTCCCCTCCTGATCTGTCTCGTGGCATATATTTGATCGGATTTTGTCAGAATGGTCTAATAAAAGTCCGATAACCGCTGTAGAAGACTTGTCAGAGCGGACACTATGTTGAAGTGGCGTCAGTCCTTCAGAATCTAGAGCATCATCCAATGCCCCTGCAGTGAGTAGATCTCTAACCATCCTAGACTCTCCCGCACCACTAGCAAGATGTAGGGGCGTTTGTCCTTTATAATTGCGGATGGTAGTGTCGGGTTTCTTGCTCATCAATCTTGAGAAAGGCATAATTGAGTTACGATTGTCACAGGCAATCAAATGCAATGGTGTTTGTAATTGCTTGTTCTGCATATCCACATTGATGCCACTGTGCGAAAGAAGAATATCGATAACTGCCGAACGTATTTCGGATGCATATCGACGCGCTTCATCAAATTCTTCACTGCCAGGGTCATCAACAATGTCAATAACAACTTCAATTCGCCATTGTAATTCGTTCCACGCGTCTTCATAATCCCGAGTTATATCTTCTCGGATGGCAAGGTGCAATGGTGTGTCTCCGTCATGGCAACTTCTGTTAGGGTCGGCCCCTTTGGAGAGAAGATATTTTGTCATTGCCGGGTGACCTATGAGTGCTGCCCAGTGCAGTGGAGTTAAGCCATCGACAACTTTTGCTGCAGGAAGTTTCTGTTTTTCAGGAGAAGGCTTATTAACCCACGGGCCAGCTTCTTTTGTTCGGATCCACCTTTTTCTCTCAATACCAGCGTTGACACATGCCCCTGCATGGATTAAGGCTTCGGCTGTCTCCTGGGATCCTTGTCCAATAGCATAATGTATCGGTAGCATGTTTTTCACGTCGCATATCTCAAAGCAAGCGCCCTTCTCTAGAAGAAACCTGGTCATATGAATGCTGCGACTTCCCCCAATGGCTGATAAATGCAGCGCATTGCGATGCATGGAATCCATAGCCTCTATTGAAGCTCCAAGACTAACGAGTTCCTGAGCTGGCTCAAGCTTCACATTCTGCACCGCGGTGAGAAGAGGTGTCTGACCATCAATGTCTGTATACTCCATATCTGCCTTATATTGGACAAGGATTTTTATCAAGTGCGTGTTGTCCTGTTCGGCAGCGTAATGCAAAGCTGTTTTTCCATTCTTGTCCGCCCAATTGACATCAATACCATAATTCAGCAGCAGTTCAGCTACTTCCACCTGTCCATTTCTTGCGGCCCAGTGTAATGCAGTCTGATCCTCATCATCCTTTGCATCAAGGGTAGCATTACTGGCGAGAAAGTAAAGAAGACATTCTTTAAGGCCGAAGTATGCTGCAGGATGTAGTGGAGAGACCGTAACTGAGTGCCCTTTCCTGATTCGCCAGAAGTAATGATCAGCAAAAAGCACTCGGAGGGACTGAGGCAGGGCGTGCTCGCTTTGGACAAAAACGTGCACCTGTTCCTTTACTTTTGAGTAGGACATCCGAGCATGGTAGCCCCAATTTTTGGCTGAGTACTCAAAAAGCGAGCATCGTTGAAGATATCTCTCGAATTGACTATGCGAGGTAGTGAACCCATCTTGAAGTGCCTCATGCAACATATATGAAATACACGTAGTCGCAATTTCGGCATGAGTGTCGAGAAAGAAGAACTCGTTCCAGTTATTCTTAAGGAACTCATACATTGTTTTATGTGCTAGTCGAACAATGTCGCTTTGCTCATCAACAGTAACCATACCTGCACACAGAGAAATGATGTCCTCTATTCTTAAGAGGTTGTCTTCCTCAAAGCTATCTTCTTCAAATGCAGCGGCGAGGGCATGCTGCAACTCAAGTGGACTCAAAGGTCTTGTTGCCCAGACGATCCATGCGAGAACCAGTCTGGCTATCTTGGTCTGATGTTCACTCTGGCTTTTGATTCGTTCAATTGTTTCTCTGTATGCTTTCTCCAGAGAACTCGGAAGGACTTTCAACTTGTCGCGGATCATTTTTTCAGTTGCATATTTGTATTCTTGAATGGAATCAAGTTGAAGTCCAGCAAGAAGAAACCTGATGTAAATTATTCTCAAGATGAGAAAGCATGATTAAGATGCTCGCAATGGGTACTAACTCACATCCCTTTTGCTGAGTCTGTAATGGTGGAAATAATTTCCGACTGAAGGTTGGGTTTTTTTCTGATAGCCGAAAATCCTCTCAATCCGCTTTCCAAGCACCTCGTGATATCCTCCTCATGTGCATGTATCTTCATCCATGGGTTGTCCTGGAAAAGCTCAGCAATGACCGGAATTGACCTAGAAGTGACAAGGAGGCCCAGGTTGTGCTTTTTCTGTAGAGAAAAGATTTTCTTCAAAACTTCTTCAAAACTGTCCTTAGATTTGCCAGAAAGTCGGCATTCGTCTAGTGCATCAACAACAACGAAGACTCTTGAGAGAGGTGAGATGGCTGAATCAAGAAGACCTAAAATTTCATCCGCTGTAGGGCATCTTTGCTTTTTCTGCAACGCATCATAGAGAGATTTCAGGCCGCTTATCTGTGATGTCCTTTCTTGAAGTAGCTGTTTCAACAAACTTGAGAGAATCCTCTTGACTGTCGGTTCTTGAAAAAATTCACAGAAATAGAATGCAATTCTGACAGTATCATCGGATTCGAGGAGCCGTCGAAGCTCTTCGATCACAATTGCCGATATGAAAGTCTTGCCAGCTCCCTCATATCCATGGCAAAATAAAGTACGCTGGTCTTGAGGCGTGTTGCATTCTTGGTGGAGCCACTTCCGGAATTCCTCTGTTTCCAGGAACCACTGGCCAGTTCCGTCCTCTCGGCGATTCAAGATGTTGACGCATTTGGCTTCAGGATTATCTGAAGACAACCAATTCAACATATTCCACCGCTTCTTTTCATCTCCATCCTCAACTAACATCCTGACTCCGTCCATATGTGAAGCTACCATGCTTTTTATTTCCCGAGCCACCTGGCTAATATTTGTCAAAGCTTAAGTATTTAACAGTGGAATCAAAGGCTTACAGAGTAGTCTCAGCGAGGAAGAAGTTGAAGTAATTTATCTCCACGACTAGCTTTTCATGAAAGTCAGTGGCTTTTTTTGAATCCCAGTTAATTTTCGCCCATGCTCGCCGGATGTTGCTTTTGGCATTACGATCGGCAGACACCACTGGCGCATATTTGTCAACCATTTCGTGCAGTTTCTCCAGAATACACCGACAGCTTCGAGAAATCGTCTCTAAATCTATCTTTTGTTGATCACTCAAGTCAGAATCGTGATCCTGGATGACTCTTAACACATTGGAAAGTTTCTTGACGCTACAACGCCGTCAGCCATAAATCTCCATATGCTAGTATCTCATTTTGAAACCGACTCATTTGAAACATCTTCATACTGATCAGGAGCATCTCGAAACTGTTTCCGCAAATCATTTGCGAGCTTCACGACGGCCAAAAAATCGCCGACACCGAAGCCAAGACTCATGTTTCTTAAGCCTGACGACAATGAATTGAGAGCGAAGTACGTGGCCAGAGCCTTTTTGACGCAGACTATCGCACGACTGAGCAAAGCAGCGATATTTAATACGTACTGTGAGCGGGGTAAATCAATCTTATGCCGGGTCGCCTCGACTGAGCTGGGGGCCATAGGCTCCGCATACTCAAGTAATTTTTGTAAGTTGCCCAAAACCAAATGGCTTCGCCAGCCTGTGTTTGTTGGCGCCTTTTGACTGCAGCTAGATGAAGGTCAAAGCGTGGCATACTGAAAGCGTATTGGATCCGGTAGGGCGGGCGAGACGCTGCTGATGGCTGCGGTTCGTTTATGGACGTGATTCAACCCACATATGCAGTTGACATTGGCTGTATTTTTGCTCTTGTGATTCGCCCTAAGAGGAATGAGGCTATCCGAAGAAGTGGGTGCATACTGGGCGTTACGTTGAAGCACGTACGCTGTGGTCAATTTTTTACGTAACTTCAAAACACAAGAGTCACGATACCTCAAAATATTCAATAAACAGACCTAACTCTCTTCTTATTCAGCGCACAGAGTTATGTCTGCAAAATCAACCAGGCTAGTCAAATTGGTGAGCACCATCGTCGCTCCTGGTAGCCAATCGTACATCTATCCATCCCTTTTTGTCGTGACCTTTGCCGATCTTTGGACCTCGAGCAGGTGATGCCAAAAAATCTCGAAAGCATCTCTTCCTCCAACATGACGCATCTAAAGATCCTCTAGTGCTCATAACGTCCTATCAAAGAATTTGAAGACACCGACCCTCACAATTTGGAACAATAGCCTAGAATGGAAGGCTCATCCAATACTTCCGATTTTGTTGTGGTCATGACATCGATTGGAAGCGATTCCTGGGGCAAGTTGAATTTTGTACCCGAAGCCCTCGGAAATCCAACTCGGAGCAGCAAAACAACTAGAGGTCTGCAGCAAATGTTGTAGCTTTGAACAATAAACCAGGCACCATTTGTCCTGGTATTTGTTGATAGGGAGCCACGTGCTTTACTAAGCAATGGGCAAACCCCTTGCTCCGGGTCGGACGGGAGAATTGTTTACCCGAGTGGACGGGCTAAACCCCTTATTTTCACAGGTTAATATATTATTGTCTGAACCCCCAAATTCCTCCAGCCTGAGACAACTACCTCATCTCAGCTGAGTGTGGTTACGTCCAAATTCCAGTCATTTTCAAAACGATGCCGGTGGGAGACGTGAAATGGCCATCGCTCATGATATTTCAGCAGCCGTTCTGAAGCCTCGCCGACTGCTTCATGGCAGTATTACATACTCCACCGCAAAAGAATCTGAAACAAATATTCTTCACGAGCTGGGCTACTGGGACCAGGAGACGAAATACTTCACTCATTTGTACCGAAATCGTGATTTGATCAAATCAATTGTTGCTCATCATCTTGGCTTGGATTCGGCAGACAAATGTCATCTCGCCGATCCTGAGGATTGGATGCACGGAAGCTTCAATATTTGCATCCGAGTTGATATTGATGGTTCAGAACAAAGTCCGAGGAAACAAGCGATTGTTCGTTTTCCCTTGCCATACCGGCTTGGAGAGAACATCTGTCCTGGCAATGCGGACGAGAAGATCCTTTGTGAAGCCGGGACATATGCATGGCTCCAGGAGAACTGCCCAGATGTCCCTGTTCCACAACTATATGGATTTGGATTGTCCACTGGCCAAACTGTACGTATCATCCTTTAGTATCTTCCGACGGGATTCCTTCCTAATTTGCTTAGTTCACACTCCTTGATAACTTGCCATTCTTTCTCCGCTCTTTCCAGTACCTACGACGTCAACTGTTAACATGGCTGGGCTACGCAGTCCCTTCTCGATATGTGCGGCATCGCAACAAAAATTATGTCTCGCTTGGCTCAGGATATCTTTTGATTGAGTACATTGATCGGTCGCGAGGAAGAATGCTTTCCGAAACGTGGGCGGAAAGACGCCACAATGCTGAGCTACGGACGAATCTTTTCCACAGCCTCTCTCGTACCCTACTCTCTCTGATGCGCACCCCGTTACCGAGAATCGGTTCATTTGTCTTGGATGAGAACGGATACCTGAGCTTGAATAATAGACCGCTCACACTCCAAATCCAACAACTGGAAAATGAACGGATTCCTGTTGATATTCCGCGAAGCGTCACCTATTCAACTGTTGACTCCTATGTTAATGACATCTTCTCATTCCACGAGAGCCGTCTGCGTCACCAGCCCAATGCAGTCAGCCATCTGGAAGACGGTTTCTATCAGACATCTGCATTGATGGTGATGAGAAGTGTCTGGCATTGTTATTTTCGCCGCGATCTCCTTCGCGGGCCATTCTTCCTAAGTCTCACTGATCTCCACCAGAGCAACATCTTTGTTGATGACAATTGGAACATTAAGTACTTTATCGATTTGGAATGGGCTTGTTCTCGTCCGGTGGAAATGATCCATCCTCCATATTGGTTAACTAACCAAGCCATCGATTTAATCAATGTCGATGAGTACGAAAGTGTTCACAAAGAATTCATGGAGGCCTTTGCAGACGAGGAACAGAAAATCACACCGGGGTCGGAGACACTATGTTTGTATCCCATTTTACAGCAGGGATGGGAGAGAGGAACGTTTTGGTGCTCTCTCGCGCTAAACAGCCCAACAGCATTGTTCAAGATTTTCTACGACTATATCCAACCGAGATTCTCTAAGACTCATGCCGATGACACGGCATTTTGGGTTGTCACTATGCCTTATTGGACGTTTAACACTTTCGAATTCATTGAGCATAAAGTGAAAGACAAGGAACGATATGACGCATCTTTGCGTGAAGCTTTCGAATCCTGAATTTGCAAAGCTCGAGCCTGCAAAGCTCGAGCCTGCAATGATTCAGTCATTTCTTTCCACTCTGGTCTTGTCCATCGCGCTGGCTTTCGTTGCCGCTGCTTTGTTCCTTTTCTTTATAATTCTGAACAGCATTTTGAAGATTAAGAATTGCGCTTTTCCCCCGGCTCTGCTGTGCGGCTTGCGCTGAGGAAGAGAGTTGATTAAGAGTTTTGGCGTTCATTCTCATAGTGATCTTCGCGTCTTCAATTTTGCCATCGTAGCTTGAATCTGATCGTCGGTCGCCCATTTTATGGGAATCCTGAGTACTGAATACATTGTCAGAAACCATTCCAAAAATAAATTGTATTCCATCTAGTGTCAGCTGACCTTCAATTTTGCAGCAAGACAGATATTTAACTCTTAAGGCTTGTCTGAACGAAGTATCGTCAATCTAGACTAGTAGAGAAGATCATTAATTGCTATATAGGCGCTGAGGGAAAACTCACATGGACCAGACTGATCAGAAGAATATGCTGTCTCCTGTGCTTTATATGGGACGCAGTTCATGAGGCAAGGTGACCGAAGTCAGAAAGTGGCATGTAAATGTATCGGTTATTTAAGCCTCGTCCGTGACGGAGTAGTCAACCCATCTCCTCATCTCCAACCCGCGTTGTCATCTGCAGCATTAGCTAGCGTAAAGCTGAATTTAGCGACGCGCAGGAGGAAGTAGCAAATCACATTTCTTGCAATTGAAACGCTTGCTTCAAATTAGCTGAGAATAACTTGATCAGCCACATTACGACTCAACACAATGTGGTACTAGCGGTAAATCCTTGACCTAGGGCGCATTCACAAGTGACACGTCATAGCCCGCTTCCGCAAAATAACTGGACGAATTGGTCAGGATAAATACTAAGTCGACTTGCGGCTATTATTTTATAAGAGGGAGCATTCGTTTTACATGGCACTGTTCGATTCTCGCAATATTATACGACACTACAGTACAGTCCATGGTATGTGCTTTCAAGAAGCTGCTACTATCAGCTTCAAAATCGCCCAGCAATTAGACATCCTTCAGCATGTCAACCCAAACGGAATGGCCAGGGGGAAATCATCCGCAAAGGGGGTTTCTCCCCCATCTAGACGAAATCCTCTACCTCCTTTTCAGTCCATCTACCCTGTCCATGTCTGGGACTCGAATTCGAAATTGGCAATCCGATCATAATCCTGGGCCCTGAAGTGGCATCTCGGTTTGCCCATAGTGTGTTCTCAGATACCATTCGCCGTATATCTTCTAGCATACTATACGAGTCTCCATCATCAAGAAACTGCAGCGTCCTTCACACACTCGCCTTTGGAAATATATCATGCCAGGGGATGGTATGGGACTTGGTTGGCAGGCCGGACATAGCGCTAGCGGCGGGGAGAAGCGAGACGCTGGAGGCCCGTCACGATATGGGGGGTATCACTGGTGGAGGACTAGTTAGGTCGAGATTGAATTGTATGAGAGTAGACATACGGTAGTCGCTTTAACGTGAGGAGGCATTGGAAGGTCCTCTTGAAGCCTTTGCCATCGCATACGGTGCACTTGAAACCTCCGTCTATCCCGGTACCACCACAGAGCTCGCACTTGGTCATGATGTACTCGCGGACAAACTTATCGACGAAAAGGGTGGTTTGAGTGTCTTTATGGGATAAAATCGTGACTCGGAAGATGTCTCGGCCTTAAGGATCACCTGGGAGGATTGGGTATGATCACATGAATGCCAACGCGGCGGTTTTCTCAATGCACCAATATGAAATGGGTCACGAGTTTGATGACTAATCCAAATTCATTTTCTCGGGCACGTGGGGTAGAGTGGAGGTGCTATAAGTACACACCGACCCCATCGCCCCCGCTTTCAGGTTCCATTTCTGCTATGATTGATGCAGTATCATGGCTCAGGAAACGACCGAGTGCAGTGTTTGCCTACACAAATTTAACAAACAAGATGAGTATCATGCGCACCATAGTCATTTCCAGGTTTGTGTGCATATTATTTTGTGGAGGACTGAATTAACACCAAACAGTCTCAAGCACAGAAAATACTTCTCAAGTATCAACGTCTCCAAGAACAACTTCTTTTCGAGCTAAGCCAATGCTTAGCACACAAAGACCACGGTCCGAGTGACCCAAATCAAATCAAAAGCAACGACCATAGGGACTCCGAACGTAACGACGGGCAAAATGAATATAATGTCAAAGTTAAAGGAAGCGATCGGGTGAAAAGAGATAATTTCTTATGCCCAGACTGCGGTAAAGGATTCAATGGATGGAAATATCTTCAGCGGCATTATCAGCTTCGTATGTTTGATGTCTCCATTATCACCAGCTTATCTCACAGTACCGCAGACGTCGAATGCCATGAAATTTGCTGTGACCGTATCTTCAAACGAGTCAGCTTATATATCAACCACAAATGCGATCTTTCTAGTACCGTCTCAAAACGAGAAGTTCTCAAAAGGCAATCCGAAGAGAAGCTTAGACAATCTTTGGCCGAGTCTCGTCCGCGAAGTTTTAAGCGGCGCAAGAATAGTAACCATTCTACTCGCCAATCTAGTCCTGAATTTAATCCAGATGGGCTACCTAAGGAGTCTCTTAATATCAACGGTATGGATGGACTTGTGTTATGTTGCCTAATATCAGCCCATCTAACCTTGCGAATAGAATCATCGCACTTAGACTGCAGCCTCTCCACACAGGAAATACCACTCAATTTCAATGCAGATGCATCACGGAGCATGCCTATGGCCCCGACATTCCCTGAGCAATTTATTACTGCAATACCACCATACAATTCTGGTACACGGGCACCTTTAATGTTCAGGGGTACAATAAGTGGGTTCCAGCATAGTAACATGTTTCTAGAGAGTGGGCAGGCTACATTTTTGTCTGGTGGACTTGAAGGAAACCCTCAGTTCGCTGGTGTTGCTCATGGAGCACAAGAATGGATTCATGAGCAGGATAGCTTCCAGGCTCTCAGTTCTGGAACATAAAATTGGCGCCAATTTTCGAGGTCTTTATTTCATCCACCATCTTCTCAAGTCCCTGATCTTTCGGAAGAACCATCTTTGCCCATCCACTCAGTTCCTCTTTTGTCGCAAATACGAACATGATGGCAAGTCCCTTTATTATGCGAAAGGCGAGTCGAGTATCCGAAATCACCCTATGCCATGTATCAGAAATCATATAGAGCGTATAACTAGCGAGATATATAGCGTACAGGCCACCGTGTTCCATTTCCACAGTTTTCCGCGCTGTCTTCGCTAAATGGGCGAATGGCACTTCTAACAGGCCAGTAGACGAGTTGAACGTATTGAGTTCGAGTGATTGTGAGCCGACGTAGTATTCTATCTGCGAGCCCGCCTCCCATAGCTGCACAGTGAGAGCGGACATCTCAACGTTTGGGCAATTCATGAAAACGTAGACATGAGTTGGATCGCTGCCAAAAACTCTGTATATTCCGAGACCGCACCAGTCGAAGTGTGTCTCGAGTATCGACCGAATGAGCTCAAAAAAATTAGTGAATATTCATCCCGAAAAAGAAGTACTTACACAGTTGTTCAAGACAGTTTGCTGGCAGAAGTCTATACCCTCCGCAGTTCTTATCGGAAAAAGTTTCTGCCTCATTGCTTTGACTCCTTCGCCTATTGCCTCATCATGGACTTCAAGAAACCCTTCTGATCGCAGCTGGTCTACCTTGGCTGGTATTGACATACTGGAAGTCATGGGCAGATTGGCACTGCCGGGATGTGGCGGTTGACGTTATGGGTCAGGATGGAATGGAAGCGGCGGGGTATTCCAATATCACGTGACATGTTGGATGTCAAGTTTCGGTCCTGTATTTCATTACACGGAGCTGAAGATTAATAAATATCTTTGATCCGAACTGTGAGCGAAAAGCTTTTGATCCCAACTAGTAACAAAAATCCGTGCTCCGATCAGGGGACAAAACTCCTTGACCCAAACAGGGGACAAAACTCCTTGGCCCGATCAGGGGACAAATTTCCTTGGCCCGAACCGGGGACAAATTTCCTTGGCCCGAACAGGGGACAAAACTCTTTGGCCCGATCAGGGGGGGGCAAAATTCCTTGGTCCCATCAGGGAACAAAAGTCTTTGGCCTTCCAGTAGCTATACCTTTGATCCTTGTCAGCGGTTTTGGCTGACTTGATGCCGTTATGGGATTGGCCTACCGATACCCACAGGTTGATACGACGAATTTAGTGATATCGCATAGCGCGCAATATCTCATGGCATGAAGCCTGTAAGCGCTGTAGCCAACATAGCATTAATCAGTGAGTACTTTGACCCAATAAGGCCTCATCGGCTGGGTCTGGAACAAAATGTCCCATCCCTGTTATACTATATGTCGTCTGCCTCCTGTTTAATCGCTGGTACTGTTGATGATTTGGCGCTACATGCACGAAAGGGAATTGTCAGTGTCAGCCCCCCCCTACCCAAAGACCGTATACATGGCTTGCTTTTCCCGGCAAGATCTCAGAGAAGCTGAAAGATGAGCTTCTTGTAAACGAACCCTTATGCCGCTTTCCTGGAGACCATGGATATATCTTCAGCCCTCACATTCCTACGCAATGCACCAACCGAGGCTCTGCAAATTCATAAGAGTGAAGCTGTCTCAGCTTTTCGAGAAATTGAAGAGCGTCTGGGAGGTCTTGGCTCCCCACAGTTAGATATACCTCCTAAGTTCTTTGAACATTGTTAACATATTCGATAGAAATGGAGCTGTGTGTGAGACAATTCCTATCAGCCGTTCCTTTCTATCCGAGAAACATCTTTCGGAGGCGCAATCAGTCAAAATCCAGGTGACAAAGCTTCTGAATGCACTGGCTAAAGATTTCTCTTGGGTGTGGGACTCAATCAAACTCGAACCAAAACAGTTTCTGGCTATGAAACGCAAACGTACTTGCGATAGGAGGCTTCGCGATATTCGCAGAATTGATGGTAATCTAAAACCTGAAAACCGGGACAAGTTATTACGAGGCCTCGCCCAGCGGTCGCTTGCTCTCGAAGGAGTCAAATGCGGTTATTTGGATGTGGATGAGATGTGTGAAAAAATGAATAATGGGAATCTCAAAGGAGGACGAAATGGTAAAACCGTACAATTTGTGACCAATGAGCTGGGCATCGAATCAGACGACCAAGACTTTGCCGTTCGAGCCACTCGTGAGGGCATGAAACAATTGGTCATGGAGAGAGTCCTAACAGAAAAGCTTAAGGAAACGCTGCTACAAACGTTACAGGAAACGCAGGATGAAACATTGAAGCAAACCTTGGGGGAAATGATAAAAGGCTTCAAGAGTGCATCAGGAATATCTGTGTTTACAGCCCTGGCTCTCAGACCCTTTAGATATCTCAAATACGGAGAGATCCCTGAGTTTGCAAATTGCTTGCTGGAGCCAGGTGCGATGCCTTCATTGATTTTGATGGAGGCGGAATCCGACAGCATCGATCCTATAGTCTTCATCACGAATATTATGCGAAAGACCTCAGATTGGCTTGAAGAATTGCAGTTGTGTTATGATGGTGAGTTAGCCTTTAACCTAAATGTTTATTTTTACCTCATCCTTGTAATAGCATGCATTACGTGCGACGACCAGGAAGCTCAGCTAACCGGGACGAAACGCATTCAGAGGAGTGCCCTGAGAAACGAACAACCCATGACCGAAACTCCTATAGGTGCAATAACCAATCCTAGCGATTTGTCGATACCTCACAATCATGGACCTCACAATCATGGTTCATCTGCGCAGAGCAAATCATTATGTGCTACTCAAACGGCATCGGCTTACAATGATGATGGATGTTCTCTTATCCAATCCGTTGGTTTTCACGGGGTCAGTTGGATACCATTCGACGGAACACCCGACCATGCTGGATCAGATGTTTCAGAGTCTTTTGAAGAAAGAAGCCTGAATGAAGATGTCGAAGTCACTGGAGGGCCTAATGATGAAGATACCGATGTAGCAACAAACAGGAATGGCAGCAACGCACAAAATGTCTACAAAGACATCAGATGGGAGTCTGAACATAATCATTGGATTGATCATGTGCAATCTCAAATTTTACATGCGCCGCAAGAAGAGCAAGCAAATGAGCAAGGTCATAAGACTTCTGCAGGGCACATACCTGTTGCCATGCCAGATAGTCAGGAGCTTATTGCGCCACTCACCCTCATAACGAGCGCGGATATTCCTGATACGATCGATACAATGGCATCACTCGCCATCAATTCGAACAATGATCTCTTTGACGCAATTCATATGATGGCATTAGTTTTCCCAGATGCAGATACGAATTTGCCTGACGCGAGCGATCTCATGATGGCATCATTCGCCACAGGCGCGAATGCGGAACCCCTTAACGCGATCGATATGTATCCGTCTATTTCTACTTAGTCAAAGGCATAACTTCCTAATGATACCGCCATTTCCACAATTTACTCTCTTGACTGTTAGCAGTCGAAACACCTACCGACGCGACTGGAACTGTGGACGGATTGTCCAACTCTGCAAGAGACCTACAACTCTGTGTGCAACCACTTACAGCCAGCTGAGGAAGCCCGAGCACGATTGATTAAGAAGTCATGAGGGGTGAGACTCGAGGTTTATAGTACACTGGGTATTTGCCATCACAGTGATTTTCAAAATATGGCGGCTTAACATCCCAGCCATATAAGTTATGGATCTCAGCCACTCTTCTATTAACCTCATCACACAATTTTCTTGGTGCGATTCGAATAGTCATTTCCGTCGCAGCGTGGACCCAGAGAACAGGAATTTCGTTTTCCTCCTGCAGGTGGGCGGTTGCATGATCATATTTGGTATGGAAAAAGTCGTAAATTAAAAAGCAGCGACTTGGCCAAGTCTGCTTGACTATGAATTTGGCTTCGTTGCGGATCTCCTGGTCGCATTGCATGGTTTGGAGAACGTTGTCCAATGCTGATTCCGGATCATCCGAATGTAGACTCGACTTAGAAATCGCTATAAACATTCGAACGGGCTGTTTTGATTTGAAACGATCCTCCATTTTTGACTTCTATGGGAAGGTCATTAATTAGCCCATGAGCTCAAACACATTGATGCTTTGACTTACTTGTCCACTCGGAAGTGCTTCTCGTAAAGCGCTCTTTTCCTGCCCTTTCTCTCCAAACTCCTAGACTACTCAAATTTCGAGGCGAGAGCATGCCTTTATGCTGGAGAGCCATCGAAGCTGATTGTCGCACAGGCGCCGAGCGGACAAGTCGAAGGCGAGTAATACGTGCACACGTGGCAGCGGAGGGCTGGGAAAGGTGCGTTGTACCCTGATTAATCAGACATCTTTATAAAAAAAAAAATTAAAAAAAAAAAAATCAGTGGCCAGGCAACCGACATCTAAGCATCATAGTGGTATACATTACATATTATACGGAGTCTCACCACTTGAGCAATAATATATCTTGAATATGGTAGTTCCATGCATAGATTGGACGAATATCCGTCGTTCGTCAGTGAAGCTTTTATAACCGTATTTAAAGACACGTTAGAAATTACACTCTCCCGAGATCGCATTCCCCCTCCCTGATGGCTTAAGACTAGTCTAGTAATTAATTACTACACAGTACAGGGAAAATATTTAAAAGGTATGTAGACTAGGCCGTGGAATGTATGTGGAAAGTATATCCTGCCATAAGTGGTAAGAAATGGACCAAATTCAGAGTAGTGAAAAGTCTGGCATTCTGTCATCAAACTATTTATGTAAGAAAATTCCATGGTGCCATGATTGGTTGAGAGCAAGCAAGCAATCGCGTGTGAGACGTGATACAATATGAAGACCAGACAAACATCCACAGACCAGGCCTAAGCCCATATTATATTGTCTCCTTATCCTCGCGAAAATACTAGTAGCTCTTACCCTTGCTAGCTCCTCAAAGATCAAGGAGTTGATCCTGGTGAGGGGTAGCTGCACTCTGCACATTTTCTGTCTCTCATGGTCGTCCAGACGTTGCCCAAATAATCGACATCGTGGTGGCCACCACAATCCCCATCGAAAGCTTCCTGCAGAAGTACCCCACAGTCTCTACATTCGTATCGGATGTAGAAGCACATCTAATTATATCATCTAAGATTAATAAAATGAGGTTGAGCTCGTATTAACTTTATCTTACCTGGACGATATGATTTATAAATTCGTAAGACTTTATCTCAGCTCGTTTTAGTTCTACATTTATTTTAGTAAACCCATTAAGATATTGATAAAGAAAGATACCTTGTGAATTTTTCAACCGTGAGCTGCTGCTCGAGTATTCTCTGAATGTGGAAAGGCGATTGTGGCAAAACCCTCGATATTAGTTGAAAGGCCTAGATATCAATTAGAAGTGTTAAGAAGTCTGGAGAGAAGATTGCCCTTTTATATCTCAGTCCTTTGGGGCGCCGCTACCACTATTAGCTATAAGGAAATCATGTCCGAGGTCTAGGAGACTGTAAAGCTATCGTGCTGCACGACCTTCTCTTTGTTTATTACATGAAGATTTCTAAATTGAGGTCTCTCTAGTCACGACGTGAGAAGTTCTTCAAAAATCATAGCAGAAAAGCACAGTAGAAGTAAACCAATAGCGAGCAAAAGCAAGTGAACACGCAGGGGATTCAATCGGTAAATGCCCGAATGACACATCCTAGAGGCCTTTGAGCGAAGCCTGATTGTAATTCGCCGCAAGGCACACGTCTATGAAGGCTCCAGTTGTAAGGGTTATTTTAAGATCTGTAGCAATACAGTATAGTTCCCCCCGCAATAGGTCTGGCCTTGCATTGGGTTAGCCAGTTACCGGGTGGGCCATTCAGATCTATGTCCAAGGAGTATAGTTATATTTGCCTTAAGTGGTGCAATTGGATATCATAGGAAACAGTAATATGCTAGCTAATCACCGCCGACGGTGGTAAGTGGGGCGGATTGGAATCCTCAGAATCATGGAGATGCTAGGTAATCACCGCCGGCGGTGGTTACCGAGTTAGTCTTACGTTATAAAGACACCCACAGCTCCCAAGTCTGTATCTCAGACGCGACATCTTTCCTTATCCATTGCTTTATTGGGAAGCATTGGTTACTTACTACCCGCTGTTTCAAGCCGCATGTTCGACTCCTGCCCTGGAATGTGTAAAGGCTACATGCTAACCTAATGTAGAATAAGCTTTTGCGCGCAGCCATGTGTTGGGATCAATACTATACATACCTCAACTGTGACAACAGGAGGGAGTTCGGCGGTCGGATCCCCTGTTTTAAGCCTGGCTGCAACAAGGCCAAAGCTAGGAACCAAAACATTCGACAAGCTTGTAATCACTGTCCCATCTGCGAGGACCGACGACGGGAAGCTTTAGTTAGTAAACTCAATTCTGGTGAAAGAGACAATTTGGGGAAAGAGGCGGGCTCTGGACAGTGATTCCAGTAGCTCAAATTCATTTTTAGAGACTGTGTACCGACAGAAAAGGATATAACTGCTCCAAGTGAATAGTTATTCCATTAAATTTATCAAATAAAAATGACCTGGCAATCCCCTCCTCAGTAGTAATATCTGATTAAGTTCATGCCACTTATATTTTGGTGTCTTGAAATTTTGCTAAGGCCTCGCTAACGCAATGCTCTGGTTATTCCCTTGGGCTGGCTACCAGGAACACACTCCGCTTGATTATATCCCTTATTGTATTGTCCTTCACTACACAATTGTAGGATTGGCTATCCTCTGGTCTGTTATCCGTGGAAGATCCATGCGCGGTATGTCCCCGATAGAGGAGAATACAGACATATATTGACCCGAAATAGAGCAAGAAAAAGAAAAAAGCTTTTTATATCATGACTGCGTGTTAGTGATTGTCAGCTGCATTCACACAGGCCATACCGATTTTCAATACTTGCAAACACGCGACAGGGCCCCCATGAAATCAGGAACCCAAGGATAAGTAGTCGACGAATGAGAACTACCAGAGTCTTACTTCACCTAAAATATAACTGCCTTGAAGACCCCATGGAGTGGATATCGATCATTTTGGTTCACAACCTTCTCACTATGGATTGTCCCGCAACTATTCAGTTGAGCAATACCTCTAAACTGAATAATTATTACGAGTCAGTATTTCGCGCGCTTAATACGAGCACTCTACAGATAATTTCCGAAGTGATGGCGGGGCTGAAAATTAATGGGTGGGAGCAACCGAGAAGCCAGGATTCAGAAGGTAAAAGTACTACTCATGCACATGGTTGGCAATTTTAATCTCTATATGGCAGATGATGTTCTTGAACTCATCAGAAGATTCCGTCAGGTCTCCTCTAAGGGGTTGCGCCAGATGGTGTGCAAAGCGAAAGCCCTGAAAAATTCGATATCAGATCTACAAGCCCTCGAAGACATGCTGCGTATCAGGAGACAAGAAGAAAAACATGAAAAGGGAGAATTAGGTTAGTCAATTTGATTTATGCTCTGAATAATTTATTAATGGTGATTCTAGATGAAAACAGTTTTGTAAAGATTGTCTAGTTAACTTAGCAGCCAAAGTCAGTTGAGTTCAAGATTAAGGCATGCAACTAGGAGAACAATCGTCCTACAATAGCGAAAATGTACTAAATTGAAATACTTTTATCATAATCTAGCTGAATAAGATACACCAGTCGTTATAGATGTTACTGGTAATCGCCAAATAGGGATATAAAGGCGCTAGATGCTCGACGACGTGGACAAATTTCTCGTCTTCAATCTCAACCATCCAGTGTTTGCTTAGCCCAACCTAGCCGCTAATCAAAAGCAAGCTAGTGCAAAGAGATCTCTTACGACAGTGCAGAGATGACCTCGACGCAAGATTATTACACCGCCCTCAATGATCCCAAGTCAGGAGACATGGAGTTTTTAGGGTACAGCCTGACCGAGGCTGCTTGCCCCTCTCCAGGTGTGATAAGGGGAGTGATGGAATCGAGTAACCCGATAGAAGGATCTATTGTCTATGCTAAAGGAGGGAAAGAAGCATGTGACAGGTTCTTAAATTCTGGGCTCGATTCAGCTCATGACGTATGTCGCTCATATTCATTGCTCCATAGACGAACGAACTGACCACTCTACCAGCTCGAGAAAAGGATTAAAGAGCTCATCGGAGAGTGGTACCTTTATCAAGGACCGGCAGTTATTCATTCAATTAGCGACACAATTAGCTGGGGTCATATAACTGGCCACCCATCTCGTGAAGGCGTGTCAGTCTTTCGACCCTTCTGGAGCATCACTCGGCCCGGGACGGTCACTATCCGACTTTATCCAGCATCGCATAATTTGTCAAAAATGGAATTCCAGATGGCGAATATTCCTCCAGTCATTTGTAATTTGCGACCGGATCAAATACTTTTTGTACGAGGCTCGCTTTGGATGGAGGTATCGTTACATCGGGACAGCTATCTTGTCTGGCAAGGGTATTCAAGAAGACCGATAGGTCCCGATTTCTTCTCGCCAGATGCTCCACCATTCATGAAGATTTAGCCTAAACCACAGTCTAGCGCAGAGAAAATGAGTCGTACGGGTGCGTTAAGCATGCACAGAGAGATTCTGATAGTGTTAGCCGAAACTAGGAAATTGAGGACAAGACTTCTGACCGATATGATACTCATGCATGCTTTGATAATTAGATCTTAGCTCACGTAGCTTAAAAGCCATATCCGTGATCTCTTTAAATTCACCGTTTCGTATAATCTCCGAAAATTTGAATTCTTCGCCGCTAGGTAGGCGTCGGAACTCGGGCAAAACAGGTAATAGAAGAAGCGAGAAACCAGAACCAATTGCGTGCTCAAGACGTAGAACCTTTCGGCCTTGTTGTAAAGCATGTGTAGTACTAGCTTTATCCGGTAGACCCTCTTGATGAATAAAGGTCGGCATTGTTCCATGACGACGCACACGACATGCAATGGAAACGAGTGGAGTTAGACCTTGCTCTCCAAGCCAGCGCTGCTCCCTTAGAGCTATAGATGTCCAGGAGAGAATCGTTTTCAGTCTTCCTTCCCAGGAGCCACTATCGTTCCCTATTGAGTTCAAACCTATCATCCTTGGATCTTCTCCGGCCCTAAGTTGAGTCGTAGAAACGAGAGCTGTTAGGTCTTTGCTGAAAAAAGCTCGAACATCTGATAAGTGGATTAATATGCAATTGAGTAAACGTTCCGCTGTGATAGGGATGTTCTTGCGCGTCGACATGGTAGTGAATAAGGGGTAAAATTCGGAGTACGATGTAGTTAGTTAAATAGACGCAAGGCCACTAACGATTATTTCTAAAGTGACTAGTCCCAAAGGGAAAGGTTCAGAATGCATCTGCATCTACCTAAGGTCTAGACAGGATTATTATTGGGGTGTGACCGATTGGTTTAGCGTAGTCACATAAGTTTCTTGGTCGTTGGCAACAGGGATGCTATCAGTTGCTCAAATCTCGCTAGTACCATGATCATGTAAACATCTTGCAATGCTCCCGGATAATATTTATTCATCCCTTCGATCTCTCTATCCCATTTATCTTGCCACTCAATTTCTTTCACTTGCTGAAGTAGCGGCCAAAAAATCAAGAACTCCGCGATCTGACTCTGAAGCTTAAATTTCTATCAACCATGGCTCTCTGGGAACTACTTGTTAGCTTCCTGTCACGATGCATATGGATCTACCAGGTCAGTGAATATATTTGCAGTCGCGTTATGGCTAACATTCCAAGAAGCCCAACGAAGTGGAGGTCATACGTGTCAGTGGAGTCGAATACGGAGAAACGGAAATCTCAGTTCGACATGCGAAAATACGAGCCGAAGTCCGCCAAGGAAGTACGACCTCGTGCAAGTGGTTCGAATATTCCCAGTTAATCCAGTTACCGGGAGGAAAGGTTGCCATTAAGGAGTTCTATCCGCATTTCATATGATGCCTCTGTAACATATAACATCAATGGCAAATACTACCTCAGGAACGGCATACCCCTGAACTCTCTCGCACGGATGGCAATAGATAATGGACGAGTCAGCAGTACCCTGCTTCTGTAGACTTATGTACGTGCATTCTGAACCATGCTATATATAGAAAAGCTGCTTTGATAGACTTCATGCATTCTGAACCATACAGTAGATGGAAACACATAACTGTGTATTTCCTTAAAGGTATGGACCGGATTATAACTGGATTATCAAGTTCGGGTACACCATTATATAATATTCCCTTGAAGTTATGGTGGTGATTATAATATAAGTAATCGTCAAATGGAATGGTTCAGAATGCATCTGCATCTATCCATAAGCGAGAGTCACCGGGTCCACCGCCAACCGATGAACTTGGGGCACCCTTATAATCCTTTATCTGCCCACTGTACTCATCCTTTTTCCAAAATCATAGCCTTATGCCTAATGTTTCAACTCGCTAAGGAAATACCTCAGTCTTTTGTCAGCAGTCGATGGTGGGAACATGAGTCCCAAAGCTTGTTATCGGGGTATGATGTCCAGACTATTAGGCAATCACTCCGCTGGGGCCTCTTCGACAACCAGGAAGTCCCAAGACAAGCCCTACTTGCACGAGACGAATCTGTAATTAATCAATGCCTCGTCATATCAGATCTACAATTGAATCATTATCTTCTCTCGTTTCAACAAAAAGTTGAGGAGATCCTCCGACGATCAAAAACGCCTTACTTCCAACCAACCTCCCAGCGTTGGTTCCTACAACCACTCGGCTATGATCACTCAGATAAGAAAATCGCTAGTGAAATTGAGGTTGGGAGTCGTTTCTACTTTAACCAAATCTCTTTCGAAGATCTGGTACGTGCCTCACTCGGGCATCCTGCACCGTCGGTAGAGTGGTTTCTACAGCAGCATACCACTCTCTATTTTCTTCTCAAACAACATCTATGTGCTAAGCCCGAGGATGCCCAGCTATATGCAAAAGTAGAAAAGGTTTGTTCTCAAGCTCCACAGTTCCTAGGAATTTGTGTATTAATAAAGTTTAATAGCATCTTAGAGATAGGTGTCCATTCGGGCACCGCGCTTTAGTGCAGTGTCTCCTTGATGTCGGATGCAGTACGGGTGGCATGTCTCCATCAACAACTCCAGGCTTCCAATTCTTAGCGGGGCCAATACAGTGCCTGTTCCAGCACCCCTTCGACTTCAACCGTCCCCTGTCCAAGATTTTTGAAATCCTAAACGTGCTAGCCGTTCGATTTCAGCAGCAATACAATAGTTCGAAGGAAATTAACTGGCACCTCCCTTTTTGTACCGATGTACTATTCTTTGAATATCTTACCTCAGAATCTGCTGAAGACCATGCGCGCGATCTAACGATGAAGAATTCGCGAGACCTCACAAATCTATTGACACAGGACTTGGAATGGGTTGACATAGTGAAGAGCCTCGTCACAAATTGGAATGACTTGAGTTTCTCGGTATGGGAATGCTGCTCTGGCCTTCCGGAGCTAATTCCATATATACAGAAATGCGCAAAGGTAATATCGAACTCTTGACGCGCTCAAAATCAGATACTGACATTTCTTAGGCTCTATATGTGGAGAGAAATTATCACTCGATGACGGCTATCTTAGACGGACTTCGCGAATACAATTTATCGAGAGGGCAGTCGAATTGCCCATCTAGTCTTTATTCTTTCATGGATCCGACGGATAATTACAAAAATTACCTTGTGCGATATTATAGCCTGGATGGCGGCATCCCATTCATATTTGCTCACAGTGAGTACGAGCTACATGGCACGACTGGGCCCCTATCACTCCGCAATTTCCTGCAAAGCACTCTGCCGATTGATCAGATAAATGAGCATCGGTGATATCACGTTACTCTCTAGCTTTGGCCATTCAAAATATTTATTTTTTTGCTGAATTGTCAGGAGGATGACAAACTACCCAATGGGAGCTACGGCATCCAATATATACATATTAGGGAATTGGACAACTACTTAGCTGAATAGGGTACCGAGGAGAATTCTAGAAAGTGGAATACAACTATCGCTTATGGCATTAATGACTGCGACGGGCTCGAGAATCGAGAAAGGCCCTGCATTCCTGAGCACCCAATCCATTAAATCCATCTCTTGACGAGTCGCCCTTATCCTACTTTCTGGGGTTCAACATCCAACAGATCACGCTTCAAGAACTAATGTCTCATTTTCGCTCCATGTCTTTTTCTCCAATAGGCATGTGGTCGAATCAACACTTGTATCAAACTGTTTCTGTTGTTCCCCTGCAGGAAACGCGTAGGGGTCCTATATTCTATCAGTATATGAATTACAGAACGTATAAATTGCCTTACTGTCCATTCCTCCTGAGGGAATGTCGATTGGAAAACACGCATTTCACCATGGCGATAGCGGACAATAATGACATGTACTGCCACCAGACCTAGCTTTCTTGCAATGCCTGACAAGATTTTCAACATTGTGATGAAATAGACTTCTTTCTTAAAGACGTCAAGTGTAATTTGTAGTGCGGAGTTATCGAGGAATGGAGAACAGATCTAACAGCAAGGATTGGGATATTGCCGTCAAAAATAAGTGCGCTTAGTCTACGTCCGATCCATTTCTGTGCCACTCCACGGTTTCTTGGATGAGTGGAACTCCCGTGGCTGCGCTTGGCCTACGCTAAATCCTTTCTTGCGACACTCTACGATTTCTTAGAACGAGTGGAGGTCCCGTGGCTGCGCTTGGCCTACGCTTGATTCTTTCTTGCGACACTCCACGATTTCTTAGAACTGCTGCTTTCCCCATGGCCGCGCTTGGCCTATGCTTGATTCTTTCTTGCGACACTCCACGATTTCTTGGATGAGTGGAGTTCCCGTGGCTGCGCTTGGCCTATGCTTGATTCTTTCTTGCGACACTCCACGATTTCCTTGGATGAGTGGAGTTCCCGTGGCTGCGCTTGGCCTACGCTTGATTCTTTCTTGCGACACTCCACGATTTCCTTGGATGAGTGGAGTTCCCGTGGCTGCGCTTGGCCTACGCTTGATTCTTTCTTGCGACACTCCACGATTTCCTTGGATGAGTGGAGTTCCCGTGGCTGCGCTTGGCCTACGCTTGATTCTTTCTTGCGACACTCCACGATTTCCTTGGATGAGTGGAGTTCCCGTGGCTGCGCTTGGCCTACGCTTGATTCTTTCTTGCGACACTCCACGATTTCTTAGAACTGCTGTTTTCCCCATGGCCGCGCTTGGCCTACGCTTAATCCTTTCTTGCGACACTCCACGATCTCTTGGGATGAGTGGAGTTCCCCGTGGCCGCTACGCTTAATCCTTTCCTGCGATACTCCACGATTTCTTGGAGTTCCCAGGGCTGCGGGCTGCGCTTGGCCTACGCTAAATCTTTTCTTGCGACATTCCACGATTTTTTAGAGCTGCTGTTTTCCCCGTGGCTACACGCGGCCTACGCCCGATTCTTTCCTTTATTCTTTTTACGCAACACTGTCTCGCCATGTGTCTATTCTCTCAGTGTTCACAAATTCGGAGCTTCGTGCATTGACTGGTCGCTGTTGATCACGGCGAATGTAAAAACAATTCTGATATGATAGTTTGAACTATCTAAGCTAGTCCAATCATGTTGCACATGGGTTCCATGAGACGAAGCAGGCAAACTCCACGTATCTTGAGAATTTGGTATCAGCCTTCAATCATTTTTTGTGGTTTCCAGATTCCATCAGCAGTGTCATAGGAAGGTAGCGCGACAGATGTCTGAATGACACAAGGTTTCAAAGTAGATCTAAAGTCGCCAATGTCTCCGTAGAAGAGAATGCCACCTTTAATCGCCTGAGTCTGAATTTCGGCTCTAGCGAGAGTCCTAAGAGTTGGATATTGCCCAGGTAGTTCCTCGGCTTTTGCACACCACCCTGCTCTAATCTCTGGCGCAAAGTCAAAAATTGCATGGGCGTTAGATAGCCGCAAAAATAGAACCTCATTTCTCGAGACGCCGAAAAATATCACGTAAGGAAGACTTGACAAGAAGGGTTTACAAGACGCCCAGAATAAGTCCGCTGTCATATCAGTAATGCATTTGCAGGCAGCGTGTGATTGCGAGGTTATCGAGAGGGCAGTGGTGCAGACTTGGTGACTATTTCTGTCTCCTAGAGATGGAACGGCACCTGGTTGACTGTTGGCAGTTATTTGTGAAGAAATGAGAACAAGACTATCGCCTGTCTGTTGAACTGTTTTATCAGAACCAATATCATGCAGCGTGATGTCTTGACTGTTAGGTATATGGATGGCCTGTAGGTTACTCTGATTATTTTCCCCACTTGGAATTTCTGATTGAAATATCATATCAGGCATCGGAGTATCGTGGTTCCGAGCCAACTCTGTTGGTGTTAATTGTATATTTCTTGCATTACTCCCACTAAGGGGGGCTTCCGGAATTATATCTGTTCTTTCCAAGTCTTCGTTGTCAGGAAAGAAAGATCTGAAAATGTCCCGCTTCACCGCAAAGGACGTCACACTTTCACGAGGTTCATCATCCGGGGAATAGACGTTCCGCAGAAAAAGATATTTGCGGTCGGAAAAGAAAGTATCCGCGTCTGTCATCCCACAACGTTGCATAAGAGACCAATTCCTTGTGACATCCGTGCTCTGTAGCGGCCGTGGTGCGCTTATCATACGGGGCTTGATTTGTGTTAGAACAGTTGCGACATGATTGCTGCATTCAGTCAAGATGGCATGATCATATTCGAACAGCTCAGGAGGTCTTAGTTGGGCAAGGAGCGCGTGAATTGCCATATATTCTGTTTTTATTGGTGCTCGAGCTTTCTGAGATCCATCCAGAACGAACCCCAAATGATTAAAGAGAAATTTCAACCGCTTCCATAGGTCTAAACGCTCAAGCTTTTGATGGGGCTTGGAAGACTGGCTATGGCCTCGCGGGTGGACGTCAGTTAGTCCGAAAAAGTGACGCATTGCGAATAGAAAACATTGTCGATATGCGGACCAAAATAAAACTTTTTCGCTGGCAGATTCGTCCTCTTCAAAATCGTTCTCTGTCACCTGGATTCGGCTTCTTGCAGTTGGAACATAATACCGCAGCATAGCTTGTCGAATAGAGCCTTTGAATTTGAAAGGCAGGACTTTCTTCAAGATATCTGTCATTGGCTTCAAGTACTTGATATTCTCAAGAAACAGGTGTAACGAAGGTATAATTCCCGGGTAGTTCAGAGAGGCCTGCAGAAGTTGTGATCGTAAAGCAGGATCACTGACGCGTGGGAAAGCCAGATTGTCATTAAATATTTGATTAATAAATCTGCGATCATCCAACGAGAGGCGGGGATAACGCCCTTGAAGAAGTTCAAGAGTGCTAGGGTCCAAGATTTGAGAGGCCCCGCATGTAAGAGAGACCCATGCAGAATGTATTTGATGGAGGTAGGCAGAAAGCTCCTTGATCTATAAGTCAGTTTTTCGTAGTTAAACATGAGTGGCTCCAAACCTCTGGGGAATTTAAACTTGTCAAGTGTGTTCCCATAAGCCAATGGATCCATAGGGCAGGGAATACCAGCAGCGCATCTAGCTTCTTTGCAAACGAATTCCATTTTTCCTTGCTTTTTTTGGGTTCGTAAATTCGGTTGTAGTCCCGGCACTTGGTTTGTGACCATTTTGCCAGCCATTCTTGAGCAGGCTTTTCTTCACCACGAAGCTGATAATGTCGAACATTTTGAAATATTTCGCCGTCACTGAAAAGCTGAGACCCATTTTCCGCTTCTCGAAGTCGTTTGCGACATTCGTCACTCAGTTTCTCGGAGTCGTAAAGTATCAGATTCCACCAAATATCATTGGGCTCGAGCCACTCGACTGCTGCGGCAATTCGATGTTGCCCTTGAAGACAAAGTAGCTCAGATCCTTCCGGAAGCCGCAAATCGGTAGGACGATCTATATACAAATTGATTGAGTCGACTTGTAAAAGTGATTGGAGAACCGACTTCGATACTTCGCAAGGAATCCATGTGAGCGGATCAAGTCGGCGACAGCCCTCATGGTTGAACCGATGAATGATATTCTTGACATGAGACTGATTCAGGGCCCGAGATCCACGCACGTCTATATCTTCAAAAATGAGTCGATTCAACTCCCGGACTTTGACGGAGCCTAAAGAAGCTGCGTCTAACTGCCGTGCAATATCTAGCTCGCTGGGCTTCATTTCTTGAAATTTCGACGTGTGACTGTGGAATTCTATTGATTACAAGCCAACATTGCGGTGCAGAGCATGGTAAAATGGTCCTTGTTGACGCCACGGTAGTTTGCCCTGTCAAACAACCGTGGCGTGTTTAAGTAAGCAACCGCATCATACCTACGAACTAGCTATGGGTTCGAAAAACCGTGAACACATCTCAACGGTTGGCTACAATGAAAAATTCGTGTGATGCACGCGCCAAGCACGCCAGCTTAGACCCTTCGGTGGTTTCAGGACCTACAAATGCTGGAAGAGTCATTCATGTATGCAGTAGTTTCTTTGGTAAATACGACTTCTCAAGTAAACGAGCGGGTGATGTAGTGTAGTGAGCTCCCTGTTGTATATAGGAGACCCTCTTTATCCAATTTTGCGCTCAACAACCCCTGAACTCGAATGGGGCTCTTCTGGGCCTCCAGGAGGAATATTGGCCCATTCTTTTGGATAATGGAGCTCTTTGCATATATTTGTCAGTGCAGACATATGTCTTTTTTTTGCCTCCTCCGCGAAAGGAGAAATATCTTCTGACGCAAAAAGGATCGACTTCCACGTCTTAACAAGGCGGCTCCACTGAATCTGACCGACCGCTATGTTCAAGCCGCTGAAACAATTTCTAGTCAACAAGCGGCCGTTTATTTCGTCAAGCTTGCTAATAGCCTCTTTTGCGGCCGGTGACGGTAGGTTCAACCTGGTCGGGTTGTAAAAGCCAACGGATGGATTCTCCACCAGAGCAAAATAGAGGGTACGGAGATATTGGGTGGCTTCATCTTGTGCCGCATGATGATATGGAAGTAGCTCTTCATCTTTCTGTCCCTCTGAGGGGTTAGTCTCCTGACCTTCCCAAGGATCCGCGTTCCTGTCCACCTGGAGCTCGTGCGGCGCGTTCACCTCATCTAGAAGGTGTTGCAACTCTATAAAGATGTTAGATGATTTTCCTTGGCTGTATTTTTTCTTTGTCGCGCTCACTTTCGAAAGCTTTCTCTGCTTTGGCTTTTTTTTCAGCATCCTGAAAATGATCTGGATGGAGAGCGGCTAGAAGTTGCCTGAGGTTCATAGAAGCACGCCTGGGCATAGACATTGCAGTTAGCTATAATTCTGATAAGTCGTCGCTCTGTAGGAGAATTAATAGGTTTTTTTGAAAACTACGGTTTTTTAAGCAGCACGAATTTTTAAGCGCACCAGGGTTTTTTGGGCACGACGGTTTTTCTGGATCACGATTGTCCTCTACGATTCATTCTTTTGTCTATTCTGTCTCCATCTAGATTCGACACATGATGCGCTGCGCTGGAATTTACTTGGAAAGGAAATATAATCCAAGTCCCCTGCGAATGCGTCAAATGATGTGACGTAAAGCTTTTAATCACATGACTGGGAAGGTCGATCAAATCCCCAGGGCACAGGGAGGATCAGAAAACGACGCAGGAGAAATACGAGTTCTTTTATTCACGGATCCTGCTGTTTCTCACGTCGATCAGGTTTTCCCTGCTTCCTCATGATGGTTCTGACTTAGTCACTGGCTGCTTCGGCTGTTGATGGGGCCCAGAAGCCTGTGTAATCTTGTGATGGTTGAAATTCGGCCTCATAGAAATCGACATTATCCTTCGTCAAGGCAAGCTTCTTAACTAGATCTCGAGTTTTAGAATTGGCAGAGACTACCTTCAATCAATAAAATATCTTTTTGGCCTGAGAGGGCTCATACCTGAGATCAGAAGCTTCCCGGAACAGATATTGACTTCCTCATTTATGATAGCACCTAGATCGGGCTCTCCGTGAAACTGGACGCCACGCCGTCCAATATGAAGCTCCTTTCCAGACTCGTCGGTAATGTACAGTGAGTAGTTGAAATTCTAATTAGTTGTAAGAGCAGGGAAATTAAGAATCAAAATGAGACGGGTTGTCAAAACTTACCAGGTGCTTCGAGCCTTCTGCGCTTTCCATGAGCTGTGCAACAATTTCCGTGATCTCCTGCTTTTCCAAGCTCGACACATTCTTCATAACTTGAACATTATCCAAGCGACGCGCAATCTTGTCTGTTTGGGGAGCCTTCAGATCTTGTGCGTTGCTTGAGTCTTGCTCGAGCAAATAGTCCATCCAATCGCAAACCCAGTTGTTGTGATCTTTGAACATCAGCAGAGAAAATGATCATGAGCCGAAATAGCTTACATTCTTTCTCCATAATCCATATGATTGACACTCGTTGCTTGCGGTGCAAGCCGTCTGTAGGCATCTGACGAAGAATCATTTCTTTGGCATAAGGGAGCTGCGCAGTGATTCCGATTCCTGTACAAATCAAGACGACGCTATCATATGGCCTGGTGTCTTTGCTTTCTCCATATGGCCCATCTATTAAGACCCTTAAATGACTGCGAGGAGAGTAGAGAAGATCCTTGGTAAATCCTGATTGGACTTTGGCAAGAATGGAAATGCACTCCGCTTTGCCATCCGAGCCGTTTTCCCACCAAACAATATTGAAAGGGTGAGACTCCGCGAAAGATAGTGATCGCACAGCTGGTACTTTCAAATAGATGTATTGTCCGGCACAAACTTTCCAAGGACGGCGAGGACGAAAACTTATCTCCACTGCATCTCTTTTTCTGGTAATATCCGCCACAGTTGAAAATTTGCCAGCCCTTGTATTACGATAAATTTGCTGAGTGAGATGAAAAGCAGAGCTAAAAAGATAAGTAGCAAGAGCAGAAATCAAGAGAATCCCGTTCAAGTTGAGCCGATTTTTCAAATGCATCCAAATCATCACAATCACTAGAGTCCCTAGGGCGAAATGGCTTTTCAAGAAAATCTCATACAGCTGCCGTCGAATTGCAGAAATAGCCATCAGTGTTAATACCGCCATAGAAACTGCCGCCTGACGAAAATTTTAGCGATGAATCCGAAAAGAAATTCCCACTTACTATGAACCCGTTCCTTTGATGCCGGTTACCGAGGTCAAATGAACTGGAGCGAACCGCAAGTATCACGTGGAGAATACTTTGAAAAGTGGCCATAATCCCAAGGCTATAGTGTAAATGGTGGTAGGTGCCAAGGGACAGGCCAAAGAGCTTAGCTCCCATGCTCAGTCGCGGAGTTAGCGCTAATGGCATCAAGTGAAATATTGCGAGTGATCCGGCCCGTGATCTAGCCACTGATAAACTCGAAACCCCAAAAATATTGCATATCAAAGTTCCCGCAATATGAACACAGTGCAGTAGGGCTTGCAACCTAGTCACGGGGCCCCATGAATACCACCGAGGAAGAAGATAAGGTAGCACGAGGTGTCTCGTAATGAAGGTGGCCAGTCCCGGATTAAAGATTAGCTTGAGACATAACTTTACATACTTCTGGAGGGACAGAAGCACGGTTAGAAGGGCCGCAGTGTAGAGATAAATCAGCAAAGGATCCATCGTAAGCGAAGTAGCGTGTGTATTGTAAGTTCGGGGCAGTTCCTCTTTTATGCTCTTAGCTGTCCACGGTTTCCGGACTGGCAAGTTGTGGGCCCGCAGCCCACTCCACCAGTAGGATGGCTGGGTAGCAAGATTTGAGCGTCAACTGAAAGCTATTCCGAACATGTCACGATTTTTTGAACCCAGAAAACGTGATCCCCGGGACATCGTCCTCTGTACTAATAGGCGGCTGCTGTGCCAGGGTCATCAAATTTTGCCAAATAATTGAGAATGGCAGGAGAATCATCAAAACAAGGAGTGTCTAACCGTGTATCTCGTTTCCCGAGAACAGGAAATGCGAATAATCCCCGTACCAAGAGACCTTTCGAGGAAATGGAGACAGTTGCTCAGGGTACCAAGCAAAGTGTGCAACTGCAACGACTTCAAAAACGACAAGCGATGCCGAATTTTTCAACCCCGTTTTCCAAAGAAGCAGCAAGTCCCTGGCATCATTATCAAAGGACTTTCAAACTCAAACAGGCTGGTTACGGCTTGGTTGTCCACGCCAAGAATGCGACGTTTGCGGAGGGAATACTAAAGGAATCCAGAAGCTACGGGAAAGAACAGTTGTCAAACATCATATCGTATTCTCACAGGAATCTCGTCCAGATACAAAGAGCCTTCTACGACGATGGTGTTATTTTTCTCGTTTATGAGATGATGGACGTCACCCTGGCTCAGATATTCACCTCCCCTCTCGGTCGGCTCCAACTTTACGAGGTCGCAGCATTTTCTCAAGAAGTGCTGACAGGCATTGACTATATTCACAACCATCTAAAAATTATGCATGGAGATTTAACATCAGATTCTATCCTCTTGTCAGTGACTGGAGCAATAAAAATTGGTATGAACTCCATCGAAAGGAAGAAAAATGAGACAAAATCTGATGGCTTGCAGCCAACATAGGCACCGCAATGTTGCAGAAAAATGGCCCTGAAGACGCCCAAGAGGATTTGAAAGCTGTGGGGAAAATACTTATTGAATGCCTGGAGCCGGCCACATTTTTACAAAAAGATTATTCCTTGAAGTCAAAAGTCTGGGAATCCGATATCGTTAATTTTGTTGAGTCGACAAAAGACAAATCAGTGCAAATCTTACTGCAAGTAAGTCAAATGAACTTATTTCATATATTTCAAAGCTGAAGACTTCTTAGCATGATTTTCTGAAACTTTCGCCAGGGTCTTCATGCCTCAGGCCATACGTACGTTTGGCGCGAGAGGTCGGAGCCAAGGAGGTGGAAATGGTGGAACAATGATCTGCTTAAGACGCTGATTGTGAAGATGTTGAACTAGAAAATCACTTCCAAAAATGGAAACAGAAAATCTCATCGGCTCTCCTAGGCTTATGGTTTCTTGACTAGCCTGATCATTCTAAATTAAAGAATTGTGCTCCTTCATCTTTTGCACTACTCGTTCCATACACCAGAGTTGGAAAACATAGCTAACTGCTTCCGACCGAAATGATCATGTGCTGTGCTGCGAACTCGTCCAATCAAGGGTGGAATATCTTGCTAAGAATTGATTCCACATGAACTAGTCCAGGTTAGTAAATAAAGGGGGTGTACGGAGTAAAAAAGTGGGTTTATGAAGCAATTCGCATCTTGAAGTCCATGTAAGCTGATTAATATATCAGCTTGAGGAACACGATAACTATTTTGCTCAACAAAAGTAGAAGGACCACAATAACCATCTTAGCGCGTAACCAGGGCTACATTCTCATCTTCAAATCGGTTAAGCCGCACTTACATTGCAGCGGACTTCTTCCCTTAGTGCCATACCAGAGGAATCAAGTTTTCGGACCATATGAAGAATATTGGCTCAAGTTGAAATCAGCCTACATCGCTCAATGGTTCGGATATTTTCTTTTACTTACTACGAAGTCCAATCAAGAAAACTATGAGGTTTCGCGAACTTTGGGCATTGCAGGACTTGTTTTGCATCTCGCGATACTGACGATAAATACTTGATGGCGCGGGTATCGGGCTTGATGTTAGATCTGAAAGCAACTTGAATAATGATGCAGACGGCGTGGGAAATTGCGATGTATCGAAAATCCACGTAGTAACAGCTAGCTTGGCGAGAGATTCTTGGTCCAGTTCCATCGCGATAGAAGCAATGATATCGTCAAGCCGTTTATCGTAGGCTGCTAGCCTTTGATCGATGATTGAGGGGCTTGTAGCTTCGAGGATGGAAGTGCCAGGTGAGTTCTGGGCGACCAGAAGTAGACACTTCAAGGCCGGTTGGGCAGCAGGAATGAAGATCCGTCTTAAGGAAAACTATCGAATGTCAGTAATCTACTCAATAGGATGGGAAAATTGTAGAAACCATCGTGGCACAGGTTCCAAGTCTATTGTTTAAGTACCCAATCCTGCTGGCAAACCAAGCCCACACTTTTCTGATCTGCGAGGAGGGAATATTTGCCTGTGTGCTGTATGTCCTAAGAAATTCTCGGTGATAATGCTCGAAAATACTGTCACCAATGCGAGCCCTAAAGTCATTAAATGTCTCTCCAACATCATTCGGGCGTTGCATCACGGGATCAACATCACTGAACTGCTCAAAACTTAGCGGTTTGTATTTTCTGTAAACACGTTCGGTCTCCGAAATAATGACGGCCAGATCGACTTGATTGAAACCGAGTGGTACTGCAACGATGACAGCGTCATCCAGGCCTTTCATCAAGGCATCTACTAGAGGGTGATTACTACTGTTGTATTGAATTCGTATAGTCTGACCGATCAGCTTCAATGAGCCAAATAAGTCAGCTCAAGGGTGGGTGCGTACGGATAGCGGCGGATCGGCCAAGGTTGAACTCTTGCTTGGCTGCCGCACCGCTTTCGGGGGAGGCACAGCCTTCTCAGTCAATGTAAGAGAGGGTAGAGAGAATGCTCGATTTAGCTCTCGCCATTTGTTCTCTAAAGCCGTAGGCGTTCGTTGTCGGTTGATGTCAACTCGTAAATTAAATTCCTTCGCGATATGAATCCAGGAGAGTCCACAACTCTTGAAATAAAGCAAAATCTGCTCCTCGTGTGGGAAGTATTCTTTATTATTTCCGGTGGCGTTCGCATCGCTAGACATGGTGACGGTATAGACGACGGTGAGAGTCAATCGCGAATAGTGGGAATTTGCCAAAAAGATATGAGAATTGTGCACGTCGCCAACAGGGCTGCCTCTAGCAAGTATTTAAGCAAAACAGACCCTGGCATCGGAAATATGCCTTGGAGGCTATGTTGGTTCAATGAACTTGGTGGTTCGGCCAGAAGCGGTTTAGAACCAAGAGCCTACAGTTAGCGTTCTTGTCCGGCCCACGAAACTAACGTAGCTCGAACGCATCAATATCACCTCGGTGGTCGCACCTCCTGGAGCTAAATTCTGAGCACGGAGTCTGCTGCGATCACACTAGGGATGGGCACATACGACAAGTAGGCCGACAAAATTTGAGAGCTGTCTTCTAGCAAGAAATAGTAGTCATTGCGGAAGATGGAAACGGGCTTTTTATTTACCAAGAGAATGCTGGCACAGACGGTCACTTGGAGCTAACATGCGAGCACAGGGTCTGATGGAGCGGCCGGGAAATTCCTCGGTCGAATGCAATGACATTGGGCAACAAAACGGGTGTTGGGCTCCCGCCCCCGGGGGGGGTTTTCCGGATAGGGCGCGTATTTAGAAGTTAAACAACACACGCGTCACCAGCTCTCGCTGTGAGCCAATCATTCTGTGATTTTCATGTGGCGACCGGAAAATCCAACTGAAAGACGAAGCTGCTAGTCAACCCGGTACTCCGCAATCCAATGTTAAGGGTCGTGTCGCAGGTTGGCTGATCATTACATACCTTCCGGATAAATATGCTGAGTTGATTGGAGAGTAATTTCCCATTACTGGACGAGATTAGCTCCAACGGTCATTCTTGGCTGGGCTCTTAAGCACCCAGCAACTCTCCTGGCCTCCTGGAGGCTTGATGCCCCTATATTGCGCTAGAGTACAGTAAATTTTGCAAAACACGTTCAATCCTCTCAATTGGTTCCTACATGGTAATGTCTCCCATGCGACAAAATAGAGTCGAAAGGTTTCAAAAAGGTACCAAAGAAAAAAGAAAACATTAAAATGACGTCGAGACCTAATTGGCACCTACACATATTTCTTGAAACTAATTAATATTGGTCTTGGAGACTTTGCCAATATGCAACAGTCTGCAATGACACACATACACTGCTTGTGCTTGAATGTGTTTTTGCAAGCAACACTGCAAGCTCTGAGAGGTAAGCTATCCAGTTGGAATGGTATGATGGCAATATCTCGAGGAGTGCTGCGAAAAGACGATAGAAATTGTTGAGGATAGACAATCGAAATGATAGTGAGGATTTTTTATTCATCTCCAATAGCCTGTGCATCATCTCCCAAATATCACTCATAGAACGCTCTATATCCCTTGCCTTGTAACGAAGAAAGATGGCCATGTATATCTCGAAAAGATGATCGAGTGATTCCCACAGGGTGCTGTCAGGGTTTGTCGAAGTATGATCAAAAGCTTGCGTACTAACCATTGAGATTTGGGAACTCAGAAGCTGGCGTAAAGCGGTGGTATCGCAATTCAAAAGATGTCCGAGATTCGGTGTTAGTGATTGCTTAAGGGCTCGTGGACCTTTCAGTTCAAGCGCAAACTCCATTTGCCAGACAAGTTCCTCGTGATAACCGGTAAAGATGTCTTGAAGGACCTGATAATTAATGGACCGAGAAGAATTGATTTCATGCAGGTACGTAGCAAGGAATGGGGGCTCTTTTTTTTGGGTCGAAGTGGATAGTCCTCCCACGACGCTGCACCATTGTTGAAGTAAGAAAGAATATTCCCCAGTGCTAGGAGATCATCTCGAGGTGTCCGTTGCAGATTTTTTGTGATTTTAAAATCAATCATCATAACTTGGTGACTTTGCCAACATGGGCCGCCAACTGCAAACGACCGAGGGCATAGATTGCCGTGCACGATATTCCTTGAATGCACAAACTGAAGACGAGACAAAAGCTGGGCAGCTAGTAAAAGAATGGCTTGCATGCCGAATTGACGGCCAGATCTATGGAAAAGCTCGTCGAGACAAAGACCATAGCTATCCGTGATCATTATACTCCACCCCTTGTACGTGCCGAAGTACTGCAGAGAGGGGATGCCGACACCTCCAGAAGCGGAATGCAGGATGAAGGCTTCATCATACAGTGGAGATCTTTCATGATCGGCTTTAACGAGAAAACATTCAAGCGTTTCTTGGTGCCGCGCTGTCTTTTTGTCAATGTCTGTTTGGTATGGTCTCAAGAAGTATCCTACCGTATCCCAAGTCTTCCGGACTCCGAGGCCACTGAAGAACGTCAAATGGACCTATGGTGATTTGAGATGAAATAGACATTTCTGGTCGTTAGCCCTACGCTGCGGTTATGATTCAAAGGAAATAATTAATGTGGCTTTTTATTTGGTGGGGAGGAATGGGATGAAACGCGGACCACGATTGCAATGGCTAAAAAACCGTGCTAATGAGCAAAGAACCGTCCATAGCCAGCCATGTTCGGAGGGGGACAAGAAAAAAGAAAGAGACGAAAAGATATTATATATATATTTCTACTTTACATCAATGGTCTTGCTCTCAGATTCCCTTTCATGGTTACAAGTAAGCACAGGCGGCCAAGGAATCTATCTGATGTGAATACACAATCAATGTCACCTTGATCGACTCCTCTATTATAACTCTACCCAGTGATTTAAGAAATTCGGAGGTGGTCCCTTGGTAAAGAAAGAAATCATCGCTTTTGAATCTTTCCATCGAGAAAACTTATCTGTAAATGGAAGTCGATACTTGCAACCCGGAAAATGAGCAGGATAGAATACTATCGCTATATTCTGTCAAACCTCAGACCCGCGTTTCTTGAAAGATAAATACTCACTTTGCTCATTCTTTAATTGCTGCTATCTCGATTGCTGCTGAATCCAAAAGCAGGGTGACACGCGAAGGATCCATAGACGGCAAGCGGTACAGAAAACCCACTACTGCATCGATATCCCATCTCCCATCACTGAGCCAGAGTTCAGGGTGGTGAGAGCGAAGCCATGCCAGTTTGTTCCGAATAGCGGAGACTGTCCGGCGTGGTGCAGTCGTCAGGGCCGCCAGATCAGCCTCTGGTGGCATTCCTAGTAAGGGAGCTGACCAACTTCTCAGAACATCTGCAATCGTTTCGTGCCGAACGCCACGCGAAGCAAACAAAACTATGATAGCAATTTCTTCAGAGGTCCAAGCAGCGCCTGTCATTTTGGTGGTGATTGAAATTGATCATGGGCGCATTGTAGGGTTTTAAAGTCGTGTCGTGTCTGTCATGACTCTTTGGTTGAGCTGCGCCAACTAACACGCCACTCCATCAACACTCCATGCCTCTGGAAAAAAGTGGGAGCCCAATAATCTCATTTATTGCAACGCACGATCCATTCACATCTCGTTGATTCTTTGTGGTCCTGCGGATCGGAGGCTGACACTTAACTTTTGTTAGTGGTTGAAACGATCAAATGTATCCTAGAACCAATCATCTACTAAATTGCGCGAAAATGCTAGGTACGTTTTAAAACTATCCTTGCAAATTGCAAAGCATTTCACATACAATTTCCATGGGTAAAAGCTCTCCAACGCCCGCCCCCTCTCCCCCCTGTGCCGCCTGTGCCAGTGCCTCCTGTGCCTCCTGTGCCTCCTGTGCCTCCTGTGCCTCCTGTGCCTCCTGTGCCTCCTGTGCCTCCTGTGCCTCCTGTGCCTCCTGTGCCTCTTCTGGTTCCTATACCACTAGCCAATCAGGGGCGATCTGTACCAAAATCCAACTCGTCTTCGGTCGGGGAAGTTGGAGTTCCCTCCGAACGGCCTGCAAGATTACGTAGAAGTCCTTCGACTTGCGTCATCCATGGGTTGAGGCTTTTGTGTTGATAGGCCTGAATCTCTTCGAAAATTCTTGACAAAATCTGAGTTAGTAGCTCGATCTCAGGAATGAAGTGCGATTTACTTTCTGAGAGATTCCAGTCTAGACTATGTTAATACGTAGACTTTCAATTTGAGAATACTGAACTGACTCCCTCCGCATTTCATCAAGCTGCACTTTTTGTCCTTCGACAAGGAGTTTTGCCGCAGTGGCCGTCTCCAACGCCTCGTTAGTCTTGGTGTCTGATGATATGGTTGAATCATCGGGAACATCTTCTTCCAAATTTTGAGGATTCAAGGCCGGCACTGAAACATAAGAAGGCTCCTCCTCAATAGCTGGCAGGGGAGGAAAGGATAAAAGACCGCAAATATCGCCATCGCTTAGCGGAAGAAGCGTTGGATCATAGAAAGAATCAAGCAATTCAAGATCGGGACTTGTGTCCAGATCTTGGAGAAGACGCTCAAATTGTTCGTCAGTGAGATCTTCCATCTTAGAGATATTGATGAAGGATAGGACAAGATGATAAGATCTCCCTGGTACGGACCTTTTAAATAATTAGTGTTCCTTCTCAGGCACGGTTTCTTATAGATAATCGTGGCCCCTTCGAGAGCGGTTCCATCATGAGTCCATCATGCAGCAGTAACAACCGCGAGAGAAAATAGCCAATGCTGATTCTTTATTTAGAAACCCCGCGTTTGCAAAGACACGGTTTCTCATAAGATAACCGTGGCCTCTCCGAAAGCGGTTCCATCATGAGTCCATCATGCAGCAGTCACATACCCGAGAGAAAATCGTGTGTGTAAATTCTTTCTTTAGAAACAGTGAGTTTGCAGAAAACATGATGTATTATATTTCAAGCCGAGTGATCAATTACGCAATCTAATCACCAAGTCTTGAGTAAGGGTTCACCGGAAGTCAAACTGCCCGATTCGTCTGACCCTTGTGGTCCTTCGAAAAATTCGCAATATTTCCTTTGGGAATCTTGATGACGTTAGCTGTAAAAAATAAGTGTGCTAAAGACAGTCGTTACACTGATCGATTGAAGCTTATGAGGATGAGGAAACATGCGGCCTCGTTGAGATGTTCGCAGCTCTTAAAACAGAAAAGCTGAAGAAAGAAATTAACTTTCTATCTCAAATATCTATATACTTTCGCTTTCTTACTCCCACGACTCCACGAGCTTCGCAGACAGGGCATCCTTGCTTCAAGGTCGAGCGATGATTTGAGCTCCCAAAACTCCAATTTAGACCCTGCTGCTCGGTAAACCACTGCATATTGTTCGGGAAAGCACTCAGTCGATATATTTTACCACCAAACCGAAGAGACAGGACGATGGTTTCCTTTAAGTCACGGACAACGAATCTGATTGGTCGGGAATAACGAAGACAATAATGACAAATATCATCCGATGTCAGGTGAATTCCCAGGTTGATCTTGTCTTTGTATAAATCCTTTTTTGTCGAGTCCAAGGTATCTAGGCAATGGATAACTTGCTGCGCTGGTGCTCGACATCGAATAGAGCCAACGCATTGGAAAAGGCCCGCATAGTATTCTGGCACAGTATCCAGCTGAAAGAAGAAAGAAGTGGCTAATAGAGCTGCGACCGCATCTTTATGGTTGTTAAATCCAGAAGGACGAGTATGAACTAGTGTCGATAGTCGGTCCATACATTCCGTATCATCCAGTCTTGGTAGCCCACCCGGTACTGACAAGTCAAACCGGAAAGAAGATTCTCGGGAAGTTTTATCCATCGTACCGGTGACCTCTCGCCAGGCATTTTGCCCATCAAATGAAGATGAATATGAACGATAAAGTCGCGGAATCCATCCATCGACAAGAAAGTTACGGAATCTAGATATCGTTGGAGCCAACTCGCTGACTACCGATCCAGTTCCGAGTGATATAAAGACGTCTGGACTCGGCGAAGTTGGCCACAGATGACGTGCTTCTGATAAAGCTAGGTTGATGGGATTGTTATGTCTTCTCATTCCACCATCTTGGAAGGTGCCAATACCAGGTATATCGATAGTGGGAAAAAATCTACTGGCAGTTAGTTGTATATCTCACTAGGATTTAGATGATGCTTACGGCGGGGCAGCTGTTGTTGCGCGAGCTCTGAGATCTGTCAGCCCGAACTTATTTGAGCTTTGGGAGGCAAGGATTTACATTTGCCACAAAAAAGGCTCCTCTTCGTTCTCTGGTCTCAATCTTCCATATGCTATGAAAATATTAGCGTCCAATCAACCGTCACACTGTGGAGAGACTTGTTACCTGACTCGGCCCGGTGTGGCGCTGTGCCATTGTAATTGGCGAAGATAAAAGTATCACCATCCCTGATAGTGCTTGTTGTCACCGCAACCTTACTGCAAGATACAGCAGACATCGGTGCATCAAACATCCGTTGAGTCGGGCCATAATGATCTTTGAGAGCTTCTTCCAGAGGCTGGACCTCGTAAAAACCATCGGATATCCAGGAGTGGAGAAGACGTTTCCTGAGTGAAGGTGAGAAAACTTTCTTTGCGAGAGTTCGGAAGAGACTTTTGCAAGATTCAGTGTCCATTCGGAGCATGAATATGGAAAGAGCTATCAAGCCGCCGGAACTGCACCCAACAGTGAGGTCAATCATATCACATAATGGAAGACCTGGACCCAATATTCCTTGTAAGATCTCTAGGTTTTCGAGAGGTATAATTCCCCGAGGCCCACCTCCATCGATGCTTACTACACGAGGCGCCGAAGTTGGGGGCTTGAGCTGTATGATTAGATCCTTCACAGCCCCACAAAGAACGCAGTGAGGAACAGTATACTCTTCCTCTCTCTCCAAAGAAGCTTTGCCATATATCTGAGCACACGGATCACAGATCGAGTGACCGCAAGCTAGTATATGCTCTGGGCTTCGCCTGATACACAGGAGGCACGTCGAATTCGAGCGCAACCATCCCCAGTATTTTTGCTGATCTTGCAAATTGTCTCTATGAATCTCCGCAGACTTCAATGTATTTGAAACCATATATTCAAACAAGACACAGAAGCGCTTCTCAATCCGTTCACATTGCATCCTTGCGAGTTCTTTCGTGCTATAGACCTTTCGATGGGCCGTATAGCAAACATTATAGAAGAGTGTCCGAAAAACCGATCGTGGACAAAACCCTGCTTTCCATTTAGTAACAATATTAAAAGGCAGAATAAGGGAGATCAACAATGCATTCTGGGAGGGTATGCATCCATTAAAAGAGCTGATGCTATGTGGGATGCGATGCCTTCGTAAGGGATTTTGGTCTTTCCGCCTATGAGAAGAAAGCTGATAAGATGTGAGCGAAAGGCCCCGTCTATGGGGTTTCCTTCCCTTGAAGAGCCCACAAAATCAAAAGAACCTAGGGAAGCGTGGGACATGCTTTGAACGGCGAGCTTGAAAAGTTCATTCACGTGCGTTGCGGAAAACAAAGCCTGATGACGCAACCTGACAAATCGCGCATCGTGAAGTTGTCGCGAAATATCCGCACCTAGTGAAAGAAAGCGAGCCTCAGGGGAGAGATCATTAGATGGTAGTTGGCTGAAACGAATATCTTTAAATGCCTTATAAAGTGATGGTTGCTGTGCACGAAGGTCAAAGAGGAAATCTTTCTCTTCTAGCACGTCATGCGTGATGCTCTGATGTCTGTCACTAACAGCAACAATAACTCTCGGCCGGACATCGCATGGAAGTGAAGATGCTGATCCAATCTTTGTCCAAAGTGAGAGCATCTCATGCACTGCTTGCAGGCCTCCTACATCTTCCGCAAAGATGCATATCACATCAACAAACATGAACAGAATTCGAGCAAAGATCAAATCATGTAAAGAATAATCCAGGGGTAGCTGGTTGATAGAGAGAACTTGGTCTTGGTGGCAAATTCGGGGGCTAGAATGTGCAGGTTGCAGTGAGTTGGTTGTTGGATCGCAGTCTGCAAATAGTCGTGGTTGCAAGGCATGTAAAGTACGATTATCTGCCCGGATGTTAATCGCATACTTTTGCCGTTGCCCTTTATAATTGCTACCACAAAGCGTGCGCAGAGCTTTTTCTTTGAGAGTGCGACCTAAGAAGAAGGTGATTTGGGGAAATTGTTCAGCTGGCTCAGGGAAATCTCGAAAGATTTGGGGAAGTCGCCACCCATGGCTTATCAACGGTCCGCCCTTGCCTTCCCATAGCTCTAACCATGCGGAATGGTCACATTTGGCCATAATGTTAAGATTGATGAAGGATAAAGTTCTTTCTTTTGAATCAGGCTTGTATGTAGCTTTATATTCCCTAGAGACTACGTTTTTTTCGTTGGCACGGTAAAGAAACCGTGGTGGCGCCAACATCGGCATTGTTGAAAGCTCGTTGGCTACTTCCAAATGGATTCTGTCCTTACCTTTATGTATGCTTTATGGTGCGTTCAGGCTGAAGACCATATCTGCTCTTTAATTAATTTCCACATTTTCTACCCTATGGTCAGAGAATGGCTCCTGTTATTGAGCATATGCCAGTACAGGCCTTGGAGCATTTTATCTTTAAGTCTTCTTCCGGTGTAGAAACATCTCAAGGGAGATAATAGACAGTACTTATTCTCTATTCAAAGGAGTAAAGATTGGACAGTAAGAAAGTAAAGAAGAACCAGCGTCTTCCAAACTTGGCTGGTGGCACTCTGGCCTTTGGAAACTCCAGCGGTCGGATGAGAAAGTTTGCGTGAGGCTTCATAGTACAAAGAAGCTTGTCACGCCATGGATATTGGCATTGTTGTTGGTTTCAGAAATGTTGCTGGAGGGCAGTCGCCTCCGAATCTGATAACTTCAGTTGTTGGTCTTAATCCCAAAGTGAAGAGTTGAGCAGTTCATCTAGTGAAATCTCTGGTATTAGAGATGGAGGCCTAGGGCAAAGTCAATTTCCAACCAAAAAGCGGAAATTATGGGCGGCAGGAGAAACATACACAGAACTAGGTGGCTTTTTCGCCTTTTTCTTTATTGTATCACAAGACCTCGATCTATCGGCGGGGACACGTGAATTATAAATATCGGTCAATTGTTCCCAGGTCAAGGCAGGGTATTGATAGCGCAGTTCAGTAAGAAGTGCCTCCTCGGACGATGTCCAAGGGCGACGTGATTTAGGTTCTTGCAAACTAGGTGCTGACATGTTGTCGAAAACTGGTTCAGAAAAAGTAGAGAAAAAACGTCAAAGTTCGCTGCTTCTGTCTTCTTCGCGGGCGTAGAAAAGGACCAAGCGGCGAAGGCGCAGGTAGGTAGAAATGGCCCCCGACTCGTACTTTTGCAAATCGGCGGACATGCCATGGCAGGACTGATGAGGGCTGAAATATGTTGCTCTCGGAGCCGCTAGTTCGCTCTATCGCACCTAGGACCTAACGAGGAAAGAACCAAGAGCCTTGGCCAGGGTGATCGACGCCACAGCGGTTCCGCAACAATGGTCTACTGTTAGGTCACATTCGGATGCGCTATCACACCAAAGCTAGCATCGGAAAAGGTAAAGCATCAAGAGTCTTAATGGATGCGGCTGATTATGAGTCAGCGGCGTAGGAGATGATTGGCCCACGATCAGCCACTTCGGAAATGATTGGCTCACAGATCAGGATTCAGAACTCCGACTAGATTCTAGCGGCAAATGAAAAGAGGATTATGTCTCACGGCCCAGTATCTAAGCCATGAAAGTGCCACAAGTTTTAGAAAACGTGAGGAGAGGAATACCTGAGTAGGAACGGGCTTCGGATGCCGGCAAGGAAATGCCGACAAAAGAGGCTCTAGCTTTAAAAAGACTCGGCAGAACACCTCTTTACCTCCTCAACCAACCACAAATGCCATGGCAGGCTCCGAATGGACTACAGAAGAAATGATATTTATCATTTGGCTCGCATCTATTGGAATCAGTCACGGTGGCATTGCCCGACTTCTGAAAGAGAGAGATTATTTCCGCACCATGTCAGCCGTCCGAAACAAAATCGCCGAAATTCGAAGAGAAGAAAACCTTGGAACGGCTTCATCGGAAATGAAGGTGAAAGATGTGGACAGGTGGATTGGCGATATGGGTCGAGACCTTGATCTACAAAGCTTGTTGAGGCCAACGCTGAGGGATCAGGAGATTATCAATCAGGTTGGCAATGAAGAAGGTGACTCAAAACTGTTTTACTAACATTCTCGAACAGAACTTCCATAATTTAGACCTCTTATCGCACTTCTCCTTTCGCATGAATCAGTTTGGGTTGCAGTGAACTTGTTCGCTATCTCACTCATTCTCGGTACATAATGGATAGAGAATACAATCAACTCTTGATAATACAGCCTTATATTTGCTCGAAACAAAACACAGGATCGTCAAAAGCAGCACATCCAGATGTTTATTCAGAACCTGGAGATGATTCATCTGTTTTGAAATGCATTACAGGTGCGGGAGGAACTCTGCACAGGTTATTTTTTCTAGGCCATTTGCCACGTTTATCTTCTTTTTTATGTGTATTGAAGTTTTCGGGGGTCCATGCCTTGGTCATCGGATACTTCAATCGCTATCAGCCGCAGTAAAAGTATATAGATGCACATTTGCTTACCGCTTCCCCAACCAGTGGCACCCAGTCTTCATCCGGATTGGAATCGTATGATATATAAGTAAAATGATCGCCTTTCTTAATTTTCACGAGCACGTATACATGGCGTTCACGTCCAGTATCACGGCCGTCGATGTAAATATCGTTTGCCTTTCTAGTTATTGCCTTCACAGCTCGATCGAACCGTGCGTAATCTGCATGGGCCTTCTTTTTTGGATCGGTATGTGACCCAGGCATGAGTCGTTTCACCCTCCAGGAAGCGGAACTTCGGATTTGGTTTGGCATCTTGAAACACTGCATGGAGACATACAAATCCATAATATACCAAGGACATGAAGGGGATTTTATAGTCTTGTGTTTGAAGATTTAGGAGTTCCTAGCGCTATGCTGATTGAAGGCGTGACGATCATGAGTCCACCCCCAAAATAGTTGACCAATGAGCATCTTTACCTATAGATAGGTTAAATGGGCTGAAACAATTGCCGCCATCTGTATCGCAAGCAAAAGGCACGGTTTCAGAAACCGTGACTTTAGTGTATCTACATTAATGGAGCAATAATGCTAGCAAACTTCAACTTCGAAGCACATGCCGAGTATCTTGCCGCGGCCCCCCACCCCCAAATGGAACAATCAACAGAGGAGATTGGGCCTTACAAATTAAACAGGTGGCTTTGTCTTGGGAAAACTGCATACGGTATCCACCTGTCGCTCTGGTTGATACAATGTCACTATACTAATGACGACAGGACATGACAAGGAGACGCTTGAACATGTCTATATCAAGACAGAAAAAGCAAGCGCACTTATCGAATGGGAAGTATCGACTCTACAGAAACTTTCTGGAGGAATTGGCATACCATCACTCCGCTGGTCTGGTACTGTCGATGGCCAAAAGGTCATAGTTACGGACGGTTTTGGTCCTTTCTTAGAGGAGCTATTCGATAGATGCAGCCGCTTTTTTGGCGTTTATACTCTCGCTCTATTGGCCGACCAAATGTTATCTCGACTAGAGTGGATGCATTCGCGACATATTAGTCATGGGAATTTGAGCCCTTCTTCCTTCGCTGTTGGAAACATGAGCTGGCAGATGCCTCAGCTTATTCTTGCTGATTTGGGGAACGCGAATATTTCAAATTTATCAAGCAAACGAGATCTCGAAGCGGTCGGCAATATCATATTTTACTTGTCAAGTGGATCGAAATCGTGGGAGGATTTTCGGACACAAAACGGTATGGGTCAAACGCTCTCGGACCCTCTGAGGTCCTACTTTGCCGCAATTTCGGAAAGCAAGCTGCGTCCCACAGATTACGGAAGACTCCGGCAGATATTCCGCAATACATGTCAGACCTCGTCCACGATTGCTCTCATCAATGATCTCATCATACCGCAAGCAAATCGTCCAAACCTGAAGTGCTTGGCGACTGCAAGCACAGGTGACCTATTTGAAGTCCTCGGGTCAAAGCTCTCGGCTGTCGGGGGGAAGGCCAGCCACCTGATGACTCCGTGGAAGTATGAACATGGCGCTTATCTTTTACGCTGCCTGAATGATATTCTTGCAGTATACACTGTCCTTCTGATCCGAGACAGGCCATCTCGAACTCGCAAGCTTTATTTGGTGGGAGCTTATCATCTTCCAAATAGACTTTGGAGGGATCTTCGCTGGTATATCTCTGCCGCTCGAAATGGCTCCACCGCGTTTCAAGAAGCAATTATCTTGAACATTTACAAGTTCATGGGGCTGATGCTGGAGATGGTACCATGTTATGACGCGTATTGGACGAGCTATCTGTTGGATCTCACTTGTATTCTCATTGACCTGCGCTTGAATCCCTCTGAAGCATGGGAATCAGTTCGGATCTATTGGCGTGGTCGTGCTGAAGCTTTGGGTGAAAAGAACGTTCTCTAAAGTCACCATCTTATGTACATGGACAGCTTTATCTGCTAGTGATATCCTTCATCGTGGTTTGAGGCATATCCGGATATGATTTGGAGCTGATCAAAGAGACCATTTACAAGCAGTGTGATTTTATCCAATCAAAGTGGTTCCCTGGTTCTGATGTTTCCAAATTTAGCGCCGTGAATGTTGTTCCTTCTAGGATATTGGCTTATGAAACCCATCTTATTTTTTGTACATCGCAACGCTGACATAACTATTCTATATACGCTTTTACAAATAAGTCAAAAAATCATGGTTCTATTTCTTGTGCTATACTAATTCAGAATAGTAGCTCGGTTTGTTGCGGATGGTTCTTAGCGAGATCCAATAAGATGCAGAAAGAAATCATTACACTACAAACGAAACGAAAACACAATCATGAAACGTTCGTCCAGGAAGACTTCTTATCTGAATTGGAAAAGAAGGAAGCCAAAGACCAAGCCACCTAGTTTGCGACCTATTCCAGAATGATAATTTGCCGAAGCTGCTGAAATAACTGATGCATTTCGCTTCAGAGCGGAAGAAGTGGCAGTGGTGAGACTGCGTAAAGTGGAAGAGGGGCATTCTTTTATCACTGTCTTCGTGAAGATGATGACAGCTGGGGCAGAAGTACCTGTCCGTCCCATTGAGGATGCCGAAGATGTGGTCATATCCGCTGCTGGGGTAACAGGAGTAATTTCTAATCCTGTAGGTCTTGTCTTCGACTGTGAGGCGGAGCCAGCGAAAGTTGGTAAAGACCAAGTTGATATAGTGGCTCGCGACGCGCGCTTGGCATTTTCCTCAAATTGTTCCATTTTGTTACCTGGGTTGATGGCAAAAACCATGCCAGCATGGCAATGAGAAAGTGGATCTCTCTGTTTGCAAAAAAACCACTGGGGTTCAAGCGTGTTCACAGTCAGGGTTATGGAAATATTATTGCGCCCCTGCGGGTTGAATTGGCCGAATCCTGTGTCGAACTGATGAAGCGGAGAGCAAGGCCTTTCCAAACTTGACTGGGTCAATGTATGATTTCGACCACGGAACGAAAAGTTGACCTGGTCGCCTATGTTTGCATTTAATCTATTTGGGGCAAACAGGAAAGAATTGTCTTCACCCACGATGACCTGGTGAATGAAGTCGCCCGGGCCGATGTCGACAGAAATTTTCTCCTCAAAGCTGTGTATATGTTAGTTCTCGATTCAATGCCTGCTCGTAGTAGACTAACTCCAAAGTCGCACTCAACGCCTGCCTCAGAAAACAACAAAGTAAAACGAAGCGAAACATGCTTGCAATGAGATTTTATCTTAAGGTATCTGCGAAGTTCTGAAAGATAATCAACAAAGAATATTACTTTGCGTTGAGGTGAAAAATAAGAGAATCCATCGCTTTTTTGAAAATAAAAAAAGCTTTTTCAAACAACACGATTGTGAAGAAACCATGTCTTTGCGATACCGTAACAGAATGTGGGGCCGCGGGTGGGATCTGAATATCAATGATGGTATAGTTTCGTCCAATCTCGTTGTAGTCTAACCGTAGGATGAGACCATTTGCCATTTTCACGAACGATTTGGGCATGGTTTGGCTGGTTACGAAAGATCCACGGTTTCAATATCGTGCGCCTCTAGAACTATTTAAAACTTAAGTTGTCCCGTCAAGATCTTCATTACAGACTTGCACAGTACTTGATTCTTTCAACTTTTTTCAAAAAAAAAAAAAAAAAATAGAAATTGGCTGGTCCAGTTTCCAATCTGCCTGCTTTTGATAAAACCAAACTCAATCCCAGAAAAAAATATCGAAACGAGGCCATTGATAATCCCCACGCAATACAATGTCGGAGCCATCAAGCAGCAAGCAGGCGCAACAGAACGGTTCTACCAGCGATGAGCCTGTGAATCCGGGGCTCCCTCCAGCACCAGCCGTTCAGTCAGATGACGACGACGACGACAAGCCTGTCAGGAAGATGACACCTACGGAAAAGTTCAAGATCATAGAAGGAATTTTAGAGGCACCAGACGACGCAAAACAAATACAGGAGGCTGTAGAGAAAGCCCTCCCCTCAGATGTGATCCTGAATTTCAGGCAAATCCAAGCGGCTATACATTCTGACAGGTTCCCAGACCCTGTCAATAAAGACAAAGCGACCAGGGCATTCCAGAGTTAGTATCTTTCTTTTCCAAAATAGCACTGGTTACTAAAACGTGAAATAGAGCTTGGATTTCTTAGAGATAATGTTGGAGCTAAATCAGGCCAAGTGGATACAGCCAACGCTTTTAAATTTGGAAATGATCCGAATCGCCCACAACCTCATGTAGAAGGAAAGCTTTCTTTCTACCATGAGGAGGCACATCAGAAAGCAACACCAGACTTGCAAGTTCTATTCAAGGCATTGGTGGACAACCCTTCTTTAAATCTTGACAAAACGCAAACACCAGTTGTCAGAGATGCCGTATCCAAGCTCGACAAAGTAAATGAGCTGATCAGAGAGCACAATGCAAAGAACAGTAAGGATTCAGACTTGGGCATCATCCGATATAGCGATTTGCTCGCAAAGTGGCGACCAATACTTTTGCTAGATGATGATGATACAAAGAAAATCTTGCGTCATTCATTATTGGCGTATTGCAAAAAAATGCAGTATCCAGACGCATGGGCGAACCAAACACCATCCAGCGATCCCACTAGTGATCAACCAGGAGGGGTCCCAGAGTCACAAAGCACTTCACATGTTGCCAACGTCTCTCAAAACCAGAATACAAACTCCCAGTTTCAAAATTCGACAAATACTGTTGTGGCTCCCCCGTTGGACGTGAGTCGACAGCAGCTGTACAATGGTGCAAATACGGCTGCAGCTACTGCAGCATCGCCGGGCAATAGAATAACACTTCAATCAGTGAGTGGTCAGAAACGAGTGATAGCTCTCAAACCACGTAAAACACATCGAGCCGTGCAGCCGGGCTTCACATCATCTGGCGAGAAGATTTTGTTCATTCAATCACTCGGGCTTAATGGCAATGCGCGTTTCGTGGTCACTGATGCCGAAGGGAATGTTCGTCTTGTCTCAGCTTCGTCTGCCGGCGGTCAGCCCGCGCTAGACGGTGCAAAGAGAACAGGAGTTCCTTATACGCTTCAGGATCCAGCTAAAATCCTGGAGCTCCGTGATCTGGTTCGTTGCGGTGGAGTATACGGGCTGGAATTCGTAGCCATTGGGGAATGGGATATGACGAATACAAGGCTTCCCTTTATCGTCGTTCTCTTTTACCACGAAAATGAGAAAGGGAGGCGTGAAGAAGCTATCTCTCGTTCTTCTCTTACGAAAATATTGGCAAAACGCGAAGCCGAGAAGCTGGTAGCTGAGAGCATTGTCGGTGACCCTGAAATGTCATTGAAAGAAGCTCTCATGTCTCAGGTGGCTCCAAAGAAGCAGGAAGACCTTTCTAACAATGTGCCCCCACTTCTTCCTTACGGTCAGCAGAGCCAGCCGTGGTGGTTCCAAACTACTCCGCAACACCACGGATCGCATGCTGTTTTCAATGCCGGTCCTCTCCAGCAGCCGTACTCAAACCAGTTCCAACAATTCGTTCCTCAGCAGTTTCAGCAGCCATCTATTCATCAGTTCCAACCTGGGCCCTTTGCTATGCCACCTCAGCCGGTTCTCGACTCTTCGATGATGAAACACGGCGCCAACTCTCCGGCAGCAAGCATGATGGAGGAGGAACTTTGAGAAATTAGGACACAGAGAGATTTTGATAGTACTCCTGATATTCACCTCGGGCTTGAAGCCAGACACGATTGATCAGCCATGTAACTACAAACAGATATTAGCTAGTCAATTAACAAATCGAGTTTTTCTTGATCATAATCGATAGAATGATTGAACTCAGACCCGATTGTGCCCGAATATGGACTCGTATCGACAAATTTAAGGTGGCAAACGGCATCCTGGGTAGCGAGGAGAGCTGTGTCTAATTTGTTTCTTCCTGTGACAGACCAGCATGTTTCTCCGTCTCATCTCAGATCTATATTCAGCCTGTAGTAAATGATTTGCCCACATCCAAACCTCTGCCTGCGGCGGTTATTGAAACTAAATAGAAGAGCGGAGATACAGGCCGGGGCGGCTTCGGTTGGGCTAATGCTTTGTTTTTTGCTTCAAAGGGAGCTCTTCTGGGAATGGAATAAAGATCAAACTCATGGTTCTCCGGATTGACATATCGATCGGGCCACAGAGCCACTTGACGCAGTGGGCACATGCCTCCAGGTACTTGAAGTCTTCAAAAAAGGTATACGAAGATGAAATCAGGCCATCGAAATTCTGCATTCGGGACCATATCATCCGCCGCTCTTCGTCGCCGAATTCGGCAAAGGCTTGGCCGCTCAGGACCATCCCACAGGCTAATTTTCCATCGGTACGTGACTTACCAGGTGCCAGCAGCCTCAGAAATTCCACGGTATTCTAGTCGATCTTCTGCATTGAAGCGTGATCCGAAGCAACCAAGGAAGACCAGAAGTCCCAGATATGATTCAGATAAGTTATAATCTCCTACGATGGATGAAGAGCTCGATTAGCACAGTAAAAGGAACCCAGGTTTGTGGAACTCACTTTGACACACCCGGAGGCTATCAGTCTATGAAGTACACTATCTCATCCCACCCGGCCAAAGCCCGGGAATTGTCAGTAGCCTGTCGAAGGCACCTTAAAGGCGGCGGTTTTTCTTGTTGTCCAACTGAGCCAAGCGTTGCTGGTTGTTGTGCGATAGACGTACAAACCATCGCTCTCTGAAAGTTTCGTCATGTTCACCTTCATATTGTTTGATCTTGCGATAGATTTCGCCGTCGCTCGGCTTCCTTTCGTTAGCGTATTCTCCCACCAAGGAAGCTTTGAGCTATGTACCAATATCCGCCTTAATTATCAGTACAGAGCCAGCCTTCTTTTCTCGACATAGTCACCATCCAAGTCTTATAGGCAGACGTTCGTCCAACCAATATAAGTCATCAGGAAAGGCCATGAAACGATCAAGGAGGCTTATTAAGAGCAAACTAAACCCTAAGTCAATATTGTTCTCTTGCTCAAGTGTTTGAGGGCTATCTTTCCTAGATATATAAACTCTTTTTTTGACCCGCTGCTCTACCCTGCAAGCCGGTAGGGATTAATCAATTAGGTACAAGTTGACTCCATCCAACTGGAAGAATGCAATGCTGGGTTAAAGTATCTCAACTAATCTCAACAGCGGTAGAGGCCAACTCTTACATCATTTGGTGATCAAGCAGTCTCAAGCGATTGTCCACTACCCCCTCAATATAATACCATAATCTCGTACATGAATCCCGCGACCTTTTGCACTTAGTACATATCTAAAATTTTCCTCATAACAACAAAGTAATTATCATCCAAGAATTTAACCACCCAACATTAGCAACGCGTTAAAGTCTCGCGCAGGTCGCATTTAGGGGACAGAGATACAGAAATTAATGCCCCTTCGTGAACTCACGCCCCCGGTGTCGACGACGAGAAGCGCTCGACAGAACCCTCGTCAGAGAAGATCTGAGGGCTCGATAGGCTGTGGTAATCATCGCCTAGAGGAGGGTAGGCAGAGAACAAAGGCGCCTGTCCAGATAATGAAGCGTCCCCTAGGGAGGAAGTGTGTGGAGAATCGTTCGGAGGGGGGTGCCGTGTGTGGCCTCGTGAGCGTCGGGCGTGTCCTGATCCCTGGCGCCCTGCCTGAGATGCTGACTGTGGAGGCTGGTAGGGCGTTTGGCGTCCACGTCGGAGTCTCGATCCTCTCGTCTGTCTACGGTCGGCTGCGTCCACAACAAAGAGGGTTTGGACTCCACATTCCTGGGATAAGTCTTGGACTAGGCGGTCAACCAACTGGTGGGCATTCAGGTCTATCCCGACATTGGGGGCGAGGCGTCCCTCATCCGCTGCCTCGGGGACCCGAATCCGGCGTAGCAGTTCATAGTTCCGGGCTCCGTACGTGCCCCTGAGGTGGGAGTGGGATTCCCAGCTGGTTGATCCGATGAGAGGGAGATGGATCAAGACCCCGGCACCCCCAAGTGCCCTCGCGAATTGCATGTAGCACCGCCCGCCCGCCAGCCACGTCCGCAGGTTGTTCTCGAGGTTGGACGTTACCTCCGGCGCAATCAACCCTGAATCTATGACCAACCGGGTCACCACCCTCACATCTCTGACGTCCGAAATGTGCCGTTCCACGAAAAGAGCGAGAAAATACTGGAGTAGTCTCCCGCGGACCTTGTCGATACGGTTCTGCGTCTTCATTTGACCTAGGAGGCAGCAGATCGAGTTCAGCCCGCGCAAGGACTCCCCGGGATCTTCAGGGGGGTTTGTGGATTCAACGGCAGCTTGGAAAAAGGCGTCTTTGTTACCCGCCCATTCCCAGATAATTTCCATCTCATATTCTTCCAGCTGGTGATATTGCAGCCTCTGCGGGGCCGAGATCAGACCATGGAGCGTGTTGTACACGCGGTTCTTGGATTTAGGTGGCCGAAGATGTCGAACCACCTCGTCGAGATCCTTGAAAACCTGCGGCCATTACGCTGCCCGTTAGCCATGTCGCCATGAGCTGTGCCGGCCGGCCGCGCAGCGGTATCTTACCTGGGCTTTTTCCTGCTCAAGACCGCTTCTTTTCAGAAACCCCCGCCTATCTCTGTGGTCCCTCAAGTGATCTTCGAAACCATTCGTCAATCTACGAAGCAATTGACGGACGCGGTCGCCGTCAAAGTCGTCTGAGTCGTCACTAACAAATTCATCAACCATCGTGACAGGACGGCAGAGGTGAGAAGAAACAGAGAATTCGACGACGGGACGAGACAATAGGCGAGCTTTATACAGTGGCGAGCAGACGTCCGCGAAGGTACAGAGCAATAACCATTCAGTGAAATTCTAAGGCCCACCCCCTATTTATACCGCCTAATTCGTTTTTCCTCCATCACGTACTTTGTGACATGCTCTTAATTTCGGCTCACTATCCGCGCCCGACCGTCGCTCCACTCATCCCCCTTCTCAATTTGTGAGTCATACCACGTGCATTTGGTAACACCCCAGAGGCGCCTTGGCTCTACAGCGAGCACTTTTCTCAACCTTTAAAAGCAAAAATAGGTCTTGGTGAATCCAATAGCTCCTAGCCCACTAAGATAGTTATTTGCATTCCTTATTCCACAGGCTCCATAATATTCACCGACTTGTACACGAACGAATGGACAGGGTGATAGGTGGCTCCTCGTACTCATTTAGGACATTAGACTTCGACGATGTACATCGTGCAGGCCACTACGGGTGTTCCCGAGTGTGGATTTCCCTAGTTCCGTGGAACCAGGTAATCCGTTCCTGATTTTCGTAACAACCTTAATGCCACTTCTCGTCCGATTAAAGAAAAGAGACAAACATCAAACGTATGATTATGATCAAAATTTGACAATGGAAAAGAAATCCGAAAATGTTGCTAAGATAGTGGGGGATTTTGAAAGAACAAGCGCACACTCTGACCCGTCGAGAGCATGCCCTTCAGAATGAAAAAGTGTAGGAATCTGCTGCGATGCTAAGAAAAGTGGATAGAGCATAGCGAAACCAAAAAGAGCGAGATAAGGCTTAGAGCCTAGCGTTAGAAAGATCGAGATGCTCACAGAAGAAGGTCGAGAGAGCTCATCGAGATAAGGCTGAGCAGAAGAATATTGAGAGAGCCTATTATCCTTGAGGATAACCAAATTCGTTGTATAGATTGGATAGTGCAACTGTTCCTTCTTTCTTTAGTTGTTCTGAAAATTAGGATTCCTTGCAAATAGAGAGAAGTGACCACCATATATGAATAAAGCGTATTCAAAAAAGAAACCAATGCTCCGGACCTTTCCAGTACCAGCCAAAAAGAATCAGTGCTTGGACTACCGTAATACGATCACCCTCATAGTTTGCAACAAAAATGCCTTTGCTCTTTTGTAAAAATTCATTAGTGCCGTTACTATAAACCCGTTTATAAGCAAGAGCTGAGGGCTCGTGCAAACTCTCGAGCCGGCCAGCATAACCGCTTGCAAAGTAAAACTGATGGTGGGTTTTTAGTATTTCTATACTAGCACATAAATCGACAGCGGTGGATTATCAGAGCAACAGGAGCAATTCAGTTGAAGTATGCAGCCACTAATTCATCACATAGTGATTTTGGTGGTAGTAAGAAAGCGTCATGCAGAGACAAAATATCAAAGCCAGACGTTGGAAGACAAGAAAACCCTTCCTGAAAGTTGTCAAAAAGGATAGGAGTGGTAGCTGACTGTTGGACATTGTTGTTCTCCAGCTAATTTGCTAGGGGGTTTTGATTTTTCTGACAGCTGTTGATATTTTTAGATAGAACAGTTTCCGTGATTCGCTTGCGTTTGCTAATCGCATCGATTTCGTCACTTTTATAGATACTCCGCTGTCAGTCTCCGCTGATTTTGGGATCAAGGTAGATAAATATGATCAATAAAACCGACCTCTTATACGATTTATATTTGGTTCGGGTTCTGCACCCTTTGCGATCGTAAAGAGGCTTGAGCGAGCAAAACATTCTAGTCGTCTTGTCAACACTAGTAACTAATTGCAAAGTCGCACTGGAGAAGAGCTGAAAAAATCATGACATCTTCGACCTTGCGCTCAATTGGTCATCTTGAGCTTGTTCTATTCTTGCGCCATTAGACGGGTAGGAGGACCCATCGATGTACTATAATGAAGCCACTAATCACCGAAATCTGGAAATTGCGTTTGAAAATCAAAGCTTGCCATATTTTCCATTCAAGTTACGTCGTACAGAGCCTGTTGTTCAATTCGAGGTGTAGCATGAAGCCCTTGGTCATGGACCACATGAATGGGGCTTTCTTGACATCGTCTCAAAAGCCTGCCGAGGCCTTCAGCAATGACGCCGAGTAGAGGTTGTCGGTGCATGTAGTGAGTAATCTCGCGCCGCGTAGATACTGTTTTTGTAACGAGAGATAGGATTTTGGCTGTGTCAATTCGTATGGCCGACGCATACCTCGTCGCCACATTGAGCAGAAAAACAACGGCAAAGGCGATCATTGTGTTAAAGTATAGTGGGAGCTAGAACACGACACTCAAGGGAAAACATGCATCTTTATTTATTCTCAAATTTCAATTGACACGTTGATTCTTTCTACCTTGTCTGCTTCTGGCTAGGCCTTCCTGTTCAATTGTATATTGCGATTACTTGTTGGAGTTGATGATCATTTTCGTAGCGTTCCAAGGCTTCTGCTTTCCACGTCTCCCAATGGAAATCACTAGTGATTCCCATAGCTCCCAGAAATCCGGCAAAGATGCCAAGGAATCCTTCCCAATCTGCGAGGTCGTAGCCGCAACAAAATCGAAATCTGTGGATGAGCCGGCCATTCCTGACAACGGCTCCGAGATCCGGATGCCCTTTTGCTTCGAAACACTTCGCAAAAAAAGCTTCGTCTTCACCAATGGAGTTTACACCCGTATAAAAATCAGCAACGGGGAGTAGGACAATCGGTGAATTGAATGCTGCTGACTTAGAATCCGTATGCGCCCACTCCCAGTCGATAATTCCGGTGATATTAAATTCATCATCAACAAGTATTTGGTCCCCCTTCTCATCCGCATGCTTCAAGTAGAATTTTCCATCGTCAAGATGACTTTGAGAGCAAGCCTCTGAGACTTTATCTAAGAGAAACCGATGAATCAAAAACGCATCGACTGCCCGGTCGACGTACGACTCCTGTCGAATGATCAAATCCAAAATCAATCGGATATGTGCGCTAAAGTACTCTTCAGTAGAGAAAAAAGGGCCGAGCGCTCTCATCTGGGGACCTTGATACTCTGTCAAGGACTCTCGAGCAAATGGTCCAATATCACGAGATCCAGGATGGTGCATAGAGCCCGTCATAGAGAAAGGATAAGCCTTTAGCTCTATATAGACGTCCGCAAGCTGACTTGTCACCTTTCTTCTTTGCTCAGGAGTAGCAAGAGACCAGCGTAGGGAACTTCCAGGAAGTTTTTCCATAAGGATATACCCAACACCAACAGGGTTCGTTTCACAAAAATTAAAGTCAAAAACTTTCGGAACTGGGACTTGAGTTTCACTAAGAAATTGTAGGGTTGAGACCTCACTGCTCAGAATGTAATCTCGTAGCTCTGCTGGCGGAGAAGTGGCGTTAGACCTTCGAATACGTGCTAGCCAACTGATTCCATCATCGAATGATATCTCGATATGATAATTCATCCCCCCCATGACTGAGCTTCGTGTTGATCTATCATACTGAAGGTCGTGTGGTATAGAACAAGCGAGGCCTCCCCGAAGAGCTGAGGCTCGAGAAATAAGTGCAGAGATGTTGATTTTATCAATAAGTTTGGTTATCTCATCCCGTTCGGCTTTCCTAGCGGCGGGGTCGTATTCAGCTTCTTCCTGTCCACAAAAATTAGCATGGCCTATGATACCGTTATTTTCGACTTACCTCCCACCTTGGACAGGTGTGGTAGTTTGGTCCCAGATGTTTCGCGCAAAGATGACGATTGCATAGAACACATTCCCCGTATGTGCGGACAGAGGCTTTGTTGCAATTTTCAATGTCACATAACCACATCGTCATTTGCCAATCTTCCTCTATCTCTCAAGTGGACGGCAGAAGCAAAAAATGTGACCGAAACTGCTTATTTATGTGTTCAGCCCTTATGGCATGTATCGCGTGAATTTTTAATGAGTCTGATGAGGAGAATCTGCAATTATGAGTACACCGCCAATTTGTCACGTGGCGTCTGCGCTGACTTCCAAGAATTCTTACTGCTTACTTTTCACCAAAAAAGCCTTCGCTGATTCGAGTGCCTCATACTGAGCAACTCATGTGGTCAAGCCGCATGAAACGCAGTGGCGCTTAGTTGGAAGATTTGATAGGCTATACCCCTCATTTGTGTGACTGCCACGTATGAGCAGTGATAAGAAGACAATGCATCACAAATTGCAAATGACATCTTACGGTCATCAGCGAGAAGTTAAAAGGAGACTGAGTTCCGCGGGTCGATCGAATGAAATCATTCATATTTTCACGAATCTCCTCTTCACAATCCCCCGCTTGTTGTGTCGATCAACTATCGATATTTCTTGGATCTTTCTCAATCGAGATCAACAATAATGCCGAGCCCTGCGATCAAATGCGTGAAAGAAGGCTGTACTAGTTGGGCAGAGAGTGGATCGAGATATTGCAGCGCCCATAGTATGGTATCATCTATGCTAAGCTAGCTCTATCGGTACTTACCCATGTTCTACAACAGAATAAGAATTGAAATGAGAGCAATCGATGGACAAAAGCCTGAACACAGCCTGAAGACCTCTGTGAAACTTAATTCTAGGCTCGTTGCCGTCTTTTTCATTGACTGTTGTTCATTTTCGTGTGCTTTACCTACTTTGATAGCCATCCCCTTGTCTGTTGTGAGTCTTGAAGCCGCCGTGAGAAAGAGATTTGGTGAGGATATATGTGATTTTCATTTTCTTGCGCCAATTTCACTATGTCTACTGTAATTGTATATAAGCTGTGCCCCGTAGCTTGGCTGAGGAGACGAGCCCACTCGTCGTAGGCTACAGTTGCTTTTGGTGTTAAGCTACAAGCGTAGCCCGCAAGTGGTTGTACAGCAATTTTCGAAACCAGATATGCCGCCGCACTCTCACAGATTAGTTCCCGAACACTTATCTGAAACGCACAAGTCTAATTCTAGTTTCATCCTCAGCAATCCCTGCCGAGTTGTATCGTATTTCCTGACAGACTGGTTTTGGCAGCATCTAAATTTGACGGCTGGTGGGCGTAGTGGGAGAGAATAATGCGATTGATGATATGCATGCGGAGGCGGTGGATCTTTGTTCTCTGCCTAGCTTCGATGCGAAGGGACAGCAGTGGGGAAAGAAAAGCAACTCCTGAAACCAAGTCCCCAATGTATGTGATAGGATCGATGTTCGCTTAAAGCTAATGGCTGTCCCTGGAAGATAACAGACAAGGCAAAAAAGAAAAAAAAAAAAAAAAAAAATGGCATAACTATGGCATTCCCCGTGGGATTATAGACCGGGGGACTACTGGGTATGGCATTCCCTGTGGGATCACAGACCTAGTGGGCTCCTGGACCCCGTGGCATTTCTTGATAAAGCAAAACCATGGCATTCCTTTGTCGGATCACGGACCTAGGGACTGCTGGCCCCCGTGGTATTCTAAAGATAAAGAAAAAGCATGGTGCATGTAGGCAAATTCCATCCATTCTCATGTGCACTAAACATTTACTCACCAATCTCCACCCATGCCGGGACAAGCCTGTAGTATCCAGTCCACTCGTACCATGCCTTGAGCGATCTGGGCTGTCCTTGAACTGCTGGCTGCAGTTACTTCCTTGTAGTTAGATGCCCTGTCCTCGCCAGGCTTACAGTTCCAACCACTCTCTCAAGTTCGCTGAAGTTATTCACTCTGTCAGTGGGAAAAGAAATTTCATGCTGCGACTCAAGTGATTGAGAAGTTGTAATTGACTTGGATCAAGGGTGTCCGCCTGGGTTTATTGGAACGTTTCCCACACAGCCGATTGAGATATGCAGCGAGGGGTAATGACTTCTCGCCAGTCGGAAAGAAATTTTGACGCATTGCAGCCTATAAACCCTGAGTCCGTTCCTGACCTAAATATTATGTGGGGCGCTCTTCTGGGACAGTCTAGATGTCATGCAATGCACGACGCGGAAGCTGAATGTGACCGCGGCATTCGCTGGAATGTCAAGACATGAATGCGTTCGGTATGCTCTAAACCTATGACACTTGGTTCGGTTCATGTTAGCAATATCGCTTCTGATTCTCAATTCACTAAGAGCAACAGCTGGGCCAATAGCTGGGTTAATAGTTTTTGGCTACATCGCACAGGATCCTTTCTTTTTGGAAACTGCTTAAGAAATATCCCCAGAAGAGGGAATTTAAGGGACCAAATACTTAACTATGTCCTCAAAGTTACCCACGATGAAAGGAAAAGATACACTGGGTGGGAGAATACCGGTGGCGTAACAAAGCATACCTGTGCTCCTCACGTATCATGAGGCTGCCGTCGTTTATGCACTAATCTACAAACCTGGTTGCTCTAGATCCTAACAAGTCACTATAGCATCCTTGAATCTCATATTTCCTATATGTAATTTAGAACTGTTGGTATGTTGTGAGTATAAACTGGGTAGGAAAGTTAATACTCGCAGCAGAAATGCGGCTACGATAATTATCCCACTGGATGCAACATGCCTGTCCCAAGTACACTACGGACTAAAGAGCCTGAGAAGCATGGTATGTGTTGCAATGAATACCCACAAACTATGCTTCATGGTTGGTCACTGACCTGGCCCATAGGAGACGAGAAGACCATAGCACTTGCACATACCTGAGGCTCTGTCTTCAAGTGTATTTATTCATAGTCTATAACGTACGATATATAAGGAGTACTTCTTCCAGTTTTTCTTGTGCTCAACTCAATTTCCATCCACAAGACTTTGTTACTTTTCGTTATTATAAATCTCCGAAATGGTGCTGAGAAACTTCCACACCGATGCCCTCCAGGATCTATGTGCTGAGGAGCAGCTGGATCTTCTCAATTCGATTGATACCCTTCGCTCTCAGGGTATTAGCCACTATATCTCTCTGCCGCAGATCATAGTCTGTGGCGACCAGTCCTCTGGCAAGAGTTCCGTCCTAGAGGCGATATCCGGTGTTAGTTTTCCTGTCAAAAGCAACCTGTGCACCCGATTTCCTACCGAGCTCGTCCTCCGAAAGCATTACCATGTCGGCGTTCGCGTATCTATCGTTCCTCACCACACACGCAGCGATATTGAGCGACTATCACTTGGTGATTTCTGTGAACAACTAGATAGCTTCGAAGATCTACCCATCCTGATTGAAAAAGCTAAAGCGGCCATGGGAATAACGACCCACGGAAAGGCCTTCTCAAATGACCTCCTGCGAGTCGAGCTGTCAGGTCCCGACCGTCCCCATCTGACCATTGTTGACCTCCCTGGACTAATCCATTCGGAAACCAAACAACAGTCGGCGATGGATGTTCAGCTTGTCCAGGATGTGGTCCAGTCCTATATGAAAGAGCCGCGCAGCATCATTCTGGCCGTTGTGTCTGCCAAGAACGACGTTGCCAACCAAATCGTCCTCAACCTGGCACGAAATGCCGACCCATTTGGGAAACGAACCCTCGGCATAATAACAAAGCCTGATACCTTGTCAGCCGGATCTGAGAGTGAAACGATGTTTGTGTCATTGGCGAAGAATCAGGATGTGGAGTTTCGGCTTGGTTGGCACGTCCTGAAGAACATGGACATGGACAAAGGCCAATGGACCCTGAAACAACGTGATGCCGAGGAACAGGAGTTTTTCTCGCAAGGGATATGGAAAGATCTGCCAAGCTCACTAGTCGGGATCGATAGCCTGCGGGCGCGACTGAGTAAGGTGCTGCTTTCGCAAATCGCTATCGAGCTGCCAAGCTTGATCAGAGAGATCGAAGATAAAACCGACCACTGCAGAACTCGGCTACGAAGACTTGGTGAACCTCGCATTACCATTGACGAGCAGAAGTCGTATCTTCTGAATATAAGCCAGTCCCTTCAGGAGCTTGTGAAAGCGGCTATTGATGGCACATATAATGATCCTTTTTTTGGTGATGCGCACACTACCAATGGATATCATAAAAGAATACGAGCCATAGTGCAGAATTCGAACGAAGAGTTCGCCCAGCGCATCAGTCGACAGGGTCATTATCGACGCATCTGTGCGCCCAATGATGGACAGATACCGGCCAAGCACCAGGTCGGGGTTACTCGAGAGGAATATATAAAGCATATCAGCCATCTCCTCAGGCGAACCAGGGGGCGCGAGCTACCTGGGACGTTCAATCCAATGATCATTCGTGATCTGTTTTTGGAACAGTGTTCCCCATGGGAGCGGCTGACCCGCAGCCACACGGATGGTATATGGGCTGCTGCCAAAGAGTTTCTTGCCCTTGTGGTCAAACATGTCTCAGATGAAGCCACGTCAGCCGCATTGATCGATGAGATCATAGTCCCAGCCTGCGACTCTATCAAACGGAGCATTGACACTAAGACGCGAGAGCTCCTGATGCCACACCAGACAGGGCATCCTATTACATACAATCACTACTTTACGGAAACCCTGCAGAAGATCCGGGTCGAGCGCCAGGAAGACGAGCTCGCCAAGACTTTGCAGCGGTTCTTCGGGGTTAATAGTTTGAAGGAGCCTTACCGCATAGAGCATTCAATTAATCTTGATCAACTTCTCAAATCGCTGTTGCAGCAATCTGAGCCAGACATGGTCCGTTTTGCGTCGATTGAAGCGTTGGACTGCATGCTGGCTTACTACAAGGTGAAACCCTTACCCCTTACTTGTGTCCTTCGGTGTTTTTGTCGATCTGATAAAAGACAGGTTGCCCTGAAGCGATTCGTCGATGATATTGCCAATGAAGTTGTGGAAGGTAGACTCATGTCCTCTCTATCCCGCATTCTGTCGCCGGTGACTGTGTTCGACATGCCAGCGAATCTTATCATGAGGATTGTGGGTGAGTCGAAGGAAAGTCAAACAATTCGTGAGCAACTCAACAAGGAGCTTCTGGTCTTGACTAAAGGCTCGGAGACCTGCAAACGGTTTGTTAGAGCAAAGACCGACGGTATGTCAACCCTCACCCTGACTTTGACTGGTTTTGAAAATCTAAGTTTGGCTGCAGAAAGTAGCTCCGATCCTCTATTAGCTGTCGCCTACCTAACAAGGGAGACTAGTAATGGATCTATATGTGATGACGTGGGATGGAAAGAATCTGAACTTTCAGACTCATCGAATGAACTAGTGGACCCTCCTGAGGCTCTGGACGGACCTGTTGACGAAGCCGCGCCCCTTCGTTCCGAGGAGGAGCACAAGCCAATCGTTAAGACTTCAGAAAAAGTAAGTAAGAAGAAAGATAGAAGTAAAAAGGGTATCCAAAGTTTCTTTGAGCTTTGAATTCCTTTTTCTTTTATCCTGCAGGTTCGCGTGTTATTCTGAAGATAGGCATTGTACCAATTTTCCATTAAATGAAATTTCTCACTTGAAATATCCTTATTCCCCCCCAATTTCTTTTCCTTTAAACTCAAATATATCCTCCAGATACATGAATCACTAGTGCAGACAAGTTAGCTGTCATGGCAGACCTTGGACGGTATCAGCACTTTTAATTTTTTAAAAAAGGAGAGACGTTCCCAGGAATATGTTACGCTTTCTGGCACAGTGAAGGCTAGCTGTTTAAGGATGCTCGCGAGTAAGTCCTCAACTTTCTGCTCGTCTCTCCGCCAATGATTACATTAGACATATTCAAGGCATACATAGACATATTCAAGGCATACATAGACATATTCAAGGCATACATAGACATATTCAAGGCAGTTACGTTGACTATATACTGTTAGAAAAAGAACATGATAATATTGAGCTCAGGAAGACTGACTGCGATGAAGCATCTCGCTAATACTTTTCTCGTTCTCCACTCTAAAATTACCATTTTAAATCGCAGATCTCTTCGTAACAAGAATTAGTAACAACTAAACTGACCGATCACGGATATTGATGAGAGTGATATAGAGAAGTGCAAATCCAGCTTCATCGATTTACACTCACTCATTCTTTCTGGGCCCCACTGCCAAGCCGCTAGTTCAGGAATTGGGTATGTATTACTGGTCCTTTGGATATTACGTCATGAACATTCTGCTTAAAACGACGATGGGCAGTGGAGTACCAATGGCTTCCACTCCGTTGTGGGTTAAGTGGGGAGATATAATTCGGCTCCATAGCTAATATATCCGCAAAGGATCCCTTGGATTTTACTTGCTATTCTAATTTACCCTATACGCGAATCTTATCGTAATGAAGCTTTCTTGAGCTATGTATTAGTTAGACTTGCTAGGTCTCTTCGACAATTAGATCTAATCCGATTCCTCTTCAACCACAACGTTGGCATGCCGAAAATGACCTTCGGCACTTTCTCTTTTCGCCCCAACGATATCCAGACTCCATTCAAAGAAATCCTTGAAACCTTGACCCATGTGATGTTGCCAATTCCGTCTTACGAATGCTTTGAGTTCCGCGAAGAATTCCTCGATCGGGTTCAAGTCAGGCGAGTATGGTGGCAAGTACAATAGCTTGACACCGGCACTTGAACATAGTTCTGCTATTTCTTCAGTATGATGAAATGACGCGTTGTCCAGGATGAGGACAGATTTTGGCTCCGGCCATCTACCACAATGATGAAGAAGCTATTCAATAAAGTCCTCAAACATGCTCGCGTCTGTCGATTCTTGGAAGACTCGCGACATCAAGATGCCATCTTGGCAATATGCGGGGAGAATTTGATACCGCTAGCCGCGCTGAAAACGGGAAACCTAGACAGGTGTCACCCCGCGAGGGGACCAGCCAGTCCTCCTGAAGCCAGCCCGCTTATCATAGCCCGATTCGTCTATGAAGACCAGGTGATACGAGCGAAATCCGAGAGCTGATGCAGATAGTGATCTCTTAGATCTGCATTTCGTTCTTGTGCTATTCGTCGAGCCACTTTTTTGGTCCAACCCTGCGATCGAAGGGCTCGGCTGATAGTGTATGTAGATACGAGTAGTTCGAATTCGTCGAGTAGGAAGTCTGCCATTTCGTCTAGGTATAAATCCGGTTTTTCAATCAAGTGTTCGCATAGAGCTTCGAGCATAAACGGTGTGATCATACGAGGACGGCCACCAGGGATCAAGGGTGCTCGAACATCGCCGAACATTCGGAGGTTATTACTAATGGTGATGATCGAACGTTTGCTACAACCAGCAGCTTCTGCCATCTCTAAGGTAGTCAGCGATCTGCTGTCAATCATATCACGAATCATCACCAGCTAGGAGGGGGCGAGTCGAGGCGCCATGGCGGTCTTTGTTGCGCTATCAACCAAGGTTGATGAGGTGGCCAAGGGCGCAAGGATACGTCGTGGAACTGGATCTGGGTCGGTTCGGGCCGATAGTCCAGCCGACAACCCAATGCTGTACCCACGCGACAAACTTTGTCGATGCTCTCTTGCGTACCGTACTGTATGATAGAAATAAGTCGTGGTATTTCATTGGATAAATTAAATGATCAGTTAGCCCTTATTCCTTATATGCAAGTCTTCTTGCATCTTTAAACTTATTTTTTCGTCAGTGAAACGCATGATTAGTCATATTGAGACGTGAGATGCACTCCAGATCACAGCCTCACACGCGGCGCCTAACTTACCCCTCTTTAACTCATCTCTCCAGCAAAGCCTAACTAAATCGCACCCGAAATTTTTATACTTCAACTACCATCCTACCTACTTGTGTCGCACATACGCTATTGTGCCGTATTTTCCACCATGGATGGTTTATCCTCGGCGGCGAGCGTTATCGCGGTCATTCAACTAACGGGAAGCCTTGTAAGGCTTTGCAGGGGCTACATTCAAGAGGTGAAAGACGCACGAGACAAAATTTTCGCCCTACAACGAGTGATTACAGGACTCCAAGGGACACTCCAAGACCTGCGGAAATTCCTTCAAAGTAACGACGGGAAGGCCCTACCTACCTCCTCACGAATAGGCTGCAATATTGCTGATTGCCTCTCCGACCTCCGAGCTTTAGAAGCGAGACTTGATCCAGGAAAAGGAAAGAAGCTAATGAACAAAATGGGGTTACGAGCCTTAAAGTGGCCCCTAAAACGCACAGAGGTGGAGGGCTTTATTCAGAACCTCGAGAGATATAAATCTTCATTCCTCTTATGTTTACAGGTGGATCAAACGTACGTTTATCGAGCAAGGTATTATAGCTCTATAATTGACCCAAAGACTGCATAGTTCTCTGATGGTCGGCGTGGTGCAGGGTATGGATCTTGAGAAGTTGGAAGGTGCGAAGGAAGCAGGGTTTGACACGTTCGACGATCGAGACGAAGTCCAATGTCTCCAAGGCACTCGGACCGAACTTCTCCAGCAGATAATGGAATGGGCTATGTCGCCGTCCCAAAAATGCATTTTCTGGTTAAAGGGAATGGCTGGGACAGGAAAATCCACAATATCTCGGACTGTGGCAAGGTCGCTCAAGGACACCAACCATTTAGGTGCCAGCTTCTTCTTTAAGAGGGGTGAAGGGGACCGAGGGAACGCGAAGAAGTTTTTCCCGACACTAACAAGGCAACTGATGCTCAGCATTCCTGAGCTGAGGTCTGGCGTGCATAAGGCGCTCCACGATGACCCTGACATCGTGTTAAAATCGCTTAGGGAGCAGTTTGAGAAACTACTCCTTGAACCGCTGCTCGATCTTAACCAACTTGGCCGACAACCTCAAACCACTGTGATAGTGATCGACGCTTTGGACGAATGCGAACATGACCAAGATGTCCGAAACATCATTCGATTACTGCCTCTTCTACAGAAGGCAAAATCGGTTCGTCTTCTTATCTTCTTGACTAGCAGACCCGAACTCCCAATCAGCCTCGGCTTTTCAGAGATCGCGGATCATGGGTATCAGGACCTAGCTCTTCATGAGATACCCGAAAAAGTGACAGAACGTGACATACATTTATTCCTGCAGGACCGATTTGCGAAAATCAAACACGACAGAAATATTTCCCAAGACTGGCCCGGCGATGACGTCATACAAAAATTGGTCACGATGTCCGTTCCACTATTTATTTCGGCTGCCACCGTGTGCCGCTACATCGAAAATACAAAATGGGAATCCAAATTGCGCCTTACGGAGCTTCTAACGGACCAAGCCAAATATGTTTCGAAAATGGACAAGACATACCTACCAATTCTGACGCGACTACTAGACGATCAAGAGACTGACGAATTAGAGCAGCAGCAGCTCCTACAAGAGTTCCAGGACATAATCGGTGTCATAATCCTTCTCACTGTTCCGCTTTCTATAAATACGCTGTCGCTGTTTCTTGGAATAGGAGCAGACCAGATCAGCAATCGATTAAATTCATTCCGCTCTGTTTTGAGCATTCCTAGTGACCGAGATCAGCCTGTGAGGATTCTACATCTATCGTTTCGGGATTTTTTAGTCCAGTCTAGAACCAAGTTTCACGTCGATGAGCCAAAAAAGCACAAAGGAATTGCTCAATTGTGTCTCGAAACAATGCAGAGGCATTTACGGAAGAATATCTGCGATCTAGAAAGCCCTGGAACGTATAGGACAGACATCGAGCCTCAACATATCCGCCAACATCTACCGCTGGAATTACAGTACTCTTGTCGCTACTGGATACACCATCTCGAGCAAAGTCAGGATCTATCTTCCGGGATAGAAGATGTGCTACTATTCCTCCAGAAGCATTTTCTGCACTGGCTAGAGGCGATGAGTCTACTAGGTCTTGTATCGGAGGTGGTGGGTATGCTCGATCTCCTCCACACGGTTGTACCAGTAAGTAACATACTGTAGTACACAACCATTTAAATCTTATACTAAGAGAGATAGGGCGACGACAATTCTGTAATATCGGATTTTCTGTATGATGGAACACGCTTTGTTCTGAAAAATCGCCGGATAGCCGATGAAGCACCATTTCAGATTTATTGCGCAGGGCTAGTGTTTGCACCTCGAACGACACTAATTCGTAGAGAGTTTGAGTCGGAGCTTCCAAGCTGGATATGCCATTTCCCGCAAGTTAATGAAAAATGGAGTGCAGAATTACAGACTCTCGAGGGCCATTCGGACTCGGTTAACTCGGTGGCCTTCTCACCCGACGGTCGGCTGCTGGCGTCCGGCTCCCTCGATAGGACAGTGCGGCTCTGGGACACGGCGACGGGCGGCCTGCAGCAGACTCTCGAGGGCCATTCGGACTCGGTTAACTCGGTGGCCTTCTCAACCGACGGCCGGCTGCTGGCGTCCGGCTCTGGCGATAGGACAGTGCGGTTCTCACCCGACGGCCGGCTGCTGGCGTCCGGCTCCCTCGATAACACCGTGCGGCTCTGGGACACGGCGACGGGCAGCCTGCAGCAGACTCTCGAGGGCCAGGTTGGGTCGGTGGCCTTCTCACCCGACGGCCGGCTGCTAGCGTCCGGCTCTGATAAGACAGTGCGGCTCTGGGACACGGCGACGGGCGGCCTGCAGCAGACTCTCGAGGGCCATTCGGGCTGGGTTGGGTCGGTGGCCTTCTCGCCCGACGGCCGGCTGCTGGCGTCCGGCTCTCGCGATAGGACAGTGCGGCTCTGGGACACGGCGACGGGCGGCCTGCAGCAGACTCTCGAGGGCCATTCGGGCCCGATTTGGTCGGTGGCCTTCTCGCCCGACGGCCGGCTGCTGGCGTCCGGCTCCCTCGATAGGACAGTGCAGCTCTGGGACACGGCGACGGGCGGCCTGCAGCAGACTCTCGAGGGCCATTTGGACTCGATTTGGTCGGTGGCCTTCTCACCCGACGGCCGGCTGCTGGCGTCCGGCTCTCGCGATAGGACCGTGCGGCTCTGGGACACGGCGACGGGCGGCCTGCAGCAGACTCTCGAGGGCCATTCGGACTCGGTTAACTCGGTGGCCCTCTCACCCGACGGCCGGCTGCTGGCGTCCGGCTCCCTCGATAGGACCGTGCGGCTCTGGGACACGGCGACGGGCGGCCTGCAGCAGACTCTCGAGGGCCATTCGGACTCGGTTAACTCGGTGGCCCTCTCACCCGACGGCCGGCTGCTGGCGTCCGGCTCCCTCGATAGGACCGTGCGGCTCTGGGACACGGCGACGGGCGGCCTGCAGCAGACTCTCGAGGGCCATTCGGACTCGGTTGGGTCGGTGGCCTTCTCACCCGACGGCCGGCTGCTGGCGTCCGGCTCTCGCGATAACACCGTGCGGCTCTGGGACACGGCGACGGGCGGCCTGCAGCAGACTCTCGAGGGCCATTCGGACTGGGTTGGGTCGGTGGCCTTCTCACCCGACGGCCGGCTGCTGGCGTCCGGCTCCCTCGATAACACCGTGCGGCTCTGGGACACGGCGACGGGCGGCCTGCAGCAGACTCTCGAGGGCCATTCGGGCTGGGTTAACTCGATGGCTTTCTCGCCCGACGGCCGGCTGCTGGCGTCCGGCTCTGGCGATAGGACAGTGCGGCTCTGGGACACGGCGACGGGCGGCCTGCAGCAGACTCTCGAGGGCCAGGTTGGGTCGGTGGCCTTCTCACCCGACGGCCGGCTGCTAGCGTCCGGCTCTGATAAGACAGTGCGGCTCTGGGACACGGCGACGGGTGCACTACAAGAGACCTTGACCACTAAAGGATTTGTCAACAAACTCGCCTTTTCTCAAGAGGGTTCATATCTAATCACTAACCTAGGCACCCTCAATGTTCAGTCCGGGCACGAAAGTCTTGCTTCTAATTCAACCCGTAAGAATCCCACGATCTTCATTGAGCAAGGACAGTGGATAAACATGAATGGCAAAAATGTACTATGGCTTCCTCCTGACTTTCGGCCTAGCTGCTCCGCAATTAATGGGGATGCACTTGCCTTAGGACACGCATCAGGGCGGATTTCTTTCCTACGATTTATTCTATAACAGTCATCAATATTTTTCATCTTCACTCCTTTCTCTATTTTCTAATCTCTTTGTAAAAGAAGGGCCTGGGAGAAAAGTAGAATTTTTATGGCCCTTTAGTGCTAATGGAATGTGCCATCAAGTTCCACGAGGCTCCAGATCGGGTTGCCACAATTAGATGGCTGACTCAGTGACAAGATCTGGAAGGTTCTACGCCAGGGGGAAAAGAAGAGTACACATCAGTGGGGCACAGAATTAACAGAAGTGTGCAAATTGGTGAAGCTAGTTTTGCACTCGTCTGTACCGTAACCTCTCGAGCAAACAGCACGTTCTGCCAACGAAATGGAATGGAACGGAAGTGGGGTGAGTTATTGAAAAAGATAAAAGAAAAAGAGGGGGCAAAAAAGTAATGACCAGACTGGGGTTCGATCCCAGGACCTTGTCGGTGTTAACGACACGTGATAACCAACTACACCATCCGGCCAACTGTATTTAACAGAAGTCAACTGTCATCTTATCTGATCTTACCTTTCATAATGGGAATTGCTAAGGACACCCCCCTTTTGCCTAAGGGGAACCCTACTTATGTAAGCTGTGTAATTACATAATTAGAAATATCATGTGATTTGTATCTGGATTTCATTTCTGTTATTTACATGCATGACCTTGTATGCCCAACTCCACCACACGTAGAGCACTTTGGGGGCACCTTCTTCTTCTTTTGTATAGGCTCTTCACTAATAATTTCAACTGCCTGCGCTTCATCCCTCTTCCGTTCTTTAGGCTTCGGTAATAGAATCATAGGTTCCAAAATTGGACGATAATCCGAATCCCCCTGATCAAGATCTATTCGCCAAAATGGGTGGATATCTGACAACGGAATAGCGTGATTGCGCTTTAATAGATCAAAAATTCTATGAGCGCAAGGTAGGCCCATAGTTCTTGTGAACCCATTTGTGCAGGGCCCTAATGGAGCAATTTCTGTAGCTCTTTTAGCTATTAAAACTTGCTCACTAGTTCGTCGAATCGAATATCGAGATGTCCTATTCATAATATTGCTGAGCGAGATTGGCGGTCCTGAACGCGTCCCCACAACAGCTTGTAGGGAATATCGAACTCCTGGGCCAGCGCTGCAATTTTTGGGAACCACGATCATGGTACGCGCACAAAGCACTAGCAATCCTTTGCTCTATTTCAGGGTCAAATTTGGACATCGTGGTGGGTGATAATAGTAGGAAGAAGTTCGTGGGTGGAATAATATTTCCATTAGACTGGGATTCCATTAGACTGGGGAGGGCCCTCACCAGCGAGAGCGGTGAGGGCCTGACTACTAGGGGGTACACGATTCCTGGTAGGGTGATCGGGTTGACCGTGTGATCAGGTTGGCCGTGATTTACTATAGTCCAATCTTCATGGCCGGAACGGGTTTCAAATTTTCTTTGCAAAACGCAAGTGTCAAAGATATATACTATGGTGCTTGGATAGATGGAGCTTATAGCTGTTGAGTGAGGGGAATACATGGACACAACCAGGGATGTCACATTGGCGACCAGGATTGTCAAAGAACACGGGTAATTTGTGAGTCCGGAAATGCGTTTGGAGCGCGTCCTTTCGAGAATAGTGGAATTCCTTTGCTACCGGGAGAAGTTCTGGACGCGCTAAGCACACCGGGCATTGGAGAATTTGCTTAGGCTTGGTCTGCTCTGATCCTTCGCCAGAAGCGACCTCGATGTTCGTTTCATTGAATCGAATGTGCGCTTTTAGACCACGAGGCACGTGAAGCCGGTTCATCTCTAGCCGGAGGTCTAGGGACCGGATTCGGTCTTGTATCAACAAAGCGCTATTGATCTTGTCGACGTCTCTATTCTGAAATTCAAGATTGGCAAGAGCAATTCTCTCTGGTTGGATTCGGCTGTTGTCCGAGGTGAACTTGATCTGTTCCCCTAAGTGGTTGCTCTCGATAATGCGATTGCCGATTTGACGAAAGAACTCGGCACGGGCGTTACTCTTCGCCGAATCACAGAGTTTCTTTCGCCGAGACTTGACTTTGTTCTGAAGCTTTTGTAATTCACTAGAACGCTTATCACCAGATTCGCGCGCAGCCTTTAACTGGCCATGCTCCATAATGAGATCCGTCCGTAGTTGTTGGCATTCCTTTTTCCATTCAATAAGTTTTGGGTCTAATTCGACCGTTGCTTTCTGCGCCGGCGTGGCATGTTGTGGAGCTGAAGGGTCCCGCGTAATGCTCGCGTGGGTCGCGAGGCTGAGTAGGGATTTTCGAGATGGCGTCTCCATGAAGATAGATTGGGTGTCATCCATGATCGAGATGTAGTTGGCGAACGTTCCCCCTTGGGTATGGCCCATGATGCGATTCCGTGAATGCTCATCGAGATGCCCTATGAGAACAGATTAGCAAAAAAAGCCTCTCCTATCGTGGTGCATGCACTCGGACTTATATTTGCCGCTGCCCCTTTGCGGTACTTGTAGAGGGTTCCTTTGTCTTTGAACCCGGCTGACTCACTTGCCGCAGCTTCCCATTGTCGCGCTTGATGATACTGCAGGGCACGCTGGGGATCGGTGATAATAAGTCCCGATGCATCCTGGTAGGTACCTCGCAGGATCGGAAGTTCCTTAACGCTATCCTTAAAATTGATCGGGGTGCTGAGACGGTGTTCTGGGACCTTCGTGAGGCGCCAGATATCGGCGGGACATTTGATGTGTTCGCTGTCGAAGGCGTCGTCGAGAAAGGCATACATTAGTATGTCCTGAATAACGCAGAGTCCCAAATTGTCGTTCCTCTCCGTGTACGTGTAGACCGGCCTAGATGACTTAGAACTATCTAACAGATACGATGTTGAAAGTCGAACTCACGGTACGCCTTCGTTCCTCCGGCCTTTATTCAACCTATGCCTCACCCGCATTAGAAGCACCTGAGAGGTGGGATGTTCGGGATGTTTCACCATGAAGAGTTCAATGTCTTTCCATTTCAAGGCATCGTTCTCATGGATATATCCCGACGACTCGATCAACGTACCCGGTCGGGCACTCGTGGAAGTCATCATTTTCCTGAGCGTGTTCACCTGAAAAATACTTCGTACGGTTGGAAAGGTGATAGGGCACCAAGCCAGCAGATGGTACGTTGTGAATAAGAGATCGTCGATGTTAAACGGAGGTTGCTCCTTCGCGCTCAATTCAAGTTCGTATTGGTCCGAAAGCGTGACGCTGACAAGCTTGTAAAGAGTTAGCATGCGACCTCTGGTCCGACAGTTCGGAAGCCTTACCCGCTTCAGTTTCTGCCTCATTTCATAGGGGGCTTCCTGCCCCCTTTCTTGATTAGAGAACATTGAGAAGTATCGCGCTAGGGTTTGGAAAGACGACTTTCGCTCAACGTTGTGTGTGTTGAGGTAGTAGCGGAGGAAACCCTCAATAAGTTTCAAGCTGAACTTCTCGAGAAGCCAGAACCTCCAGTCCGGGGGATTGAGTTCTTCGGTCCATCTGCAGAGCTCAGTGACTGCTCAGATTCCTACTTGGAACGGGCAATACTTTTTAAAGCTGTTTCCCATAGCTACCACTTTCCGCCGGGTCGAGGCCTTGTTGTCGGCATCGGGTTCTGGATCTGGCTCCTGGAGGAAGGCATTCCAGTCGGCGACAGCCAGTGCCTTTTTCGGATTGCTCTTCGAGGGTGCCATGGAGAATGAAGGTTCGCTGCAGTGAATGTGAGCGAAGACTGTGATCGGAGGGTGAAGCCGACGAGCAGGCTGCGAGGCCCGCCTTTATGTCCTCCATCTCGCAAACCCCGTCGCAGGCTCATGATGGAGCCGCCGACCTGCTGTGCTGGACTGGGATGCGAGAGGAAGTAAGAGGAGGCCCGATGCAGTAAGGCGTGGACTGTCGTGGATGGGGGCGCTGAAACCAAGATGGAAAAATCACGGTAATGGCCGAGAATGCCACGGTATCGAGACAAAAGAGTACGCACAACCGTGACTTTTCCATAGATACCCCCTAATTATCACGTATCGTTAACACCGATAAGGTCCTGGGATCGAGCCCCAGTCTGGTCATTTTTTGTCAAAGTCGCGTACCCACTCCACTTTGTCCGATATTTTCTTACTAAACTGAAGCACCTCAAAAGTAAGAACATTTTTTTTTAAGAACATCTTTTTTATTAAAAGCTTGATAAATTAACGTTCAGTGTAGGGCAAGACACTGACAACGTATCCAACGAACCTACGATGCTAGTAATATGCTCAAAGATGTCTCAAGTTTTAGGGGGAAAATCAGGAGCGCAAAATCAAACGATAAATACCATTGCAGCAACACACTGACGAGACTAGCTAGCACCAAACCAAGGTTGGCTCTGGATTGGTAAACTTGATGTTAATAAGCAAGTCTCAGCAGTTTGCTTTTGTGGATGCACAGTGGCTTTCTAAAGGTCTGGTCCTTATTCGAGGTACCCGCGCTAATTTCTCTGCAGTTAATACACAGAGAAGCCACTCGGAGACATATATTGATGGGCGGTATATTTAAGATGGGATTTTACCCCTCATCAATGGTTATTTCCCTATTGTGTATTAGTCAGTTATTGCTTAGTTCGCCCCCTAAATTGTTGGGTTTTCCCAGTTTTATCTTAATCAGAGACTTAATTCCTTCGTGATTTGCACTTCGACCCCTCGTACGTCTAGATTTTCACACATTCCTCACAAACAGGCCAAACATATGAGCAGGCCTGATAGGTGGCAAGCTTGGCATTTTCCATCACTTCGTGAATCAATCTATCACATTGTTGACTGTCGCCGTTTCAGACACTCCTCGCCCCAATCCAATTCAAAAGGCTAGTTGCTATATATGCTATATATGCACTGCGCTCAGTCGCCAAACATATTTCTTTGTCGTACAGAACATTGGCCTAAGAAGTGACATGGACAGTATTAGTGATGTCGCCTCTCTTGCCACACTCGTTCAGCTAGCAGGCGCCGTTATCAACTACGTAAGCACAGTTATCGATGCGCCCACTCAGAAAAGAAAACTACTTGCTGCGCTTATTCAGGCACGAGGTCTACTCTCCACCTTAGTCGAACTGACGGGCGAGGTTAAAGATGAAGACTGGTCATATACCATTCAGAGCTTATCCGCACGCAATGGCCCATTGTCCACATTCCAGGAACTTCTTGAGCACCTGGCTAGGAAGCTGGACGGAACGCCCTCCGACGTTAGAATCAAAACTGCTCTGACTCGGCTTCGTTGGCCGTTCGATCAGACCAGCTTTCAGGAAATGATGAATTCACTTGAAAAGCTCAAGTCGCACTTCCTTTTAGCTATGGAGAATGACCATATTCGGCTTTCTAAGGCAATCCGAAATGAACTCCATGAAGTTCAAAGGCAGTTGACCGAAGCTACTATTCGTACCCAAAGGCAAACCGTAATGTCGCTTTCTAAGGAGCAAGAGCTCATTGTGAAGTCTTTGTCTCTAGGAAATTTGTTTCACGAGTTGGATGGAGACGAAGTCATGAAGAGGAGAGGCGGTGCTGAGTGGTTTCTACTCCATGATGCGTTCAAAAAATGGCACAATGCGAGTCGTACACCTAGCACCCTGGTGCTCACAGGCTCTCCAGGATCAGGAAAATCAGTAATATGCCAGGTGACCCGATTCTTCCTCAAAGCTTGGCATCAGTCAGAAATTGATGCCTGCGTCGCATACTTTGCTTTTAATTTCTCTCAGCGAGAGAAGCTCAGCGAAGCCCAAGTGTTGTCCAACATCGTGCAGCAAATTCTGTTGGAACGTCCTTACTTCATGGAGCACATTGCCGCTCTGAGAGTAACTGGTGGCCCTCTATCCTCAATTGAGAGTATCGATCTGATCACCCGAGCGAGACGTGACCTCAAACGCTTCTATCTCATACTTGATGGACTGGACGAATGTGAAAGCATGAGTCGAAACGTTGTTGAGGCTCTTCTTCGAATAGAACCGCCCCTGAGTATCTTGGCAGCAGGGCGAGCAACAGACGTATCCCTTGGAACCTTGCAAGACAGTGTAACAGTCCGCATCGACGAAGCTAGGACTTTATCTACCCACTTGGAAACGATCAAGAAAATGCTCGAGGAAGACTCTCGCATAACAGCGTATCTTGATCATAGTCCTGAAAATGTCGCCAAAGCAGCAAAACTCATTTTTGAGCAGAGTAATGGGCTGTATGTACTTCTCAAAAGCACTCTCAAATGCCTTTACTTGACGTCCTCTTATTAGCATGACGTGCATTATTGTAAAAGCTAATGACTTTACTCATCATAGTTGGATATACACGACTGTCATAATAAAATCTCTAGCTCAGTCCGAAACTAGAGCCACTTTTGAACGTTTACTCAGCAACAGACCTCCAAAGCTCGTTGATTTATACGAGCTGAAGCTCGACGATATCATGCACCAGCCAGTTGAACTCGCGGTATTGGCCAAGAAGACCCTGAGGATAGTGCTTGATGCTACAGGTTCGGTTAGCGTGAGCCATTTGGTGGATGCTCTTACCACGGAATTAACGGACATTGAATCCGCATGGCGTCTTGGAAGAGGCCTCACAGAGGCAGAGATAACTGAGATCATTTGTTCGAGCTGCAAGGGATTTGTTTCCACTAGTGAGACCGGCACACGACTACACCTTTGCCATCTAAGTGCAAGAGAATTCTTGGAAAACCATAGCATTTCTTAATCAGTCAACTTGCTTCCCAAGAAGCACATTTTCTAGATTCCTCTGTTGAATGGTCTTTTTAGACCAACCTTTAAATGCAAGGGCCCGCCTGATACTGTACTTGAGGTCGTCCTTGGAATCCGAGATTCGTCCCTTAGAAATACAAGATTTCATCAAAATAGAAACCGGGATTTTCGAGCAGATGATCGCAGAGAGATTCTAGCATCACGGGCGTCATGCTTCGTCTCCGACCGACACTTAAGGCGTTAAAAAATATACCTGAAACGGGTTTGGACTTCTGGAACGCCACTGTAACCTCTGGGTGTCTGGACTACGAGAAGGCAACATGCGAGCAAAAACATGAAATTAATCTGTTAGAGCATCGTTTTTGATCAAACTGAGCAGTATATGGACCACGTAAATATTAAACTAATTTACACTTCATAACTGCATTACCAGTTCGCCTAAGACTGCTGTTTATGGCCCGTAAACAAAGGAATCATTGATAGTGAAGAGGACAGATGCCGAGATCGAGGTGCATTTGCGCCTGCAATGACTCCTTAATCACGCACCAGTATTGAGCGGTCAGAGCTACTATTTCGCGTCTTGTGCATCTCCACTGTGAACCGCGGCACCTTGAGCAGGTCAAGACCGAGTATCGGCACGGGTATGACATACGGATCGAGGAGGCTATTACAGAGGAAATCTTGACTTCTAGTGGTGGGAGCGAATAGGGAGAGCTCTGTATTAAGTTTGCACACAGTTTGGAAAGTTCTCAAACACACGGTATGTGAAAGGATGAGATAGACAAAAACTGTCAATTTAGTGACAGAATCCATCAAACGTAATTGATATACAGAAATATATATAAGAAATCCTACCCAAGTGAAGTACAGCCAGATAGTATATAGTAGAACCCGCCAGTGGACAAGAAAGAAGAGATCAACAACAGCAATAGAGGTTTCCAAAGAGTACAGCGTGATATGTTTAATATGTGGGGCCCGAACTGGTATGAAGATTAATCCGGGGTGAGAGTCTGTGACCATGGTATATAAGCCCTCATCCGGAAGGCTATCAGACTATAAATCCATGAGCCTATGAAACGACGACAATCCAGAATATGGCAAATTTTCCTAGCGGCGTTCCATATGGGTGAAGGCAATTCGACGATCCATGGGTTTAGAAAAATTAAGAAACTCCATCCAGGGAGAGGATTAATCCACGGAATATCATCCAGCAAAACAAAGTAAAAGAAACGAAAAGGCCATCGAACCGACAATCACCTCATTCACTGGACTTAAACCTCACCCTCCGAGTAGAGCCACGTTCTTGAATGACTTTCTCCGTCTCGATATAGAGCCGATCCAAAAAATGCATCGCGCTAGGATCCTTGAGAATGCGCGCAACTTGGATTCCCGCGGAGATAAGTTGCAGGACATTGCGATCATCCTTAACAGGACGAGACTGATGCTTTGCGGCATGGCGCATTTCCAGGGAATTCTCCAGGATGGTAATCAGCTGCTTGATCTGGCCGTTATACAGAATGCGAGCTGGAATGCGGCGCGTGGTCGCCAGTCTTTTCAGAAGATGTACCCATTCCGTCCACTCACGGTCAGAGGGGGATGTCACGAGTCTCTTGTCTGCCTCGATAGGGATTCGGAATTGGTATCTTGCCACGAAGTCAAAAGCGCATTGCGAGAGGCGGTCGTTGACATGGTGGAGGATTTTGTCTTGCTCTGCGGCGTCGAGATTAGTAGGAAGCTCGGGCAGCTCTTTTTCCTGGGCCGCTAGGGTCCGCGGGGAGGGAGGATCTAAGAGTTGATGGGGGCCATCAAACTCGTCGCAGACTGAGGAACGCCTCTGGCTCTGGGCTGTGAGGTGGTATTGGCGCTGTGCGCGCTGATCGTCTACCTCTCCGCCCTGCGAACTGATCCTGGAGCGCCGGGTGTTTCTTTCCAGGATATACCTCTGGGACTCAGTGATGTTCATTGCCATTTCTCCAGGGCCGTGTCTCTGGGACTCGCGGGGCATCTGCGAGGGTTGGTTCCAATTATGATGGTACCTGGGAGCCGGGGGTAAAGGGGGACCAGCCAGTGGGTAAGAGAAACGGCCTATAGGGGGTCCATTTATGGCATGTCCGTGGCTTTCCAGGGGAGTTGAAGCTTCAAGGTAATGGATCCGGCGATCATAATCCGGTGGATGGGCAGGAGACTCCATGGTAATATGACGGTTGTCTCTGTAAGCATAACCCCAGGGCGGAGCAGTAGGAGCCCTTCCAGTGTTCAGCAAAAGGTCTTGATATTTTGAAAGAAAATAACCACTGAGGGATCATAAGCTGGAAATACCTTTGCTGGTAGATAATGGGAGCATTGACTGGGGCTCCATACAGCGGATTATGAGACATAACGCTGCTGTAAAGTGTGAGCCTACCCAAAACAGTTGGGTATGCAGAGCAAGCCCTATTCAACAACTGAATCAACGTATGTAGGTGTGTAGTGATGATAGTAGGATATCAAGAAAGACAAAAGTCCAAGAAGTGGCCATACCCGTGATAAATACCCAATTAGTTCCTACTCCCTGCAAAGGATATGGAGCTAGTGCCTGACCTGGGGGAAGTTTCCAGTCCAACAAAGTTAATGAAACGAGCACAAATGAGAGCCGCACCAAAAAACAATACAATATGCCGGTGGCGACAGTGAATATTTCTGCGAGTATTATCCACGCCGCATGGTACAGGTGTACAACGCACGACACAGCATCGCCCAGAAACAGAGCCTCCTTCCTGCGTCACATGCAGGAAACCACCAAAGATCTCGGTTTAAGAGAACGGGGCACTGTCTGTTGATTCGACCGTCGCTAATAATCGTCTGCTGAACATTTTTTCTCATCCACCCACAGCTGTTAGTCTCCATGCTCTACAGCGTGCTAACCAATGACACGGGGGCCAGATTACCCAGCTAGCGCCACCATTTACCCTGGTGCGACAATCTTGCCTGAATGAGGGTTATTGGGCAGCGATGCTGGGAGTTAGGGCATCCATTAAGTATCCCAGAGAGTTGGTCAATGCAGAAGACGGAGTTGAGGCTGAGCAGTTGTGGAGAGTAATTTCTTGTGGTCCCGATTTTCTTCATTGTTTTCTTGCGACTCGATGCCCAAACATATCCTTGCTAGTTTAGGCCCTGCGTGGTATTGATTGGGCATGCATTGGGGGTAATTTTGCGGCTTGACGCCCAATGTCGTCCACAGCCATCGCCGTAAGCGGCGCATGGGCCATGTGCTGGCCATAGATCGGGTTGCGTAAGTAAGGAATTACTGGAGAAAACAACCCCCCGGTTTATCTTGGAGGTCAATTTAAAAGGGACTGCCCTTGCAACACAACTTTTAAGGATAAATTGTCTCAGACGTGGAGGAAAGAAAGAATTGAGGAAAGTCGCAGGAATACATAGGATACCAACTGTAGATTTTCAGCACAACCGAGTTACATTTGACCCTTGAAATCTCAACAAAATTTATCTAATCTTAATTTTGTGGTGCTATTGAAGGTCAAAGGTGGCGTGTTTGGCTGGAAAATCTACAGACTTTTGGTACCCTATATAGACGCCTCTCCGTTGGGACGAAGATCATAACAGCCAAACTAATAACCAGGGTATCACTTGCGAGCCGCCACCACGGAAGTATTTCTCAACCTCTCACTGCTTCTTGATGGTCCTAGTAGGAAGCTCTATCCCCAGACGACGGGCATATTCCTGGATAGCTCAAGTAAGTTTGCAGACAATCTAGATCTTGAATGCGACTTACCTCACAACTCAAACGAATCCCCTCTTCAATGCCAATGCGCGCCTCATACCCCAATATCTCCTTCGCTTTATCCCCGCTCGCATAACGCACAGCACACGCATCTCTAACACTCCCACGGCTCAACGTCGTCGTGCCCCCCGTCACCCAGGTGGCACTCTCACATGCCAGACCAGCCAAAAAAGCCAGACCCTCAGGGATGCGAACCTCAAAGGGCGGTATGTGTCCGAAATGCGTCCAGATCGCCAGACAGAAATCCCTGAAGGTGATGGGCTCGTTATTTTGAATGAAGAATGCCTCTCCGGCGGCGGTGCGCGTGGTCATTAGATTCTCCACGGCGAGGACGTGTGCGTCTGCTATATTCGTCACGTACGTCACGTCCCAGAGGTTCAGGCCGTCACCTATAACAAACGGTGTCTCGTACTTGGCGATGCAGGCGTGGATGGATGGTATGAGCTGGTAATCGCCTGGTCCGCAGAGTACGGAGGGCCGAAGGGAACAGGTTACCATCGTGCTGCTTGACGCTAGGAGAACAAGCGCTTCTGCGGCGGCCTGGTCACAGTTAGTAGTGCCTAAGGGTAAAGAAGGCATAATGTCACCTTGGACTCGCCGTATATCAGCGAATGTGGCGAAGTTGGCCATGCTTCGTTGATATTGGGGTACGGCAATCTCATATCATCCGTCGTCACGCAGCAGGTACTTGTATAGACAAATCCTGTCACACCGGCCTTCTTAGCGGCGTTGAGCACATTGCGCGTCCCCTCGACATTAATCTTCCATACTTCGCGTTCCCGCCCTCTGCCGAACCGGTCCGCCAGGGCTGGGACAATGCCCGCGGTATGCACGACAACATCCGGTTGCACGGCTTGCAGGGCCTTGCTGACTTCATCTGCAGATGTGATATCGACTTGAAGATATGCGATTTTGTCAGGGAGGGCATGTTCCGGGCGGGGCGGACTGCGATCGAGAACTGTGATGGCGCAGTCGGAATATTTCTCTGCAAGGGCACGCACGGTGGCCGAGCCCACGAAGCCAGTTCCGCCTGAGACAAGGACCTTTTTCGACGAGAGGATGCCTGCTTTCGTCATGGCTATCAGGGGAGTGCTGACCGGTGAATGTAACCAGAGTCGGGGATTTGCGCTTAGTTGTTGCCGAACAGGGTAAAGCCTGTCGCGTGACTTGGATAGCATCAAATGGGAACATGTTCCATATCATGGCCTATACAACAAAATAAATAATGGGTAAATGTGACAGAAAAAAGAAGATCAGGTCTAATATACACAATGTCATCATAGACAGGTTTTGCGCAACCGACAAACTCCAGGGCCAAATGCAAATCCAATAAAATACACCGCCACCAGGTTATAGCACGCGACAGAGCAGCAAACCACCCAGTCGCTTCTCCACACACTCGCGCGACTCCAGAATTCCCCGATCCGTCGACACAAAGATATTCTCGCCGGGCGAGCGCAGCCCATCCACATAGCTCGCCTTGTGGCCGCGAATGACCTGACGTAAATTTTCGACATCCAGGACAATCCGTCGCTTGGGCTTGCTGATCATGCTCAACTTGCCCAGCACGGGCTTGTTATCCCAGTATTTCAGACCCAGCCAGAGTCGTCGCGACGCGACATTGGCCCGCGTGATGGGCTCGACGGCTTCGATCTCGTCGTTCATGGCCGGGTAGCCGAGGATGGGGTGCGGCGGGGGAGGAATTGGGCCACCGCGCACGACGGAGGAGAGGTAGCCGGAGTGTTGGAGGGCGAGGCAGAGGTTCAGATGCATTTTGCTGTTGGGAATGGAGGTGATGCCGAGACGGGCCTTCGTGGCATTGTTTAGGTGGGAGCAGACGTGGGCGAGATTGACGAGAGACATGGTTTTGCCCGGGCCTGCGAGGATAGCAGGGATAGCGCTGGTCGTGTAAAGGACAGGATGTGGACGTGGAAATGGAATTGGGTGATGATTGATGGATTGTTTGGGGAAGGAAATTTTCGGAGAAACCGAGACTCCGAGGAAGGTACCGGGTACTTCTCCACTGGGCGATGATCCGTGTGACGAACTGGTACTGGTGACCTGCATCACATCCAAGTAAGCGCCCACTCGGCGCCTACAGCTGCCCCTCTCTATTTATAAAGTGCGACCTAACTCACTGATTCCCTCTTGTAAGTTATTTCTCTCTTCATCACTGCATCTCTTCTCCAACAGTCCATCATGCCCCCATTACCCGGTGAAGAGAGTGTGTTGACGGTGTAAGTTTACACAGCGACAGTCCGTCGGTCTTCAACCTAACCAGCGGTATGCTAGCTTCGCCGACCTGCACTACTACTTTGCACCGCCCGTGCCGAAGCCTCTGAACCATCGCTTTGACAAGGGCTCATATCTATACATCTACCGTGACACGAACAACAGGTCGCGCATCGAGGTCGCCAATAACCCAGGAACGGCCGACCAAGATGCATTCCATGGGCCCCTAGACAGTATCCATGTGCGTCACTCGATCAAATTCCCAACTCTCTGCACGGTGGTCGTGGACTATCATCCGGCGCCCCAGCAACCACCAAATGCGACTCCTCAGGACTGGCAGCTACCCAGCGTAGAGCCCCGGAGTGATCAGCAGACCCGAGTTCGTCTGCACACGATAGACATCTACTTCTGGACCACGGAAGATGCAACCCAGTTCCTCGACACGCTCGGCCGTGTCTTGCCTGTCGCCCAAATCGAATCGGATCGGGTGGCCAGCGCACCGCATACAGAGCAGCCGCTGAGCAGTGTAGTCCAGCAACTTGAAACCGTTGCCATCTCCGACCCAGCGTATCAGAATGGACAGACACCTAATTCGCGTTCTGAAAACGCACCGGTAGCGATACCGACTTTCGCACCTCCTCCAACCAGTGGCCCAGAAAGTAGTATGCAGCACGGCTCGACCGATGAGAAAAAGCACGATGCGAACTTCACTCCACTGGCTTATAATCCCGCAGCACCGGCAGCCCCAGAGCCAATCCGACATCGTGAAAAGACACCGCCGCCAGAAGACGGCACGGAGGGTACCGGACTCGCTGCCGCCGCGGCAGCCGACCACGGCGTGCCGTTCACGCCTCCAAACCAGGTCCCCGGAGCATTCGCTCCCCCGCCCACTTCAGCTGCACCAGGACTCCCCTACTCCGGTCCCCCAACCGCTGCAGCAACAGGATACGTCTCCCCACCACCAAGTGCAGGCTTGTCCCACCCAATGCAGAGTCTCGGTCTACAAAGCCCCGGCTTACCTGCGTTTGCACAACCCTTTTCCGGACACGGAAGCCTAAATCAACCCTGGAATCCAGCCTCACCTCCATCAGGGACAATGTCCTTCGCCCCACCCCCGCAGGATCCAAACGCCCATCTATACGGTCAGCAGATGTACGGCAGTCCGCAGTCGCCGCCACAGTTTGGAACGGGACATCCGCCTCCGATAGGCGGGTACTCGAATTACTCGTATGATCAGGCACAGGTGCCGCGCACGGGCACGGAATACGGTGTCCATAGCCAGGTGTATCGGCCCACGGAGGCGGAGGCTGGACCGCACTATCAGAAGGCTGCGCAGAAAGCTATGAAGAATCCGGGTCAAAAGCCACGGAAGCTGGAGGAAAGGGCGGAATCTTTGGAGAGTGGGGTGAATCGGTTTTTCAAGAAGTTGGAGAAAAAAATTGGATGAAGTATGCGGGAGTGTCGATTGTCTTTTTCTTTCTCTTAGTTGATACGATCTTCATGGCTGTTCATGATATTTTGAATCTTTGTTGGGCCAGCTGCTGAGCAGCGCCAGCATGAGTATTGCAGATACGAGTGTGATATTGAACGAGAATATCACTTGAGAGAAGGAAGAAATGGTCTAGCGCAATCTTCTTCATCAAAACACACAGTTTCCAGTACAATATTCCATTCCCCACTATACAAACCAACTGGGCAATAATTCCCACCCATATATCCAAAACCCAAAACTCATACATATATGCACCGACTTTTACAACCCACTCCTAAACCCCCACCTCCAACTCCTCCGCAAGCGGCTTCTCAATTTTCTCCGTATTGGGATGCGTGCGATGGAAGCCCGGCCGAACGGGGTATCCCCTTGAAGCGAAGACACCACCCGTGAGACCACCCGCTTCAAAGAGGTGGTCCACATCTTCCAGCTCGAGGCCTTTGGTTTCGGGGAAGAAGAAGTATACCATTGGGATCTGTGAGGGAATGGTCAGTCAGTATTTTCGATCATGATTATGACTCTTTGTTGACTTGGGGATGGAATGGGGCAGCTGGAGGCATAGGCAGAAGGATAACATACCCAGCAGAAGCAGAAGCAGGCGAAGATAATGAATGTTCGCCATTGGATGTTGTCAATTGCTATCGGTGTGATTTGGACGACAATGACTATGTAGAGGCCCAGGTTAGCTGCTACTAATATTTCATACTTTCTTGAGTTCGAAGTCAAACTTACAGACGCAGATCCAGTTCACGAAACCTGCGAATGCCTGGCCTCGCGCGCGGATTCGGGTTGTGGTGATTTCACTTGGGTAGAACCTGATCATGCAGTTTAGTATACTCCAATCCATAGATAAAACCACAAGGAGGACGAGGGCTTACCATGGAACAGGCAAATATCCAATACCGAGGAAAAGCTGGAACAGAAACACAAAGGCCGTGGCGGCGTAGGCGCAGGGCTTGCTTCCGATCGACAGCAAGATGGCCGTCATGACGAAGCAGAAGCAAAGTCCCGCGGCGGAGAACATGAGCGACGCTCGGCGACCAAAGCGGTCCATGCTCCAGAGCGGGATGATGGAGCCGACGAGGTAGGTGAGAGAAGTGCAGCCGCCTAGGATGAGGGCGAGATTCCGGGATAAGTGCATGGCGTTAGCGTAGACGACCGGAGCATAGTAGTTGATCATATTCGATCCTATTTTTCATGTTAGACACCGGTTCTCCAAGCGGAACGAGGCTCTCACCTGTGAACTGTTGCTGAATATTAACCAGCCCCGCCAGAATCATCCGGCGCAGATTCTGAACCTTCCCACCAGCCAATAACTCCTTATACTTAAACGGCCCACCAGCTGACTCCAGCGCAATAGCCGTCTCAATCTGCCTTCGTAGCAAGACCACATCCTGCGTCGACTCATCAGCCGGCTGCTTTAGTTGCAGTCGAGCCAGAATATGCGCCGCCTCATCACCGCGATCCTGCTCGCAGAGCCACCTCGGCGTCTCAGGCAGCGAAAGCATCTGCAGCACCAGGCACACTGCAAAGAAAGCCTGGAAGCTAATGGGAAACCTCCACTGGACGGGCGATGGGACGAAACTCAAGCCATAGTCTAACCAGTATGCGATGCAGAGGCCGACGATGGTCACTGTGCCCTGGGCAGAGAGGAGCATACCGCGGACTTCGGGGCGGGCCATCTCGCTCTGATACGTTGGGACGCTGCTGCTGTTTATCCCGTTTCCGAGACCGGTGACGATGCGCCCGACGAGGAACTGTGCGCGGGTGTATGACGAGCCCAGAATGATGGTCCCGATCACCATGATCGAGCCACCGGCCATGATCATCTTCTTGCGGCCGAACTTGTGGCCGACAACAAAACTGAGGATACAGCCAACAGCGCAGCCGATGTCATAGATAGATGTCACTTTTTTTGCTCTGGTTAGTATTCGAAGAAAATTGGGAATAAGATTGACAAACTGATGCCCTGCATATTGGCGTTCGGATGACCGAACTGCTTTCCAAACTCATTATCCGCTCCAATCAACCCACTCATGACGCCCTGGTCATAGCCGAGGAGGAGAAAAGCCTGACAGCTCGCCGCTGGAGTCGGGTTAGTGATGATCCAATGAACAGACACCGGCATTAGGACGAGACGTACCTGTCACAGCCCAGTGCAGAATGCGTCCACGAAGTTGGCCCATCGTTTTCGATGATATGATCCGGAAGATGCAGAGCGCAAGATGGCGCGACCCGACTTGACCTTAATTCACCCTGTTCGCAAGACACTGTCCCGAGGAGTGGCGCTTCGGGTTAAAGGGGTCCGGGGCGGCCAGTGGCGTTGTGGGGAATCTGGGGTCTCCGCACTTCCTTTTTCATTGTAGGGGTTGAGAATATTGGTTTGAATGTAACATAGAGAGTCATCGCAGAGATATAGGTGAGTCAATACAGAAGAAAAAAAAAACACTCCGTTTTCATAGTTCTGAAGCGCCTCTAAGCCCTAGTCAAGCCCATTCCGGCGCCACACCCAACGCCAAGCTTTCCATTCACGATGACGAAGCCCTAATATCCACCTCATACCGCGGGCGGTGATCCGTGCGAGCGAGCAGAACTGTCGATCTCGCACCTTTACCTTCTCGTCTGGTCCCGGACGTCTCGGACTTTTGTCCAGACAGTTGCATCCGGGCCATTGTTCGTCCGGAACAGGGTCCTCCTCTTTTGTTCTAAATCTTGTAATCAGGGAGGTTTTCGCCACTTAAGGCTTTATTTAGGTGACATTCATTGCATAAAGATGAGTGGGGAGGACTGGTATAAATGTAGCGTCATATTCTTTCCATAGACACCTTGTTAGTTAGGTGAACTGAACTGCAACATAACTGTGTGCAAGCATGATCATAAAATTTCTTCTGCAAGTTGCTGCGCTGGCAACATCGTGCTCCGCTCTGCGCCTAAGTCCCCACCTGCGTCGCGAGAATAATGGCTCCACCATCAACATCGACTGGAACAATGTCCTAATCGAATCCCGCACCACGGCAACCCTTCAATCCGTGGCGAACCCACCATTACTCGCCAATAGCAGCACGCGTGTTAACGCACTCAACTCCCTCCGGACCGTATCCAACAACTACGTCCGCTATGTTCCCTGGTTCCCATACCCGGAGCTAGCAGTAGTCGAGCTAGAGCCACCCGTGAAAAACGGGACGCACTGCTCCACAAGCTGGGACTTCAGCTATGCGGACCAGCTCCTCCTTGATTTTTTGCACAGCACACCCAACGTATCGCACATTATCAATTTCAGTACCACCCCGGACTGGATGTGGGTGAGCGATGTGCCATATACGTATCCGCACGATGTCGATGCTATCGACTGGAACTATAACAACGGTACTAAGCTGCGTGATCCTTCCGGCAAGGAAGTCGCAGATTACTACCGCCGCTTGCTGTCTTGGTATGTGAAGGGCGGATTCACGGATGAATGCGGCGTGTACCACCACTCGGGCCACCATCTAGACATCGAGTATTGGGAAGTGCTGAACGAGTCCGAGGCCGAGCACGAGATTGACATCGGGTTGTATAACACGCTGTACGACGTTATCACAGAAGCGATCCATGAGGTCTCGCCGCGCACGCAATTCGTCGGTCTAGCCATGGCCTACCGCAATGCGACCCGTGTGGCTGGATTCCTCAACCCGGATAACCATAAACCAGGCACGCCGTTGGACTGGATCAGCTACCACTTCTACTCTACGCCATCCAACTCCACGACGCAGAATGAAGCAACACAGAGCTTCCAGATGGCGGAACAGCTGGTTGGCGAGGTAGAGGCGATCGAGGCAGTACGCAAGCGGATTTCGCCAAACACGAAGACGACCATGGATGAGATTGGGACTATGGATCCCATGGGCTCGACTACGATCTATCCCGGGTATACGATTCCGGAAGAGTACTGGGTGTGGAGCGGAGGTGTGTATGCGTACGTGTTTTCCCGGATGGCGCTGTTGGGGATTGATGTTGTGGGTGAGAGCCAGCTGAGTGGATATCCGGGTCAATATCCTTCTGTCTCGTTGATTTATTGGAAGACGGGGCTACCTACTGCTCGACTGAGAGTGCTGCAGCTGATACAGCAGAGTCTGCAGCCTGGGGATAAGCTTGTCAAGACGGATAATGACAATGCCCAGCTACATGCCCAGGGATTTGTGACTCCGGAGGGACAGCAGAAGGTTTTGTTGATCAATAAGCAAGACATGAATGCCTTGGTGCAGGTGCCGGGCTTCCAGAAGGCAAGGGCTGAGACTGTTGACGTGAGCACTGGCGGTGGACAATGGCGGACGGAGGAGGTCGATGGCAGCAGTGTCAAGATCCCTCCATATGCCGTTGTGATATTGTCTAACCTGTGACAAGCCTAGTTGAGACGTAGTGAAAGAGCAGAATGGCAATGTTTTGAGTGAAATTCCTAGTCCATATACACCTAACCGCTAAATAAATGATATGCTCGGGAAACAAGAAACAAAGAAGTTCAACCGGTGCCTGTGAGGGCGCTGAAGAAGATGACACGAAAGAAAACAAGAAATGGGTTCCCCTGGTGAGACACAATGCTCCGAGGACAAGAAGGTAAGAGGCTTGGATGCTTGTCCAAGTTCAATAGCCAAGGGTATAGATTAAAGAAGATTAAATGGGATTCCAAAAGAACCGTCAAAGATAAAAGGACAGGGGAGATTGAAATTGAAGATTAGCAAATGTTTTCCGCATCCAGCTTAATTCGATGTCAGTTCAGTCACGTCGAGCTCCGCGTCATGTTCTTTGCTCTCGGTTTCTGGTTGCGCAGCAGGCACTAAGTCGTCAATGCTCTTGGTCTCTGCAGGCTCCGTGATAAGTTCAGGAATAGTGGCCTCGGTTGCTGAATCCGATACAGTAGCACCGGACTGTCGCTCTTGCGACTCGGAGGCATCTAATTCGGGCTTCGGGGTTTCGCGCTCTTCGATGGTGGTGGTCACAGCATCACCGGTGGACTCCAAGACTGGGGTTGACTCCTGGACTGGTTCCGTGCCAGACTCCTCAACATGTGCTGGAGAGGAGTTTTCCTCCACTGCCTCCGTCGCGGTTGTGGGCTCGGTAGCTTGCTCTTCGAGCTCATCCGCGCTCGGCTCGACTGGGGTCTCAGTCGGACTCTCAGCAGAGGATTTAGGAATAGGCTCAGCCGTGGTCTCGACTCGAGGCTCCGCAGGAGCCGCCACAGGGGTGTCCGCAACAGTTGTCTCGACCGGCTTCTCCGAAGCAGTTTCCACCAGAGGCTCCGCAACAGGCTCGGATACTGGTTCACTTGGTTCGGCAACGGCCTCTGTAGCACGTTCCACGGCAATTTCCGGGATAGGTGGCTCAGCGAGTGCAGCAGCGGTCTCCTTCTCCAAAGGCGCGGCAGGCTTCTCTTGAGCAGCTGACTCGGCAGCCACAGGCGTAGGCTCCTCTGGAATTGCCGCTGGAGGCTCAACCACATTCTCCTTCTCGCTTTCGGGAGCAGGCTGGGCGGGCTTCGGTTCCTGCTTTGGAATGGGCACGTCCTTCTTCACAGGCTGCGATTTCTCACTCTGGGGGTGAAGAGGTGCCGTGCTGCGCTTTGGCTTCAGTTGAGATGCACTGCGCTCCGGAACTCTTCCCATCGATGGTCTGGGAGGCTTAACCGTGGAGGGGGCTCTGGCCGGGACCTTCGCATCGGGTTTATCGAGGGTCTTGCTGGCGGAACTGGCAGTGGGACGCATCATCCTCGCGAGGAACCCGTCATTGACCGGCTTGGTAGTACCAATATCGCTACCACGAGAATTGGCACTGACGCGAGAGCTTGGTCGCTCAGCAGCTGGCTGGGCAGCAAGCGAGGGACGAGACGATTGTCTGCGCACTGAGGATGCCGTGGGCGTCTTTGCTCGCGGCGGGCCAGGTGCAGTTTTGAGGGTCGAAGGTTTTCGAGCGAGCGTTGTGGTGGTTGTGCTGTTCGAGGGAGGCGAGTTCCCCAACCTGGCCGCTGATGCCTGGGTTGAAGCTGTCATTGAAGCTGGCAAACGCACAGGTTTCGTAGGTGACTTGGGGCGAGGCTTGACAAAGGGAGGACTGCTGATCGCTGTTGGCTTTGCATTTTCCTGTGAAGGTGTACCGCCTCGAGTTGACCGCGCAGTCGGCTTTGTCGCTGGATGGAGCGAAGCACGGCTAGGCTTTCGAACGGGACCGGTGGCCCGTTCCTTAGCAGCTTCCCGAGGTAAGGGGGCTTGCTGGCGCTGGCAGCTTTCGCGGTGGTCGAGGTCGCGGCGGGAGTCGTTTGTTTCGTCGCTATACTCGTCTTGGTGGAGCCGATAGTGGACGGGCGCTTCTTGACAGTCTGTGAGGGTGCGCTCAGGTTCTCAGTAGAAGGTGCAGATGTTGTGGTAGAATCCTTCTGCCGAATAGGGAGCTCTTTCGGCTTGGAGAGCGCCTCAGCAGCTGGAACAGGAAGTTCTGCCTTTCCAGTGCCATTCTGGGCAGTATTTCCGGGTGTTTGTTTTGTAGGCAGTTCGGGAGACAGCTTCTGGATGCTGTCCTGGCCACCACTTGGAGTGGGAGACGCGACACTGTCCCGGCCAGACACAACACTATCCCCACTCCCTATTTTGGGTCCGAAAAGATCGGCCACACCCTCGCCTCGTCCACTTGCCTTTCTCAAAGGCGAGGCTTGGTTGGATTGAAGCGCACCATCCACGTTCACAAAACTTGCGCGGACTCTGGAAAGTGGTCTGGTCGAACCCGACGTATCGGACCCGATAGGGGATCGGCCACGCGATGGCGGGGAGGTGACGGGATTTGGGCTGCTGTTTTCGAACCTGGCGAGCAGGTTGCGAACCCCGGGTCCAGGGTTGTCGGACATGGTGATTTGGGTGTCTGAGAGGCAGGAATGGCGTTTAAATGGGCATGGAGGCGACTGGCAGGAGGCAGCAGTGGCTCGGCAGAGCGCACAGGGGGTGGTGTGTTGTGGAGACGGATCAGATCGGCGGTACGCGTGGGACAGAAGACAAGTAGACGCGACGGCAGACAAAGACGGGGTGAGTCAAGACACTCTGGCAGGAAAGATCCAGTGCACGCAATGGGAGAAGAAGGGTAACTCAAGAACGAAGGGCGGGCCAGGCAAGAAACTATTAAGCCCACCCACTAGCATCGCGGGCTTAACCGGATGGGGTGAAACAGTGGACTGGCAACACACTCAGGGGTTTCAATGAGTCGTTTGTCTGCGACATGATTTGTTTGTAACACGGTATTTTGTGCTCTGTATTGGTAGATTTCTCAGTAATGGTCCCCCTCCCCCTGGGATCTTCGAGAAGGGTTCCATTCTTCCGGTCTGCGATACCCGCACTATGATCCCTTGGATTATGGGGCAATGTGGTCATTATTATCGGTATTCTGATTAGGAGACATTGTGTAGTCGTAGACAGTTGATACGATGATCACAGAGACAATGATTGTTGTCATTATTCTATCGAACAGGTCACCTGCTACCCTTACTGACCTCTCACTGCGGATAGGGATAGTAGCCATAAGTGAGGCTGAAGGGAGGCCAACGCAAGGAGACCATCTATACTTATATTATCCATACCTGCCTTCTATAGGCTCCTTTATAGTTGTCAGATTCAATTCCAGGTTCCCTGGGCATGGCAACCTTGGTTCCCTCCGCCCTCGTGTCTGGGTGGGTCATGTGACCGCCTCTCTTATACCATTAGCCAACCGGATCCTCGGTTCTCAACATCACCAGAAAATGATCCAACATGGTTGGCGTACGTCGCAGCAATGGTTGCTCTCGTTGTGTGACCCGTAGAGTCAAAGTGCGCCTGTTTTGATCACCCCTCGACGACACTGCTAACCCAACCCCCCAGTGCGATGAAAGACAGCCTGGCTGTGCAAGATGCGAGAGATACGGCATGCCTTGCCCCGGCTATGACCGCTCCTTCAAGTTCATTGAGGGCAAACCATACCGACAACGGCGTCGTCGCCCGGACTCAGAGTCGGACGACGCTCAAACGGACAGTTCGACAGCAGATACGCCACAGGGGAGCCTGGCAGCCAGCCAGATGTTAATGGAAAGGACCTCGTCACCAACATCATCATTGGACTCTCCAGCGTCAAATGTTTTGCAAACCCTCAGCATTATGATATATGATATCTCCTACCCATTTGCTCCTAGCCCAACCCACAACTTCTTCCGCTGGTTTTCTTTCCTGCCAGCTATCTATGGGGAGAACCAGACCCTAGATGCAACGATCAGATGCTTCACCGCGAACCATTGTGGAAGAGTTATTCAAGATGAACAGATGGTTCGGTTTTCCAGGTCTGCCTATGGGGAAGCTCTGCACAGACTGCGAAGGTCGTTGCAAAACCCCGAGGAAAGCTTCTCTTCTCACATATTCTGTGCTGTGGTGATACTATGTTTATATGAAGTGAGATTCTGGCATACGAGACAATGTGCACGTTCTAACCCCATTCCCTAGCTTTTCACAGACACCCACGATCCAGAGTCGTGGATGAAACATGCGGGAGGGCTCAGTCATTTGGTCAAAATAAGGGGCCCTGCCCGTTATAGGAACGAGTTCGACAATGCTCTATTCAAGCATGCTCGAGGATTGATTGTGATGCACTCCATGTTTTCTGGTCAACCCTGCTTCCTAGCCTCATCTAACTGGCACGAGATGATGCAAGAACAATATACATCCGACGTACCGCTCCACCTGCACAACATCCTTGAACAGTTCTTCGCCTATTTTACATTCACACCGAGTCTCATCCACAGGCTCTACAGCCTCAGAGATCCAGATATGACAAAGGAAAAGGCAATGCAGATAATATCCGAACTTGAACCCGACGCCCTCGATATGAAACTCAAGATAGAGGCATGGTACGAGCAATTTTCGCAGCTCGCTCCCCCACCCACGGAAATACCCTCTTCGTTGAATGACTCTCTGTTCCCCATGGTTTTCACCTTCTCGGATGTGATGTTGTCCACTATATACACTGGCTACTACTCTTACATGGTGATTATACATGAGATCCTGAGGGTGTGTGGCCAGGCTGGGCCGCATGACAGTATGGTTGCCTATTTCTGTGATCAGATTTGCAAGTCGGTCGAGTACAGCAGCACTGGCTTACTTGGGCCATATCGCATTGGATTTCCTCTACGCGTGGCTATTGAAGTCGCGGACGCCGAGACCCGGGCTTGGATTATGGGTCGACTGCAGGAATTTTCCAAGATATATGCTGCTGCACAGCCAAAGAACTTTGAGACTATTTCACAGTCACCAACTCTTTCAGAGGTTGGTTGATGGACCTGGATCACAGGTGCGGCCTTCAATTATATTCCGCAGTTGCAGAAACTACTCTTTGGCTATAATCATAAACATTGAACCCCAAATACCTACCATAAAGCTCAGTTCTCGGCTGACTCCCGGCCCTTATACTCGCCAATTTGTCTTCGCTTCATCCAAAGAAATTGGTTCTATCACTGCTCGGGCTACCAAAAGCACAGCCAGAGCGATGATCTCCATCAAAAGCCCCATACCAACCAAGATCCCCGTCTCGCCCGTCGCAGGCTCATATTTTGGACCGCCATACGCCTGGAGAATGAAATACACGACCCGAATAAATAGGAACGGAAGAGCCAACAGAACCAAGCAAACTCCTCGATGACCGGTCACAGAGAGTGTCGAGCGGGATTTCACCGCCAACCAGGAGACCAGACCACAAACCAAGGAAAACGCTATGACCAGCAGGATTGACCCGGCTACTGCCATGGCGTGGATTCCAATATTCTTGCCCACGATTGTGAGCACGATGCCGACAATGATGGGGAAGCGCAAGCCGTGCAGAGCGAAGCGCGTTGTCTTGGGATGTTTCGAGTTGCCGGGCCCGAATTCTCCGGATTGGCCACTATTGAGCCCAAAGCATCAGCTCGGTTGGATGACAGAGTCCATCAGGAAGTGTGTGACTTACCATCTGAGCAGAACAAGAGTGACTTCAAATAAAAGAGGTGACAGCCCAACACTTTGCAGGGATGTTTCGGCGATGAGCATTGGTTTGTCAGGGTGTGAGGAAGCCAGCACCATAGCTGAGCCAGCGATCCGAACTGGACATATCCATATTCGAGTTAGCAATTCTGTTTCCGTAAACCAGCAAACATGAACATTCCACTTACGCTGCGACAACAGCCCTATCATGCTGAACCAGGAGTAGAATATACAACGGGCCCAGTTTTGGTTCTTGCCATGATGCCAGTACCTCCATTCTTGGATACATCTGATCGGGAACTGGGCGACGAGAATGAGGGAATAGATGACAATCTCTGCAATGGCAAGATTGCGTTTTTCAGTGGGAATCGTATACTTCCAAGGCATGGTGGATGCCAGACGAGATTGTTATCGAACGGAAGGGATAGTATTAATAGTCAAGTGTGACTTGCAAATGCATCTTTTGGAAATGATCATTTACTGTCCTTAAGTATCCCGGCCAAAGGGTGGTGGCTTCAACTTCCTGCAAGTCTGGTATAGATCCCAAGGGTGGGTACATCGCGATAAAAGACCATTTTAGGTTTAGCGTTGGTCTGCTACGAAAGAATGTTTTTCAGCTACAACGACAGGCAGGCTACGCCAAGTTTCAAAAAGTCTGCAAAGGGACAAGGAGCGCGAGTATGTAGGCAACATGTAGCCAGCCATGAGGGATTTATCATTTTCATCCCGTCGAACTATTGTATGTAGTAGGCTTCTTCCTCCGAACCCCGGAGTGTGCCGGGTTAACAATCTTCCACTGCCGGCATCCAAAATGCAAAAGCTCCGATGACGGCGAGTTCTTTTTGTAGCCAGAAAAACTCCCCTGCTCCAAGTCAATCGCCATGGCTGCTGCTGCCCGGACACTTCGAATTGGTATGTTTTAGTGGATCTGTGTCCTTGGTGGTGAAAAAACTAATCAGTGCTCTCAGGTCTCATCCCCGGAGACGGCATCGGACGGGAGGTCATCCCGGTACGCATCTACAGCACAATTCGCGGACTGTACACCCAATTGACATATCACAGGCCGGCCGACGGGTTCTCGAGTCCCTTCCCTCTTCTCTGAACCTCAATTTCAGCTTCGTCGATCTGGACGCCGGGTTCGAGACCTTCAAGAAGACAGGAACCGCCCTTCCGGACAAGACGGTCGACACGTTGAAGAAAGAGTGTGATGGCGCCCTGTTCGGTGCTGTCAGGTAAGGGAGCACAGTTGTTTCCGTCTTACTTCTCCTGCTGATCAATTCCTTTCCAAAAGCTCCCCGAGCACCAGCGTCGCCGGCTACTCGTCCCCGATCGTCGCCCTGCGCAAGAAGCTCGACCTGTACGCGAATGTGCGCCCCGTCAAGACCACCGCCGGCAGCAGCAACGGCAAACCGATCGACCTGGTGATCGTGCGCGAGAATACCGAGGACCTGTACGTGAAGGAGGAGCGCACGGTGGAAGGTCCCAACGGCAAGGTGGCCGAGGCGATCAAGCGCATTTCCGAGCGCGCCTCGTCGCGCATCTCCACCATCGCCGGTGAAATTGCACTGCGCCGCCAGAACATCCGCGCCGCCGCTCCCGGCGTTTCTACCCGCACCCAGCCCATGGTCACCATCACGCACAAGTCGAATGTGCTTTCGCAGACGGACGGCTTGTTCCGCGAAACTGCGCGCAAGGCTCTTGCCGCCGAGAAGTTCTCGTCTGTGCTTGTCGAGGAGCAGATTGTTGACTCTATGGTCTACAAGCTCTTCCGCCAGCCGGAGTACTACGACGTCATTGTTGCCCCTAACCTCTACGGCGATATTCTGTCTGACGGCGCTGCCGCCCTGGTTGGTAGCTTGGGTCTTGTTCCCAGCGCTAACGTTGGTGATGGCTTTGCCATTGGTGAGCCCTGCCACGGCAGTGCCCCTGATATCGAGGGCAAGGGTGTTGCCAACCCCATCGCGACTCTGCGCTCCGTTGCCCTGATGCTGGAGTTCCTGGGCGAGGAGAACGCCGCTGCTAAGATCTACACTGCTGTTGATGCCAACCTGGATGAGGGCAAGTTCCTCTCCCCGGATATGGGTGGCAAGGCCACCACTCAGCAGGTCTTGGATGATGTGCTGAAGAGACTGTAAGAGGGGGGGAAATGTATATAAGATGATTTCGGGATAAGAAAACTAAGACATTTTCATTGCTTCATATTCCATTGCCTTTATCTCTACTGCAGCATCTCATTTCTATTTGGATCTATGCTATCCCCGATCTCAGGTAGATCGCTCCCCATCCGGCATTGACTCTGAATCCCAATCGAATTTCCCCAAACTGCCATTACTCTCCTGCGTTTTCGTCTTAACTTCAAGCAAACCCTTGTCAACGTCCCCTTTATGCTCTGGCTCCTGATCCGTGCCTTGAAGAACGAGAGTGAAGAGCACAACAAGATACACCCGGTCCGTGCTAGTGTCCTTTAAAACGTACCGTAGATCATGGTTCTTCTCATCAACATAGTTCATAGCGTGCAACGTGAACCCAGGTAGACGAAGTGAAAAATCTTCAAGACATTAATCCTCGGTCGCAATTTTTCGTGAGAGAGAGAGACTCACCATTGAACACCAAATACGGATTCCCAAAATCTGAAAGATACATTCTCCCAGGCTCGAAATCAAACTCCTTCCTATTACTCTCATTCTGAAAATGATGCCTGCGCCCATCAGCCGAGTCCGGGATCTTGAACTTCTCCCGGACCTGGACCCCGTCACTATCGCCGCCCTCTTCAACAACCGTATCATGCATCTTCGGCACTTCATCTGACTTCTGGATCTTGCTCCCAACGCGAAATTGGTTCCATGTGGCCAGCGCAGGACTGAACAGATAAGGTTTATCGGCGTATGCATCACCCTCGATGGCAGGGTCCAGCGTCCACTTCACCATGCGCAGTGCGGCGTTGAAGCCTGGCGGGAGTCTATCGCGGATTGGATGGTCGAAGTCATTTCCGAACAGGAGGTTGTTGCCATTCACGGTTTCTTTGAAGATTATCGAGAAGGAGATCGAGTATTGGTCCTTTGTGTGCATTGGGTGTTCGAAATAGTTGCTTGTTGGGGGGCGTTGTCTGGGTATCCTGTTTTTGTTATGAATGTTGGTTTGATAACTGAACAAAATGGACATACCGGTGTAGTTATTGATCCGGACGCAGAGGCTCACTGTTGCGTGCTCGTTGTCGATGCGGAGAGTCTCGCCGTTGACGGGGACTACTTGGTGCGTGGCTGGGTCGTACTCTGCTCCTGCCGTTACCTTCAACCGGTACTTCTGGGCTTCACTATGGCCATGCATTGTATCGAGAGAAATGAATGCGATATGGTTTTGTGAATGAGTCTCGGGGTCATATCCTGGTCAGCAAGAACGGCCCAGTGCGGTGTCGCCTAGTCAATGAGAATTGTGTCTCGTTAAATTAGGGAAAATCACGAAACAGCCCGTTCACCCCAATATGATTACTGATTTCCCGGATTTCAGATTTAAGGCATACGAATTAAAAAGAAAGTTTAGGTGGGCGTGCAACAATGTCATTACGGCAGGAATCAGGAACCTGACGTCAACGCGCCATCATCGGCAAACACTAAATGTAAGCTAGTATGCTGGAAACGCAACATCCCGACCAAGCGAACGAGCAACCCAATACCCTACTGCCTCACGAACGAGGTTATTGCTTGACCAGTTTCGATTCGGATGAACACGATGCGACATGGTCACCATGAAAGTATCAGACGCTCGGTCCACGAAAATGGTCGTCCCCGTAAATCCCGTATGGCCACCAGCCAACATGTTAGCCATCGGTCCCGAGAAATAGTACTGATCCAGCTCGAAACCGACACTGTGCTCATCGCCAGGGAATTTGCCGTTGAAGTTCGTGAACATGAGGTCCACAGTCTCCGGTTTCAGGATTCGATGTCCGCCGTAGGTGCCATTATTCAAAATCATTTGGCAGAGAATGGCAACGTCGCCAGCTGTAGAGAAAAGTCCTGCGTGTCCACTGACGCCATTCAATGACCAGGCATTTTCGTCGTGGACAGTCCCGCGCACAGGCTGTGGACGTTGCGGCTCTGAGGGGCCCAGTACTTCAATTTGATACTCCGTCGGTGCCATGCGCGAGTAGTAGGGATTATCATAGGCATCAACATTGCCCTTGTTGAAGAATGTGCTTGTCATACCCAGTGGCTCTGTGAACGAACGTATCTGGTCCTCGATAGGCATGCCAGTAACTCTCTCCAGCACGAAACGCAGATTCATAAAGTTCAAATCCGAGTATGTGTACGTGGATCCGGGTGGATCGGCAAGTTTGTTCGTTATGATCGCGTTGATGCGCTGCTGCATAGTCTTGTACGTTGGCGTCCACAGGCCTGGCTCAGGATCGGGGGGAATCCACTTGTATGGGTAACAAGCATCAAGATTGTGACATTTTCTTTCCCGTTTGTCGCGAATTCGGGAAGGTAAGAAGCGACTGTCTTGTGCAAGGCGAGTTTCCCCTCTTCAATTGCACGCAGCGCAGCCACCGCCGTAAAGACTTTGGTCAAACTGGCCATGTCATAGATGGTATCCATTCGTGTCGAGGTCCATTCACTCCTGGGCAGGAGCGTGCCATTGGCATTGGCGTATAAACTGGTATGGCCAAAGGCAAAAGCACTGACCACGGTAGATTTATGGCCAACGATCACCGTTCCACCTGGTTGAATGGGGTGAATTTCATCATATGTGTAGGAACTATAGTTGGCCGGCAGCGTGAAGCGACTCAGGTTCGCGGGCATCTCCTGCAAAGGCTGTGGCAGAAGTCCGACGGACTCCGGGGAGCCATGTTTGAGCACACGGTCAGTGGCCCAGACAAGCGGGGTTATGCTTGTCAAAAGCCCTATTATTGCTGTGACTTGAGCCTTCATTTTTGTTGGGTTCAATTCATCCGATAGATTTTCTCTGCAAGAGGGCGGCCGCTGTCGATATATATAACACCAGCAAACAACAAGCGATCAATGCAACTCAAGATAGTCACCATTGCATTTCCCTGCAACTTTAATCTCAGTAGGGACTAGGCCCTTGGACATCTCGTATCGCTTGGCGGGTGAAGCCGACGATCCGGGCCTGTTATCAGCACCCCACACGGCATTTGTTTTGAAAACAATGATTCGGACAATGATTCGGACAGTGATTCGGACAGTGATTCGGACAGTGATTCGGACAACCATTCGGACAACCATTCGGACAATCATTCGGACAACCATTCGGACAATCATTCGGACACTTTATTTCGGGGGCGTAACGACAAAATCTAAATTTTTTAAACAAAAGAGAATGCTTTGAGAAAGATCATTTCCCGGTATAGTTAGATCTTGGTTGTTTTCATTGGAGCTTCACGTTTGACCAAATATCCCCGCAATCTTTAACTTACCCCCACCGTGCCACCAAATCGCAGTCAAAATTGCAGAAATTCTATCGAGCAAGGCAGGATCCAGTTAGCTGTTCTTATCCCCAGACCAAACTAATTGCAGGTAAGAAAACCATTGCTCTTGGCAGAAGGCTTTTCCAGCGAGTGGACAATGACACCAACTTTCTGTTCCCCATTTTCTTCCCCCGCCCTTTTTTCCGATACCCCAGGGTTCTCGGCGAAATTTCCGCCACTAATATATACCCTCGGTAAGTTTTTTTCTTTAAAAAAAAAAAAAAAAACCAGCACGCCCACACGGCCAGCTATTGACTATGGCTCGAGACTCCTAGCCCGCCACGTAGATGCTCTCTCGGCTATGCTGTGCTCCTGAGAGTCAGAAGATCTCCTGGGATCAGACAGATCAGCTCTTGGGAGACCTGAAACCGTTTCTCTGGTGGGTCTTTCATCACCCCAAAACTTGACCGCTCCATATCTATTTTTGCAATATTCGGGCCGTCGCGTCTACCGCCCCCACGAGGGCACGACCACGTGCGGGACTCTCAAAATTCAAGCTTAGTTAACCTTCTCGCCCCTTGTTTCATCTCTTGCTTCGGAGGGGTATTCAGTTGTTTGAGACTTCAGTAAAGTTCTAGAGAAACGGCCTACCATGTCCGACTGTGAGGGACTTGCACCGTACATACGATACTCCCTGGCCGATATCCCGTAAGTGCACGCTTCTCATTAAACTGTACAACGAACGTTGATGTGCTAAAGGCCAAACACCCCGATACTTACCCTGTCGCTGGAGCTGCAAGCACTGCAAGGGAATAAAATTGCCAAACGGAAATCCAACTGCGGTGTCGTCTTTCGAGTGCACCGAGAGGATGACGGCCATGACCAGGTTTGCTCATTCTTTTGGAGCGGGATGGTCGACGCTTTTGGGTCACAAGGCCTGGTGCTTCTGAGACACACAGGTGATGGCCAATATGAGAGAATTGACCCTCCATTCGAAACATGGCGTGTGTATGATGCTACAGAGCCGGTGATCTCACCAACTACGCAGTTTTTGCGTGAATTGGGTCCCGACGAGAGTACGCTCCGATGGCTGGAGAGCTTTCCTCAAACATGGATGGATGCCATGACAACAGGTGGGAAATATGAAATTGTGTGGCCAGGCGGCGACATCCGCTGGTGGGCATGGGGCAGCATCGTGGAGAACATGGACCGACCTCGCGAAGTATCGCTTCGCGCAATTCTTCCTGGTGCACCTCGTGTGACGTTTACTGTGATTGACGAGCCCCCGGCACCGGTATACGAGAATCCTCGGCCCAAATGGCCTTCTGTCCCAACGTATGTGAAAGCGGCTGCGTAGCTCGAGAGAAAAATGAACAGCTAACCAGGCCCTATGAGTCTAGTCCAGGGACGCCAATGCTGACCACGTCACTCCACGGGCCCAAGCAAAAGGTATGGAATGATGAATATTTCGAGCTCACCTACACCGTGACCTACAACGGTGTCAGACCGTTCGATTCAAGCGGTGACGTCCAGCTGACGACGAGGCCGATTATATTTGATGCCTTTTACCTAATAGTGCCCCTTGAATGGGCTTTCAGGCGTCGCGGGAATCAAGGTTGGGAGCTCTGTCAAGATCCGAGAGTTGGGTGTGCTATGTCAAGTTTGATGTATGATCCTGATGGCGATGTGTCCGTGAACATCAGTCAAGATGCTAGATGGATAAGTCTGGCTCCAGGGGAGTCCTGGAGCAGTTCATTGGAAGCTAACGAGCGGTTGCCGTCCGATCAAGCTTCTGGGGATACGTTCCGGTATCAGTTAGAGGGGCAAGTCATCAAACTGTGGAATTGGGGCAGCAAGGAAGATCACGCGCAGACCACGTTGATACATCGTGCAAGTAGTGGGTTTGATGCCGTTGACTGGAAGAAAAGGCCACCCATAGTAGTCCCAGCGTCGAATTCGCTGGAGTTTACGATAGAGTGAAAACCAGTCAATATGGCCCATTCAACTAAGCCCGCGGCCTTGGTATCGTGCGGCGCCTCACACAGGTTATCGCACAGGTTGTCCAATTTGGGAAACACAGCTTGCAAGGCATTGTTGATGGGGAGGCATAACAGATTATGGTTGATAGAGATCAAGTACGTAAAAAACAGAAACTGACGTTAGAATGGAACGACGACAAGTGGAAAAGCAACTGCAGTGCATGACTATAATAAATTCCAAAATCGATACACACGACCATAGGGTGTGAAGAACAGGGCTTTTCGTCCGCTCAGCCGTACCTGGGGGTCTAACAAGACAGGGAGGTCTGGTGAAAACTGTCCGTCTCTTGTGTCTGTACACAGCCACTAGACTAACTATAGTTTATCATAGTCGAAAGTACTTTCGGAGGCCGTCCAGCATGGGCTTGCTCTTCTCACGGCGCCATCGCGAGCAGGGAATCTCTTCATGGATATGCTCTTAACTTATGCACGGCAAGATTGAAACAGCAATATTTAATGATCAATGTAACCGTCCCAGCACCATTCGTTAAGAAGAAGACAGTTTGTTGATGTAATATGAAAGTGATTGAATACAGGCCTTCTGAACTTTTCTTCAACACGCCGATGCACTATATCTCTTTGAAGCAAATGTGTTCTTTTCAAGGTTTCACCATATATCCATAGATGTTGTTCGAAGCATTGATTTCGCCATCACCCATAACAGTACGATAAACACGAGAACAGCTCCCTTGGACGTTGAAGACTTGAAGTGTCTCGGCGCCCCTTGATCCTGTCCAGCTAATTTCCTTACCCTTAGCAATGAAAATGCTTTCACATTGCTGAGGAGGAGTGGGGGAAGTGCCTGTCCACACTTGACTACCGGATCGAAGTTCCCAAGCCGATGAGGTACATGCAAGCAGAGCCGATATCAGGGGAGTAGTGAAGATGGAGGACTTCATTATTGTTTGGCTTGCTGGTTTCCGATTAAATTTCAGTTTATTGTATCTGAAGTCTGCAGTTACTCACAAAGTGTGATTTTGTTAGTGATTAATCTCTGGTCTGGCGAGCTGTAAGGGTTAGCCTCTGGAGAGAGAGGATTGCCATATCTTAATATACTTTACTATCCATTTCAATACTTGAATGGTCCTAATGTTACCGCGGAACCTAATTGTCAGTCAGCGATTCAAACGCTGTTTTAAGAAGCCCATCTTTAAGACACGTCATTTTCTGGGCGAATGCAGTAACCAAGAACCTTAATCATTGTCGCTTAATACTCGCACCAAACTCTTGCTCTAGGGATGTTTGGTCTAACCTATGTATTGTTTCTCATATAATATCTCGCTATGTCACGGAACGGTCACCACGAGTTAGGCTGGAAGGGTCGATTTTGAGAAAATGCGTCAGGCGAGCGAATTATGGAACTAGCATAGTGGATATATGACCTACCAGGAGAACTGTGCATTTTTAACCGGTTAGCGGACGAATTAGAATACTAAACTACAAGACTGAGCCCGTAGTTTGTACAGGATCCATGAACAAACTGATCTACTTATCGGAGACAGTGTAGCCAGCCTGACCCAAATCAGATTTAAAGAGCAGCATCAGTTAGATTTTGTCACGTGACCACGAGACCGATAGTGTGTTGTTAGATATTATTGAACCTAGACGGAACTGATTAATTATGCTACAGACTATCCAAAAATCTTTCCGCTTGATCCTCTGCTCATTGTGACGACAGGGCTTGCTGTGCCACTCTCATTGTATTGTCGTCACAAATTCGCCACAAAGATTTGTCTGGACGGGTGACTTTTTGTAGGCCCGCCTAGACTTGGAGAAATCGTTTACAATTTTATTGTTAGGGAAATGTTGAATGGACTACCCTTCTCGCCACTTAGCCCACCAGCATTTCTTGAGACATTTTAGTATAGTTTACGTATACATTATTTCTAAATTTATTAACCAGGCTTCGATGCACCGTATATACACAATATCTATTATTACAACCATGTGTATAGGGTTTATAGCTTTGTCCTTACCGTATAATTATAGTTGACTCCGAAACTAATACATACGACCACAGGGTGTGGAGAACAGGGCTTCCCGTCCGCTCAGCCGTACTTAAGCCACATATTGTGCAAGGCCAATTCCCAACGTGCCCTCGACACCCCTGTCATTTTAAAACGATGATGGAAAGTGCCCTAGGGTGAGTGTGGGTGATATGGGTGAGAAATTTGGAGACTAGGGTGGTCGGGGTGAGAACGGGGTGAGAAGGGCTGATCCCCTCTGCCCCCGGGCCATCGTGAAGAAGATAAACTCAGGACCTAGGTTTTTTGGTACTTAAAAGTACGATACATTGAATTTTGCCCCTGTTCACCCCCGTAGTCACGTTGGTAAAAGATCGGCTGCCATAATGGGTTTAACCTTCTCTCTAAATTGGGCTTAGCACTACTCTAGTCCCACTATGTATGACACGGATACGCATCAAATGGTTGAATCTAATCGTTCATATTCCGATCCTCGACTTTCTACTTCTTAATTATTTTTTTGCTTCGTCTCTTTCAAACCTTGATATCCCTGACTGCCCATCAACAGTTGAATTCTGAATTTGAAAGTCGTTTCAAAATTAACATGAGTCCATCCAGTGTGAAGCCAGCCATCACGGCCTTGTTGCGACCTTTTCGTACAGATCACCGATTGAAGTCAAAGGTTTTTCAAAATATCCCATTAGAGCTACTGGAGTTAATACTCGAAATTCTTCCAACGAAGGACCAAATCTGCTTCTCACTAAGTTGTAAAGATTACTTCGCATGGTTTGAATTATACGTTAAACAACATGGAACCACTGTGGCCCAGCTTCTACCAAAGAAAAAGGCATATACGCAGCAGGGAATAGTGCTATCCACCTCTGAACTTACTACTCCCGATCATACAAGATCACATTTACTCTGTCGACTCCAAAATAATCGCTGGAAATATTGCTGTCAATGCCAGAGCCTTCATCCGCATTCTATGCGACGGTCTCTAGAATCAAAGTGGAGACTTACTCAAAAGCCTTGCGGCTCTGACTGCCACCTTGGTGGGACTAGTGTGCTTGGAAAGGACCTTATTTTCACAAATCCTTTAGGGTCTAAAGTGAAATGCTCTCTCGCATATACTGGTGAAGTCGACATATGCCCCTGTGATGGTATGACGTTCCATCAAAGACAACACTTTTACCAATTCTGTCAACTTCCGAGTACCGCCATACAATATAGGAATCGAGGCTATATGAGCAAACATTTTCATGAAAGCAAACTAAACAAGATCTGTCACTATCTGGAATTATCACATGAATGCACCCTTGTCAATCCTTCTATAGGAAAGGTCTTTACCAGAACCAGAATATGGCTCGATAGAGAGACTCGAGATTTGCGCCTACATAACCGACTTCAATTTGAACTCTGTGATAGGAGTCAAGCTGTGAAGCCTGTGGGATGCTTTCCGTACTGCCTACATAGAGATACAGGGCGATGGCTTCAGGACTTCTTCATTCAAGCCGAACATAAGTTCTATACCGGCGTTCAGGGCACCAAGACCAGTGTATGCACATGGAGAGGATGGATTAAGACTCAACAGGGGCGAAACAATTTTGAAATAGATTTGGATAGAAATCTGGGAGGTAATGAATGGCCCAACAAGAGCTGGAGACTCAACTCTTATTTGAAATAGAATTCTGTAGTGAGCCCTTGAGGTCAATCAATTGCTATTTTGCTACACCCAATACAATGTTTAACGAATAAATAGAGCCATTTCCATGTGTATCTCCTTTACTTGTCCTCGAATTTTATGGAGACAATATAATTAATAGCCTTTGCCTATCATTGATACAATCACCTCAGTAGTGCAAAATTTGAATGGATCTCTCCCAGAATACTCCTCAAGAAATCTCTTTTAGTCATAAGATTTTCTCTAGGTCGAGGTTACCACTTGCCATTATAATAATTGTAATAGCCCATCGAACATCGTTGTATCATTCCAGTTTGGCGCTGTGTCGTTCCCTGGCCGGATCAATTTCCACTTTGAAATGTTCGGCAAGCCGCAACATTGTATTCGTCAAACCACGACATAATAATATATCTCACTCCAGAGAACCCCTGTTGTCAATAAAGATGTCTGTCGCAAGATAAGAAATATGAATCTCACATTAAGCGATCGCAGAGCTAACGAGGCCAAAGATTGCTCAATACGAACAGTTCGCTCTTTCCCTCTGAATAACTTCACTTCCACGGTAAATATTGATGCTTTCCCTAGGTTTCTCATATTTCTCTTTTCTCTTTTCTTTCGCAATTACCAACGCCTGTCGACCCCTCAGCCTATTATACACTGTAGAACCAAAATGGCTTGGGGAATATTCGAACACATCATCGTCATCTTCACCGTCATCACCGGCGTCATCACCGGCGTCATTTCCGTGGTGGACGTTGCTTTTAGGCTGTGGAAGTGGTGGAACGGGCCAGTACCTTGCCCGACCTGCGAGGGTCGGCGCGTGGTCGACCTCGAACGACAACTTGCCCGCCTGCAAGAAGAACGCCGACTATCTCTTGGAGGTGAGTGGACCCGCAATACAATTCTTGTTAACATCGAGCGGGGGAATCAAGCTACCGAGGGGGACGGTATCGAGCTTGAGGACCTGTGAGAGGAAAGCGAGAACGCCGGTTGGGGGGTTTGCTTGGCTTCGAGTATATGGTGCCTGTTTTGATTGGTGGGATGTTTGGTTTGTGGATGATTGAACTCTACTGTTTTGTGTGCAAGTCAGGAAGGCTTTGTGTACGTAGAGTAGATAGGTAGGTAGTACACCGACGAAGAGCTCACCCTTCTACGCAGGGTCGGTGACTAGTAGCCTCCCGGTGAAGCTAAGATGAGCTTGCATAAATGAACTGTCTGTTATTTCATAACATGTAAATAGCCTCTATATCCTCATTCCATTTTCTCCGATACTCGTACATCCCACGACCGATACTAGCCCTGCCACACTACTCACTAGGGTGTAGGGTGTATTCAACTAAAGGAAAACCAAGCTGGAGGGGCGACACGCCTTTTTCGAATGGCTGCGCGCCCTACCGCACCGCGACCTTGTCGTCTACACAGACGGTTTGGAATACAACGATGAAACCCCCGGTGTGAGTTATGGCTACACCATCCATCGCAACAACAACGCAATCTCCGAAGGAAAGAATAGCAGTGATACTTTCACTTAAAATCACCACCAAATATTCCCGCAGAGAGTACGACTTAACAAAGAACATTGAAGGTGGTCCCCTAAACCTCTCCTGAATGCGAATCAACGTCCCGCTTTTTCAATTTTTGTCTCCTTGCCTTCACATCATAATTTTGCGACTTCCCAAACGAACTTAGGATTGACCATCTAAACAAGACTTCTCAAGCTTACACCCTTCACATATTTTATCATACCGCGAGGATCTTACGCAGGGCAGTTCACGATGAAGATCTCACAGTTGACGCAAGACCTCTCAAACGAAACCACCAATCGAGCTCTTGATGTTTCTCGGGAATCGGCATGGGCAATATGTCTCGTAGCTCAAAAGTACAGACAAGCCTCTAGCAGTTTCGAGCGGAGTCCTATTTCGGCACCACATTGCACCCTATCAGCAGCTCTAGTTCTATTGGGGCGGATTGAGAAATTCAATACTCCCTCCCACAAGGCCAAACTCCATCTTGGTTTACGGTGCTTGATGATCGAGCAAACCCGCCCGGTATAAGATGAGGCCCATTTATCATGACAGTATAAAGCCCAATAAATCTGCCGCCTTAGGAGAGTTTCACGACGAGACATCATCCTTGTCTCTTCGAATCCGGATGGATCGAGGTTCAGCCCCATATCGAGCAGTAACCGACTTGCCACCATAGTGCTGCCAACCTGTAGCATCCCTCGCATTGCCTATTACTAAAGCATTTATTCGCAACAACCATAATAGAGAATCCTGACTTACAATGTAAATTGTGTCGATAATAGTTAGTGCTTGAAGGGTCGTCAAGTTAGGACTTTCTATGGAATTATGGAGGTGACCCTTTGCCTTCTCGAGGAAGACGTTGCCTGCGGTTCTGGGATCGTCTGTATCGGATCCAAGATCAATTGTGTGTGAAAACTGCGATCCGACAAGCAAGACATTGGAGGTAACTATCTCCATCAAGGGTATACTGTTTTATTTATACTGAGCGTGTCGCTCTGGCCTTAGGAATATTTTTCGAGCTACGGCGTATCCCAAAAGTCATCACTGTATTTTTCTTACTATTTAGTTCTCACTTTATATCGCTCTACTGGATGCTTAAGATTGGGAAAAGACTCAAGAGGTGCCCGTAAAAGTTAGCATGCCGAGACAAATCTATTGTCGGGAAAAGTTGCATTGTTTGAAATACAACAAATACTACTGCCGATTGGATAGTGGGTTAACTATTTATATACTGTAAACGAAAAACCAACTTGCTTAGCTCACCCTCTCCGTATTTGCCGATGTAAAAAATTAATAAGCGTGAAAGAACTTTTGCGCAGGGGTTGTAAATGGAACTTTCGAACGTCTGTCTCCTGGCGAAAGGCTCGCTATGTGTTGGATCTACAATCGCTTTACCATTTCATAAAAATATGGGAGCTGTGTGCAGATGCCAAGAGGCCGACTGTTTCAAGGGGAGACTTTGGCCCAATGATACTGGAAGCCACCTCAGCTGAAAGGGCCCAGTGCAGTGGCCATTCTATAGAGAATAATTCTCAACCAGCCTCACCCCATTCTCACCCTGTATATTGCACACTCACCCTTCTCATCCCCCCAGTCGTGCGACGCTAAATCGGCGCTACCCCCACTCATCTGGACTAAACAATAGTGCATTATTTCTTCCCCTACTATATTCAGTATATACGACCACAGGGTGTGGAGAACAGGGCTTCCCGTCCGCTCAGCCGTACTTAAGCCACACGCCGGTCAGTTAGTAGTTGGGTGGGTGACCACCAGCGAATCCTGGCTGTTGTATGTTTTTCCCCCTTTTTTGTCCACTGGCTTTTTCAATTTCAATGACTGACTGATGCTAAGTTTAGTTTGTCCGCTTAACCGGGTTACCATTGGAGTATCTCACACTCGGAAGAATTCGACAAACCTCAATTTTCGGTCGCCCGCTAGAGACCTACCGCTTAACATCTTTCTCTAGCAAAAGCTGGAACACTGCCGTATGACCAGACATTGTAGCCCGTTACAGAGGAGCTCTACCATATGCATCCCTGCAGTCGGAACTATGATAGAACTTCCTCCATTTTTGCCCTAATTCATGGGAGCCAGTTTGCAAATATAATGCAACGTTCACTCATCTGAAGGGACTGCTCATGTTGAGATGCCATTGAAACATGAAATTCTCCCATTGTTCTTCAGCGCATTTGCACAACAGGAAACCGAAGGTGATTTATTGAAATGACCGTTAAAATTACCTTACTAAAGGTGAAACGAATCGCTACCTGGCTCGATAGAGTAGAATGCTCCACATCTACTAGAATGACTCGAAACCTAGTAAGAGAAGAAAGGAGTAGGGCGCAGTGAATTTCAGTTCCTATACGAAGAATCAAGAGGACGGTACTAAAAGCTTTCATGGGAATCGGTTAATCTAAATATTGGCACAATATCTACTGTCGTTAGTGTACGGGCCTTCTAAATATCAGTTGTCAGATAGACTTACCTTCCATCGCTCGGTATTAATTTTCTCAGAACGCTCCTCAGACGGAGAAAGGGTATTTTTAATCACCCTCAACTTTTGTCTTTGGATCTCTTGAACATACTGCCATGCAGTGGTTAGCATAAAATCTATCATTTCACACTTTATTTTCGAAAATAACGCTCTTACATGTTCGATTGACTCGTTGACAATGTACCTCACAACTTCAACCTCTCTTAGTTGCCCGAATCGATGAACCCTGTCTATTGCCTGAGCCTCTGCCATAGGGTTCCAATGAGGTTCCATAATGTGGACTGAGTTCGCAGCGGTGAGATCTATTCTGATTGTGGGGTTAGAATATGTGTGAATTGGAGCCAGTATGTTATTAGAGCCAGCAACATACCCTTCTCCAGCAGCACCGATGCTCGCGAGCATTATGTTGCACTCTAGATCATTGCCAAAAGATTCTAAAGCCGCTTTACGCTGGTGAAGTGATAACTGCCCATCGATACGCTGAAATTTCAGGCCGTTCGCTCTGAAGGCATCCCCTACAAGATCGAGCATTTTTGTCCACTGACTGAAGATAACGCTAATTGAAGTCAGCAAAAGTTTCGCCAATTCTTCGACTTTTAGAGCTATACGCTTTAGCTGGCTGCGCGCCCGACCCGAAGCTTGTGTGTTTGTCTCTAATATTTCGAAGCAGGGCCTCGACCTTGGCCGATGGTGAATTGCGTGGCTTCAGGGGATTTTTTGTTGACTCAGTCCACATTTCTGGTGAATGAGAGCGAGACTGAAATGAAGGTGATTTCTCTGAATTTGTTCCACAATGAGGACACTGCAGCTGACCAGTATCGTTTTGGGACTTTGTGACACAGCTAGTGCAAAATGAATGCCCACATCGTAACTCCTCAACAACAAGCTCCATGATGTGGAGTTCTTCAATATCGCAGTGACAGGAAATGCACCTTCTTATACCAGATTCGAGAACCTCCTTAGTGAGTGACATCCCATCTTGGTCTCTCCAGGCTTTGAGAGCCGATTGAGTTAGCAGAGCCTCTCCATGATCACAAATGAGTCTCAGCATAGAGATAAGCGGCAGAATATTGATGTCGGCTTTTCGCTTCGAACTGTCGCCCACCCCAGCAGCTAAGTACGAAAATCGTTTAAAGAACTCGTATAACTGCCTGTCATGCCGATCCATCTCGATGCGCTCCACCCGCTCCGTTTTTAGTGGCAGGCAGAGTGATGAGGCCAGGTTCTCTTTGGTTCTTCTTAAGCAGGTCGCGGCCACGACCTTTCGGAGCATTTGGAAACCGTCCTTTCGCTTTTTTATGATAGGTTGCGCTATATGACTGTCAAATGAGCGCTTGGACTCAAGGGGATACACTTTTATGAAAGCCAAAAGAGACCCAAAGTCATCAAGGGAATTCTGAATTGGGGTTCCTGTGAGACACCATCGGCACCGTGCACGAATTTTGCATACGGCCTGGAATATCTTTGAGGATCTGTTCCTGATTCTGTGTGCTGATACAGATACATAATTAGCACCACCACTTATGAGAGTGTCGGCTAATTCTAGGAAAAGAGGTTGGTAGTACCTTCATCAAGGATTATCCTTGCCCATTCTTGTTTAGCTAAGAGACCCTTTTGAAGCTCGTCGGATCTTAGTGTGTCGTAAGTTGTCAAAACTATATCATTAGTGTCTATGCTTGATCCCAATTCTGAGCGATTTGGGCCATGGTACGTCGTCCATCGAATGCTCGCCGGTTTAATGTGACTAACGCAGATAATAATGTTAGCAATCATTTCTAAGAAATGACGAATGGGCCATATATACCTTTTGATTTGCTTTTCCCATCCGTAAATGGCTACTGAAATTTAGCAACTGTTCCCGGGAATCTCATTTTAATTTTTGGGAGTCCGGTCGGGTCATACTTGACTTTGGGGTCACAATAAGTGTTGCCCTGGGGAGACCCTCCATCTTGTCTGGACACCCTTGCACGAGGTCAAGTGAATGGCAGATAAGACAAAGGCTTGAGAGCGTCTTTCCTAGTCCCATTTCCTAAAATCTAGTTAGCTAAAAAGACACATAGTAATGGTCGACAGGGCTCGTAGTACATCCGCAAGGATGCCACCTCCGACTGGTAATGGACATGACATTTCGAACAATCCTGTTACGATATTCTGGTACCTGGATCAATGCGATTCTGATGTTAACAAAGCTCGGTCTATGCCTGTGTCTTGTTTCTTTAGCTCGGCCATACCGAATCTCTTCACTTGGAGTATGAGATGCTTTCCACATTGTGGGAAACTGCGCGCGGTCGTAAATCCCTGCCTCTTTTTCGATCATCATAACAAGAGCCTCCATCTGGTGTCTACAATAACTTGATTAGCGTAGAGGCTCCTTGCCAAGTGGAACAATGCATACCTCTTCGGCTTTGACAAAAGTCTAGAGCTAGGCTCAATTGTCGTTATCGTTCCATTAGGAGCACCGGCAGTGTCAAACACTCTGTATATATTCGCTCTCTCATCTTCCCAGAATGTGTTTGAAGTGGCGGATTGTAATCGACCGGCACAGCAGTGAGAAACCGAAAGCTTCTCAATTGGCGGCATCCCTTCATCAGGTGGAAGAAGATACTGGGGATTCAGATAATTGACGCTGTTGTCAAATTCTGTCTTCCCAGGGTGTTGAAGAAACAGGTCATTCTTCCCTAAGATTTCTGCCACAGTACTCCCATGCATCAAGTTGCCATAAACGACAATTCTAAGGGAGCAAAAAGCTACACCAATATTGGTCATAGGATTCAACTTCTCGACTTTTTTGATGGCCATAGATCGTAGCTTTTTGCCACAGATTGTGCCAGTCAAGGTAACCGCAAACTTCTCAACCAAATGCGCAAGGGCGTCAGAAAGTATTATGGCAACGCGCTCATTTGATTCCCTCAAGTAAATTCTGATCACTTTGCCCTCGAAGCCCAACGTGACAGGGGTGCATTGTGAGGGTATTTTGGCTGCATCAGAGCAGGTAGCTTGTACACAGAGCTGGTTTCGATCAGTCATTTTGTGGTGAGCAGTGAAGCACATAGAAAATTCATTACCAGTCCGAAGCATGTATCGTATGCAGTAGCTGGGTCAGCAACCCTGGTGTTTGAGACATCAGGGGAGAAGGCTCTTGTCGGGACAGCATCACAATTGGTGGTAATCTGAGTCTCCGTGACTGGAGGCTCGCGTTGAGCAATATTATCTTGGGTGAGGTCAATGTAAGGTATTGAGTTCCCACGAGATGCGACGAATGGCCGGGCCGAGCCGTCCCCTCCGGTGTCATGGATCGTCTTGGCCTTTTTGGTTGGCGGCTCGTCACGCTGGATGACTTCCATTTTTCTGGGCACTAAACAATAGTCTGGGTTGGCATAGACAGGCCTCTGAGTTTAGAATAGTGAACACTGACAGGAGTTTGCAATCGGTTGCTTCATGCCAGGAAGTTGTCATTGCTAAGCCCGCAAAGGTGGCGCAGCCTCTCTGGTTGTTTTTACCCCCTCCTGCAACCTTTTCGCCATGTGACACATCGCATTTTGAGGCTGAGTGAGGGGTAAATGTTACTAAACAGCATTCCTACTCATTTTTTGTATTCCCAGGAGCGTCAGCCCGCAAACCTTCACTCATCCACAGGAACTCTGTGCTTTATACGTAGTGCCGTGTTGAATATCTTGCACACGTCCAACAACATGGCATCCGTCGACCCAATACAAGAGGCCTTTACGCAAGCAAAACAAGCCTTTTATAACAAGATCAAAGACAGAGGCCAATATAAAGAGATTTTGACAACAACTACAATGGACGATGTTTACAAAACGGCCACCAAGCTCCAGGAAGAAGTATCGGCGAAGAATAGGGGACTTCGATATTTGAAGAAGATTGAACCTTTCCTAAGCCGCCTGAAGTCGTTTGATTCAGTGATCGACACGGGGGTTTCAGCGAAGCCTGAAGTGCTTGCCCTGATATGGGGCCCTCTCAAACTTTTATTGATCTGGTCATGTGAACTGAACGCTGCGCGCGACAAGATTGCCGATACATTAGTCAAAATTGCATACACTCTGCCACAGTTTGATGTAGTGGTACAAGTGTTTGAGGATTACGAGATGGTTAAGACTGCATTAGCCTTGGTCTATGAAGATATTCTTGACTTTTACCGAGTCAGCTTTGATTTCTTTCATATAAAAAGTGAGTTGATCTTCCAACGAGTTATCAGAAAATGTTGCACTAACCATTCCAAAAAGTGTGGAAGGAACTGTTCAAACCTTTATGGCCAAGCCATGAAACAAAGATCGATCTGGTGATTGAAAATCTTAAGAAGCACTCCGATCTATTGAGAGATGAGGTGACTGTTTTGGACATCAAAGAAGCACGAGAGGCTCGGGCTCGGTCTTTTGAGCACTTTGATAAAACGAAGACTTTTCAGGAACGTCAGAAATTTGAAATACTGAGAGCTCGCATTCTTCCGAGCACATATGATGGTCGACTTGACTGGCTACGCAATAGGTCTGTTGCAGGTTGTGCAAAATGGCTTTTCCGTGACAAGGAGTTTTGCGAATGGCTTGATTTCTCAAAGAAAACTGCGACATGGTTCTGGCTACACGGTATACCTGGTGCAGGAAAGACATATTTGTGTGCTGCAGTTCTAGACCACGTACGGAAGCAACATCGAACGCTCTTCGCATTCGTGAGCCACACGGAACCCAAAAGTCACATGGCTATTTCTCTTTTTCATTCATTTATATTCCAAGCCGCAGATGAAGACGATAAATTTCAACAGCTTTTGCTTGAATCGAAAGAGCGAGAACTTCGCGGTAACACAGCACATGCTTCCGAACTGCTGAAAACTTTCCTCCAAACGAATGGGCATACTTATATCATCATTGATGGAATTGATGAGATGGAGGGAGGGGAGCGTCATATTCTTTTGCACCGTTTGAATGAATTGTCCAAAGACTGTGACGATGTGCGAGTTCTTATTTCCAGTCGAACAGAGGACGACATTACTAGGTGGATCGAACCAAAAGCTACCGGAATTCGAGTCGACCATAGGAATTCAGGAAGCATCCAAAAATATGTTGACCAGAGGTCTCAAACTTGGCTCGCCAAATATTATCCCGACTCGAACGCGGACTCGGACATTAACGGTCTCCTCTACCCCTTGTCGGCAAACGCCGAAGGTGAGCCCTAGCACTTCATGCACCGCTATCTATCTATACTAACACTCTATCCTCTACGCCAGGCATGTTCTTGTATGCGCGTGTTGTTTTGGATAGCCTGGAGCAGATGAGCAGTCTTGAAGAAATTCGACGAGAACTCAGAGCACTTCCAAAAGATATTAAAGTCGCGTAAGTCCCATTTGAATCACTTTAATATCCAAGTATGAATGCTTTCTTATCTTGATATCAGATATGATCGTGTGTTCCAGAGAATCAACAATTATCCTCCGTCGTCGCGACAACGATGCAACAAGATATTGGGCTGGATTGGATGTGCACCAACACCCCTGTCAACCCAAGAGATTGAACAAGCACTATCTGTCACTCGGGACCCAAAGGATGAATCTGATGACACCCCCACTAAGTTTCCTCATCACAACTATGTCGAACTGTGCGGGCCTATCGTTGAGGTCATGGACGACAAATTGGTTTTTGTTCATTTCACTGTTCAAGAGTATGTACAGTGGATTATTGTTTGCAATCGTTCACCATCAATTGCTAACGGCGCAGTAGGTACATTTTCGGCAGTGGAGCATTTCTCAACAAGGAAAAGGCCACGGCTGATCTAGCTATAACATTTCTGGCTTATCTTGGGTCTAGTCTATTGGATCCGGAGCTCGACGACGAGGAAATCCAAGGTAACATACTCTGCGGTGAATATCGCATACTGAACTACGCAAGCTTCCACTGGCCCAAATTACTCCACACCATCAGTAGTACTGACGAGACAATTCCAACACGGTTGCCCGATCGCGCTAGCGACCTTGATATTGATTTAGCGAAATGGCTTGACAAAGCTGCCCGACAACGCAGGAATTATAATTTACAGAGCTTCGTGGAAAAGCCGAGATCACTTTATCGGAACAATTATGTCAAGAGATGTGTGCCAAATGCCTATCAAATGGTCTGTGCGACATTACAATTTCATATGGACGAGAAGCGCTGGGGTTGGAATTGGAGCAACTGTAAGATTCTCTTCACCAGCAGATGATTAAAGCAGCAATACAGCTGATCCATAGCTCATTCAAGTTGATTCTTGGGTCAACCTCGATCCATTGACAATCTCCCAAACGCTGGTACGAATTCAAGAAAAGTATGAAAGTCTGCTGTCAGATACAGCAAATCATGTGTCAATAAAAAAACACTACGGGTCTCGTCTCTTTAAGTGTAAATACTTGTTTTGTCCGCACAGCCGCGAAGGGTTTGCTACCCTACACGAACGGGAATCGCATCTCAATCATCATGGGCGACCATATAAATGCTCTCTGCCGGGCTGCGACTTCTCTTCGATTGGTTTCAATACAAAGAAAAGACGCGATGACCACTGGCTGGACATTCATGTACTGAATGCAGTGGACCAGATCCAGGCAAGTAGCAACGACTTTGCCAATCTAGATCCAGAAGAGATGCAGCCTCTCTTATTCACATTCGTCATTGAAGGTGACAACGACGGAGTGCAACGTCTGGTATCATCCTCGGGTTGGAAAAAGATGAAGGCTGAAGTCGTCGCATCTGCGAGGCTCATGGCAGCCAGTCAAGGCTCTCTGCTCATAACGCGGCTCTTAGCCCCATCCACTGAGCAATATCTGCCGGTTGACATCGTCAAAAGGGCTGTGGCAAGTGAAGACTTTGATTTTGCCGAGTGGGCTATCCCAAGGGCGAGGACGGACGATTTCCCAAAATTGATGAACACAATACTGGGAGTAAAATCTGATGAAATCTATACACTCTGGGAAAAAAATATCCGTCGCCTTCCACATGAACCATGGGGGGTTCAGTTAAATTTCTCCCCGAATTCGAGTCCTGAAGAGACACTCAAGCCACTTACACACCTATTTAAACAGGCACTTTTCACAAAAATCAACGGAAACCTTTTCAAGGAAGCCAGGCTGCGGCACACTCTCAGTGAATTTCGCGGGGAGTTGGGTTACGAGGCCTTGGGAACCATCCTTGTGCGAGTCGCTAAATCAAGTTGCTCCATTTCTTTGGCCGAAGAGGCTCTAGAGCAAGGAGCCCACGTAAATTTCCCGCAGGAAAATGGGCAGGCACCAGGGATGACAGCATTACAGGCAGCTGCGAAGAAGGTCACAAAGGAAGCTGCTTTTTTCATGAAATTTCTCATCCTTAAGGGTGCAAGAACATCCGCTAGATGCAAGGACGGAAGCAGAAAGGATATCGGCCTTGAAAAAGGCGCACAAAATATCTCGCAGTACGTGGGTATGACTTGGGATGACTTGATAAAGGAGTATCACAAACAGAAGACTGCTCCGGAGTGATTCTCGCCGCCATCTCGCCCTGTCTATTGCGTATCCACCCTTCTCATCCAGGCTGCATCCACGGGACTACGTTGATAAATATCTTGAATGCAGAATCTAGCACATACGACCACAGGGTGTGGAGAACAGGGCTTCCCGTCCGCTCAGCCGTACTTAAGCCACACGCCGGTCAGTTAGTAGTTGGGTGGGTGACCACCAGCGAATCCTGACTGTTGTATGTCGGGGTTCAACTCTTTTTTGCCCCCTTCGGGTCTAGCGCCCTTTCCCTTCAGGCCTTCAGGCCCTTCACCTGAACCGCCTGAAGCCCTCTAAATCGCACCTGAACCCCCTGAACGACCCCTGCACGGCTGACGTGGCCACTCGGCTAAACCTGCCATGTTCCTTGCCTGCTGTCCACTGCCTCTCTGCTGTCCTTTATTCCTGGTCTCTGTCTCGCTGTCTCGCTGTCACCTGCTCATAAATCGCCCTCCACCGCCCTCCCCTCAGCAGGTCTAACTAATGCTCTTACCAGCGCCTTCACGAGATCACGGACACCATGTCCTCCCACCCCGTCGCAGGGTCGGAGAACCCGTACCATCACCTCCGCATCACGGTCACTAGCGGCGGCTGCCACGGCTTCCAGTACCTGATGTCCCTGGAGCCTGCATCCAAGATCGATGTTGAAGCAGACACCGTCTTCGAGGGCGAGGAAGACGTCGCGACGGTGGCTGGCGAAGCCAAGGTCGTTATAGACGAGCCTTCGCTAGAACTTTTGCACGGTAGCACTGTAGACTATACGACTGAGTTGATTGGAAGCCAGTTTAAGATTGTGGATAACCCAAGGGCTACGAGCAACTGTGGTTGCGGAACGAGTTTTGACGTTATTAATTAAAACGGGGTCAAGAAGTATGTATCTCGTGGAGCGGGAAAATAGGGCGCACAATGGCATGTCAGGTCAGAAGTGACAGACCGGCAGGAGAACCGGGGTGGGATTCGCCAGCACGGGGCCGAATGTATCAACCGAGCAGAATAACGAAGCAATCGAACGTTGTATATACTCTGTATATCGAACATGTGTATGATCATAGAATCTAGGATACAGTAGCTCTGTCATCCAACAATGTCGACACCCTGTCTAAGGCCAGAATATATCACGTGGCTGCTGAGCGCCAGCCCGGCTGCACTAGCTAGGGATTTAGATGAGACTGGCATGTTTTTTAAAGTATTTTAGATATTTATTGTGCCGGTTAGCGGTGCGCCGCCTCCGGTCTTTATTGGTCCGTCCGCCTGCCGCTCCCGACCGCCTGCCGTACACTGCTGATTCCACTGCCCGTCTGGGCATAGTTTCGACCACCGCCCGCCCGTTTGAGGCTAGCGCGCTTATCGCCGTTTTACTGCTCCGTTTCCACGCCCGTCTATCTATAAAAGCTCCCTGCCGCGTCCCTTCGTTAGAGCAACGTACTTCTTTCTGTCTTTTCTCATGTCCCTTCCATTCACCGCCCCCACATCAACCTGGCCCGCTGAGGCCCTCAGCTGACCGCATGGACCCCCTTTTTCGCGACCTGCGCAGGATGCCGCGCCATCCGAACCCAGGGCCGTTCTGCGTGTGCGCGGCGACGAATATCATATTCATGCTTGGCTAGTTTCTAATACTCCTTTTTCTGAATCTCTGCGCCTGGTGATATTCAATCCCGGCGATACGCAGGCTTGGTCTCATCTCGTTTTTCTATGGGAAGAACACACTCCCTCCCGCTGCTGCTGCTTCTCCGTGCGGTCTCGCTACTAGCTGTCCTAGCCCACCAATAAGGGGATCAGATATTGAATTTGGTGTCTCTGTCGTCTTGGGTTACATCATTCCGTGTCCCATGCTACGCATTCTTCCCTGACACTGCCCTCTTTTGTGGAGCCCTTGGACGTGACTCCAGTTACATTTTCTAATCTATGCGATTCGATCTCGTTAACTTGCTTCGTTGACATCCTCCATGGAATTTCGCTCTCTTTGCGCCAATGGCGAAAATACCTCATTGTGCCTTAGATGCATGCTCTAGTGGAGGTGGGCGTTTCGTTATTTTTGGTGCTTGGTCGGAACTCTCCATGAGGAGGGACGGCGAGAGGATTTATTGGATGATGAGTTGCGTGCAAGTCATCCAAGCTGACGCGTCACTGTCTTGGCTAGGCAAGGATGCTGGCTGGCAGCAGGCAGCAGTGACATAGATGGGCAAGGGCGCGGAGGGTTTGATTCCTGGACCATGTCAAGGTGTGGGCTGATACGCACTTTAAAGGCACGGTTTACTCACAGCACTGGGTCACCGCGAAGACAATCGATCGTGGTTTCCTGTAAAACGACAATAAACGGGGGAAAAATTCTCAATCCAACGCCAAGTTACCCAACCGAGTAGTTTGTGATAGGGGCGCTAAAGATTCAGGGTTGCTTTTGGAATAAGGCTTTGGGCATGTTTTTGCCAATCAGCCGATTACCTCTCGGCGGACAGTCCGTTGCTGGCCCCTCGGAGTGGCTGGCTGTATGTTGCAAGGGTTCATAACACAGCTTTTGCTATGGCCGCCTTCTTGAGTGGGGTTGGCGGTTTTCTTTTTGTCGTATGGATATTTAGTCCCTGGACTCTGCCCACATTTGTATTGCGAGCACTCCCTTCAACCATCCGCCTTGAATACTGCCTACCTCCTCAAACGTGGCTATTGAGATTTTACGACCTCTTCTCAGCAGCCCGTTTTGACCACAAAGATAAATAGACCTGGTCTTACGAATTTTCTGCCACCAAGCAGAATGCCAATCCGAAGCCGGAAACGCAAAGCTGATATAATGGGCAATGATCCGAAGGCGCTTGAAAAGTTGGCTCTACAAAAAGAACCGCAACAATTGGTGAGTAAAGTTTAGCCACAGACCGCTTTCATTCGACTTCTCTGATATATTGGATAGATTTCATCTGCTGAAGTTCCGATTGAATCATTATCACCCAAGCTATTATACCTTGTTTGCCCTTATCTGGATGGCAGGTCTCTGAAAATCCTCTCCTTCTTGTCGACTAGACTCCGAAATTTTGTGTAGCCGCTTATATTCAGAAATTTTTATTCGGGCCTGTACGATCAGAAAGGCCTGTGGAAACGCTTGAGCGGTCTTGCAGAGGCTCTAGAGAACCGTCCATCTCTTGGACAGGAAATTGCCCATATATCTATCCGCCTCGGTGAGCTCGAGCACGTGGAAACGCTCGTGCAGCTTCTCCGTCCAATTCTTTCGCGGGCCATAAAACTTCGGTCTTTGTCGACACCAATCCATGCGAGTACGGCTAAGCTGGTCGAAGGTCATGCTTTTGGTTACCTTGGACAGAACCTAGATGTCCGCAAGGCATATGACGAAATATTTAGTCTCAATGAGCTGAACCTTGCCCGAAATCCCATCAACTGTGACCAGCTAGGCACCCAACGGCGACAAGGCGAACTACAACTCCAGCATATAGAAATTGGCTCATGTCAATTAAATTATTGGAGTACCATCAAGCTTCTCCGGCGTTTCCGAAGCCTCAAGATTTTTAAACTCCACGACGTTGAGTTATGGGACTCTGTCCCTCTCTACGCTTTTAGTAAATTGCAATCGGCCTCTTCAGTTGGCATCTCAACTCGACTCAGCCCTTCACAATCACTGACACCGGCTATACACAAAATCGTAGAAAAGAAACCCGCCCTGATCGGAGTCCCAAAGCAAGTAACTCCCCATTAATCGTGGAACAGTAAGGCCGCCAGTCAGGCGGAAGCCATAGTGCATTTTCGCCGTTCAAGTTTATCCATTGTCCTTGCTCAATGATCACTTGATTCCTATGCATTGAGGTAGGAGCATGATTTTCGTGTGCAGGCTGAAAATAGAGGGTGCCTAAGTTAGTGCTTAAATATGAACCATCTTGAGAAAATTCGAGTTCGGTGACGATACCCTTGAGGCTCAATGTCTCTCGTAGTGCTCCCGTTGCCGTGTCCCAGAGCCGCACTGTCTCATGGGATGAGCCGGACGCCAGCAGCCAGCCGTCGGGTGAGAAGGCCACCGACACAACTGCGCCCATATGACCCTCAAGGGTCTGCTGCAGGCCGCCCGTCGCCGTGTCCCAGAGCCGCACTGTCTCATCGGATGAGCCGGACGCCAGCAGCCGGCCGTCGGGTGAGAAGGCCACCGACACAACTGCACCCATATGACCCTCAAGGGTCTGCTGTAGGCCGCCCGTCGCCGTGTCCCAGAGCCGGACGGTCTCATCATCGGAGCCAGACGCCAGCAGCCGGCCGTCGCGCGAGAAGGCTACCGACTGAACCGAATCCGAATGGCCCTCGAGGGTCTGCTGCAGGTCGCCCGTCGCCGTGTCCCAGAGCTGCACTGTGTCATGAGATGAGTCAGACGCCAGCAGCTGGCCGTCGGGCGAGAAGGCCAGCAACTCCACTGCGCCCATATGGCCCTCGAGGGTCTGATGCAGGGTGCCTGTCGCCGTGTCCCAGAGCCGGACGATACCATAAATAGAGGTAGACGCCAGCAGCTGGCCGTCGGGCGAGAAAGACACTGAATTAACCGCATCACAATGGCCCTCGAGGGTCTGATGCGGGGCGCCTGTCGCCGTGTCCCAGAGCCGGACGGTCTTTTCAAAAGAGGTAGACGCCAGCAGCCGGCCGTCGGGCGAGAAAGACACTGATCTAACCACATTTGAATGGCCCTCGAGGGTCTGCTGCGGGGCGCCTGTCGCCGTGTCCCAGAGCCGGACGGTCTTATCAATAGAGGCGGACGCCAGTAGCCGGCCGTCGGGCGAGAAGGCCACCGAAAAAACCCAACTCAAATGGCCCACGAGGAAAACACAACCCGAATGGTCTACAAGGGTTTGCTGCGAGGGGTCTGTCGCCGTGTCCCAGAGCCGAACGGTCCCATCAATGGAGGCGGACGCAAACAGCCGGCCGTCGGGCGAGAAGGCAACCGTCTCAACCATATCTGAATGGTCCTTAATGGTCTGCTGTAGGCCGCCCGTTGCCGTGTCCCAAAGCCGCACTGTGTCATCGTGAGAGCCAGACGCTAGCAGCCGGCCATGGGGCGAGAAGGCTACCGACTGAACCGAATCTGAATGGCCCTCGAGGGTCTGCTGCAGGCCGCCCGTCGCCATGTCCCAGAGCCGGATGGTCGTATCACAGGAGCCAGACGCTAGCAGCCGGCCGTCGCGCGAGAAGGCTACCGACTGAACTATATCTGAATGGCCCTCGAGGGTCTGCTGCAGGCCACCTGTCGTTATGTCCCAGAGCCGGACGGTCTTATCATAGGAGCCAGACGCCAGCAGCCAGCCGTCGGGCGAGAAGGCCACCGACTGAACCGAATTTGAATGGCCCTCGAGGGCCTGCAAATCTGCGCTCCAGTTTTCTTTAACTTTTGGCAACCTGTAAATCCAACCAGGGATCTCTCCTTCAAATTGTCTCCGGATTATCGCCTTTCTAGGTGCAAATACAAGCCCCGAGCAATAAAGTTGAAGGGGGGCATGATCAGCTATCTGGTGATTCTTGAAAACAAAGCGCTTTGCATCATGTAGAAACTTAGACATTGCGGACTGCTGGTCGCCCTATATCCGTTAGTGTGAATCATATATGACTATTACTGAACTTACTAGTATAACCGTCTCAAGTAGGTTAAGCATCCCTACCACTTCCGATACAAGACCTAGTAGGCTCATTGCTTCTACCCAGTGCAGAAAATGCTCCTGGAGGAACAATAAGACATCTTCCGTCTTGAAGGAGGACTTACTTTGTTCGATATGGTGTATCCAGTATCGACAGGAGTATTGTAGTTCTGGTGGTAGATACTGGCGAATGGATTGAGAATCAATGCCTGCCCTACGCGTTCCAGGGCCTTCTAAATTGCAG